GAGCCTCTTCTTTTACCCCGCCATGGGATGAGCGATATGCTCTAGAATAAATAGCAGAGGAAAGGAGTAAGAATTCCCTTCCAGCTTGACTTGGTAGTCACTTCTTACTGACTGACTCAAAAGGTGATGTTGTAGTTGGAGGTGGAGGGAAGTTGTGTGTTGTACCTAATTCAACGCCGAACCACAAATTTTTGATTTTCCACATCCGCTCAGCCAATGACTTCATCCACATTTCAACGTCTCTAGAGCTCCCTTCTACACCAGCTACACAGCTACAATCGCATAGTTGATACGTGAAAACAAAACACCCAATCTCATTCTCTAAGTTTGTACATGATTTCAAGCGATTTCGACGCTCGATTGAGAACTTCCATCACTTTGATCTTCCACCTTGCTGTCACGCGAGAAATACTAATGAAACAGCTTATTTGGTCTTGTAGGTTTGCCAGACTAATTGAAACATAATCGTTAGCACCCATTGGATGTCTTGGAGGGGGATCTGGGTCATTGCGAGCTTACCGGCAATACCGAAGGGAGCACCGAAACCAACAACTAAGGAAGGGCAATTGGGTTAGTTACTTGTCGCAGTGTGACGGACGGATCGCAACGGATGGCCTACCCATGAAGGACCAGTATCTCCAGAAGAAGTGCTTGGTCAGAGGGTTGAAGGGAATGTTGCTGCGAGGTCCCTCGGCGTAGTGGAAGGGGCTACCCATCTGGGTGCGAGTGGTGGAGAAGGCACGGCGGCCAGCGACGGCCAGACGGGCGCGGATGGCGGGAGTAGCGTACATCTGAAGGAGTAGAATAGTGAGTTGGTGCCTCAGTAATGCAATTGTGTTCAATATTACCCACCTTGGGAGGTAATGAGGGAGAGAGCGGACGATCGGGAATGGACGGGGCGAGGCCAAACGAACATCGCGAGGTGCGGAATGGGACGATGCTGGTCACGTGGTTTGGTGTCAGGTGATCCAGTCATTTAGCCTTCCAACAAATGCACATAAGTCACCGCCTGCTTCATTAGGCACAATCCGGTTTTCTGCGAGAAAAAAAAAGAAAGCACCCTCGGAGTTCTTGTAGCTATCTACAGAATTGTTGTCGAAAAGTTTACGCTCTTCCTGGAGATGGACGAGCTTTTCGACGTTTTCGAGGACAAGCCTCAGACGGCTCAGCCGTCTCATGACGTCCCAAAACGCTCGAGAAAAGACAAGAGCAAGAAACGTCAAGCCAATGGTAGCGTCAAGGCAAATGACGCTGCGCCGGTTGAGGAACCGGTCGACACGGTCTCAGCTGATGAGCCCATGGCCGATGCGGAACCAGTCGCCGAGGTGCCTACCGCCGAGAATGAGCAGCCGGAAATAAAGCGCCAAAGGCTGGATGAGGCCCCGGTGCCACTCGTCGCTGATACCTTCGAAACCGAACAAGAGCGCGAGATCACCGCTGGTGGGCTGCAAGTCTCCCCAGATTCCTCGATCACGGTCTCTCACCAAGTGCGCCACCAAGTCGCCATCCCGCCGAATTACCCTTACATACCCATCTCTGAACACAAGCCGCCTGCCGAACCTGCAAAAACATATCCTTTCGCCCTCGATCCTTTCCAGCAAATCGCGGTCTATTCTATTCAAAGAGAGGAGAGTGTGCTGGTGTCTGCCCATACTTCGGCAGGAAAGACTGTTATCGCCGAGTATGCTATAGCACAATGTTTGAAGAACAACCAGCGAGTGATCTACACAAGTCCGATTAAGGCGCTGAGTAACCAGAAATACCGTGAGTTTGCGGCCGAGTTTGGCGATGTAGGTTTGATGACCGGTGATGTTACAATCAATCCTACTGCCAGTTGCCTGGTTATGACCACGGAGATTTTGCGTTCCATGTTGTATCGTGGTTCCGAGATTATGCGCGAAGTCGGTTGGGTTGTTTTCGATGAAATTCACTACATGCGTGACGCCAACCGTGGTGTTGTTTGGGAGGAGACCATCATTCTTCTGCCCGATAAGGTTCGATATGTCTTCCTTTCTGCCACCATTCCCAACGCCATGCAATTTGCCGAATGGTGCACCAAGATGCACAACCAGCCCTGTCACGTCGTCTACACCAACTACCGTCCTACGCCCCTTCAACATTACTTCTTCCCAGCTGGTGGCGAGGGTATCCATCTGGTCGTGGATGAGAAAGGAACCTTCCGCGAGGAGAATTTCCAAAAAGCCATGGGTGCGATTGCTGAGAAGAGGGGGGATGATCCTAACGATGCCCTAGCAAAGCGTAAAGGAAAGGGCAATGACAAGAAGATCAATAAGGGCGGGAACAAGGGCCCTTCCGATATCTTCAAGATTGTCAGGATGGTGATGCTGAAGAAGCTCAACCCCGTCATCATCTTCAGCTTCAGCAAGCGTGAATGCGAAAGCGGTGCTCTCCAGCTGAAAAACCTTTCCTTTAACGATGATTCTGAGAAGGAAATGGTGTCTAAGGTCTTTAACAGCGCCATTGAGATGTTATCCCCCGAGGATCGTGAGCTGCCTCAGATCATCAATATTTTACCCTTGCTGCGAAGAGGTGTTGGTGTTCACCATTCAGGTCTTCTTCCTATTCTTAAAGAAACAATTGAGATCCTTTTCCAAGAGAATTTGATCAAGGTCCTGTTCGCTACTGAGACCTTTTCTATTGGACTCAACATGCCTGCCAAGACCGTTGTGTTCACCAGTGTTCGGAAGTTTGACGGCACAAGCCAAAGATGGGTTTCCCCGTCCGAATTCATTCAAATGTCTGGTCGTGCTGGCCGAAGAGGTCTTGATGATCGAGGTGTCGTGATCATGATGGTTGATGACCACATGGATCCTGCAGTCGCCAAGGAGATTGTGCGCGGTGAGCAGGACCGTTTGAACTCTGCATTCCACCTCAGCTACAACATGGTTCTCAACCTTATGCGTGTGGATGGTATCTCTCCCGAGTTCATGCTCGAACGGTGCTTCAAACAGTTCCAGAATACTGGCAGCATCGCCGGACTTGAGAAGGAATTACTTGACTTGGAAGAAAAACGGGCGAACACGATCATCTCTGACGAGGGCACAATCCGTGAATATTATGACTTGAGGAAACAACTCGATGGATTCTCAGACGATATCCAAGCCGTGATCAGTCACCCCAATTACGCTCTGCCCTTTTTGACAGGCGGTCGTCTAGTTCACATTACATACCAGGGTACAGACTTTGGCTGGGGTGTAGTTGTGAAATTCACCCAGCGGAGACCCAAGAACGCGTCGGAGAAAATCCCTGACCACGAATCATATATTGTCGATGTCCTTCTGAAGATTGCCGAGGGACCTTCCGTTGGCACCAAGTCATTCCAGCACTTCCCTCCCGGGATTGAACCAGCCAAGGAAGGAGAGAAATGCCGGATGGAGGTTGTACCGTGCATGCTTACTTGCCTTCGCGAGATTTCCCATGTTAAGATGATGCTCCCTAAGGATCTCACTTCAGTCGACAGCCGAAACGGTGTCAAAAGATCCCTGGATGAAATTAAGCGGCGCATGCCAGATGGCGTTGCGGTGCTTGACCCCATTGAAAATATGCGCATCAAGGATGATTCTTTCAAGAAGGTGCTCCGAGTGAGTACTCCAGGGTCCACAAAAGGCTCTTTTTAACATTATACTGATGAATGACTACGCAGAAAATTGAGGTCCTTGAGTCTCGTCTTGTTGGCAACCCCTTGCATAACTCGCCCCGGTTGGCAGAACTGTACGAACAGTATGCCGCCAAGGTCAATACAATCACTCAAATCAAGGATGTTAAGAAAAAGATTGCGGATGCGACGGCCATTCAGCAACTGGATGAGCTGAAGTGCCGCAAGCGCGTGCTTCGTCGCTTTGGCTTCATCGACGAGGCCGAAATTATTCAGATGAAGGCCCGAGTTGCTTGTGAGATCAGCACGGGTGACGAGTTGATGCTGAGTGAGTTACTCTTCAATGGTTTCTTCAACAATTTCACCCCCGAGCAAACAGCCGCTGTCATGAGTGTCTTTGTCTTTGAGGAGAAGGTCAAGGAGGCACCTCCACTGGCCAAAGATGAGCTCGCGAAGCCTCTCAAGGAGATCCAGAATCAAGCTCGGATGGTCGCAAAGGTTTCCCAGGAGTCCAAGATCGCCCTCAACGAGGAAGAGTATGTCACTAGTTTCCATTGGGAGCTCATGGAGGTTATTTACGATTGGGCGAACGGCAAGTCCTTTGCAGAAATCTGGTAAGTATTTTGCCACCCCCCTTTCGTGTGAGCGGAGACAGCCGAACTAACCACCAACTTTCCTTAGCAAAATGACCGATGTCTACGAGGGTAGCTTGATCCGTGTTTTCCGCCGGTTGGAGGAATGTTTGCGACAGATGGCGCAAGCTGCCAAGGTCATGGGTAGCGAGGACCTGGAGAGCAAGTTCGAAATGGCGCTCACCAAGATTCGTCGTGACATTGTGGCTGCTCAATCTCTGTACCTGTAAATACGATATCCCTGGGCGCACTTGAGGTGGAATCAAAAGAATCTTACTATTATTGGTTGTCTTATTACTAGTATTACATATACCAGTAGTACTAATAGGTATAGTTACATGGTAGGTAGTTGTAACTAAAAGTACAAATTTGCATAAAAATCCATGAGTGTACATTATAGGCGTCAAGGGGGATTCTGGATACGATCTAATGAAATTTATAATTTTTCCCTGGTCACTCCTCTTCCAGAAGAAACCCCAAAATGAGCTCGTCAAGGAAAATGTTGCAGTCTGTAACGTTGAAAGGTGACCCCAGGTGGACCAAACCAAGAACCTGCACGGCCGGCCTGCGTTGCCTCCCGCAACGCTACCCACCGCCGTTTCTCTTCCCTTCTTTCTCCCCACCTCACCACACCTCACAACCTATTGGGCACATGGGCACCCTTTCTTGAAAAAATCTTGCCCTTTCTCTGTTCTTCAGAGCTCATATCCCTCTCTGAGAAGCTCATATTTTCTTGCCATCCGGCTGTCATCATGAACAGTCTGGTGGCCACACCTCCTGTTCCTCCTCATTTCTACGAGCACTCTCGATTCTCTCCCTCCCGTATAAGTATGGCCTCCTCGTTCTTCCCATCTCCATACCCAGAAATCCTCTCTGCAGACATCTTGATAAGACTCAGCTGACCAACCCTCGCAGTGTCGACACCTTCATCGTCCTACACCAGCCGCAAGCGGAAAGCCGATGATGATGGCAATGACCATGATGGACGCATGTCCGCCTCTCCTACCAACTCGCCCGCCTTTACTCCTCGCCAGCTCCCCCTTCCTTCCGCAATATCAAACGATCCCGACCAAATGTCTCTGGCAGACCTCTTGCTCTTCCCCGTCTCTTAGAGACCCTGGACACCGATGCCCTCCGAACCGTCGTTAGGACCATGTGTGAGCGTCACCCCCAGCTGGCCGACGAGGTGGCGCACACTTCTCCTCGCCCAAGCGTCTCCTCCACCCTCCAGGTCCTTCGGAACTACCAGGCCGTCCTTCAATCATCTTTCCCTCTTGGTGGCAACACTGAGTCCGACTACGCCTACAACAGAGTCCGCCAGCCACTCACAAACCTCCTCGAAGCTCTAAGCGACTTTACACCCAACTTCCTTCCTCCCAACGAAACACAGCCGTCCGTTTCCCTCAGCTATTTGGACGGGGCCACGGATATCATCCACGCCCTGCCCCGCTGGAGCACACCACAGAACAACATCGAACGAGACTCGGCCTACGATGAGATCTGCAAGGCCTGGATCCTGGTGATCCGAGAAGCAGGAAAGCGTGGCGGTGGCATCCAGCTGCAGTACGGAGGATGGGATCAGAAGCTCGCCAAACACAACCACACATCAGGAGGCAAGCTTCAGGCCGCCATCAACGAACTCGGCTCGAGCCTGGGGTGGATGAATGGACCGCAAGATTCCCAATCTCACAGCCCCGGCGGCAGTGAACTTGGCTCTATACGAGACCAGTTATTCTCCGGTACTTATGGTCTTGGAACCCCCGTCAAAGTCGGTCCCTGGTGAATCAAGCAATAAAAGCAAAGAAAGCCAGATGACTCAGTTCAGCGGCCTCCTCACCTACATACACCCCCTTCTTCGAACTCGATAATACGGCACACCACTACCTTGGTTAAATCCTGCTTGGAATAAAAACACTCCATACATCGCACCCGGATGGACTCACGTCCCTATCCTCACTCACATCACGCTCTTCGCTCTCACGCCGTGAACCCCGCCCGACGGACTTTCATACACTTATCCGACCGCACAACATTCCGACGTATGCCACGATCACGATAACTACTGCATGACCTTTAGAGAATCCACATGGTCTCAGATTGGCGTTTTATAATATGCAAAGGCGAATCACCTAACAGGTTACTTTCATGTCCTCCTTTTTATCACCTTCCCCGTCTTTCGCCCTCCGACCTTCCGATGCTACACTGAATGGTTTTCTGGAAACCATTGGAAGAGAATGATTCTTTCTGCTACAGCGACTACGTCCTACGCACCTCTATCTCACAACTTTTCAATTTCCAATGAATTTTCGAAAGCTTTCGCCTGCTTCTTGCCCCGACTTCGTCGATTTCCAACTCTCTTGTTCCTCTTCTTTCTTCCCTTTGTCACATCTTGAGTTGCCTGTTCGGCCCAGTTCTCGACCTCTCGTTTCCATACTCTTATCTGATTTCATTTGTTCTCCTTCATTGCGATCTCGGATGGCGTGCTTCCTTTGCGACTTGATCGATTTTGCACTGTTTGGAGTTTTGTATAGTCAACAATTCATTTACATCGGTACTACTTAGTCTGATTCTTCGCCTGTTCAACCCCAATGTTGCATCCATTACTTCGTATTCGTATTCCAAAGTTGGACTGGGACTTTGAACTTGTTTCCATGCAGTTTGAATATTTCTAGCACACCTAGCAGCTGGTGCCACTGCTAGCAGTGTTTCGAATTACTGCCTTCAATATCAATTGTCTTGCACGCTGATTCGACTCGATAAAAATCATAAGCCATCGCTATCGCTATTTTCCCAAGCTGATCTCAGACCTTCATGGTTGAGTTGGGAGGATACTAAAGAAACAGAAACAAGTTGCGTGTATACAAATGGAATAGCCATCGCCCTAATCATCATCATTAAATGATGGCACGCTTTACAACCCGGAACAACCAACCCGCATCCTCCCATCCACCCCGCTCCCCAGGCTTCTCAACAACAACCGAGTCCCCCTCCGCATGGGACACAGTATCAATATCCGAATACCGATCCAACTCCATAGAGTCCAGTGACAAATTATCATGACCCTCATCCTGCTCGGTACCACTCCCAGGCAGCGCCTCTTCAAACGTCACAGTTGTTGTAGTAGCCGCAGTCCCAATGCGCGTCGCAGTCGACGAACCCGAAGCAGGCCACTCCTCAACGCCAAACAAAGTCCACTCAACCAGTCGATCAATCCAACCTCCCAGTCCGAATCCACGCTCACGCGTGAGTCGCTGCAGATCAGCTTCGTCAAATTCATCCGGCGTCTCGTCGGTAGAATAATCATATTCGGACCCATCATCGCCATACTCGTCTCCGTCCCAGTACTCCTCGTCCCCTTCGAAGCCCTCCCCGTAATAATCATCTCCATTTCCACCTCCAGATTCATCTCGATCCAGACCCTGCCGCTGCAACGAAGCCATCTCCGCCCGAATCCGCTCATCCACAAAATCAGCCTCGAGACCTGATCGCGATTGTTCGGCTGAACTTCGTCCCCGTGTCTCCGGGGTAATCGCACCCGCGGGACTAGACATTTTACCCAGCGCCACGGCCCCCGCAGGCCCCGCCGCCACCATCGACGAGGTCGACGCAGTGGTAGTAGTAGTCGTAGCGGTAAGTGGCATGCTCGTCATAGTAAGACCAGCCCGACTTCCTCGCCGACTCATCCCCCTATTTCGAGAACTACGTCTAGAAAGACTCATCCCGCCCGCCGGCGTCGACGCACCAGATCCAGGCCGAGACTTGCGCGAAGACCCGGACTTCGTGCGTCGGTGGTGCCGATGGTGTGCGCTTTCATTGTCGATGGGGATTTCGGCGACGAGGCTGGTCGAGCTTTCGCGCTTGGATAGCCAGCTTTGGCCCTTTTCTTCACGGGTCGAGGAGGCGAGGGCTATTCCGGCGCGGAGCATCCATTCTGCGTCTGATTTGGGGGTGTGGGATTGGGCATGGGTATGGTTGTGAGCGTATTCGCTTTGGTGTCGGCGTAGATGGGGTGAACTGGATGTTTTCTTATGCTGATGGTGACCCTGATGGTGCAGTGGGAGAGAGATGTCTCTAGTATGCGATTGTAGATTTGAATCGCTGAATGTTGTGGCGCGGCTGGAGCTCTTGCTTCGGTTGTGGTGCCGGGTGCGGGATGTACTTCGCGAATGCGAAAGAATGGGCGGGGTGCTGGGGACGGAGACGCTGGAGAAGTATGATGTTCTTGGGGGTGTTTTGGACCCGCTGGGTGTTGCGTCGAGAGCGTCGCGGGGACTGAAGTAGTCTGTAGGTTCGATGTCGTCGTCTATGGGGAATCGGGGCGTGAGTGGAGCGAGGGAGACGTGGTGGAGGTTGGGGTATGAGCGTCGGGAGCGAAAGCCCCCCCGGATTGTTCAACTAATGGCTTGTTAGATGAATTCCAGTGATGGAGTGTACTGGCAGGATAGTAGCAGTATACTTACCTCCATGGCGCGGTGAAGAAGAGAAGAGGAACTCGAGAAATGTCGAGATGTCTGGAAATGCGGAGGTGCTGCACGTGCGGGTTGGCATGTGAAAACGGCCGTGCTCGGCTGATAATAGTGCATCATGCAATAGACGGATACTATCGTAGGCAAATTTAGGTATCTTTATTCGATTTCATGTTAATGGATTTTTGGAGCAGCAACTCTGGTTTGTGGGGTGTTTTCACCTGGTACATAATACTACTAGCTCTGGAGTAGAGTATATATACCTGCGTACTGTAAGTGGTCTGACCGAGGGAACACCATTCAGATTGCACCACCCGGGCAATCACCCCATCAAAAAAACAATCAACCTTGGAAGGTTCAAGGTCCTTGGATAATTCAAGGAGTACCAGTACCTCCAGCCCTGGAGGGCTACTGGTAGCACATGCCACTGCCTACAATTACCTAACAAATCCCAGAGCAAAATTGAAAAATCATCTTTAATCATTTATACAGAATGGCTAAAGTATCATATATACTAATTTAACACCTCTAACATAACTCACAACTCATTTAGAGTCTCGAGTCTTGGAAGTCTAGCACACCAGCTCCCTTACTTTTCAAGTCCTCCAGAACGTTATATTCCATAATCCACTTCATCCGCTCACCTAGCGCCTCCGGGTTGAAGTTGTTGGTCATCTGGTCAGGGCTATCAGAGCTCGCTAGCTTACCAGCCTCGTAGCTAGTCTGCGTGACACGGTCTGTCCGGGGCTTTCGGAGATCCTGGTAGAACTGGAATGCGGCAGCGAGATCATCACCCTTCCAGTGGCGCAGAACAGTCGCGAGGGCAATACCAGACTCAATAGCCATACAGGTTCCTTGACCTATTGCATCCAGATTAGTCAATTGCGTCGGTGGGAGGGGAGGAGGCTTCGAGCCATCAAAAATGATGAACATACCTTGGTGAGGCAGCGTAGAGTGAGCCGAATCACCCAGCAAAATAATACCCGCATCCTTCTGGCCCTCCTTCATCTCGAACCACTTATCCAGCGGATCGCGCACGTAAAGTGCCTGCTTCAACATCTTCCCATCCGCCGAGCCCTTCCGCAGACCGGCAATGATATCCTGCACTTGGGGACACCAGTCCTTAACATGTTCCTGCAAGCTATCGATATCAGAGCGAGACATCCAGCTCTCTGAATCCCACGCATCAAGCGACTCAGACATAAATCCAATAACAGCCGCACGGTCAGTCTTCGTCTCCTCATTTCCAATAGGCAGAATCAGAACGTGGCACTTCGGACCGCGGAAATTGACCGTCTTACGGAGCAATTGTGCCGTCTCGGTGGGCAGGTCCTTGTAGTCTACGAAGCCGCGGTATACAACCTGGCCCGAGTAATTCGGCGAGTCACCCAAGCCCATATCGAGACGGACATTCGACTTGATACCATCGCATCCAATGACGATGTCTGCTTCGGCAGTGCTGCCGTCCTCGAAATGGAGTGTGTATGGCGCAGAAGCGCCGGCGGCATTTCGATCAATTGATGACAGTCGCTTACCCAGGTTAAGAGATGATTCTGGAACACGCTCCTTCAGCGAATCTAGCAGATGTGCGCGGTGCAGGAGGCGGGCGGGCGGTTGCGAGAATTCCGCGATGTGGCCGAGATAGTCGCCGGTCTGGTAGCTGTGGTATTCCATGTATGAGGGGAGTTTGCGGCTGGACTTGGCAGTCATGCTTTCCTTCAGGCCGAAGGCGTCGAGGACGCGATTGGCGTTTGAGGTGATATTTACGCCGGCGCCGACTTCGCCGAATTGGGGCGCTTGCTCGTAGAGTTGGACTTTCTTCAGACCGCTGAAGAGGGCGGCGTTTAAAAAGGCTGTGCCTCCCAGGCCACCGCCGACGATGGCGATGCGCTTGTCTGCGAAACCCATTGTTTCAAGATGTGGGGGTTGTATGTGCGTGTGAGTTGAGGTCAAGTTTTGCTATCAAATGCAATGCAGTTGGTATGATGGGAAATATGTGGAGCAAAAGCGACTGATGACCTCGAGATATATGTAGTCAAATGAGTTGTATGGTAATCGGGAGCACCCCGCCTGGAGAATGAGTGATCCGATGGTCAACAAGTTGGAGGTGGCTTTTCGGAGCGTGGAGAAAGTGTGGAGGGGGGGTGGTTCACCTTGGAAGTTGCGACTCTTCCGAGGGATTTAGCCCGGATATCCCGGTCGATCCCACGGAGAGATAGGTACTGTTTAATTACCGGATAGAAAGAGCCGTGTTTATTATGTACTAAATATATCCTCTTGTATTACAGTAGCTAATGATAATGATGTTATAGTTCCAAGGTTGTATATGCATATTTCTTTTGTCGGCCCGAGATCGGCTGCAGTGGTTACTATTCTGATACATCTAGTACATATGGTCTATCACATTCAAGTTCCTCGTATCTTCACATGAGAATAGCAAGATCAAGAGTTCAATATTCCAGAATGCAGTTCACAGTTTACCCCATACAAGCCATACAAACCATAACGAATAAAGCTTGGTTTTATTCGTAGCCGTGCCCCTCCATCTTCGTATATGTCATCGGAAGCCCCGCCACATAACCAGCCTGGCAGCATCCGATGGCCCCACTAACCATCGGATGGGCACAATCTTATCAGTGATGTCCCGGAACTAGCAGAAGCACCCTTGGCCAGCCTAGGGTACGGAGTAGGGTACGGGGTATTCGAAACCCTGGCATGCCGAGCCACCAACTTTATGGAACCTTAAAAAGGAGAATAATCATCCACGTCATTGGTGCACCCGAGTGGAGAGGCACTATACGAACGGAGTCTTACGGATCTCGGGAATACGTAGTGGATTTTTTTTTTCATAGTTTCTTATATGAATAAATACATCCGAATGAAAGCTCTATATATACTCCCCGAAAACGTCAACTCCCGAAATCGCTCAGAAGGAGTGAACACAAGAAGAATATCCCTCCTCAAGACTTTTTTTGTGGTGCTTATTGTTGGGTCTTTCTTTATTTGATTTGTTGTTGGTGGGTTTTGGTGGGATTGTATCTCCATTTACTCCACAATCTTGCCCTTGTTCACAACAAAGCCCTCCAGAGCCGAGATCGCCGCCCACAGACGGTTCTCCGCCTCGGGGAACACCAAAGAGCGAGGGCTGTAGAAGACCTCATCGCTGACCTCCTCGGGGTGACGGGGCAGGCAGTGCATGAACTTCCAGTGCTCCTTGGCACCACCACGCTTGGCCAGGTCCGCAGTGATCTGGAAACCCTCAAAGGCCTTCATGCGCTTCTTGGATTCCTCCTCCTGGCCCATAGAGACCCAGGTGTCAGTGACCAGGATATCGGCATCCTTGACAGCCTCCTCGGGGACGTTGGTTTGGAAAAGCTTGCCGGCAGAGGCAACACCCTCACCAGAACGCTGGATCAGATCAACCATGTCGGCAGGGATCTCGTAACCCTTGGGTGTAGCGACGTGCATGTCAACACCCATCTTGGTGGCACCAATGGCCAGGTCGAACAGAACGTTGTTGGCATCACCAATCCAGGCAATCTTGAGACCCTCCAGACCCAGACTGGAAAGGCTGTGGGCCTTGGGGGTAAATGATTCGTAGATAGTCACAAAGTCGGCAATAATTTGCAGAGGGTGGAAGGAGTCGCACAGGGCATTGATAACGGGGACGGTGGAGTGCTTGGCTAGATCAGCCACGTCGGAGTGCTTGGAGACACGCGCGACAATGCAGGAAACCATGGAGGAAATGACGACGGAGGTATCGTAGAGAGACTCGTTGACGCCGAGCTGAATGTCTTCCTTGCCGAGGAACATGGGGTGACCACCCATCTGGACGGTGGCGGCTTCGGTCGAGACACGAGTACGGGTGCTGCGCTTGTTGAACATCATGGCGACGGTCTTACCGGAGAGGGCTCCAATAAGACTTTGCGGGATAGCTCCGGACTTGATAGCCCGCTTGTGGGAGGCGGCATTGCGCACCAGGGTTGCGAACTCCGCGGGGGTCAGGTCTGCAATGGAGAGCAGATGGCGAGGGGCGAAAGGAGAGGTTGAAGGAGAGGTTTGTGTCTGGTGGGCAAATCGTCGAAGACCATTAGCCTGGAGAGTTCGACTCAGGGAAGAAGAGGTGGAGCCGGCCAATTGAGTTACACTTTGGGCGCCATAACGGGCGGCAGCTTGAAGACCGCTAGCCATTGTGGACTTTGGGATAGGAAATACAGGAGGTGCAGGTGTAGGTGCAGGTGTGGAATGGGTGTGTGTAGAGAGAGGGTGTGTGAGAGTGGGTGAGTGCAATTGGGAGTGTAGGAGGGGAGCGGTGGGGGAAATTGTAAGGGACCGCAATGAGTCAAATCAAATCCGGAGGAAAATCGTAGCCAGCGGGTGTTGGTGCAGTTGCCCGCGGTGCCTTCGCTGGGTTGCTGCTTGCTGGTTCGGGCTCCACTAAGATTGGTGGGCACTTAACCCAAAGTAGACTAGTGGACTCCGTAGTACGAACGCGAGTGGCCGGCCTCGGCGCCAAGTTTTGGCCTGAGGTGTCGAATCGACATCATCGGATCTCCACACTTGCCCCGTCGACTTCCCCGTTATCACTCCACGCTTATCTCCATCTCTCCCCCTCCAAGTCACTTTGTCACTGTCACACAAGAAGAGAGAGGGGGAAAGCTACTTCTACTATTTAACTCTCTATAACTCAGATCACTACACTCATGACTGAGGCGAGTAGGCCCCTGCTGGACGGGCAGGCTAGGTCCTCCTCTCCTACCCCATCCACATCCCAAGAGAGACTAGAAACCCGTCCAGACCAGCCTCGCCGATCATTTGAACTGTCATCCGAATCCACACCACTACTCCATCGCCGTGATGATGTCGTAGCATACGGTACCGAACGACCTTCCTCATCTGCATCTCGAAGATCGGCCTCGACCGAAGGAGGCGCGCAGAAGAAATCTAGCCGAGTGCGATGGCCGACAATCATATCCCTTGCGCTATTGACCACCGGAGTCCTGTCTATTCTGATCTTCGCATTTGCAGCACCGGCTGTGGTGAAAGAGTATGCCCAAGAAGCTGCCGTCTTCAAACCAACTGCACTATCAATAGACTCAACCACCCCCGATGGTGTTCGCGCCCGAGTCCAGGGTGATTTTGTCATGGATGCGAATCGTGTGAAGAGTAACTCGATTCGACGATTCGGCCGACTCGCCACTTGGATAGCACGGGAGGTTGAGACGGGCGAGTCGGACCTTGAGGTTTATCTCCCGGAGTACGGCAATGTCCTCGCTGGCACGGCGGCATTACCCTCGATCAAAGTGAACATCCGAAATGGTCATGAGAACCACCTCGATTTTCTTACCGATTTGGCGGCTGGAGACGTCGAAGGTATACATTCGATCGCTATGGATTGGATAGAAGGCAGACTGGATCGCCTGAGAATCCGTGGCAAGGCTACACTACATCTTAAGACCGGTCTCATTGCCCTCGGCGAACAAATAATCACCGACACGATCACATTCGAAGGTAAATAATTTTAGTACATACCATTCGCCACCATAGTACTAACATCATCTAGAATATGACTTCCCTGCCCTGCCTGTGATCAGCCTCACAAGGCTTAACGTACATGACGCTAAAAATGGGGCTATGGCCGTTGATGTGGCTCTTACGGCAAAGATCGATTCACCAATCGCGATAACGATACCACCTCTTGGATTTGACGTGCTTGTGCCCAACTGCTCGCCCAGCGACCCTCTTATCATGGTTGCCAATGCCTCCACAAATGAGGTTGCCGTCTATACCGACGCGCCAACTGAGGTCAACGCTAGGGGGCTTATTAAGAGAATACCTGATGAGTTGACATCCAGTTGCCCAGGAGGAAAGGACTCACCCTTGGATCTATTAGTCTCAGGCTTCATTCAAGGTCAAGAGACCACCATTTTTGTTCGTGGTGCGCAAGCTCCGCTACCTCAAACACCCGGCTGGATAGCCGCTCTACTGCGCAGTGTCACCGTGCCATTCCCTTTCACAGGGCATGCTTTGGATGACCTGGTAAAGAACTTTACCATGACAGACACGCATTTCTCGCTGCCTGATCCCTTCGCCGAGCCCAATACACCAGAAGCACAGCCATCGGTCTCAGCTGTTATGAAGGTTCTCATTGGCTTGCCAGAGGAGATGAACTTCCAGGTTGATGTTCCTCGCGTCCGAGCCATAGCGAATGTGTACTATCGTGGTGACCAACTCGGTGTCTTGAACCTCGACAAGTGGCAAGATTCCAACTCGACCATGACAGAAGACGAGGATGGTTTGGCCGCGCTACTGGTGGAGTTTGCTATCAAAGACGCGCCACTGGAGGTAACTAACAGTGACGTCTTGTCAAAGGTTGTTCAGGCGATGCTGTTTGGTAACAAGGCAGTTGTGCTGCACGTTGCTGCCACCGTAGATACAAAGGTCGAGACTGGCCTGGGTCGCTTGACAGTTCGTGGCATCCCGGCTTCTGGGGATGTCCCTGTGGACAGTATGTTCTCGTGATTTTCATAAATTAGACACATAGTAAAAATCCAGCTTTTTTATTTCGGTCATTGACTTGCTCTTAGCTCCAACCGGCAACCCGCTTGATAACCTAAATCTTCGCGTGGGTTCCTTGTCTTTGAGCAATTCTACAGAGTCATCTCTATCAGTGTCTGTTCAGGTGAACTTTACAAACCCAACAAGCTACTCGGCAACGATCCCATTTGTTGACTTCTTGGTGTTGTACAACGGATCCTCCATTGCCCATATCACTGCCCGCGATATTGGTTTCCAACCCGGAAACAACAGCAATATACCGATTAAAATTTCCTGGAATCCATTGGAGTTGAATGGAACTGATGGCGTGGAGGCTGGACGAACCCTCATGTCTTCTTACATATCAGGTGTGCATTCCCAGGTGACCCACCAATCTGACACATGAGTCTAAGATGTATTATAGGATATAACACCACCGTGACCATTCAAGCCCACGAAAGATCGATCCCAGCCGTTCCTCAACTGGGAAAGGCATTGGCAGCTATTCCTATGAACATTTTAATACCTGCTCTATCGACACCGGGATCCCCTAACCATGGCAAAGAAGGGCCGAATTTCATACAGGACGCAACGGTAATCATCTCTCCCGCCATTCTGGTTGACATGCTTCTATTCTGTCACTTGGGCTTTCCCGCAAAACAATATCCTTTTACTAAAACTGGGTCTTCTAGCTTCATCTTTGGTCTTCGACCACTGATTTTACCCTCTTGTCGCCATTGACTGAGACAAGCATCACAATCACCTCAATCGAGGCGACTGCCTATTACGAGGGAGACGAGCCTTTGGGCAGGATAAAATATTATGAACCTTTCGACGTCCCGCCGGGTATATCTCAAACCCCGCGAATTCCAGTTGACTTGATACTGGGCGGAGTTGGGTATGACGCTCTGCGCAAGGCACTTGGGCAATCGCTAGAGATGGACGCGGTAGCCAAAATTGGGATCAAAGTTCTGCAGTACACTGATATCGTGCTTTATCGGGGTAAAGGGATTGCTGCAAATGTTAGACTATAGGCTGTGTTGAGAGCCGAACGATGTAACGCGGCTGATTACAGCTGTTAATTTTTTGAGTAGAACCTTGGATTGCGATGAGGCTTTTGACGGCTCGTTTGAATTGCTCACAGTATTGCTACAAAATTAAACGCATTGGAAAGACCAAGATAGTGAGACATTTTACATGAAGTAGGAGATCGAATATTATAGCATATAATCGAGACCCGAACCTCAAGGCGGTGCGCAGCAAATAAACCATCATATTGGGTATGTATATCTTTGAATTGGTGGTTTGTGGAGATATTTAGCCGGGGGGGCAGAGTGCTGGCGTCGACAACGTCGGCGGCCTCCTTCTCGAGCTCCTCGTTCTGCTCGGACAGAGGGGAACGGGGCAGAGCCATGAGGCCGGTACGGGTGGACTCAAGAATACCGAAGGGACCGATGAGCTTGAGGAAGGAGTCAATACGGTTAGGTTTGGCGGAGCTATGAGTAGATAAGGTCAGTAAGAGCCGGGGGAAGGTGGGCCGAGAGGAGCGGGTCGGATAGGACTTACATCTCGACAATGCAGTTGTTGGTGCTAATGTCCAGGACCTTACCACCGAATTGGTGAGTCAGGCGGGTGATGGCATCCAAGTGCTCGTGCTTATGACGCAGAGCTTGGGACAGGGGCAGGTTGCGGGGGTGGTATTCGATCTGCTCGTAAGGGTGGCCCTGCTTGTTCTTGTCCAGGCTCTCAGTAGGCATGGTGATCTCGCGGTGGTGCTGGAGGAGCTCCTCGAAGAACTCGGGGCCCAGGATAGAGACCTTGGCGAGCAGAAGCTCACGCTGCACCAGGGCGGACTCGGTGTAATCCAGAACGGCCCAGACGGGAACCAGGTCATCCAGCTGGCGGCGAGCCTGCTCAACCACGCCGTCCTGGCCCTTCAGCACGATGGTCATGCGGGAGAGATCCTCGACCTCGGTATTGCACACGACCAAGCTGTCAATGTTGAAGCCACGGGCGGCCAGAATTCCGGACACACGGGACAGCACACCGGGCTCGTTCTGAACGAGGCAGTTCAGGATGTGACGCTTAGGCGGGTTGGAGGGAGGCACGGGAGTCTCGTACAGAATGCTCGAGACGGCAGTCGGGGCATCCCATTGAGCTGAGGAATCGGAGACCGGCAGAGGCAGGGGGGAACGGCGGTGCAATGCCTTGTATGCCAGCGCTGAGGTCGAGCTGGAGGAAGCGCGGGCGGCATTGAATCGGGGCAGAGCGGTGGCAGTGCGAGACCGACCAGCAGCTGCTGCAGAGGAGAACAGCGACACTGACGCTGCTAGCGTCGAGGGGCGTCTGAAAGCCATGGCTACTTCGGAATTGGAAGAAGTTGTGCGATGAATCACTCCAGACTCCCGATGGGTTCTCCGGACTCTTTTTGCTCTTCCGACCTCGGCGAGGCTGACTCACCTACACTAGTCCATTTCGGGAATAGCCTTATGCAGCTCCACGTGACGAAGAATTTCCGGGCGCGACGAATATCAAAGCAATTGTCAATTGTCAATGTGAATGCGAATCTGCCTTTGGGAAGATCGACTCTCACACAGCCATCCCATTTTCCTTGGACCCAATTCAATCCACTCGGAATTTAAAGAGTATATCGACTAGAATCTGGGATTCATTGACCATCCTTGTATTCACGACCGCCTTGTCTTTGGATTCGCCAAACTTGGGACCCTTTCGCAAATTACCTAGACCTTTGTCTTTCACCTCACCTCGCCATGGCCGACGACGAGCGCAAAACCAAGCGATCTCGCTTTGATCAAACCGAACCAGAGCCTCGTCGCTCCCGATTCGATCGTCGTTCGCGATCGCCCTCTGCCAGACAATCTGAGTCGACTCGTACCCGCAGCCCGCTCAGTCGCGAACCTAACAGCCCTGCCTCCAAACCTCCTACCGACCCTGCTGCGGCAGCAGGTATGCATTATCCTTGTTTGCCAATATTATGAGTGATCTCCTTACTAACAAGTGTCTTTTGGCTAGCGGCCGCCGCGGCTAAGATCAATGCCCAGCTTCAAGCCAAGAAGGGCATCCAACATGTTGATGTCCCTCCAATTCGTTCGGTATATACTTGTTATTCTGTGGGACCGTGTCTTCAATCACTGACTGAATGTCGTAGACTGACAGCCCCGGAGGAGAGGACCCAGCCGGGGCGGACGGCAAGCCCCGCGAGTCGTATGTTACGGATGGAGACTTTATCAAGGATCTCGAGATCAACGATCTGCGCAATCGATACACCTTGACGAAAGGTTCTACTCAGAAATTGGTAATTGCTCCCGTTGTCGTTTGCTGATTCTCCAGTCTTCCTTTGAAGATCGAGTGCACTGCCCTTGCCGGAGCCTAACCCCAAACCACCCTATTCCCTTTGCTTTCATACGCTTGTGTGGCTGGCTGAAGCTTACCCAATCCACTAAATGCATAGCATACCACAAACCCTCTTTTGCATCCGCTGACCTCCGCTGCGTGACTTATAGATTAAAGATGAAACTGGCGCCGGTACGCCCTACTTCTGTTATTTTGACAAAGAGATTTATGACTTACTGTTTTACAAGATGTCACCACCCGCGGAAGCTATTTCCCCGACAAGAGCATGTCGACAGCGGCTGTAAGTGGTCATCTGTTCATTGCGACATTACCCTTTGGTACAGGGCATGGCTGACCGTGCTTCTAGAACCCCCCCTCTCTACCTTCACATCACGAGCACTACTAAAGAAGGCCTCGATAAGGCCATCGAATTGATTGACGATCTGATGAAAAAGGAACTTCCTAACCTAGTCGACGAGCGTCGGTTTCGCCGACGAGAGCCCGAACAGCAGGTTGAGCGGGATGAGTACGGCCGTGTATGGAACTACATTTTTCTGATTTGGCAAATCAAAGCAAAATTACTAACTTTTTACAGCGCAAATGGCCGGATGAGCGCATTCCAATCGACCTGGAGCCTATTCCCGGATTCAATCTGCGTGCCCAGGTTGTTGGTCAGGGTGGTGCGTATGTGAAGCATATCCAACAGAAGACCCGCTGCCGTGTCCAGATAAAGGGCCGTGGCTCTGGATTCATTGAATCAAGCACTGGCCAAGAAAGTGACGAGTCGATGTTCTTGCATGTTGCGTGAGTGTCAACGTCCCATTCTAACCCCCCTCATGAAATGAGACCTCCAGCTAACCCTGTACCAAGTGGCCCGGATGCCAATGACGTCCAAGAAGCGAAGGCACTTTGCGAAGATTTGCTTGCCAACGTCCGCGAACAATACCAGCGCCACAAGGACAACCCGCCTCAGTACAACAACTACGGTGATCGTGGGGGGCTACCGCGGAGGTGATCGTGGCGATCGTGGCGATCGCGGAGACCGCGGGGATCGTGGTGACCGATACCACGGGGATCGTTATCAAGGCGGCGGTCGTGGCGGCGGTGGTTACGGTGGTGGTTACAACGACCGTCATCAACACTCGAACTCTCCTGCTGCTGCTAGTCCCAGTGGACAGGGCCAGGCCGCTGCTCCTGCATCCGGTGCTGCCGCCAACAGCATGGCTGACTATAGCGCACAGTATGCACAGTACTACGGAGCTGACCCCTATGCCGCCTATGGTGGATATCAAAACTATGTCGCCTACTACCAATATTACCAAGCAGCCGCTGCTCAACAGCAACAGCAGCAACAAGCCGCAGAGGCCGCTCCTCCTCCGCCTCCTCCGGCGGGTGAGGCACCCCCCTCCACCTCCCCCAGGCTCAGGATCTCCTCCCCTCCTCCTCCCGGTGGAGCCCCTGGCGGAGGAGGTAGTTATAGCGCGGTATGTGCCCTATTCCCAGTCCCCGAGATATAGTTACTAACTCCGCCTCTCTTCCAGATTCCTCCCCCTCCCGGCCTCTAGGTATAATGCCGGCACCGAAGTGGCCAGGTTTCTTTTTACAACGACGAAGACAACCAACATAAAACGCAAGAGATTTTGAAGTTCTGATATTCAAAAGTGAGGAAAGGCTAAGCGATTTGATATTTTCATGCAATATTTGTGGGATGTGATATTTTGCTAAATAGGAGTTAATTATTCGCCCGTATAAACCCTCTTCCAGTGTTTCTCTGCTCCTGCAGTCTAATCACAGGCTCACTCTGTCTATATATGGATGATGCTTATCTTTTAACTCAGGTCTCGGATTCTCCGCTCTAAAAAGATGCAGCTGCTTACTAGTTCTCTGGTTTAGCACGTCTAATAATCTGGTAATTATGAGCAGTTCAATACTTAATCATGTCTTACAGATGCTACTCGTTACCCATAGTAGGCATATGAAGAAATAACAGAGGAAGGGAAAGAATAACTTGAACTTATGCAAAGAAATGCCAGTGAACCCACCCATATAATACTATCTAAAAAATTTGAAGTCCCTTTATCAGTCATAACCTTCATACATGACCTCCATCCTGTAATCAGGCGCCATTTTCCTCTTCCTCCTCGCCAGCCCACCTCGACCTTCTTTGCAAAAGTCGCAAGCAAAGTCACAAGGTGAGGAGCCAATTCCCATTGCCTGCGACGAGGGCGGCTGCTGCGACCCCATCTCCTCCAGCTCAAAGTCGCCAAAAAGGTCCTTGATCATATCATGCCGGCACTTCGAAATACTGTCACAATAGCGAATAACCTTCTGAAAGCTCTCGAGCCGAGCCGTCTGGTTCTTCAACAAGCTATCAACATGCTGTCTCGGCCCGCCGCGATTTCTAACATTCTGCGTATCCCGACAGAGACGGTCGTGAATGCGGTCTCGTTCTTGCATATTATAGTATACGAGGGATGCAGCAGCCCGGCCGTCACGACCTGCTCGGCCGGATTCCTGGACAAAGCCTTCAAAACTGCGAGGCGGTGTCCAATGCACTACAAAGCGAACATGGGGATTGTCAATGCCCATTCCGAACGCATTGGTTGCGACAATTATTGAGAAGGCTGGCGAGGGGCTCCCATCTTTGGACTGTTCGCAGGGCTGTGACGAGGTCCACAGTGTTTGAATCCGAGTTCGCTCTTGTGGAGCTAACCCCGCATGATAGGCAACGGCGGATATGCTGCTCTCTCGCGAAAGCTCGACAGCAAGCTGTTCTGCCATAGCGCGAAGCCCAACGTAGATTATGCCTGATACCGGTGGGAGTTTGGGGGCGGCTTCGGCGCCAATGCGCGCGGCACGTCGGGTTTGAATTGCCCTGAGCCACTTGAGGAGATTGTGGATTTGAGAATCTCCATCTTCGGAGCAGTCGTCTTGATACCGGACTTCGTAGTGGATGTTTGGACGAGCAGATGGCGTGTTGAATAGCCGGAGTTTTGTAGTATCAAGACCTAGTATATTGATTATGTCTGAGCGAACACGCGGCGTGGCCGTAGCAGTTAGAGCGGTGATGGGCACGGCCGGGTTGGTGAGATGGCTTTTGAACCAGCCCAGTTCTTGGTAAGCGGGGCGGAAGTCATGTCCCCATTCACTGATGCAGTGAGCTTCATCGATAGCAATGCGGTTCAGTTGCTCCTGTTTGTGAACTACCTGAAGATTCCGACGGAAGCTATCAGTTTGGCAAAGTTCGGGCGTGACATAAAGAAGTCGAGTGCGTGGGTGGCCGGAGAGCATATCGTCGAGGATGAGACGTCTTTCGGCCAGAGGTGTGTTCGAGTTTATAGTCGAGACAGCTACGCCAATTGCTCGGAGAGCATTGACTTGGTCCATCTATTCTGGTATCAGTTGAAGAGCTGGAATATTTAAAGCAGTAATCCACTTACCATCAATGCAAGCAGAGGACAAATCACAACAGTCACTATCCAACAAACGTTAGCAGGAAGCCTTTACTTGCGCGTCGAAATCGCAGGTCGTGCTGCTTACACCCAGTGCCCATGACGGCCGGAAGTTGAAAGCAAAGACTTTTTCCAAAGGAGGTTGACGCCTGGAGGAAAACATCATGACCGTCGGTGACAGCGGAGATCACCTCTCGCTGCAGTGGTCTATCAATTTGTCAGGGAATTGGTTGATTCGCGTCAAGAATGGCACTACTGACCGGAACGACTTTTTGCGGAAGACACGATTCAAGTAAAACTCTAGATCGGGTTTTCTTTGCGGAAGTACGCTCCGATTATCCATTTGGAAGCATCTCAGAGGGATCGGAATGATCAAAAAGTATGTGGTCGAAAGGATTACTTGCACTTGTCTGGCCGTCACGTCGGCCCGAGCAGACACGTGGTCACGTGAGTTTATCCATATTTCCACTTTGGGGCATCAATTACTAGACAACATCAGACACTCTTTGTCACTAACTAGAAGGCCTTTGAAATGGTACTCGCTCGATACAAATGGAAATCAGTCCCAGAAAAAGATAGAGGGAAAAGAAATGGAGCAAAGAGTGCCACTTTTTCCATGTTTCAGATTGTTGGCTTCTTTGCCTTGATAGGCTTGCACAGGAACGGTCTCAAACGGATCCTGATTCAGCCTCAAATATCGGAAAATAAATCGAGAACCACGGTTGTCCAATCTGTGACGAGAAAACTCTCGCTTTGTTGCTTTGTAGAGTATCTTCTAGCCACAATCCATCAAAGCCCCTGGATTTTTCTCCAACCTCACTCATGAATATAATCAACTTGAAGCGAGCGTATCTAGGTGTGTTCCAGAAATTCAATCAAAATTAACATGATTCGTCAAGCCGACATGTCTAAATATGACATATATGTGGCATTTCTCAGACCAAAGCCGATTCTCTTTGGTGAAATGGGCATTCACTGGTCCATCATGATTGCCCACCCGGGATTGGAATACGGCACCATGTACCATATAGTCCGAAGTCGAAGAGGAGGAATTCTTTCTCATTATGAGCTTCACGTTCGATCGTTCAGGCCACTCAACGGCGACGAGATTATAGACAAAAAGCACATTGCCACCCTTTTGTCGACACAAATGGACCGATTCAATACGATCCTGGCTTCGGTGCCCTTGCGTGATTCGCAAAATTGGAGCATCAGAAATTTTTACCGAGAGGCATATGGATATAGTTCGGAGCAGTGGACGATCGAAGTCATTATGGCTCTTGAAGATTTGCAAATGGTCCGTTATGGAACTAGCCTTTTTGTTGAGCCGGGTTCAACTGTTTTTTGACAATTCGAGATTCAAAGGTTGGATATGAGCTCGTATACCACTAGTATTAGCAGTTCTTGATATATAGTTCCAAGTTTTGCTTCATTCTCTTTCTTTCCTCGTATCTGATTCAAAGTAGAAGATGCATCAAGATTAATGTATTTCAATTTCCTACCTTCCAATGCTTTAGAGAAGTACCCAGATAATTGTGGGGTTGCGAGATGCGAGATGCGATTTGCAACTTGAAGTAAGTAAATTTAGTGCAACGCTGACCCTATGGCATGAATGATGAAAGAATACTAGCGAATGCCAAAGGGGGCAATTGACACAGCCAAATGAGATATGTTATTGCTCAGCTATCATCTCCTTGAAAGGTATTTGTGACCCGGATGACCCTTGCAACTGTGGCGGACGACGAGGCACACATGTATCACGTGTCGGGCTCATACTTTCTAGATGTCGACTATGTCCTTCTTCCAATTCTGGTTCTATCGATCTTGTCTGAGAAGTCTGTGTTCTTTGGCCCGAGAACGAGCTAGTACCAGTGTTTGAACTAACACATTCAACGGCATCTGTTTGGCCACTGCGGACGAAACTGACGAGGCGACCGAGAATCGCAAATTCGAGTTTGAGTTTGATCGAATAGAATACACCCTTGAGTATTGTTTCGAGGATCAGGAGGGAGGCGTATTCTATTGATAGAAGTCCAATATCCAGCAGGATGATAACAATGTTGATAGTAACCAGCAAATACATGCGCTGGCGGCTCTTTTTTCGAAAAGATCCTTGGAGAAGTTTCACCGTCGCGATGATGTATATCAACGACAAAATTGTTTCTTGGACACTGAAAGCGGATTAATGTCTTGACTTGAATTTCTCAAGCAGGTAGAGAGGAAATTTGAGATGCAAGAACTTACAAAAAGCCTGTCATTTGAAACTTTTCCACAACATTGTAAGCTTTAACAAACTTGTCGGTGTCAAGATCACCGAATGAACCAAAGGTCACCACGGTGGTGGGAATATGGAGGAAGATAGCATCAAATATAATCATCCACTTGGTGTATAAGAGTATCTTGCTCCCATTGTCACCCGTAACGACAAGGTGTAGTCTCGACCATAAAACAACAGCTTGGCCTGTGACCATGACATACCACCCGACAGTCAACAACGAAAGTGAGGCCCATTTCGCATTCCCCGTCAGGGTTCCGAAGAATTTGAAAGCGTAGCCCAAAGAATAAGGGATCAGACTAAGACTTGACGCAAAAAGACTCCAGAAATAAACGGTGGCATAGCGCGAGAAGGTCGAGAAAATAAGGATCAAAAGCTCAATCGCGTTATAGATCGTCAGGCCTGCGCAGAAGATCACGGTCGCTTTAAGCGTGAAGCTGTTACCGGTATAGCTTCCTGTGACGCCGGGTGCAGCGATGGGAGCCGAAGCTGAATCCGTGGAAGCCAGGTCGGCCATCGATTCACGATTCGTGCATTGCCGCCGCAATGCATTTCACAGATTGGCATAGGCGGATGATGGATTCAGGGGTTGTCGCCCCGGGACGTCGATATAAGAATCCTTCGAGACCAGTGGCAATTCTTGGGGCTACGCAATAGCTACACATTATCCAGCACGTCGGGTGCTAAACGTCAGGTGATTCCCCGGAAGGATGGTTCCATTGTCCAAATCGGGATAGATATGGACAAAACCGGAAATAGCTTGAACTAACTTGAAAGCTTAAAGACATTGGGGTAAATTATAATGGAGGAAGTGGTTCTTGATTGGTTGTGTAAAGTTATGCTGAATGCATAGCCTCTACTTCACCTTGAAAGGGTCTTTGAAGAACAATAGAATTGAGAGATAGCCCGTTATTCAGCGCCTCTGTACTCAATGAAGATTCAAGTTGTATTCAACTTGAATGAGACCTCAGACTCTCGGTGGTAATAAAGACACAAAGCTGCCCAGTTGATAACTTCTGGGCTGATTTACTACTATATAGGTTGAGTTGGCGACCTCGATCTCTGTTATGTATTTGAGTTTCATAAACCTCAGCTTTCATAACAAAACCATTATTACTACTCTCCAGGTCCACTGATAACTACCTAGGTACCTACTAGCTAACTAGTAGTACTATCAAAACCTCCCGATTATCACGTCCACTCCGCCAACATGTCTCAGCATAACCCATCAGCATATGATATCCATGTCGCATTCTGTCGAGCACGATATGGGCTCGCATCGCACTGGGTCATCCTCCTTTCGCACCCCGGCTCGTCACTTTGCACATGGTACCACGTAGCTGGAGGACCAGCACAGAATAGACCATATGAATTCGAGGTCAAAGAAACACAACGCCTGAACCATCCTGATTTTACGGAAAAGATATGGATCTCCGGTATACCCGCGGACTACGCCTCAGAACTGGAAGAGATAGCCGAGACTGTTCCATTGCAAGAGTCCCAGAACTGGACCATTCGGGTTGTTCGGGCTCTTGAGCAAGGAGGAATGGTTTCCACAGGTACCAGTGCTCGCTTGCTCAAGCCGTACGTCGGTACTTAAGTGAATCGTTCCAAGGTTGTCATCCGACTCAGGCTTGTTCTCGGGATCTAGGGAGTCACTCGCCTCGAAGGTTGCCATATACTATCAGTCTATCAATGACCCATATTTAGACATTCTACTAGCAGAATCAATTTCAAAGCCATTGCCCTCAAAACACCTAGAAAGCCTATTGTTTTTGATAAAATTTCAATCACGTAGAAGTAGTGTTGTATTCAAACAATGATTCGCTATAAAAGAATCGGTATATGGTAAATCTATGAGTAATGTACAAAGATTGGTGTCGACGGGACATATCCAATCTAAAGGTGATCCTTCTGAGAAATCTAAAGGGGATTTTTCTGAAGTTGGCGTTCAAGCTCGTCCCTGATGATAGACACATCCACTGCGTTTCGGTGGAAGGGGTCCCAGAGCTGCTGCAATTGTTCCCAGGCCTCAATGACATCATCGGGGTGAGTGCAAGTGCCGAACGCACGCAGAACATGAATGATGGTGGAACGACCGACGAAAACCCCGTTTTCAACATTGCCTTCGAGTCGCGAGGCGTGTTCGAGTTCGGGATCTTGAAGATCGTTGTCCAGGTACTTGGAATTGAGGAGGAATTCAGACCGTTGGTATTCTTCCATGCTGAGTTCCTGCTTGATGACATCCCCTTTCCCCTTGATTCCTGGTTGATCGTGGGGGTCTGCGTGTGCATGACTCTCAATAAAGGTCATTTCAGTTTCAAGCTTCCCACTCGTATTTTGCTCCGGGTTCGGATCCACGGATGGCAACGGCATATAGAGCTCGTCTGTCGCCTCAGCCTTGTTCTGTGTCGCAGGTAGCCTTCCTTTTGTTTGAGCCACTTCCGCCTTCTCATCTGCGCTCTTGGCGCTCTTGGCCTCGGCCTCGACGGAATCCATCTCATCCCGAAATGGGTTGACCCAGGTATTGGACGGTTGAGCAGGTCTCCCGAAGTTAAAAAGCCTGGGGAGGAGCTTGTCCTGTGATTTCCTCGAGTCAATCAACGCCCATACGTATGAGTGCCAAAGCAACCAAAGCCGATTTGCAGTCCATGTCTGTTTCTTTGTTTTGCCATGGATACTGAACCCTTCAAATAGGGTACTGTAGATCATGTGGCGGGGCGGGGATTTGAAGGTATTCTCCATATCACGAATGATATAGAGAACCTTATCAAAACGGCCTGTGGTAATAGCGTAGTGTCGAAGCAGGATATGAAATGTGCGAGTGTCGGGCGTGAGGGGAAGCGATTCTTGGAAAGCACGGTAGTGGTTGGGAAGGTGATCCTTGAGGGCATCGGAAAGTTTTAGCAGGCGGCCCAGCCGCTTGGTGGTGGACCGATAAATTTCAAACCGCGTGGAGAGCGAGTGACCCGTGATATCTGCCGGCAAACTAGTATTTTTTCTGGTGTTTTGTGCTAGCAGCATGCGCTCATAAATTCCCTCCGCGGTCTCAGTATCACCGGCTTTGAGGAATGCAGATAACAAGCCATTCAGAATAACCGTGTCGACAATATTTCCAGACTGGACGAAATCATCAAAAGTGCGACTGATCCCTTCTAGGTCTTGACGTTCCGCATGGTAGTAGAGTTTTGGAATGAGGGAATAGCGGGTGGAGGGAATTTCTCGCTTGATCATCTCCTGTTCGAGGCGTTCGGCAATGCTGAACGCACCGGCTTTGATGGCTGAATCATATAGGACATTGAAAACCACTTCGTCGGCTTCAATATTAGCATGGTGCTCCATTTGTTGCCACAGTCCAATTGCTCGAACTATATTCCTCTTCTTGGTCCTTCCCTTGCCTGAACGTCGACCGGCAAAAGAGATAGCCGTAGTCCACAGCGAGCGCGACATGGGAATGTTACAGGCGATCATGTCATCCACCAATGCCAAATAGCGGCGAACATCAACAGGTCGGCGATTCGGAGGGTTGGCCATCTGCCGAAGGAGAGCTCCGCGGGTGCGCGAGGGTAATTTCTCGACTCCCGGTGATGGTATATTTCGATAGAGCGAGAAGAGGTACTGGGAGGTGTTTTTCGGGTTGGAATGAACGGCTTCAATGAGCTCCGCAACGGAGGGACTTTCGACATCGTAGTCGTATTTGCCTTCTACAAGTCTTGGGGGGTGCGGATGTGGCAGTACCAGTTTCACGGCTTCTTGCCAGTCGTATTCCTCTCCAAGGATCCTCCTGTATACACTCGCGGTCGAAAGATATCTCCTTTCGTCGTAGGATAAGGGCTCTCCGGGGGTATTTGGGTAGTCAGAAACGTCTGATATTTGGTTGTCGGGGTGTGAGGGGTGATTAGGTGTTTTCGGATCGAAATATTGATGCCAAATTGTTAATAGCGATTTGCTTTTGTCGGGGGACACCGAGGCTGTTGACGCGCCCTCGGCATCCTGACTCCCGGTTTCCCTCGATGTTCTTAATGGAAGATGATTTGATTCATGCTCATGCCCAGCTCTTGTACTGGCGGTACTGAGCTGGTGTCGATCTTGTGACGATTGCAGCCGCGGCCATGGCCCTGAGCACGGCCATGGCTTTGGAGCCGAATAACCGTCACCCTCCGTGACACTTTCACGGCGATATGTTCGCAATTGACTTCCTGATATCCTCGGCGGTATCGCAGACAGGTTGCGACACCGAGGCGAGTGTTCATGGCAGTAGCCAGCCAGGATGAGCGAACCAACAAACAGGTCCGCTACCGAGACGATAGACGGACGGGTGTGACGAGAGGAGAATCGGCGTATTGAGACACGGGATGGAGAGGGCTTTTGGTGTGGCATCGAAGGAGAGGACGAGCTCGCCCGCGACCTGGCTGGAGGAACTTCGCGGGCTCGACGAGCTGGGGAACCTATTGAGAGGAGGCATGAGAGGGCAGACATCGTGGGCCTTGGTTAGCCATGCATGTCCAAGTAGCGCCCAGGTCCAGGTCAATCGAGCCGAGGAGTGGTTCGCGACCCACAGGAGTGAAAGAAGGGGGGAAAAGAAAGAGAGGCAATGACTTGAGAGTGGATGTGAAGGTGTTGGAGGTGTTTTTCGAGCGGACTTTGCAGCGGAGCCGCGTTGACCAATCGGGGCCACGCATTTTCCCTCCCATCTTTTTCACTCCGCGTCCAGAACCACCTTCACCTTTCGACGTCTCGCGATTCGAGCAGCCCTGTCGATTCGCCCGTTCGGTCTACGCTTGTTTATTCAATCGACCACTCTATCGACCATCTTCCATCTAGGGCCACCACATCGGCCCTTCTCCCAACCCCCCCCTTCTCCCCCGCCGCCATGGGCAAAATCAACCTCACAGCCCTCCGGGTGCGACAGACCGCGCTCAACCAATTCGCTGCCGGAAAGATCAAGAAGTTGCCCCAATGGGTTGAGGTTGTTGGTGATATCCCCCCAGCTGAGGCTTTGATCCGAAACCGCACTCCCCAGCACCAGCTGGTCCGCCAACGCCTGCAGACCAGCCCCGACTCCTCCAAGCCGCAGGTCGTCTTCGAGGTTCAAGAAAAGCGCCGCAAGTCGAAGAAGCCCAGTCGTCTATTCAAGCCTGTCGAACTTCGATACGAGGAAGATCAATTGCGAACGGATTTCTTCCGTGATCATCCTTGGGAGCTTGCCCGGCCTCGTGTGGTTTTGGAAAGCTCCGGCAAAGACTTTGAGTTTCATGATTGGAGCCGGATCCAGCAACCTGGAAGGAAACTAGATGGAGAAAGGTGTGTTTACTTTGTGGTTTACTCCGTGCTAAGTTGTCCCCTTGTGGTCGAGCTCATTATTAACGCAACATTTCTTTTTTCTTATTAGTGTTGTCCAACGGCAGCTTTGGCTTTTGAACAATGTTCCCGATATGACTAAGAGTAACGCATACGATATCGCTCGCCGCGAGTTCTACAAACTTCGACTGAAGGAGGACATTCAACGGCGGGTGGCGGCCGAGGAGGCCCAGGCAACCGGTGCCACGTTTGGCCCATCCTATCTGGAAATCGGTATGGAGTTGGAGAGCGAGCAGCATGAAAAGTGGAAGACGTGGGCTCGCCTTGAGGCCCAAGTGCTGGACCAGCGTGTCGTCGCGATGTCTGGTGCTCCTGAAATCGCCATGGAGAGCGAAGCGGAACGCCCGGCAGACATTGCACAGGAGACCGAGGAGTCGGCTTAGAGAATGGAGTTCTCGTTTCCTCGCTTCTGTTCTAGGCGCATTTATTGATGGTCATCATGTATATTATTTCATTATTCTGTTGGATGTATTCCCATAGCCATATTTTCGTGATAGCAAAATGCATCATTGATCTAGACTCAGCGCAAGAGTAGTCAGTAAAGCCTTGGTTCCTACTAATAATATTTAGGCTACTATGACTATGTGAATATGGTGATTCAACTACAGGTAATTCCTAGTAAAACCTAGAATATTCTCCCCCCTTGATGTGAAACACAAAACACGCGGAGAAGCCGTTGCTGGAGCTCGGTCCAATCACAGTCCTTCCAGCCTCTCCAACTCCAATCCAACGTCGCTTTCACCTTGGATTCCTCCCAGGCGACACTTTCCACAACCTCGAGACTAGGGGGGCACATACACGCGCGTTGTATTATCCGATCATCCATCTCCCATCGGTCGCATTTCTTGGCTTGGTCTCGTGAATCATCGCCACCGGCGCAATCTGACGAGTCCGAACTTTTGCTGCGCCGTTCCACACGTCCCAGTTTCACCTAAACGATTTCGCCCTAACTCGAACTCCTCCGCTAATTTCGACGAACTCCGCTAGCTCGAAGCTCCGTACCTTTGGCTGCCTCTTCGACCGCACCTACACCGTGGAATACCGACCCGACAGTTGAGGGTTAGAGCCGGCCAAGGATGTTCGACTTGGCTGTGTTTGCTGTCTGTACTTGATCGACACCGATAGTCAGTCAACTGGACATTTCTTTGGGCCCTTTAAATACCCATAAACACCTGGAGTCGGCATTCACTTTCATCTCCGTTAGCATAACCGGATGCTGGTCATGGTTTCGACAATGACTCGACCGGAAGACACAGTTCGAGGGCTGCGCCCTTATCGAGGAGATGTCGATGATGAAGAAGGAGGAAGAAAATCTATCGACTCCCTTGTACCCCCGCCTTTATCGTACAATGATGGCGCCCAGCGCTCCGAAGGCGAAGAATCCCGGCCAGGCACAGCGATGGGCGACAACTCGAGTGGCAGTGGCAGGCAAGGCTCCGGGCCCAAGATGCTCTCCCACGAGGAGACAATTGAGCTGGCTCGATGTGCAGTGGAAAGCGGGATCCAAGATACTAAACGCTCTTTGGCGGGAAGTGAAGCCGTCACAGATGTTGTCAAGCCGAAGTTGACCATAGACCTGGGACACTCGCACATCGTCCGAATACCTGAACCAGTTGTCGATATTGTCAAAGAAGAGGTAGAGCGGTATGTGATCACTACTCTCGCTGGCTAGGCACTAGTCCCATATCCGAAGTGGAAACTAATCAACCAATTTACCAAAAGGCTTTCGCTTTCCAACAACCATCTCTTCCATATACCCTACCGATTCGCCGAGTGCTCCCACCTTCGCTACCTCAATATTCGAGCCAATAACTTTCGCGAGTTTCCCAAAGGCGTATGTCTGGTGAACCACCCTGGGATGTCAGTGCTATGCTAATTTATTATAGGTTTACAAATTGCCTTTATTGGAAATTCTCGATTTAAGCAGGAACAAAATTAACTCTCTACCAGATGAAATCAGCAAGTTGAAGTCGCTCCGAGTGCTATCTATCATGCAAAATCGACTCGATGATCTCCCCGTCGGTTTGTCTGATATGAATAAGCTACAAATTCTTAAAATAGCTGGGAATCCTCTGCGCTATCCACTGCGACGGGTGCTTGAAGGAGCAGAGACAGACATAGCTTCCTCCGGGATGACGGACAACGAAAAAGAGGTTGCTGTTACATCGGACCTAAAACTATTCCTCAAGAGCCGCCAGGCAGCGACAACCCCGGAGCCTGACTTCGGTGCTGATTCAAGGTACGTTACCCTCTTTCGGGTGAACGAACGGTACTAAATTCCGTCCTCGCAGTGAGGGGTCTTTCGAAACCCCTAAACCTATTCCCCTTCCCCCCAAACGCAAATTGAGTAGTCGATTTCCTGTCATTCCCAGTACTGGCGATGGATCATCAGCACCCTCTTCTCGATCTCCGTCAATATCCCGACCTCCGCCCATTCCTATCAAGTCTCATTACCGGATGGCGTCTGGTCAGCCCTACATTGACCAAGCCGGCAATTATCACATGGCTGGTCTTTCCCGCCCCGGCGTCAATCCCCACACAGCGGCCGAACGAAATCGCAGCAACAGCGAGGGAATAATTCAGGCATCTTTTGCGGCTCGCAACAAACGTATGGGAGTCATCACCCGCAAAAACACTGATCTCGGTACATTAGACGAAACACAACCTTACCGAAATAGCCATTTGCGGGGTCTCAGTCATGGTTCCGTACTCCGAGCACGGCCTACAGCACAAGCCCCAGCCAGCGGTAGTAGTTCATCAAGCCCAAGCAGCCCTAAAGAGCGCCGCCGTGTGCGAGACGGTTGGGTTAATCGCATGTCAAGCCTGCCGGAGCATAAAGGTGAAAAGGGGCCAGCTGAACCGATTGTTGAGGGTGCCAAGGGCATACTCTTCGCATTTGTTCAGATTCACTCTCATGTTTCCACCCTTATTAATGTCATCCGGCAAGATGACACACGGCGTCACAGCCTGGAGCTTGTATTTTACAATGCTTCGACGCACGTTGATCGTCTCAACGAGGCTCTCGAACGTGCAGAAGCCACCCTACGCGATGACCCTGATTCTAGTCGACTTGCGACTGAAGCTGTCAGGCGGGAATGCTACACATGTATTATGGCTTATACACATGTTGGCACACAGCTGCGCAATAGTTCCGCGAAGATTGTCTCGAATGGCGACTCACGTTATGTCCGATCGTTGATGCTGATGATATACGGCAGCTTAGTGGAGCTGCGAAATGCGTGTGCAAGTCTGAGTGTTCCACTTCGTCCAAGCCAGAAGCACCTCCCGGCACCTAAGCCAGTTGTCTTTGAACCGACAAAGGGACCAGCACCTGCCGAGCGATTCCCCCGGGCGATGGTTACTCCCACCAGAGACTCGTCTGCGCCAATTCGCCGGCTGCGAAGTGACACAACGATCCGCCATCCCCAACTTCCTCTGGGACCCCCTCTTCCCTTGAATGCATCAGGCCATCCAGGAATCGGCTCTCCCGGCTTTGCAACTCCACCCTTCGCTACAGCCTACTCGCGAAGTCGATCCAGTAGTCGGTCAAACATGATCAACACATCTGTACCGACCTCTTTGGCAACACCTCGCTCCGGCGAAGCGTTCCCGCCCATTCCCACATCAGGCGCACTGAAGATCAACCCCCTGACTGGATTGGACGAGTTTGAGGAGGAACGGATTTTCGAAAAGATCTTCCACCAGCTCACTTCGGCTTATTCAAATGCCCTCCAAGCGCTACCATTGGCAAGTCGTCAATTCTCTCGCTGTCTCGAAGTGGCGAGGCAGTCGCGCGAGTCAGAAGGTATTCAAATACTCTGGAACAATCTTATTCGCCGCTGTAGGTTCTGTCTTGATGTCTCCGAAGCATTGGGGACACGTATCTCCAGTATGAAAGTCAAGGAGCCAGGCGGTGGACTACGAAACCAACGAGAATTCTGGCAATTGTGCAAGACCTTTATGCAATCATTTGTCGACCTGGTTACGGACTTGCGGGAGGTACGCAGTATGCAATTACTCCCTGGAGACATTATCATCATCCTACGACCAGTCCAGAAAGCTAGTCGTGAAGCCGGCCGCCTCATCGAGGCATCACCCTGGTCCTATCTCGCTGACATGGCCCCAACAAACGGCCCAGGCAACCTGTACGGCCCCCCACTGCAAGTCATTCAGTCGCAACATCAAACTTCCGTCTCGACTTCTGCCCTTGCCCCACACCCTAACATCTACCAAATTAACGCCGGAATGTCTCCTCAATCAATCACTGTCCCCGCTACACCACTCAGCGCAGCGCTAGGCCCAGCGGCTCAGGCAACCGTACCGTCGACACCTGCGAGTGCGTACAGTGACAAGTTCTTCGAGGGCGACGTCTTCCAGCGTGCCGACTCTCTTCTCTCGATGCCCACCCAGACGCCATTCTTCACGCGTCGTTGAATAGAACTACACACGAACCCTCTCAATCGCCCATTTTTGTTTAGCGTGCTTGACCATACTGCCTATTTTCTGTCTCCGCCATATGACATATTTTCATGATCATGAATCGAAATATTGACCCCTATGATACCATAGACTAGCTTATGTACCTCCTTTTTTGGACCTCAAACTAGCAGAAATTATGTATTACTTTCCAAAGGAGTAGACATTTAGCCTTTTCCAGATTGTATACCTCGTTGTAGTCTTTACGGCCCCGCTACTAGTACTAAGCCCATTACGTTAAGATCTTATCCGGATGAGTTGGTACCGGTTTCTCTCGACTATCGAGTTCTCGAATTTACAGTAAAGGGGATGTTAGATTTGAGACATGCTTTTCCTATTGAAAAGGGGGAGACAGCTTGTGAGCTCCTCCTGGGGGAAATCATCGATGTGCTTGGAGGGAAAACTCACTTACTAGTAGTGACTTTGCTACTACTGATACTGCCAGTGAGCATGAACGGAGTACATACGGAGTACGTAGCCCATACTCTGTGTGTACAAATTCCCCAAAACTATACCTACTAGTAGCCCATGCCCAAGTGAAGCCTTCCGTACTCCGTACAACTCAAACGGACCACAGACAACACTGTAAAGATTAACTTCCCGAATCAGCTCGCAGGATAGAAATGAAGACCCTTCAGCTGGCACAGAGCGAGTCCTCAATCGGATAAACTTATCTCATCCAACCTTTGCCCGGAGATTTCACCCTTTTCCATCACCATAACGACCATAAAGTTCTCTTGCGCCGCACTACCCAACGAAGCCACGAGTCGATCTACTAGTTATAATGCAACGACAGAATCTAGAGCACATCAACCTTGGCAAATTAGACCAATGACTAAATTTTGAAACGGCGCCAAGTTTTTACTAGTGTTTTCTATCATGGATGACTCACAATGAGTAGTTATGAATTGGAGATGATAAATTCTTACAACCTAATGGTAATAATGAACATGAATGAATCTAGATAGATACAAAGATTATAGCATCTCACTCACAGTCGGTCATAGCACAGCCCTCGTACAATGTCGTGATGGCCGGGGCTAGTTAGTGCTCTTGTACTTTTGTACCAGCCAAGAAAAGCAACGTCTCCCGTATTCTAGTCATCTCGCTTTCGAGTATAGTATAAGGATAAAAGCATAAAATTGCTACAAGTATGGCCCAGAAACCGTATATCATGAAATTTTAGAATTTACGAGAACCCCAAAGGCATGAAGAATATGGATATCGGTGACTGGAGAGTAAGTCAACCTATTGAGATGTTTGTAATTTCCATTCCAACATCACAGCACATGACGAAAGCACATTTCTGAGCTTGGGGAAACTCATTCTGCTTTTCCTACTTCGATTAGCTTGATGTATCGTTTCAGCCGACATCGTCTGATGCCTAATCCCGTCTCCCATGGATGCAAGATTACGTGAAATATCTAGTCAGCTAATGGTATCCACTGCCCAGGTGGTCTCGATTCGATCAGAAGTAGATAATTCTCGATGAAGATAAATTCCTACTGTACAACAAGTACATCGCATGCTCAAACTCGGAAGAACAACTTGAACTCCATGCGCCCTACGCCCCACGACGCCTACCTATCCCCCATTCGGCACTTAACTACGCCCGCCGTCCAACAACCACATCTCTCACGAAAGAAAACATTTCCCTCGGCTTACTCGCAAAGACACTATGACCTGCCCCATCAAAAAGATGATACGAGACCCCACGCTCAGCAGCCCAAACCCCAGCACCCGCCCTACAAGAGCTACCATCAGCAGGGGCCGCATTATCTGCAAAGAAGAGGCGATGAGGTCGCTCCGTGAACCCCTGTCCACCCCTCCAGGTCATATTCTGAATCGAAAGTTCCGTCCCGATATGATTGAGCAGCATATCCCACTTCCCATTGTAGATGTGTAGCGAGAGGTTATGCTTCGTCACGAGGGTTGGGAGGAGATTGTACGCGGGTGGAACGGGCGAAGTTGCGCCGAGGAGCGTTCCTAGAATTGTCGAGTTGCACGCGCTATAGGGCCCGCTTTCCTCGACGTGTAGGGCTTTCTGGACGTCTTTTTGACTGAAATATTCTCCCAGTAGTGGGAGTGAGTCGATTGTACTGCAGTTGTGAAAAATGTCGTAGACATCGTAGCAGGGTGGTCCGGTGCCGAGGGCAGAGGTCGTTGTGAGATAGTCCATTGCGGTGGAAAAGGTTGCACAGGGGCCGTAGCAGGTGGAGTTGAGAACCGAGTCGAGGATTCCTGAAGCGTTGATTGGGTTGATGTTGCATGAGCCGTCTCCGGCGGTGGTCAGGTCGCGCCGGGGGTGGCGGCGGAGGTCACGGCGGTAGTTCATGTTTTCTGGGTTTCCGGGGATACGGAACTTGGAGCCTGGTGGGTATTCTTGGGCCTTTTTGAGCGTTTCTGTGAAACCGCAGAAATTGTCTGCTGTGATGAAGGCTGAGAGGATGGATTTTGGGATCCTCAGGTGGTGGGCTTGGATGTGTAGATATGTGCCCATTGCGACGTCGGCCATTGCTGCTGCGTTTCCCCAGGATCCATCACCGAGGGAAATTGATTTGATGTTCAATGAGAGGGGATTGGTGTTCTCTAGCAGAGCGGATGCAATGTACGGAATGTAAATCCCAGCATAAGACTCGCCCATGAGGTGGATATTCTTAGACTTGAGGTACGGGAACAGGTCTAGAAAGGATTGAAGCCATTGGGTGAAATGAGTTGTCACATCGGCGTTGTTTTCCGCTGGATATGGGGTGCTGGCGGTCGAAAACCCAGTGCCGACAGGTTGATCCACGTACAAAACATGGCCCAACTTTGTCCATGAATATGGGTTGAGAGCGAGATCAGTTGAATTACCGACGAAAGAGAGTGGACCATTCCCTGTAGTCATTCCGATCAATGATGAGCAACCTGGGCCGCCATTGAACCAAACTGTATACTCGTTAGTACGAAGCGGCGTGCATTTTGTAGTATAGACAAGACCGAAACTAACTGATCAGATCATCATCGTAAGCCACATCCTCGGTCTTGAATAACCAGAAGAAAAGATTATTTCCTTTCTGTGTGCCCGGCACTGGCAATCTCCCAGCCCAGCTGGTTGGCAACGAAGGACTCCCCGGCAGCGAGTTAACTTCGAACCGCGAGATATCGGAGCCACGAGTAGCCTTTGAAAAGAAAAGAACGGGCACAGCCCAGAGGAAGTGAAAGAAGTAGACCATTCCTAGCAAGTTCATAGCGAGCGTGGGTGTTGTATCAGAATGTAGACAAAGTCGGTATGATATGTATGGTATGGCGATACTTGTCTCCCGGTCAAATTTTGAGTTGAAGATGAAGATGAAAAGAGTGAAAAGAATGAATAGAAGAAAAAGAAAGCATGATCCCTCCAACCGTAAGATTCCATCTTGAGCCTTTTGTATCTTTGTTATAATTGAGGATCGCAAGACAGTGGCGGGTGAAGATGGTTATTGAGGGCCTATTTGGGCCAACATCCGATGGCCGCATTTGGGGTTCAATAGAGAGTTAGTAGACCAGTGGTAAACTAGTGGTAAATCAGTGGTGAGCCAACGGGAAGCAGGTTTCGGAGAAGTACTCCGTTAGTGGAGGTGTCTCTACTTATATACTCTGTTTTACCTGATCTAGTTAGTACTCGTAGGGTGCAAGTTGATAGTTGAGTGCCTGAATGCCTTAATTCTCAGGCTAGCAATAACTCCTCTTCCTTAAGGTACCTTAGGGTCTCCACTTCTTGGCTCCACTTGTACCTTTCCCTCTACTACTCTCAGACTAAACTACAAACCCAAACATCATGCATCTTCACGCATTTGACCTGTCCAACCCACACAACGGGACCACATCGTCAATTCGACTGCAGTCGTCACCGCTGAACCAGTGGTTCCCCGATAAATTCGGGGCGAATCCTCACGTGGTGGCCAGTGCGTTGACAAAGCCCCCCCCCCCCCAACCAAGGAAGCAAAAAAAATGAAATAAATAAAATAAAAGTGAGGCGGTCGATGGATCAATACACTTTCCAGTTCCCCTTTCAACCCTGTTCTCAATACCGTCCACCGCTTAGGGGTATCAGGGGTCGATCTCCGAGTCTTCTTCCTGAACAGTCGAGGGGTCCTGGAAGCGGGTAGCAGCATTGGAATGTGAGGTCGATCCCCTCTGCTTGCGTCCTCCCGAATCCGTCAGTCCTGAAAACGTTGCAGACCTATATCAGGTCAACCCGGTCGCTTTCCCAATCGCTCGTTTTTTTGGCTTTCTTGTGTCTTGTCCTGTGTCTGTGATTTGTTCTGCCGCAACAAAAACCCTCTTCTCTTTGAGGTGCTATCCCCTGGATTATTACAAACCTTCAGCCGATCTGTCTCTGGGGGCATATTTCTATACGGGCGACCTGAGCCTGCGACCTGCGACCTGCGCTCCATGTGGATCTCCCGATCTTTATGGCTGAGATCTGATACTCGCAATACGTCAAGTTTGACTCGATTGTATCGAACTCCTTCCCGTCCCGACGCAACAAACACAAATCATCCCAGCATTTGCCTCCTGATCGCACCACGAGGCCGATCGCCTGCAGATCCCAGCATCGTCGGTGTGGCTCCACAACAATTGACAGCTCACTTGCATCACTTTGTCGCAGACGCGGATTGGCCGCCTGCCTGAGGCAAACAGGGGGGCGAATTCGAAATCAGATTGTAAGTCAACGGTCTCCTATGTGCAGCTTTCCTTTCTTTCTCCTCCCTAGCCCTTGCGATTGCTGCGGGTAGGGGGTCAGAAATGGTGTAGGGTTGTCTAACCCGTCATACCTTAACACCCACCATCCCCTCCCCCCTTTCGCGTGGTCAAAAGAGTTCTTATCTAACGCGGGTTGGCAGAAATAATTAAAAAAAAGGAAAAAAAAAAGACTTGATTAAGTTAGATCTCGGGGAATTACCTTCGCGATGGATCTTCAAGGAACGAAAGAGGCACGGACGCAGGAGGAGGGTGCGGACGGTCCTTTGGATGCCTACGGGGCTGGAAGTGGACGTTCGAAAGAGTATCACAAGAACGAGGGGCGCGATTCTCACCACGAAAGTCCCGCTAATGTCCACCCACTTCGTCGTCGCCAGCCTCCGTTTGCTTATCCGCCTGGCGCTCGTTCATCTGCACCCGCTGTCAACTCATCGAGACCTCGTGACCCTTCGCCTTCTCCCGAGGCCATCAACATTCCACAGACCCTGGGACTCAGCTCTCGTGATCAACGCCTACTAAGTAGAGCCCGCCGACATCCGCCCGTTACGAAGAAGACGCTCAGTGAGCTTGACCTACCATGTATAATGAGCAACATCAACCTCCGTATGGACGCCAACTTCGACCGCGATTTGCATTTCAAGCCCGACCTCGACGGTGAGAAGGGAAGACGCAAGCGGAAGGATTCCGCCGACTACTGGGATTCGATGACATCGGAGATCACGATCTATAACTTTCAGGCTGCGCAGCCCGAATCGACTGAGGCTGGGGACTCGTCCAGTAGCCCTAGGGGAAGTGGGAAGCGCACGTTCGAGCCTCGCCTACCCGGCATGTTCGAGACCTTGCAGGAAGTCATCAAGACCCTTGTCCCAGAGCGAGATCACCCAAGTGTCATGCAAAATCTGGAGGTATCCCTACTTATGCAGCAGGTGCGCAAAGGCGTTCTGGATATGGTTGCGCTAGCCGGGTGGCTGGCGGCTCTTTTGAAAACACACTGCGCTCCGATGCGAGATGAGTGGGCGGATCGAATGGTTGAACAAATCACCGATGGCTCACAGTCACAAGATCCGAAAGAAATCGTCAATGGCCTACAAACACTGTTCGCCATTCTGGAGGCAATGAAGCTGGTAAGTTGATAACAATGTGGATATATTTGGATTCCTATTGACATGGACCAGGATGTGGCCAACCACCAAATACGAACTTTCCGAGTCTTGTTGATCGAAGATACTGTACCATTCTTGACCGAATATTTTGAAGGAAAGATCAATCAGGGAGGCATTCGGATCGAATCAGCCCGGCAATGGTACCTCTCAGCTCGGGATCGCGCGCTACAAGAAGACGAGCAGAAAAGCCCGACGTCCTCGCAGCCCGACGACATGAAGCCACTCAACGCCCTCTTCCGTGGAATATCCGACCAACTCCTCCAGTTCACTCCTCCAACTGAATTCCCTGAAACATTCCTCTTCGACTCAGACCGCCTCTGGCAGCTACGCAGTACTATCCAAAACCTGATAAACCTTGAGATCGCCTGGTATATTTTTGAGTCTTATGTGCACACCCAAAAGCGCTACCTCTCCGCTCGTGATGAAACATATACAACCTTCCGCACTCGCATTTGGTCCCTAATGGAAGATGGTATTGATCTAAGCAGCCGCGCCGGCAGTAGCACCGCGGCAGACGACGACGACCCAGACCTCCGGGGCGGCGCCCGCTGGCTCCAGAACATGCGCAGCATCGCGCTGGAGATCGCCCGCTTTGCTTGTGCCGCTTGCTGCCTGGATAATGTTGTCGCCGACGAAGTCATCACACCCATCGAGTCCGCCCTTGAATGGCACTTATCCAACGAGTCCGACCTCTTCCGCTATTTCCAAAATACCATGCGCGAGAAAATCTTGACTGCGACCATTACTTCGGCACGCAAATATCTCCCTCTTTCCCCGCTGGCTATATGCGAATCTCAACGCACAGGGCCACAGCCTCCCTCGACAGGTCCAGCGGCGCCTGCGCCTACTGCCTCGTCCTCTACGACTACCACCCCGGCCTCCTCGACCCAGTCTCTCTCACCACAGCAATATGATATTGATCGTATTGGTATGCGCCTTGCTCATATGGGAGTCCTGCATTGGCGCGTGTGGGCTCCTATTCTCTACCTTAAGGATGAGATTGCGGAGCTCGACCCCCCGGCTTTTATCTAAGCCTTGCATTTGTTTTATCTTGTTTGTTTTGCTTCTTTGCATGTGGGCATGGCATCTCTAGCTTGCATTGTCCTTTTGTTTTCTTTTGTCTTCAGCGTCCTCTGCATTTAAATTTGGTTCTACTGGCGTTTCTTCGGGCACTACACGGCGTTTCGGGTGTAGGATCTACTCAGGCCCATATACTGCTTTATTATTTGGAGGATTTACTTGTTCAAGTCAGTTATAGACCAGCGTTGCTTTGTGGAGATGGATCCCGGAAAAATGTATACATATTCGGCTCTCTCAATGTGGAACAACCATTTTTCGAACTTGACAATCTTCAGAACCATCAAGTTGAAGATTTTCAACTTGAAGAAGGTATCAAAATACGAAATACCCTAGATACTACGTGTCAATAGTACTTCCTTTGTCACTAGTCAACACTAGACCCGCCGCAAGCAGTCCGGGCCGAGCGCCGATCCGCGCGATCGGCATCGACCGCCTCACATTCGGCCTCACCTGCGAACTTCATTTCATCCCTTCCAACCAGCCCCCCTCGGGCATTCGCATTCGCATTCGCAATCACCCTCACACCTGAACCACGATTCCAAGAATACACACCATGCTCCGATCGGACCGATCGGAATTCCCCAAACCCCCACACCAATAACCCTCTCCGAGCTCTTCCCCGCAAATCACAACTCAAGAATCTCAATCGCCGGACCAGGCAAAACAAAAACACGCTCCACAGCCACCGCAACCATGCGCCCCTCCCTCACCCTCCTCCAAGTCGCTAGTACCGTCACCTCTGCCCCAAGCCCATGGCAAGCAAGCTGGCTCCTAGGCCAGCGTCTAGCAACATTACAAAAACTCGCCCGCGCAACGGGAATACCAAGCACCGGGACGCGAAAGGTACTAGCAGAGCGCATCGGAGAGGCCCTCGATCTACAAAGCGCTGGTCGCACGACGAATGTCGAGTTCGAGAAGAAGACTGGTGCATTGAGTGTGTTGAGCATTGATATGGGGATTCAGAATCTGGCGTTTGCACACCTTAGGGTTGAGAGGCCTTTTCATGGCATTGAGAAGGGTGCTAATGGCGGCGGTATGTCGAGGCCGGAACTTACGGCTTGGAGACGGTTGCCTTTGTCGGATATTGCTACGTTGGGGGAGAACCGTGCTGGTACGTCGCCAACGTCTAAGGATGGGTCTGCGGGTGAATTGGCTTTGAAACAGTCATCTGTGGCGATATCAGAGTCTGGGCTAGCAACCGAGTCCGGTTCCAAGTCTGAAGACTCGAATTTGGATTTAGATGCCGACGACGAAACTGCTAAAAAGAAAACACCCTCCTTCGATCTGCCACACTACGCCGAAACAGCACACACCCTCCTCCACACCCTCGTCGCCATGTACAAACCAACGCACATCCTCATCGAGCGCCAGCGTTTCCGCTCCGGAAGCTCTAGCCACGTACAAGAGTGGACGTTACGGGTCGGACTCTTCGAAGCAATGCTCTACGCTGCGCTAGAAGCCATGAAGAAAGAGCGCGGTGGGAATCTGGCCGGCGTCGGCGTTTACGGAATTGAACCGAAGCGCGTGGTGCAGTACTGGGGCGAGAAAGAGCCTGGCTTCACTAATGTTGAAGAAGGCGATGATAAGAAGCGGAAGCCGACGAGTCGGGAAGTTAAGAAGACTAAGATCGATACTGTGGCGAGGTGGTTGGAGGCGGCGCTTTCTGAGTCCGAGACTGCGCTGGCGGCTAGTTCGAATCGAAAAATTGAGCTGCTGGGTGAACCTTCGCCTCCTAGGACTCTGGCTGAGGCGTATCTGGCGCGACTTCGGACTGGTGTGAAGCGTGGACCGAAGGTCGTGCCGGTGCTGAAGGACTTGACTAAGCTGGACGATCTGGCGGATTGTTTGCTGCAGGGCGTTACTTGGGTTGAATGGATGCGCATGCGCGAGTTGGTGCTTCGGAAAGGGGTGGTCGCTATAGAAGAGAATTGAGGTGGTGAGGCCTTGGTACATATCTTGCAAGGTGGTCGTGTATGATAATGGATATTTTGTATAAAATATAGAGTTAGTTCAGATAGATGAGTGGTAATATTGACCATCGAAGGATAGGGCTGAGCCCGTGTGGTCCATTGGCATTGGTAGTGTTATACTAATGTACGAGGTTTTATCTCGGTCCGGAGGATCGGCGATGATCGACAGGTCCGTGGATCAACCGAGACTTAAACTCCACCATGTCTACGGAGTATATCTGAGGTAGAAACACAATGTTACATGCTTCATGGTGGGCAGCTTGGAGGTCAATGGCTACTCCGGGTCTCTTTCTACCATTGGGTGTTGGATGGTCCCACAACTTGAACGATCTTATCAAGGCGCAGCAGTACCACGGTACCCCATCATGCATATATTGTACTACAGAAGCTTATTTTCTACACAGGTCATAGAACAGAGAGTGATGCGAAATACGAAAGGCGTACATGAGCAAAGTAAACTAAATCATTTTGTACAAGAAGTTGGATGTGCAGCAACATTGATTCCTTTGCAGCTCAACGCAACCGAAGAAAAGAAAATAACACCGAAAAACAAAAATGTCCTCACCCATTCACCTGTCAAGATACGAGAAAGTCCTTTCCGAGTCCCTATTGGGGAATGACAAAAAAAACATAAGTGGGATGAAAAAAAAAAGGTCATTCTCATTGGGAGAAATGAAAAGAAGGGTAAAAGAGACGCATAGATCTCAACGATATCATCGAGGAGAACCAAGCAAAAGAAGAATCAAGTTAAAAAGCCTCTTTTCAATAGAAAAAGGAAGGCTCGGTGTAGATCAGAAGTAAAATGACCAGAAATGTGAAAAAAAAAGAAGTATACCGGGCTAGGCTAGTCCGCTTTTACCACAAAGACCCAAGTGTCGTGTCTTGTAGCAGAGATAGGTACAACACCAGCACGCAGCTGTACTTGAAGAAAATACTTGAAAAAGAAACGCTCTCATATCATTGGCCGGTGTTCGTGTCAGGCTATTGCTGAATGAGGGACTCTATCAGACATCCGCAAGTCTATGGCTTAGAAGAGGCGGGCGAGACGGGCGAAGAAGCCGGTGGCCTCGGGCTTCTGGGGCTGAGCGGGGCTGGAGGAAGGCGAGCCGCTGGGGATTGGCAGGATGGTGGCAGCTCCAGGGACGTAGGGAACGGAGGTAGTTGCGTGGCCAGGGGCCGCGGAGATGGGACGGCGAGTGAAAGAGGGCGTGGGGCGGCCGCTGCTGCTGGGGATAGCAGAGCTGGAGGGAGTGAAGGTCGCGCTGGTGGTCTCAGTTGCAGGGACAGTGGTAGTCTCATCACCCGAGTCGCCGTTGCCGTTGCCATTGCCGTTGCCATGGCCGTGGTGGCCGTTGCCGTTGCCGCTGCCTTGCTGGTGGTTGTTGGCGTCAGGAGCAGTGGTGGCGGTAGTACCGTCCTGTGAAGTAATGTTAGTTTATAGATGATCAATTGTGGGGTTTCGTTAGTACATACAGCAGTAACGGTCTCGGTAGCAGTCACAGTGACGGTGACAGCACCACACTCGCCAGAGCCAGAGCCATTGCCGGCGGCAGCAGAGCTGGTGGGGACCTCGACAACAGTGAGGGTCTTGGTGGTGGTGGAGTGCAGGGTGGAGGTGACGGTTGAGGTTCCCTCAGCCTCATCAGATCCAGTGGCCTGATTGTGGTTCTGGCCACCGGGGGTCTCCAGGGCATCGCCGCTCTCGGTCTTTCTCAATGTTAGCAAATTGATCTTGGAAATCAGGTCTGTATATCAAGAGATACTCACGGCAGTGACGGTGTGGTGGTTGGTAGCAGTGCGCCAGATGGTGGTGGTCACAACGCTGGCGGTCGAACCGGTGCCAGTTGTGTAGGTCACAACAACAGGAGTCGAGATAGGTGCGGAAGTGGGCGAGACAACAGGGCTCGAGCTGGGACGTCCAGTGACGTTGGGACGGGAGGTGTGGATGGTCCAGGGAGCAGACGAGCTAGGCTTTCCAGAGGGAGAACCGGAGGGAATACCAGAGGGAGCAGCACCGGAGGGAGCAGCACCAGAAGGAGCACCAGAAGGAGCACCAGAGGGAACACCAGATGGGATTCCAGAGGGAATACCGGAGGGGATTCCAGATGGGGCAGCACCGGAGGGAGCAGCGCCAGAGGGAGCAGCACCAGAGGGAGCACCAGAGGGAGCACCGGGGACAGACTCAGAAGGAGCAGGAACAGCAGGCTCTGAGGGTGACTGAGTCTGGACGGGCTCGGGGACGGGTGTCACGTATTGAGTCAGGGTTTGAGGCAGACCGGAGCCGCGAGCACGCAAGTGACGAGCGTGCATATCGTGAAGATCGGCTTCACCAACAGCAGCCATCGCGGCAACCAGTGCCAGGGCGAGCTTGTTCATTCCGTGCATTTTGAAATGGGTGCAAAAATCTCAAGGACAGTCAATGTCGGGAGAATGAGTGTAGATGGTTCAAGGATTGAACTTGGAAACTGTGAATTCAGCGAGAGAAAGTGAATGAATGTGGGCGAAGTCGATTCGCGTTGAAAAGAGTGAATATTCTCTAAAGGAAGAGAAAAGAAGAAACGAAGAGATGGAAAGCACAGCTTGATGAAGAAAAGAAAAGAAGAGAGAAGGGAAAAAGAGATGAGATGAAGCAGGCAGAGAGTTAATTAATCAGGCCCACTTCATTCTACTCTATCAGGTGTAAACTATAGTGTAAAGTATACGGATTATAGTACCGAGTATAGTACTCTGTATAGTGCTCTGTATAGAGGTAGAGTGTAAAGTATACGGTAATTATCAAAGGAACTTCCCATCTCCACCACCTCCTCCTCCACCTCCACTCACTACACCCCTTCATCACCCAGCACTAGCTTCACCCCAGCACCGCAACTACAACACTCTCTGTATGGAAGATACGAAGAATACTTCCGAGTGGATCGCCCCACTGCCAGGCACAGAAACACGGACCCAGCCCAATCAGCCCCCCCCAGCCGCCATCTCAACTGGACCTTTAATCTCACCTCGCCAGCCTTGGAATTCCTCCTAGCGAATAGGCGAGGTCGGTGTCGTCCATGACAGCCAGAGTGGCGCAATGTCGTCCAATTTTTCCGGTTTGTACTTTTCGGTCGGACAACATCGTGTTGGGTGACACCATTGTCAAACGGCGTACGGAACACAGCAGCATGGAACACGGAGTAAACCATCCTCCCCCACCTGCAATTCCTCCCCCCCTCAAGAACTATTTCTACAATTCCCGAGGAACCATCATCGCCCGGTTGCTTCAGGTTGAGTCGCTTTAGTACACTGTTACGATCAGTTTGACTCCTGACACTCACCTCCTACCCTCATTTCGCCCGTCCAGTTCATCCACATCCAAGGGCCCGGTTGTTGCAGCCACCGTTTCAGTGTTTCACCAGAGGGTAATCGGTGTGTCCGCCCGAGCGACCGTTTCACATTGAATATGAGACCCCGCCACCCATCTCGGCCCAGGGTCCGCTTTGTACTTCCCCCCCTGGAGATGATGATAGACACAGCGGCTCAGCATCGGGCACGTTCTGGACTCATCTCATCCTCCATCTCTTGCCCTGGATCCCACTGGATCCCACTGCGGGAGCCTGGGGTAGATGAAGTTCCAAAGATTCTACAAATGCCGCGCCCGTCTCGCCCGTGCGGCCCGGTGGGGACCACCTGGGATGCCGGGACTTTGGACGCATCCCTGGACTGGCCATTTGATCTGGACTCTTCTACTCCGTAGCAATCTGAATGATAGATTGAACACGGCTCATAAAAGGCAGGACAGGGCTGATCCGCGGCTGATATGAGATGAGATGAGAGATCCTTCGTTTACCACAATCTGCCTCCTTCCCGGGCGCCAACGCCCAGGCCAGACATGCTCCACTCGGACCCTGCTCTGTGTAGTTATCTTAGCACTGTCACTGGCAAAGCTCTACAAATTGGCGTGAGGCTATCACGTCACAATCTCAAATCCTCAATTTATTCGATGAGCAAAACGACGGCCTAATTCACGCAACTCAATTTTCATTTCGTCATTGGCTGGGAAATGATGACTGGTCTACATTTCCTGCTCGCCCCCAACCCCCCCTTTTAGAAATGTTTTATTGTTCTTTTTCGCAGGGTCCAGCCGAACATACGGAGAAGCTTTGCAAGGTGAAACACCAGCACCCACGTTTTTTTTCAATCCGGCCTTTCGCAATACCAGGGGCAAAAACAAAATATCCAGCACCCCCTCCTCCGGTTTGAAGTGTCTTGTTCATCGAAATGTCTTGAATTCGAACATCGATCTAAAACCGTTCCAGCAACTTTTGTGCCTATCGTGACAGGGGTTCTTTGAAGTTCCTTGCGGGGTTGGGTCGAGTCGGGCGCTCGCGGCCGCGATCACAGTCTTTTCGCTATTGTTTCGCCAGCGCATCGTCGAGAAGTATCGTCGATCATGTCTCCGAAATTGTTTGTCGACATTCTTGCTTCGAAACAGACTATCGTAAGCGAAGATATCGTCGGTCCCATCGTTCGTCGCCGGGACCCGTAATAGCCATGGAGCTAGCCTCTCGCCAAGGTCAACTGTAACAGGGGTTGATCCATGAACTACTAAATATCTTAGCACCCGAGTGCACTTTTTTGGCTCGCTGATTCGCTGATTCGCTTTCAAATTTGGCGTTGAAGCTCCATTTGCATATTTCAACGAAAATACTACGATCGCAAATGACCACTGACCCTCGAACCATACGAACCAATCTGCTCTTAGATCCGAGCTTGAATACCTAGAGTACGGGCTCTAAATTGACTCGAATTATCATATCTCCTGATTACCCCTTTCGACAATACTAGGCATTGCCAATGAATACACATAGACTTTGCAGCTCGGACTCGGACACGGACACGGACAAGCTTCCCAACAGTATTAAACAAACATTACCGATCTGAGGCCAGCCTGACCCCTAAGATTATTGCTACAACTACTAGTATAGATGGTCGCAAGTATTGGCCATCGGAGACTGAGAGATGGCACTACGACTGTTGCGGGTGAATTTGCCAGCCACCAGGAATGTTGTAGAAACTCTATACCGTCCACCACTCCAAATGCAATCGGAAGGGATGGGATAAGCACTTCGATCACCGCAAAAGGCGAGGAATCATGAGGGCACACATCCGCATTTAGTTCCATTGAGCGATTTTCAAGCCATGGAGTTTCTTGTAGTATGAAGCCTTGGTCTATCGGGATCTGACGTTCTCTGCGAATGTGTTCGATCTCAGCACTTTCTAGAGACTTGTGTACATCGCAAACAATGCTAATCCCAACCCAACTACAAGATATAGATCCCAATGGCCCTTGACTTTATTAGAATATCCATTGGCTGATATTCCTAGACGATCTGACTACCAGTGCAGAATTTCGGCCGGATTTTCAATCCGAACCATGGAAGAACAAGGGTGCAACTGATATAGTTCAGCCAAAAGTCGTGAGGTCATTCCAATACTAAATGCGGGCAACCAAAACATTCCAAGGACTAGAATAAATCTCTCTACATGGCCGCAGAGTCTCTATATTCCTCTAAGACATCACACTGAATTTCTTCTTCCAATCTTCAGTTATCGCCAATATGTCGGTCAAGGCGTCACTGGATACGGCTAACCGCCCTGATGAGTGGATGATCGAGCAGGGCATGGCTGGTCACAAACTACCAATTCTTGATCAGAGTGGCCGGGAAACTGTTCACATTTATCCGCCTAAATCACGCAAGGCTTTCAAAGATGAAGAGGCCATTGCTTCGGTTGGAGATCCCAATAAATTGTTTAAGCGGGAGCGAGTTGGATGGAAAGGGTATGTTCAAACCGTCGAGTGCAATTGGGTCATTTTCCTCCTTCATAGTTGAAGAGTACTAAAAACGGCAATTTCTTGCGCAGATACGTCGAATGGGAAGAATTCCCCGAGAAGAAAGCAAGCGCCCACAAGCTTCTCGCCTCTCAAAGCTTCCCGGACAGTCCGGATTTCATGTTCGGTCCAATTCCTGGGACGAACCCCGTTCTACCCGGAGATGACTTCGTGGCCTGGCATGAAGCAATTGGTGGGGAATTGACACCCGTCCCTGAAGACTCATGGCAAACTGTGCTACAGGAGAAGCACCCAGACATGCTGCATCTTCTGAAATTCCCTTACAATGGCGAACCTCCGAAACGACTGGTTACTTCCAAAGCTATCACGCCAAATCCCCTCCACTTCGTTCGAAACCATGGTGGCATTCCGATAATTGATAAGGACAAGTGGGACCTCTCACTTGATGGGCTGGTACAAACACCGAAACGATTCTCCCTGGATGACTTGATGGATGAGAATCGCTTTCCTCGAATCGAAAAGACAGTGACGATGCAGTGCTCGGGAACTCGCCGGATCGAGCAGATCGGGCTTTACGGTGGCCAGGGTGATGAGGTTCCCCAAGCTCCTTGGGCTGAAGGTGCAATCGGTACAGCGCGGTATGTGGGCGTCAGCTTGAAGAAGCTTATCAAGGAATGCGGAGGACTTGTCAATTCTGCGAAACATCTCGAGCTCTACGGAGCTGAGACATATGTAAAAGATCTCGAGGTTGGCAACTACGTTGTCAGCGTGCCTTGGTCAAAGGTCAAAGCAAACGAAGTCCTCCTAGTCTGGGAAATGAACGGCGAGCCACTACCCAAGATCCACGGGTATCCTCTGCGGGTGATTGTTCTGGGATATATTGGTGCCCGCAGTGTCAAATGGCTATATCGAATCAAAGCCATCAAAGATACCTCTCGTGCTCCGGTCCAAGCCAGAGAGTACCTCTACTTCAACCAGCAGGTGGGCAAGTACAACCTCCGCCCGACTGACGGTATCCAGATTCAGGAGATGCCGGTCAGTTCGGCGATCATGTCCCCCTGGACAAAGCAAGCAGTTATCCACGTGGGGAAAATTCGCTGTAAGGGCTGGGCATATTCTGGTGGTGGCCGATGGCCTGAGCGAGTGGAATTATCTGCAGATGGAGGCTTCACCTGGTACGAAGTGCCGGCAGAGAATATGTCTAAGAAAGGTCGTTGGACCTGGCGAACGTGGGAGATCGACCTTCCATGCGAAGTTGAAGGTTGGATTGAGATCGTCTGTCGGTGCTGGGATAACTCGCTAAACACCCAGCCGCTGAATATTCGTGCAGCATGGAACTGGGGGCTGCATGTTACTTCTTCCGCCCATCGAATTAAGGTCTACAGTATTAATAAGAGTCGGGAAATTACGAGGAAAAGATTGGATAAATATGATCAAATGGGTGTACCATTGGCTCCGCTGACCCGCTACGAGATCATGCCTATTCAAAATGCCGATGAGTATGAAGTGTTTTGGAATACACATGACCCGCGAGATGTGGATGACTAAAATCAAATGGAGATCGAAGTGTGTCTTCTTATCTCGTTAATCTGATATTATTTCCGTTTTGATTTCTCTATATTGGAATTCGTGATTATTGGTGATGGTCTAGCCCCTTTTCTAGGCAGCAAAAATTCCTTGTCAAGTTTTAATTAAGCTAGCGATCCTTCGGACATTCAAACTAATTGAGCACTTTACTTAGGGGTAAATTGAAGGCAGTATTTAGCCAGTGTGCCTAATTAATTTTCGAACGATGGGTACCAGACTAAGCATATGAGCAATTTCATAAAATACCTCGGCGATTGCAAGTACTCTAGGATGGAATTTCACCATAGTACCATAACACAACAAAATATTCCACTGCTAGTTATCCCTCCCTGCTTCACTTCTTCGTTTCAATCGCTTCCCCCATCATCACAATCCCAGTCTTAGAGCGATCAAGGAACTTCTCCTCATCTGCAGCAATCTGGGTCGCTGCCTCTGGAGTCTGAGTCTTCGCTGCAAAGGCCGCAAGGGAAACTTGATTTGCGAATGTTAATTCTGCATAGGCGTCAAAGTCGAAATCTGCCTGTTGGCCAGCAAGTAAGATTGCGGGGGTTGTGGCATTGCGGGCGGATGCCTCATAGCGGGGTGTCTCAAAGGAGTGGCGAGCAACATATGTTCGTTTATGCGAGAGCGGGAAATCATCAGCGGTCAGGCGTTTGAGAAGCTCAACATGCGCTTCGTAGTGTTTCTTGAAATCTTCAACTGAGAGACCCGGCTTGCGATAGGCGTGGATGAGGGCGGTGACGGTCATTTTTCGCGTCGGAATGATGGCTCTTCTTCCAAATTTGAAGTTCTGGGAGAAACTCCAACTGAAAGGAAGATGAGACTGAGTAACCTGAAGTTTTATTTCGTGGGCGGGGTATTGATCAGTGGGGAAATCTCGCGAGCGCCTCAAACTTGGAGATAAACAAAGGCGTGGGGGGCCAGGGCTGCGTCCATGGACACCACGCTATACTCCCCGATTGGGTCACACCCGGGCGGTTATTCCAAGTGCTTGCTGCCCAGTGAAGACTCGGAGGTCTTGAGTCTGAAGGCTTTGAGTCACAAAAATCCAGTGTACGTATTCAAGTTGTAGATCGAATTTCAATTAGGACTCATATTTGACATCAAAACTAAATCTGCCAAGACGGCATCAACAACCCTGAGTATTATTCTTTGTTGCTACCATCACCCTATCCAAAATCACCGCTTCTTTCCACTTTAAGAATGATCTCAGTTTGGTCCAATAATTCAAACACCACAGAGATTACCAAACCAAAGATGGTCTTGAACACGTACTTTAGAATTCAGCCTATATCGCCTCTATGCTTGATTGAGATAAGCTAGGTACTACGCTCTATAATCTGTGTCCACATATCTGAGATCGCAAAAAGCCCAAGATAATTCTTCACGTCCCAGGGACGCGTCGGGTTGATAAGTGACAAGTCAAAATTCCGGAAGAGCTGCGTGCAAGATTCAAAATTTATCAGTTCAAGCACTTCCAAGTTTCCAGCTGGAAGGTCGGTATCTCACCTCGAATATCAATTTTCCAATCTCTATGTCAGCCACGGTTTTGCCCAAACAACGGTACTTTCCATAGCCGAATATAAGCTCGTTTGTGCGGACCATATCGTTCAGTTTAGCAGGATCTGACTCGAACCATCTCTCTGGCCGGAAAACCTTGGCGTCTTTGCCGTATATCTTTTCGCTGTGGTGCATAGAGTAGGCGGAATATCCAATGCAAGAACCGCCGGGCAAGAATACACTCTCCCCATCAACTATAACAGTATCACCCCCAGGTGGGACATCACGCGAGAAAATGTTTGCCACGGGTGGCCAAACTCGGAGAGCTTCGCGGATAACGGCCTGCAGATATGGAAGTTGTTTAGTTTGACCGGTAGTAATGATGCCTTTGTTCGGTACAAGTCCACTAGCGACAGAATTGTCTATCTCATGCTGTAGCTTATGGTAGACCCGAGGGTTGGTCATTATGTGCAAGAGGGATCCACGAATGGCACCCGCCGTTGTATCGGAACCAGCGAGGATCTGCTCCAGGGCCTCGCTGCGTAATTCATCGCCAGACAGGCCGTGACGTATGAAAGAAGCCAGCATGTCGGATCGCTCATCGGTCTTGTTCGCAGCACGCCCATCGACAATTCGAAAACAGGCTGTCATCATCTTTCCAAAACCGTTTTGATCTTTGGGCGAGGCGGCCACAAATTTACCGATGAATGGTGCCTGGGTGAGCCAACTGAAGCCCATGGCGAGGGCGGTGTTTCCGATAGCAAGACCCTCTTCCAGCGATGATAGATAATTATCAACGTCCCGGTCGCTCTCCAGCATGCCGAAATTACTACCGAGACCAACACTGCTAATGACATCGAGAGTGAAGTACTGGACCTTTTTAGCCAAGTCCATGGGCGCCGTATGGTTACCAGATGAGACGTATTTGGTCCGGATAAGGTCTAGAAAATCTTGGACTCGCTCATCTATAGCCCCCTCGAGCTGGAGATTTTCTCTTCCGGAATACTGTATAATTTAAAATCGGTCAGAGAGGTGTTTTTCTTATGCTTCAAACAGCGAGACGGGACTCGGAAAGATGAATAGTACCCCTGGAGCCATCTGCTTCCTCCGTCGGTCGTGTTTGGTATTGTCCGTCTGAGTGAAAACATTATCTTTGCGATGCTCAATTCGCGCAGCGGTATAATACCAATCAGAACGTTTGTAGCCAGGCTTATTGTTGACATGCATCCAGACCTCCGGGTCGGACGTAATCAGCACCCGAGGTGCAACGCGGGCGATAGGGCCTATCTCATATTCAGAATGTGACTCGTCAAAGTGAACTCTTCCCAGGAGAGAAACATACCATATTTATTATTGACTTCAGCATACCACTCGTGGCAGTTGTGTCGAAGTAGTGCCAGGCTATGGGGCCAGTTCGAGATCCCAGTCCAGCGGGGACCCCGAAACTGGCGCAATTTGGCATAACTCGTAATCGTCTTGACGATCCAGAGGATCACCAAGCCACAAAACAATGTGGCAGCTGGACTGAATGCTATGTTTAGCCCCATGTTAATAATGCAGCGTGGCTGCAGTGGATGAAACGTTTATCTCCCTTTCCAGGGGTTTAGATTTCGCGCTCGGTATAAGGGGGGTTGAGAACTTGAATGCCTAGCGCGATTGAGAAATGGCTCGTTTAATATCGAGACTCTGTAATTGGACCTTTGAAGACATGACGGGTGACAAAACCCACCGGAGCGGTCCTAGTACTTTTGCTCATAGCGGGGTTGGATGAATTTTCCGGTGCAGAATGGAGTGGTGCAAGAGTGGTGCAATTGATTCAGTATGGCGTCTGGCCGCATGCAAGCTTGAAGTTAATTCTCTGCAGCCAATACATCCGCCGCCAATGAGCTGTGACTTTCAAGTATTATTGGTGGGGGCTTCGCGCTCAGAATAAAGTCCAAGGTCCCATATTCAAATGCGCCGAGTGTCTTGAGAATTAATGATTATTTGAAGATTGACAAGTACTAAATTCCCCGTACATCGTAACAGGGCTAGGGAATAGTACATCTTCACTGACAGCTCTAGATACTTAAAATCCTGCTGTTCTTTTTGAATTTTAATTTCCAAGGTTCAAGTGATTTAAGTTTCCAAAACCTTCATTTTTCTGGAATCTCGGGCTTCTCCACTTGCAAGGTTCGAGCGTCAGACCACTTGCGCAAGAGGGCATTATTACTGTACGACCACACCTGGGCACTAGTTAGTTAGTACTAGGTAGCTACTAACAGTGCTCAGGTGGTCCTAGGTACTATTAGTACATACTAGTAGGTATTATACTATATATCTACAATTTGCTCCAGCTGAACTTCCAAGGGAGGCTGGCACGCTTCGAGTCTCAGGAGGCTTCAGAGCTGGTAACAACTTCAGGTTGAACTTAGTACTGTTGATTAGATCTGCATCAGCCAGATCTTGGTGGCTACTCGAATTTCTAGGCCTTTTATATTATGCCATTCAAGATTATGATGCGAAACAATCAGGCTGTCTATCCACGTTCTTTATTCCCTGAGGATCGCGAGGCACAGCCCCACCGCGGTTAAACGCGGACAGCCCGGGAATGCGGGGCCGGGTAGCCCCCGGATGTGACGGTAAGCCGGGATATAATTGAGTAATAAGATCTCAATTTCTTGTGATCAGGTGGGGTATGCAAGGGACTAGGTTTCCTCGTGATCCTCAGATAAGAATCAGAAAAAAAATCCATTGAAATCCAAACAATTTCGCACACACCACGGAACACTGCAATTTCGTCCTTTGGTATGACCAGGTGGATTCAATGGCAGCACATAGACGAGTCCCGAGGTAAGTCCGATGCAGTTCCTTTTATTACTGTTTATTGCACTCTTGTTTACTCAAGATATCTCAACCAGTGCCTCCCCCACCCCGACAAGGTATTCCTTGAAGCGTGCGATGTGTACTTTCAACACTGTCACAATAAACCATATGGTTTCTTCAGCGCCAAACTTTTCAAAATAAAACTTTCGCAAAACAGAATCCCTTTACACCTTCGATTGGCACTGATAGCTTGTGCCACTCGTTATTCCTCTCGGTCACAATGGAAAGAGCGGAAACAGAGCACGATCGATGGCTACGCACGGGGTGCCTGGGAGCTTATCATGTCGTCACCCGATGGCCTTGATGGCAATGAAGATGTGTCGTTGATCCAAACTCTGGCAATTCTGGGAGTCATCGATGCGACTGGTTAGTCAAGACGGATATAGGGATAATCTTGCAATTTATGCTGACCGTTTTTCAAGCTGGCCGACGGAGAGGCGCATGGGTCAAGATTGGAATGGCCGTTCGAATCAGCCAAGACTTGAATATGATGGCGGAACCTTGCTCTCAACTTTCTGACTTGGAGCAAGATGAGCGAAGAAATCTTTTTTGGTCACTTTATCTCCTCGATCGGTTTGTGTGCTGCTCATTCGATCGACCACCCGCGATTAAGGACTCAGACTGTCTTCTCAACCTTCCTACCAACCATGGCTCAACAAAACCAGCAACGCCTCTGAAATTACGCCAGCTTCGTTCTCAAAGGTCACACGATATTTCTCAACAGTCTGGTATGTTTGGGATCAGTATTGGTCTTGCTTCTGTATTGGGACGTGCAGTGAAGTGTATGATGACCAAGACACCCAACTCCCACGCGCCGTGGCAGAATGATTCCGAATTCTCGGCTATATACTCAGATCTTGAATATCTCAAGGAGTTAGCCGTTAAGAATTCCCCTGTATTAGCCGAGCCAGGCCAGCCTCGCTCACCAAATGACATGCAAGATACCGACCGTGAACAAACGGCGCATATGGTCTTATCGCACACTGTTTACCATCTTGCCCATTGCATCCTGAGTCACCCTTTCCTACTCGCTCTGAAGATCCAGAACTTCCAACATTTTGAAATCCCGCCAACTTGGCTAGAAGAGACGCGAGCAACATGTCTTGTACATGCCGGATCGTTAGTCACAGTCCTAGTTGAAGCAAAGGCAGCCGGATATATGCCCGTGCCATCTGTTTACAGTTATTGCATTCTACTTGCGAGTACTATACATGCATTTTATTTTTATAGTGACAGATCGGCAATAAGCGCGAGCTCGGCTGAGTATCTACGGACAGCCTTGGACTACCTGGGGGAAATTTCAGAGCTTTGGGGTAATGCTCAGATGATGGTACGTACCCATTCGACACTCTCAAACTTGATAGCCATTAACCTTTCACTGTAGGCAAATGCGTTGAAATCTTTCGTTATCCAGTGCTCACGATATAGCGATATTCTACTCTGTCACAAACCACGTCTCCATGAACTTACCCAAACGGAAAATACCATATTAACAGCGGTAGTGGACTACTGGACTATGATGGATCCGCGAAACCCAGTGTTTGACTTGGCGCCATTCAATGCGGACAATTTCCCCGATTTTTCTGATACAGAGTTCGGCTATATAACACCACCAACTTCATCTACACTCGGGGGGGATTTCTTCCAGTGGTGGTGGAGGTGATTCAGACTACAGCATAAATAAGGAGGGCCATTCCATTGATCCCGATATCTTGCTTCACTACCCCGTATCAATGATGTCTCCTATGGCATCAGAAGATGGTGGCTCTCCTCAATGGGACTGGGATCATGAGCTTGATTCTGTTGCAGAAAAGAAATGATAAATGGTTCATCTATGCAGGGCTGCCACTATATTAAACATCTTCATTCTGTTCCTTGAGCTTTTCTGCGAATCTCTCTTTGCCGATGGAACGTTTTTTTCTCCTGATAAGCATTCTGCCAGTCATTGTTGTGCGGTATCAAGCCCCATGCGACGAGACATTTGTCTTGCTCTTCTGTCAGGTCTAGCCAGGCATAGAGGTCTTGTCGTCGCTCTTGGATAGGCTCTCGCTTGCGAGTTGTCGGCAGACTTTCGATATCAATAAAGGTCTTTTGTTTGTTTCCTGTCTTGTTGAGGCTGCCTTTCTGCAAATTTGCGTCTTGGTAACAAGAAACCTCTCGCTCCTCTTCGGTCCACACGCTCCATTCCTCTGAGTATGAGGAGATTGTGGCCTTCAATCTCGAGGTGACCCAACAAGTCAACGACTCGTCCTCCTCATTTCCTCGCGCGAATCGGTTCCGCAAGGCTTTCCATATTTTTGAATCTCCAGAGCCGACTTTGTAAGCTGTGAGAACTGTTGCGACGATTATGAGCACGACGGAGCAAATCTGTATTGGCAGCTCTGCCATGCCTATACTAATCACGTGCACAGCGAACGCAGCCCACCCGATTGCTCGGCAAGTCAAATAAAAGAGAGGATTCGGGATGCGAGGGCTCGTGGTGAATACTGCCTTGACAAGGTAGTTCGGCGCAACAAGCGTGAGGATATTCGAGTCTTCTGTTACCATAAGAACTTTCGCATCATGGAAATCCTTTGGCTCGGAAGGCGGGTTTCTCGTCTCTGTACTGGGCCCCGTTCGCTGCCAGTCCTCGAATTGCTGGAGTGCCCCCTCGTACTTTGTCATTTTGGCCTGGGCTTCCTTTTCAGCCATTTCGATATTTGCATCAATACCAGCTTGATTCTGGTGTACCTGTCCGCATCTTACAACGACGGATAGAATCATAGAGACAACATTTGCGAATCCCCACCAGTCAGCCGAAAGTACGGTCAAGGCGAGGAGCATCCCATGTAATGGTAAACTGATCAAGATAAAACCAAAGAAGAATTTGGTCCATCGAAATGGGCGATCTGCCACTTCCCAGGTCACTTTGCTTCGAACTTTGTATAAATCCTGTGCTCGAACCCAGCGCGAGACCCATCCAGCCAATTCTGTTGTCAGAATCCCGGCCGAAATATTGTAGAGAATGAAGCCGGTCTTCTTATCTGTAAACCGGTCTCCAGCTACTACAAAAGCGCCGAGTAATGGTAAATAGTCGAAATAATCGCTCGGCATTAGACGACCAATATTACGGTCCATCTCCTCCGCCCCAAGAAGAGTGACGAGACCGAGGGCATCGATACGCAGTCCCGTGCCCTTGGCCCAGGAGCTGAAGCTTTCGTGCCAGGGATACATTTAGCATGCAAAAGCGAGATGCGATTGTTCTGTTCGTCACATGAAGGTGGCACCAATTCTGATCTTATCAGACGCGTGGTCGAGGCTCGCCCTCAGGCACACTGCTTCGTATTATTGCGAACCGCGGACATTAGGCAAGCCGAACAAGGATCAAAACCCCCGAGAGTCGAAAATATTTTGTACTCCGTGAAAGCAGAATTGACAGAAAAGAATTTGTATTTCTGATTATAAAAATACGCTTTCTTTTTCCATTCCAGTTTCTGTGACCCCGAGGCAAGTTTGTGGCTGCTCACCCGTAGATGCGTCCACGACAAGGCGGCCCTGTGGTAGGCTGTCACAACACGAAAAAGGCAACATGGGAAACGCTCACGGGACGGCACCTCCTACCATTGCTGGCCTAGACGGGGGCCATCATTTGCCGTAACTAGTCTGGTCATCCAGAGAGGTGGAAATTGCGCCCCGCTCCTCTGCACCGACGACAAAGCTAGTTTAGGGTTGGCACCAACACATTTGTCAATGCTTAGCCAGATTCCTCTATCAACGGGGTCCAGTGGAGGACCTGAGGCCGGGCCGCAACTTAAGACTAATGCATCATAGCCTTTTCGAGAATAGGAATGGGGCCGGCTTGTTGAGTCAATCTCCAGCCGATACGAGGTTCGCTCAACTCGTGAAACATGTTCTTGGTCGACACGTCCCCTCCTGGTCCCTGTCTTCTCCACAGCCTGAATGAAAAGGTTGATACTTGAGATTGTCGTGTTTCTTTCTAATCTTAGATCTTGTCTGGTTCAGCTCGTACAGGGTTTTTTGGTTGAAAGTTCCACGCAGTTCAAGACCCACAAAACTAATTCCGCGCTAGCGAGGCTGACGCCGTATTCAGTTTGACATCTTGGGACTAAAGTAAAATAGGAGCAGAACATGCGGTCTAAGCATGCCCTCGAAGCGTCTGGGACGAATATCCAGGCCCTGGATTGGTGGGTCTGCCACGCAACCCTGTTTGACAGATGCACTCTCAGCACAGCATGCTAGCCGGGATCGTGCTTACGATACGGAGTAGGTACACACAACCTTGGCCATTGCGGCTCGGGGGGGCCCCTGAAATCCCAATTTCAGGGCTTACAAGTATTTGCTGAAGAATAAAATCATATAATCTCCCTCGTGGCCCCGCACGGCTGGTCACGAGGTAAGATCGAACCGTTGCTGCTTTTCTTTTTAGCATGCTCAGCTTGGCCTATTTTATAGACTGAAACTTCATTCATCGAGATGGGCTCTTCTCATTCCGTGGAAAGTGAAAAGCACGAAAGGGATGTATGGAGAACTCATTTGGAGCACCAATATGACGGGAAACACCACCGAAATGCTGGGACTCGATTTCGACGCCCCTACTTGGACTCGAACGCCATTGAAGAGCGAATGAATGAGCTTCAACACGGAAAACAACGAGAAAAGAAGCGACGATACCTCAACATTCTGGGTGAAAACGACCACGAAAAGTACCCTGATCTTGATACCTATTACAGCACAACAAAAGAGATACCCCGCCGATTGATTGTCCAAGCCACCCACGATGCCCAAAAGGATACTCGAGCGCGTCACTGGGGCCACAGCACTATAAAAGGCAACAGGCCATTTGTTGTGTGGCTGTCTGAGCTTTGTTTGAACCCTTTTCGCTTTGACAGATATGACGGCGGTTTTGTGGATGAGGATGATGAGAAGGCCGAGGATATTCGGTGGAAGAAGATGAGTCTTGCGCGGAGAATCTTTCAGACCACTGTACACTGGATTGCCTCGACAATACTCACCCTGTTATTTGCCTGGATCATCCAAGTTGTGTTATCAGTCCAAGTTGCCACTGCGCCTTGGAGTGACTCAGGTGCAGCCGACTCTTATGATGGCTACGAGAATGTCCATTGGGAATGGCCCCACCATGCAGTCAATATCCTAGACCAGTCGCCGAACAACAAGAAGCCACAATCCACAATCACCAAGTTGATGATACCCCGACGCCTGGTGGTCAAAGACAAATCTACCGGCAAGTGGGTTGTGAAGATGACGGACGAACTTCGCGACAAGCACACTGGCATGCTTCAGCCATACGTCTTCCTCAGTTTCTCGCGAGCTAATTTCCTGGGTGTGGATGACACAAAATTGAGGCCGTTCTTTCATCGGGTCGCAGAAGAAGTTCTGGAACGCGAAAACGATCGTCGAGACGAAAAGGATCCCGTAATGGAAGCTTTCTGGCTTGATATGGACTGTGTCGCATCGGATCCTCTAATCAAAGACAAGAATGGAAACATGGTAAACCCAATCATGCATGACGACTCGGAAAAAACAAAGGACATCAATTCTATTTGCGATGCCGTGCGATGCGCGAAACGGGTTTATGTCGTCTTACCTGACGATCGCCCAGAAGACAAGTTAATTTGGGGCCGACGTATTTGGACTCTTCCCGAAGTCTTGCTCGCAGCCGATAAGATTCGATATTGCATCTTTCCCCTCGAAGCCATGCAAAGAGATGATAAGCCCATAATCAACAATGTCTTATTGACTGATATGTATAACAGTTTCTGGGCAGGCCATCCCTCTCGATCCCACTTGGCTAGTGACGAGGCATTGGATACCCATGAAGATGCAATCACACACCTTGTCAACCACTATACGAACCGTACCAAGCTGAGCGAGCTGCAGCTGTTCACATTTGCAATCCAGGCTTTGGCTCAACTGACTTCTGGTAAAGACACTCGGGGCGAAAGTACCGTGGAGTTAGCATATGCCGCCATGGGTCTGCTAGCTTATCGACTCACTCCTGACGATAATGAAGACGTGTTTCAAGCTGTCGCACGACTGTCTCTTGTCAACGACAGCAATCATCTACTTGAACGCCTGCTCTGCTTGTGGCCAAGTTATGGCGAAAATGAGCAGAATCCTGAAGCAAAAGCGAAGTACGCCGTCGCGAGCAGTGATACTCTCCTGCGAAACATTGCAGATCGCGATCAGTATGCCGTTCATCTATGGGATATTGATCCGATGTGTGATGTGGTCGGAATTGGAAACGACAAGTTCACGCCCACCGTGATAACTGATCGCTGTCGGGGTATTCCTATCCGGTGGAAGGGATTTCCCAGAATGCGATACGCACAAGACTTGACGAGCTTTCGGGCAACTCTAGCCCAAACTGTCGTCTTTGCAGGCGTATGGTTCTTCGTCACAGGCTTTGGACTATTCTCTTCGGCCATCTCACTCGCAATGGCAAACAACACCGGCAACAAAGAGACCAACATTAGCGTCGGTTCTTATCTTTGGGGTGTGGCAATATTTGTTGGTGTCGGATGGATGATATCCTGGTTCAGTCCACTTGCAGTACGCCAACTTTGCAACGGCGGATCTTCCGGTGTTTCCTGTCATCTGATAGGATTCGAAGGCACGATGACCCTCCGACAAATCGAGAAAGCAATATATGGCAACTACAATGCCCGTCTTACTTATTCTCCTTCTTCTTCCATCTTCTCCAAGGATCTGCGCCACCCCAAGCTTCGAATGGGAGTCGAGAGCCCGGATGAGAATGGAGACCCCGAAGGGCCAGAGCATTGGAAACAGCAGAGAGTGAAGCACAATATCCCCGACTCGCATCGCCTATTCACAATTGTTGACACGGGTGATTTGACCGTTACAGTGATTGCTGCTCAGAGGCCCCCTGTAGTTGCTTTGATTGCCGGTCGCGAGGGTGGCATGTTGCGGTCCCTGCTGTGTAGCTGGCGCTTCGAAACGAACTGCTTGTATCGCGAGTGTGTTATCCGTATGCGGAGCTCGCTGGAGGAACAGGCTACTCCGAATGACTGGCTTAAGATCAGTCTAGCTAGCCAAAGCGATGTCAATCAGACCCGATCACTTTACCAACCAAAGAGTCAGCCTCTGCCTCCACCTCCTGTTGCTGGTTCCATTCCCCCTTCGACTCTCCCGGTTCCTCCTCGGAAAACCCCGGTCGTCGGCCAAACCAATATTGAGTCAGTGCAATGATTATGATGGTGCTCACCGTTTAAGTTGCTTCATTGAATATCAATTTGTTTTCCCTCTCGATTTTCAAGACATTGACCATGTTCGAATATAATTGTACCAATTTAGGCTGGGATGGAGGATTGGTTATTGACCTGTATGGGATCTAATCTAATATTATTTGTGCGACAACACTTTCCGGTACATCGAGACTTTCTAAAATAGTAGGATCTTGATCGAAAATTCCAGTCTCGACAAACTGTTTCATCACCCCCAGGAGACTCCTCTCAATGACGAGAGTTGACGAGTCCTGAGGCTCCATGAGATTCAAAATGCGAGAGAGGTAACATAGAGCACATGCCAAGGTTCTCTCATTCGGAATTCGGCTCAGGAAAGCAGGCATGTACGTCGGTTGTACAGCTGGTTTGCCACTGTGCCCATCAATATTCAATCCCCGTATGAGATTCTCTCGAGTTAGATCGTCGAGGCGATTCCACGTCTCTTCGAAGAGCTTTGCCTTTTCCAGGGTTGCCACATTTCCCATGCAAAATATTCGCATCAAGGCGCGATCGCTTAATGACTCCTGCACGGAGAGCAGCCGGAAACCCAGGTCATGAATAAACTGTGCCCGCCGAATGAGAATGAGATCATATCCACCGCGGATGTCTAAGCTTCCTGAAATGACACCCTGGCAAGCATCATAGACGTTTTTATAAGATTGAAAGATCGGCTGGGTGAGCTTTTTGGCGCACGTCCAGTCCATATGGCCTGCTGCTCCGGCAATATCTAATAGTTGCTCCATGAATCGAAGCTGAAAGCTGCGAGGGCTACACTTCATTTTTAGCAGGCCGGTGAGACAAACAGGAACATTCTCTGCCTGTGCTAGCTGGCCAAAATTGAAAGTCGCGCCGAGTTCGATTGCGCGCACGATATCTTCTCTGTCTCGACAAGGCAGTCTTCCGAGAGACGGGATGAGACCAGTACTGCATGCTTTGAGGAGAACTGCGTCATGATTGATATGCGAAATGTCTTCGCCGGTTGATTTTTCATAGTCTAACGCTAATTGCGGGTCTTTGCCCAGATCGTTGATGACGATGGACATAATTAGCGCGTATAGCGTATTCGAATCCTTGATCGTCTGCGTATAAAATCCTCGAATCCAGTCGAATGATTCTCTTGCTAGTTGGGTTTCAGGTGGTTGTGATGCCACAAAGACTCCATATTGCTCTAGATGGATCCAACGCAGAGAGAGAACCCCCACCAGGGTTCTGTTGACCTCGTCGTAGTTCTCCTGGTAAAGTATATATGACGGAGAAAGAGAATCAGGGGGACACCACGCATCACGAATCGAATAAGCCCGTTTTAATCGGTCAATATCAGCCGAGAATTCTTGGTAGACTAGCTGCAACAGGTCGTTTTGTGGAATCGCGAAGAGTGCATCTGGATCAGCGCACGCTTCTCGAAGCGATGAGGGGTCCTGTTTCTCCATCTGAGATGAATTTGTGTTTGAAGATGGGTTCTCTTCGTGTTGTCCATGGGTATAAGCGAGCAGGTGTGCACAGCCACGTAGTGGTCACGGTATAGTCGAAACTCAGCCGCAGCTGGGTGCTGCGGTCGAGAAAAGTGTGGAGAAGGCTCCCACAGGGTCTACATGCCAAGACCCTTGATGACCAATTTCATGGTTTGTATGAAGCTCTGTACTTACGTCTCTCATTTCTACACTATTTCCCATTACCTTTTCATCTTTCGTCCATAACGGACCAAAGTGCTCCACTAGCCGACAGCAGACCCTCGAGGCCCTACTCATGCGGGGTGGCGGGGCTATCTCTTATCACCATCAATCAACATTGCCCTAGGGTGGCTTGAAGCTGCATCAACTTCATGGCTTCCTTTCCAGCCCTACGCGCGCAGTATAGCTCACTGCTAAAGCAATTCGCATCATCCTCGAAGGACTTCGCAGTGTTGAGCAGCGTGCCCGAACGCTCTCCGCCAGCAAAGACTCTCTTTGTGCTAGACTCGTCATTCAACCCCCCCGACTCGCGCCCACCTTCGCATAGCCAGCTCCGCCCTACAAGAGCATATAGATCCCAGATCTCGCCTCCTCCTGCTACTCGCGACACAAAATGCAGACAAGCCCTCAAAACCGGCCTCTTTTGAGGACCGGCTCGTCATGATGGAGCTATTTGCGCACGACTTACGCTCCCACTTGGCGACGAGCTCGCCCAAGGGACTCAACTCAAAGGATGATATCCCGGCGATCGATATCTGCGTCACCAAAAAGCCCTACTTTGTTGATAAGGCGACGGCAATCGAGGCATACGATTGCTATTCCGACGTTCTTGAACAGATCCATCTCACCGGCTACGATACCCTGATCCGCATCTTTAATACGAAATACTACCCACCCGAACACACATTACAACCATTAGCCTCGTTATTTTCAAAGCATCGCTTACGCGTGACAATGCGGCCGAGCGACGAATGGGGTAGTCGAGAGGACCAAGAAGAGTTTGTGCGCTCGCTTGCTCGTGGTGATCGTGAGGCCGAGGGTGGACTGAGGGAATGGGCGCAGAAGATCCAACTCGTCGAAGGGAGAAAGCCTGGCGATCCATCTGTTAGCTCTACTCGTGCTCGAGATGCCATTCATGGTGCTGTTGAGGATCTGGAATGGCTGGTCCCGGAAAAGGTGCGCCAGTATCTTCTCGCGGAGAAGCCGTATACCTAGGTACTAGAGAGAGTCCAAGCACCAGGATTTAGTGATCTCGCCATGAAAAATAATATCCTATTTCCAAGTTTAAGGATCTGCACCTTACGAAGTTGGAACTACTCTTCATGCTATTGTAATGGTACTACACTATCACTCCAGAGATTACTAGCACTCTGAATGGGCCTTTTTGAAGGGGGATGGATTCACGGTTCATACTTTGTTAGTTCGGTATGTCCGAGAGTAAAGCATTTGAATGTTACAGATGTGCAAGGCGACCTCAATTTCCACACCCAACGACGCCGGTTTTTGACTCCTCCCAATTATGCCGCTCGACAATTTCAATTACATATCGTACAATCGTGAGACACAGCACAAGCATCTTGAGACAAGTGCCCACGCCCAGCCGACTCTCCACCAGCTCGCTTTCAGGACTCCGACTCCGACTCCTCCCGATCTTTCTTTCCAAGGGTATACGCCAATCCTCCAGCAATCATGTTGACCAAGCAAAGACCCATGGTCGCTCCACGCACAATACCGCGAGTTCCGAACTTCTTTGTGATGGGCTGCTTCCGTCTGCTGGCGAGGAGCAGATACAGGCCAGACCATGCTGCGCCAATTCCAGCACTCTCTGTCTTGAACCCTGAGAGGTTTGCATAGCTAGTGAAAAGGAGCACGGGCGGGAAGAGCATAGGGAAGAATTGGTAGGGTCGAGCATGTTGCGCGAAGATGAGGGAAGCAAGGACCGTTGGTGGGAAGGAGTTTTCTGGAGAGACAAATCAGTATATTGTTGGAATGTTTCGGTGAACCGATTCAAGGCTTGGGATATATTTCTTTCAACTTACCACCCCAGGCGCGAAAGCGCTGGACCAGCGACTGCTTGGCCTCTTCAATGGTGGAGTCCTTAGACATGGTGAGCTTGGTTGGTGTTGGTGTGTGGTTGAAAGCTCAGTGAGTTGTGATGTGCCTCGGAGATTTATCAGAGGAGAAATAAGGATCCAAGCCTAGCTTCGAGTCTGACCAGTTGAGTGAAAAGAGGTTGATGCCAAGTGGGAGTGGCCGAGCAGAGATAGAGATAACGAGAGTCTACCTCAAAGGTATCACTACCCGCTGCGGCGCATTAGACGTTCCGGTTGCTTGGCAAAGACACCTAAGACGATGCTTTTCCCTCCGCCACTCCCCACGCCCGCATTCAATTTCATCGCAACCGACCTCTCCATTATTTAGGTCGCGTTTATACCTTTCCGACTATCCTTGTCGGTTCTTCTTGGGGAATTGGAAATCCCCCCTAGGCCGCGGTTCTACGCCACCCATTTCCGCGTTTGCGCCCTCTCTCCTCCCCTCGTTCTTTCGCCCGCAACGGCCACACTCCGTGACACTCTCTTTCAGCCTCGATCACCATGTCATCCGCCAAGGCGTCAGGATCTGACGCGAATGGTGGCGCGCGATCGCACGATCACAACCAGGGTAATCAGGACCGCAAGTATACAGTTGAGCAGAAGGCGGCCGTCCTCCGCATTCGAAAATGCGGAGCCACAGATTTCTACGAGATCTTGTCTGTTGAACGGTCGGCGAACGACAGTCAGATTAAGAAGGCATACCGGAAACTGTCTTTGTTGACACACCCCGACAAGAACGGCTACGACGGGGCCGACGAGGCCTTCAAGAGTGAGTGGTGACACCTACCGAATTATCCATGTTTGCCTGGCTCACGCTTTATTTGCAGTGGTGTCGCGCGCCTTCCAGATCCTTTCCGATGAAGATAAAAAGTCCCGCTATGATAAATTTGGAGGAGACCCCGATAGCAGATTCAACCCCGGCCCGAGTGCCTCCAGCGGCGCCTCGCCTTTCAGTGGATTCAGTGGTGGTGGATTCCCGCGGTCGGGAGGACGTGGTCCAGGTTTCGAGGAGGAAATATCACCAGAGGAGCTGTTTAATCGATTCTTCAGCGGTGGATTTGGAGGAATGGGTGGCGGCGGCTTTGGTACGAAATCCCCAGAATGCGTTTAGCCGTTTGGCATCACGTTCCAACCGTTTGATATTCTCTTTCGGAATGGTCTACTTTCAACGGCATCATGTTTGCTGTTATTACCTACATTAAGACTAACTTCGTCCCTCTAGGCGGTCCCGGATTTGTGTTTAACATGAACGGAGGCCCCGGATTCCGTGTACACCAATTTGGAGGAGGCGTACCCCGTCGCAGACCTGCTGCCAACGCCGCTGGACAGACACAAGGCAACATGGACGGCTGGACTCTGCTCCGCCAGCTCGCACCCCTTCTCATCCTCTTCGTTCTCCCTCTTCTCTCCTCGCTCTTTTCCGGCTCCTCGACTGCAGCTGGACCATCATACCGATTCGACACCCCCGAAGCGCCATACGTAATGGGCCGCACCACACCCAACCTGAACCTTAATTATTTTGTGAATCCGCTGGAAGTGGATGACTTCAGCGCGCGGAGATTCAAGCAACTGGATAAACAAGTCGAGACCGACCATGTGAGAACTCTCCGGTTCGAATGCGAGAATGAAGTCAACCAAAGGGAACGCATGATCCAAGATGCCCAGGGCTGGTTCTTCCCGGACATTGAGAAGATGAAGGAGGCTCGAGCGATGGAGCTGCCGAATTGTCGACGATTTGAGAAGTTGAGAGGGAGATACTGAGCCAGCCCACGGGCGGATAATTGGAATGCATCCACCATTCTGTTCTATTTGCAGCGGAGATGTCAATAGCACATGCGCGATGGGCGGCGTCTTTGGTTTTTCATTATCTCCTATATTCCACTTGTGTACATTGTCTCTTTGAAATGCATCAGGTTTCTCGGCGGAGAGACCATTTCAGTGTTGATCTTGCTTTTGCTGGTGCACCCAGCGATCTTGCTGATGAAGATGGGAGCTCTATGAGTATTTGATTAATGAGAATAAAGAAATGTAATATGCCTGGAGTGTGTAAATCTATAAATATTCTCATACCTGAACCCGTAGCCCTTAATTCAAGGCTAAAGATGGCAATGAAGAGTATACAAAACTCCTCAAGCGACGCCGAGCCTGCTTAGTCAAAGGCGATGCGAGCGAATCTCGGCGACCACCACCGAATCTCGGCGACCACCACCGAATCTCAGTCCCCTCACATCGCTCCCTCAAACCACCTTCGCTTGGGGTTGATTTCCAGGTCCTCTGCGCCATTTGTTTTGTTCCTATCCGTATTTGGCGTCGCCTTGTCATTAGTGCCGTCCGTTATTTGGTCCAATAAATGTGGCGGGTCCAGCACGATTCATTTGCCTAGAAGCCGCACACATCCCCGCACCAAGCAGTCGCACCAGCTTGACCTTAACTCTCATTGCGGTGGATAATTTTGACATTCGCCATGTCAGACTCACTCTCCGATGCGGATAAGGTTAGTAGATCCCTGGCCTATCTGACTCCCGACGTCGCTTCCTGTTTCTCGCCTCTCCGCAGTGGCTGACTCGAGATATCACAATGTGCTCTAGATCCGCAACAAGCGTCTCGCAAAGCTCTCAAATCCAAATCCGGCTCCTACTTCTGGCGACGGCGCATCGGACTCGCCGCCGGGCTCCTCCCACGCATCCCCCTCCCACTCTCCGTTGCGGGCAACTCAGCCATCCCCCCAGTTCCCGAGCGCTTCTTCTTCAGCTGCACAGACATCAAAACACCCAGATGGCAAACGGATAAAGATCACACCTGCTGTTTCTCCAGCCGCTACTCCGGAACGACCACGATCTGCCGCGTCTTCCAACGCCGGAACTCCACAACCCGCCAGAATAGAAACTATTGAAACTTTCGAAGACAGAACTTTGGGGGCTGTATTCAGGTTGACTTTGAAAGAAGAAGGGCAGTACCAAAGGGTCTATCTCCCTGGCCTCCGAAGTGAGCTGCAAGATGAGAGCAAGGAACTACGTATCGAAACAGCTATGCTGGACCAGGCCCTCCTGGAAGCGGCGTCAAAAGCGGAGGCACAGCGTCCACTCAATTACCTTCTACCATGCTGGAAACGCATCACAAAGCTTCAAAAACAATTCAAGCGAACACGAGATGACGATCCGAAATTTCAAGTTCTTTGCGAAGCGAAGCGACTATGTATGAGTTATTGTATCTTCGCAATGACTATGCCGGAGATGTTTGGGTATGCATGATCGCATGGTCAACTTGAAATCCTCGAACCTGACTAACAAATTCCTAGGATCGACACTCCAGAGAGGTCACCATTGGCGTCGCACTTATTATTGGATCCCGAGGATGAAAAGGGTGTGGACCTGGACTTCATAGGCGAAGCCGTGAGGAGATTTGACGAGGACGAGGGTATCAAACCGGCTTTCATTGCCGCAGTCGAGGAATTAAGCGCGGAGCTCTCAAAGAAGGACGTTAATGATGATTACAAGCCATACGCTATTGTTTGTCAAGCACTTTCGCCTCTATCGAATGCTCCCAGCTGACAAAGTTTTTAGGCGCTTCGCAACCTCGTCCGGCAACCCGCTATAGCGGCTGCGATCACAGAGTCTTCCATTTTCAATCACTCGACAGACCCAGCCCAGTTCGAGAAAGTTACCCTTCTGGGGCCCTGGTTCAGCTTATCACCACTCCAGGGTAAAGTCACCATGTCATATTTCTCCAACCCCAAAAGTCGCGACCAAGCATATATCCTGAACGCCCAGCGATCACTCCGAATGACGCAACAGTTACTTAGCTCTGATTTGCTCGATGTTATTAACCACATGATCCGTGCTTCGAAGGAGGCTCGCGACCGCGTTCTTGACTGGTTCGCGGCTGCTTTGAACATCAATCACAAGCGGAGGGCCATGCAAGTTGACCCAGAGACTGTCTCCTCAGATGGGTTCATGTTCAATATCACCACATGTCTTGACCAGCTCTGCGAGCCATTCATGGATGCCAACTTCACCAAGATCGATAGAATTGATGCCGAGTACCTCCACCGGGACTCAAGGGTAGACATGCGAGAGGAAACCAAGATCAACGCTGATCAACATGCTTCTGATGCCTTTTATTCCAAGAAGGCAGATGGTGTATCTAACTTCATTACCGAAATCTTTTTTCTGACAGTTGCTGCCCACCACTACGGCAGTGAGTCATTGACCGAGAAGCTGGAACAGCTGGAGAAAGACCTTCGTCACATGGAGTCGTCCATCACCAAGTTTGAACTTGAGCGGCATCGGTGGTCAGGAAATCCTGGCCAATTGCGCATGTACGAACAAGCCCTCAAGCGATACAAGGATAAATATGATCTTGGGCTAGCCTTGAAGTATAGTCTCCAGGGTGTTCTTTTCGACGACCAGTGGCAGGCTCGCTCGATGCTGTTCATGCGATACGTTGCCGTTTGGCTGCTGAGACTCGTTTCCGGCACCAATTTCCCCAAACAGTCTATCAAGTTGCCGCTCCCCGAGAAACAGCCCGAGATTTTCAAATGCCTCCCGGAGTACTTCTTAGATGGAATCGTCAGCAACTTCAAATTCATCATGTGGTGTATGCCTCAAATCATCACCGCCACGCAGGGAGATGAATTGGTCATCCTTTGCATTACCCTTCTGGAGAGCTCAGCCTATGTCAAGAACCCTTATCTCAAAGCTGGTCTGGTCTCAATTATGTTTCGTGGCACCTGGAGTCGCCCTGGTGGTGCTCGGGGCGTACTGGTGGATCTACTCAACTCTCTTGGATTTGCCAACGAGTATCTTTTGCATGCTGTCATGAAGTTTTATATTGAGGCTGAACACACCGGTACACATACACAATTTTTCGACAAGTTCAATATCCGTTATGAGATCTTCCAGATCATCAAGTGCATCTGGCCTAATACCCTCTATCGAGAGAAGCTTTCGATTCAGGCCAGCCAGAACCTTGACTTTTTCGTTCAGTTTGTCAACATGCTTCTGAACGATGTGACATATGTACTTGACGAGTCATTCGGTGCCTTCAAGACCATTCACAGCACCCAGACAGAGCTGAACAGAGATGGAAGCACAATGGACCAAGCCACCCGCCAACAGCGAGAGGAACATTTGGCCACCGCGCAGCGGAGCGCCAAGTCATACATGCAGCTAACGAACGAGACAGTGGCCATGTTGAAGCTATTTACCGAGGCTCTGGCGGACTCATTCACAATGCCTGAAATTGTTCAACGCTTAGCTGACATGCTTGATTATAACCTCGACGCCATGGTCGGACCCAAGAGCTCCACTCTGCGTGTTGACAACCTCTCAGAATATGGGTTCAACCCCCGAGCGCTACTTAGCGAGATCACCGATGTGTATCTCAATTTGATGGCAAAGCAGAACTTCATTGTTGCTGTTGCTCGGGACGGCCGCTCCTATAAGCCTGCGAATTTCGAAAAGGCGGCCGAGATCATGCGCAAGTGGTCACTGAAGGGAGAAGATGAGATGTTCCGCTGGGGTCAACTGCAGCAGAAGGTTCAAGTTGCGAAGGCGGAGGACGATCAGGCGGAAGAAGATCTGGGCGAAATCCCGGACGATTTCCTGGGTAAGTTGGCACTGAAATCAATGTCATGTGGAAACTCACTAATTTTCATTAGATCCTCTCATGTATACCCTTATGGAAGACCCAGTCATCCTTCCCAACTCGCGGACATCCATCGACCGTTCTACTATTCGCTCGCACTTGCTCAGTGACCCACACGATCCATTCAACCGTGTGCCACTAAAGATGGAGGATGTTATACCCGGTAAGATTCAATATTTCTAGCAACTCCATCTACTCTGTGCCCATCTAACGTTTTCTAGATACCGAGCTCAAGGCCAAGATCGATGCATTCATCAGCGAGCGTAGGGGTAAAAGCAAGGCTACGAAAGGAGAGATGGATACGACTGCGGATTAAATGATCAAGAAAGATAGGCATGGAAGCAGAGCAGCATGGTCGGAAAATCCTCCAATTCATTCTCCAAAATTCCATATAGCTTCTCCACTAGAATGCAACTTACAGGGATTGTCGAACTTGGTCGAACTCTCCTGCAGCTGCTCGTATGCAATGCCAAAGCTTATACCTGACCGCCTACCATATCGGGCTTTCTTAGTTACATCACCAGACCACCATCTCTCGATTCTCCATTAACCAAGTTGTACTCCCCGCTATATTTCTGCCCCTTGAAGTTTCTCTTCTTATAAGCTATAATGGGCGCGGCCCTTTCAACCTTCAAGGCCATTGTGCCTGAGCTGACAGAGTTCTACCCTGTTTCTCCAGTGGGTTATAATTTCGCCCTCACGACCTTTCAATATTTCCCTGTGGTATGTAAATAATGGCAATTCTGAATCACCAGTCCTTGAGAGCACTTCCGCTAAACCTCCTTTCCTAGGTCTGCGTCATACCATGGCTGATTTCATGGCACCCAGCAGGCAAAACCTCCATGCAAAACTCCATTTTCAACATGCCCGGTCGCATCGGATGGTTCCTGATGGAGATTGCTGGTCCCCTGAACATGATCTACAACCTCAGCGTCTCTACATCGCCATCATTCTCTGAGCTTCCTGCAGCTAACCAGCTTGCTGCAGCACTATACTGCATTCATTATGCCAACCGTGCTGTCATTTCACCTTTCTTCTCGGCACCGAGCATGTCGCCCATGCATTTGTTTGTCGTGTCCAGTGCAGTCCTATTCAACTGGTTCAACTCGTCTTGTCTCGTCGGCTGGATTCTTGGCCATGATATCTCAATTATAGGATTCGCAACCAATGGTGCGGAAACACTTCAATCCTCTTCTTCGCCCTCGTGGGTGGCGGCATTGCCCTTCCTCGGAACGGCGCTATTTGCTGTAGGAATGGTGGGCAATATCTACTCCGAGACATCTCTTTTCCGTATGAGAAGATATGAGGTTGAACAACGCTCCACGAAGAGGTCCGACTCCGCCACACCTGCCTCTACCAATGGCGGTAACAAATACAGCAAAGTCTACGTTATTCCTCCCACGCAGGGTATCTTCCGCTCCATTCTGTACCCGCACTACGCCTTCGAGTGGCTCGAGTGGACAGGCTTCGCCATTGCCGGCCTTGCAGTCTATCCTCTTTCTGCGTTCAGCAAGCATAGCAGCGCTGCTGCCACCGCTGTTTCTCCCCCAATTATGTTGGCTCCTTGGTTGATCCCGTTTGCCTCTGTGACGGATCGATTTGGACTGCCGCTGCCCTTGCCGGCAATTGTGTTTTTAATCAATGCAGTTGCTAATATGCTTCCTCATGCGCGGTGGGGACGAAAGTGGTATGTTGACAAGTTCGGCGAAAAAAAGGTTGCTGGAAGAGGAGCTGTTGTGCCCTGGTGCCCTTGGATGTGAGAAAACACCTCGCATCTCATGGAATATGGGCTTTCCATCTTAGCACGTGCAATCATGGTTCATAGGAGTTTGTAGCGTCTGTTACGGGTTTCATGGAACATGTCAATGCGAAATTAGCGCATTCTATTACAAGGTTGTGCAATTGCAATAATCGTAATGGGTGAAATCACACCTTCATGCCTTTCACTTATCTCTTTGAAGTCTTCGGACTAACATCACAGCTGGGACCTTGGAATGATATAAGAAATTAGATACAGATACCTACCTAGATAGGTATTAAAAGGCCATGATCAGCATAGCGGTAGCTGCCACCAAGGCCGTCATACTCAAGTCTCCTCCAACGAGTGCACCGGCCGAATCCTTCGCCCCAGGAACACCATCCTTGCCCGATGAAATCTCAACAATATCATCTGGAGAATTGTCGTATTTCCGCTTTGCCAGTGAGATCTGGCCGTTTTCAAGGTCAAATACCGAGTAAATTAGACTCATGAAATTAGATCCCAACAAGATACTTGCATCATAGTAATCGCTGAACTTGTTCTCGACGATCTCAAAAAAGCATACGTCACTGTCAACGTCGATCCAAGGCTTTGTCGGTTCAAAACTGCCCCGGCTGATAAACAAGCTCAGGTCAAATTCGAGATCTAGCTTTCCGAACTTAAACGTGATAGTTTGATCCTGAGAGATTGACTTGCAGGAGAAATTGACCTGGCCATATTCATCCGGCGCCTTGGTCAGGCCAATTTGAGAGTTCAGAGCCTGAGCCACCGACTTGGGAACATAGGTTTTGTCGATTAGATTGCCGAATAGAGCATCAAGCGGGAATTTGTTCGAGGCTTCCGAGCTTCCATTGATTGAGATGCCATCCATATTAATACGAAGGGCCTTTTCGGAGCTATTACCCATAACAGTATCAAAAGTGTAAAGGTCTCCCTCGTATTTGGCCTTGTTGACACCGCCAAACAAAACTGTCTCATTCCACACACTGACAGCTGCGGAGTTTATCGCACCAGTGTCAACTAGCACTTGGATTAGAGAGCTGGTGGATGCATTTCCATATCCGATGCCGATATTATCTGGTAGATGTCTGATCAGAAAAGGTCATAATAATAAATAGTACTAGTATTGCCATCGCCGACTTACTTTCGCCCCAGATATTATTGCTGTCCTCACTCATGTCCAGGACCGCAAACGTCATATTGTCCACTTTGGTATCTCCGATTTTAAAAATGTCCGTGACAGTGAAACCTTCTAACGGAGCACCCCATTCATCAGCCTATATCACTTCGAGATTGAGCTGCGTCTTCACTTACTCTGGAATTGGTGTTAAAGTCGAAGTCAACAGTCTGAGATCGCTTCGAGATCTGGCGCGAATTACCCCGTTCCTGCACTATAGGCACTGCAAGAACAGCGGGAGTATCTCTCTGGTCCAAAGCCAGCGCGTCGGTCAAGGCTGCGCCAGTCAAGCCGAGTAACCAAGCCGACCCACTCCGCATGATGATCGACGTGTGGCTGTTGAAATAAGAGTCTGACAAAGAAGCTTAGGTCAGGGCGAATAGGAAAAGAAAAGGAAAAGGAAACAATTTAATAGACTCCAGCAGACAAGGGACTTGTTAAATCCTGTGCCCACCCCCGGCAAAGGAGACGAAGGAATTCATCTCCCGCTAAGGAAGACGGGGCGCCAAAAGAGTCTCGTGAGTGGGTTAGTGCCAACAGATAATGCTACAGACCCCCTGCTCATACTCCCTAGGTGTAGATCTTGCCGCATTCGTGTTTGTGAGCCTCACCTTGGGGCTATTTTACTGGTTGCTTAGCCCGCCTGGAACCCTGCCAAGACGCCCTAATCTACAAGCTCGGGGGCCATTTTTAGTGGTGGTCCCTGGATTTTGCGAGGTGCATGTGTATGTTCCGTTCGAAGAAAATTTACTAAATTAACTTACATTAGAGCCGTGTTGGAAATTGCGGTGGTTTATTATCTGATGCAGCCGCTTCTTGAATATTACCAGTATTATTAGTACTGCCTAGGGACTCGGAGTAACGATCCGATAAATTGATCACCGTCACGGTTGCGATCTCAATTGTCCTGTAGTAACATTTTTGTAGATTTTACCGAGAGCTTACTAGTAGCTTTGGTTCTTCTCAAACATTAATTTCCTTGTTAATAATTCACATACAAGACCTGTGACAGTATAAACCCCTGTATCACGGGCTCCATTTCCCTCTGGTCGAAGCTGTGCCGTTTACCCGCGTAATAGGGATCTGGGTATAAGTTGGGGGCCAAACCTTCCTTCAAGATGTAGTAAGGCTTTCCTATTTTCTAGTCTAAGGGGTCAGAAATGATTCCAGTTTCAAGTGGCTACCTATGTATCCAGGCTGTTCTTGATAGACTTTCTTCTAATAGTTAGCCCGTTGATACCACAGCGAAGCTATTGATGTGAAGCATTTCACCTGAAAAATACTAGAGAAATTAATCGATCGATATTTGATCTAGAGAGTCGCAACACTCACATTAAAGACGAAGGAAACAAACGCATCAAGCAAATCATGATTAGGTGACCGTGGCCAGCATGGTAGCAGCAACCAACGCAGTCACGCCTAGGCCTCCTGCACGCATCTACTATTACCCACATTCTTCTTTGCCCCAAGAACGCCATCCTTTGTGATTTCAACAATATCGTCGAGGTCGTCATTCCAAGCTTGCTCCGCCAATGAGACCTCATAATTTGCAAGGTCAAAACCTTCGTAAATCAAGCCCATGAACTTGGTTTCTAAGACGATGCTTCCCTCTTCCGAGAGCTCCTACTTTTTGCTTTCCAGGATTTTCAAGAAACAAGTACCATCGGGATCACATCGTGCCTCGCGTCAGAGAGTTGCATTCTCGCTGACTGAACCTACTACCCATACAGCGGTCCGAGTATAAATTGGATGTTTTTCGTCACTGGTATCTTATGCGGATATGCCGGTAGGCGTTTGCCTGGGGAACAAGTTGTCCGAATAAAAGTCTCCTTCCAGGGTCACCTAGACTCTTTTACGATACTAGCAAAATGCGGAAGTTGGTCTCCCACCTCTGGCAACCCACCCAACCTGCTATTGCAATCTCACTTTCAAGTTAATCACCATCCCATCTCAAACGTCCATTTCACTGCTTCTCTTATTTCATCCTGGCTATTAGATCCACTGGTATGGCCAAACGCGGCCACTCGTATGTGCCTTGGCAGTCGATATCTTTGAGAACGACCTCCCATGCTTCCTGGGCATCATTTACTTCGTGCGGGAAAACACTGCGAGAGTAGACACTTTCCTCTCACCAGACGAGCAGGTACTCGGGAAGCTCTAAGCTAATACCACACAGGAAATTTATGCAAGCCACTAACTTGAACTACCAGACCACCTTTTTTCACTAGAGGTTGCTGTTTACACATGGAAAGTAAAGATTTAATGTAGCATAAAGCTCGAAGTAATATTCACAGCTAATTCTACAGTAGAACAAAGTTCTCATTCTCCAGGTCCAAGTGATAGCAACTGCTTCACAAGGACGAGAGAATCAAATTGTTGAAAGATTCGGCACCTAATAAGGCGGCACCCATGTTGAAATCGTTAGTAATGTTGAAACTCCGTAAACCCGCTTTTGGTGCCCTCTAATCCGCAAAACCCGTTTGAAACCGAATGTTGAACTTTTGGTATCATCTTCGTAATCGTCATAAAACAAAACTTCCCGTGCCAGGGGCGGCGGGTTGAAATATGCCGCCCCTTTCAATTAACACATTATGGGAAATGAAAAAAAGGAAAAAGTAAACCGGCAAGTTTACTTGGAGTACTTCTCGCGGAAGTACTTAGCCGCAGCCACGAGGGACTTGAGCTGACCGACAGTTTGCTCCTCCTGTGGGGAATTAGTAAATTGTTCTTGTTTTGAGAGAACTTGTAGGGGTATATAAACTTACAGTACGGGTCTTCAGGCCACAGTCAGGGTTGATCCAGAGCTGCTCGGGCTTGAGGAACTGGAGCATCTGCTCAATACGCTCCTTGATCTCCTCCTCGGTGGGAACACGAGGAGAGTGGATATCGTAGACACCGGGGCCGATGTGGGCATCGAAGCTCTGGTCAACGAAGACCTTGAGCAGCTTAGCATCGGACTTGCTGTTCTCGATGGACAGAACATCGGTGTCAAGGGCAGCAATGGCGTGGAAGAAATCTTGGAACTCAGAGTAGCAGAAGTGAGAGTGGATTTGGACATTGTCCTCGACACCGGCAGTGGAGAGCTTGAAAGCGTTCACAGCCCACTTCACGTAAGCCTCACGTGCGGAGCCAGTGCGAAGAGGGAGACCCTCACGAAGGGCGGGCTCGTCGACCTGGATAACCTTGACACCAGCGTTTGCAAGATCGATGACCTCGTCACGCAGGGCCAGAGCAAGCTGCTGGGCCTGGACGCTCTGGTGGACATCATCACGGGGGAAAGACCACCGAAGGCAGGTGATAGGGCCAGTAAGCATACCCTTCATGGGCTTCTTGGTGAGAGAAACGGCATAGGCACTCTCCTTCACGGTCATGGGTGCCGGGCGGCTGATGTCACCCACGATAATAGGGGGGCGGACACAACGGGACCCGTAGCTCTGAACCCAAGCATGAGTAGTGAAGACATAGCCGTTGAGGCGTTCTCCGAAATATTGAACCATGTCGTTTCTTTCCGGCTCGCCGTGGACCAGGACGTCCAAGTCAAGATCCTCCTGGAGCTTGACAACGTGCTCGATCTCCTTCTCAATGAACTTCTCGTACTCCTGAGCAGTGATTTCACCCTTGGTGAACTTGTTGCGCTGGATACGGATCTCCTGGGTCTGGGGGAAGGAACCAATGGTGGTGGTGGGGAAAAGAGGGAGCTTGATCTCCTTGGTTTGCAGTGCAATTCTCACGGGGAAGGCCGATTTCCTGAGATGGTCCTTTTCGGTCACTGCGGCCTGACGAGCCTTGACAGCGGGGTCATTGGTGCGTGTAGATGTAGCCCGAGACTTCATCGCGGCAGCGTTTGCTTCCAATTCAGCAGCAACAGAGGCGGGGCCCTGGGTGATAGCCTTGGCAAGGACAACAACCTCCTTGACCTTCTCGCTAGCGAAGCTGAACCACTCACGAACCTCAGGGTCGAGCTTCTTCTCGCTCTCGAGGGTGTGAGGGGTGTGGAGCAGCGAGGAAGAGGTAGCGATGCGCAGCCTAGTAGCAGGAATTGATTGTTGGATGCGCTCAAGCAGCTCAATCTTCTTACCCAAATCAGAGCGCCAAATGTTACGACCATCGACAACACCGGCGGACAGAGTCTGGTTAGGACCCAGGGCAGCGATAACGGCATCAACCTGCTCGGGGTTGCGGACAAGGTCGACGTGGATAGCATCAACATTCTGGGTGTCCTTCAGAACCTCAATGTTGTGGACAATATCTCCGAAGTAGGTGGCCAGGGTAATCTTGGGGGCCTTAGCGCCCAGGTTGCCCAGGGCCTCGTAGGCAGGCTTGAAAGCAGCCTTGACCTTGGGGTTCAAGTCCAAAACAAGGACAGGCTCATCCAATTGCACGCTCTCGGCGCCAGCAGCCTTCAGCTGGGCCAGGAGGTCGACATAGAGGGGCAGAAGAGCGGGGAGCAGGTCAATGGGATCAACGTTCTGACCACGGTCGGCCTTGGCGAGAGCCAGGAAGGTAACGGGACCGACGATGACGGGGGTGGTCTTGATGCCAAGCTCAAGGGCCTCCTTGAACTCAACAACGGGCTTGGGGTTGGCGTTCAGGGTGAACTTCTGGTTCTCCTGGACAGCGGGCTTGACAATGTGGTAGTTGGAGTCAAACCACTTAACCATCTCCAGAGCGGGGACATCGACACCGTTCTTCTGGTGACCACGGCCCATGGCGAAGTACTCATCGAGAGGGCTCAGCTTGTGCTTGCTGTAACGCTCAGGGATGACACCGAAGAGCTGGGAGTGGTCCAGGAACTGATCGTAGAAGGCGAAGTCGTTGCTGGGGATGGAGTCGACACCAGCAGCCTGTTGGATCTTCCAGTGCTCAGCACGGAGACGCTTACCCTCAGCGAGGAGGTCATCCTGGGAGATCTTGCCACCCCAGTAAGCTTCAGTGGCCTTCTTCAGGTCACGGAGCTTACCCATACGGGGGAAACCGAGAACGGCGCTAGAAGGAAAAGAGGTCAGTCATACAGAATTGGATAGAAGGCGGGGATGGGGAGTTCGGATGATAAACATACGATTGAACCATTCTGACGGATGTGTGTGGAATTGAAAGGGGGGAAAGAGAGAAGAAATAGGCGGGGTCTTAGCAAGGAAGAAGATGAAAAAACCCAATGCCTCTTGAAGAGAAGAAGAAAAAGAAGGAAGAAGGGGGGGATGAAGAGGATGAAGTAGGAAGAAAAATGGAGGGGGTAGTAAGAGGGACTAACCTCAACGGGATAGAGGGGCAGCTATGGTATTGAGTAATTAGGAGGTATTGGGCTGTACAGACCGGGGATCACTTGCACCAAAGTGGGGGATGTGCTGGAGAGTACCCAGAGAATCCCCAGCAAATAGCGGTATGGCCGGTGCACGGGGTAGTACAGATACCGGTCCAATACCAGAAATCGCCATTCATACTGTAAATTGATTACACCCCACTAGACAGCCCGCCGATCACGGAGTCGGATCACGCCATTCAACACGATAAGCGATAGCCTATGTATTAGGGAAAGTAGGGTGGAATAGAATATTCTTAGCATATTCTAGTATACAGAAGTTAGAGCTAGTATTTAGTCCTGAGTCACTCACTACCGACTCAACTAAATAGTAAATACCTTACTCGCGTCAGCGTGGCCAAGAATGACCTCTATCCTGCATTGCATGGCTTATGCGGCCAACTGAGCCTGTGCCCCATCCCCTCTCCGCCTCGGCCTTAGAACATGTAGGACCGTCATGCACGCCGGTTCCACCAATTGATCCGTCCGTCACTCCCCTACGAGATACCAGTCCGTGGCTGTCAGGCGCTTGTGAGATATGCTCAAACTGAATTTTGAGGCTTCATCTTCGAGGCTTGCAGGACATATTCACTAGCGGTCAGCTTGGTTGCCATGTCAATCTACCCTAGGTCCAAAGTAAACTTTTGCTGCACAAGTGGCAAAAGAGCATTGGCCTTGATGGATCCCTGCTGCCCCGCAATCAGAACCCCTCAGAAGCTTCTGGGACTTGACATGGTCAGATGGCAAATAGATAGAACATTATCGATACTGATAGGCTAGTGGTACAATATTCAAGTTGTCAAGATACCTGGGTCTATACTATACAATACTATACTGTACATTATTATTGCGCAACACCACGGCGCTTCAGATCCTGAAGATTAGGGACTTCTTGGTCGCCCGGGCGACGCTCAGACTCGATCTTGATGCTATCCTCAGGGCCACCTTTTCCCTGGAAATCCTTGGCTTGGGGAAGTCTAGACAAATACTGTTAGTCTCTTAAATATATACCTACAGCATTCGAAGAGTGGAATTGGTAGAAAAAGCTCACCTTCCACGGTCATCACGGATACCGCCCTCGTCTTCGGGGATCTTTCGATGGTCGCTACCAGAAGCGGTGGCGCCAGGGCCGTATTTGACATCTCCAGCTTCAGGGAAGCGCTTCTCAACTAACTCATTGACGCCGGACTCTTGGGCTACAAAGTTATTAGCGTCCATTGAGTCTTTCATTCCGCCGGAAAAACCAGTATCATCCACGGATTATGGTGACGAACCTGAATCACTCTTGGGGCCAAGACCTTGCTTAGCCTGGTAGGAGTTGAGGTCTTTCTCCGCCTCGTGGGCGATCCGGTAGTTTTCTTCAGAGGAGGTAGGCATAATTTGAGCTTTTGGGACTGGGGTGAATTGTTGAAGTTGAAGTTGGAAGTTGAAGGGGTTTCAATTGGAATGATCTGAAATTGAACAGGACTTTTAGTTCAAGGTTAAAATGTTTGTCTCAGTCAGGCTTGGAAGCAAGACTTGAAATATATAGCAAGAAACTGTGCTACCATGTTCTGATATCATTGACACTTTCAACCTTGAAAGTTAATGCTACTACCAGACATCTACATCATCTACATGTAATTCTCCTTCAAGAGAACCCGCCAATGAGAAGGATGCGATCATAACCCCCAAGAGATGGTTCAATCAAACTTGGCAGCTATGATGTATACAAGAGCTTGCGTTCCATGTTCGGATCAGGTTAGCTCGTACTCTCCAAGCTCGGTCTGGCTTCCCCAGGCAACTCTCCCGTCTTTTAGTCAAATTTAGAAAAGATGCTTGCGCAGAGCCTCCCTCGTGGAGCGAGACCTATTCGAGACTGGGAAATTTGAGCAGGGAACTCCCATTGATGGTAGAGGTGACTTCATTGGCTCCACTCAATGCCCTAACTTGTTGTTTCCCAATTTGGCCAGTTTGTAGGGTCCAGCCCTAGGGCTCATGGGCGGGCCGGAATAACAAGACCCCGCGATGAGGGGAGCTGGAGCGGCGGGATCAATGAAGGCATCTGTTGACAATCGCGACGCGTCTCGTTGCTGTTCTCGATCGACTCTGCTGAGGTACTATAGTTGAAAGCCTGATCACCCTCGTTGAATCCGATATCCTGGTGCAGGGCCAAGCATCTTAAGTGATTCCAGGAAATATCCCTTCACCATGGTCAAAACAGTCTCGATCGAGGTACCGGGGGAGTCCAACCCATTGAGTTTACAGAATGTCGTGAACTCTTTGGTTTTGGCCGCAAGCTCGAGTCAGCAGCAGGTCCAGACGGGTACCACGCAGCTGCAGAACTGGGAGCGGATCCCTGCATACCATGCCTTTCTTCAGGTTGGTGGAACATACCTTTAGAGATTCTATGTACAGAGCTGACGTTTGATATAAAACAGGATGTTTTTTTGGACCACTCCGCCCCTAATGAAGTGCGATATCTCTCCATCATTCAACTGAAGAACGGAATCGACAAGTACTGGCGCAGAACAGCGGCAAAGTATGTTTCAGGATAAACGTAAAGCGAGACCAGCGCTGACTCGAACAACAGTGCGATTGAGCCGGAGGAGAAAAACAAGATTAAGACGAGAGCTCTGGATGCTGGCATCGTTGAGCCATCTCGCCCGCTCGCTCTTCAGAATGCGCTGATGATCGCCAAAATCATGCGCTATGAATTCCCGCAAGACTGGTATGATCTATATCTACGTTCGCAGTCAACTGCTCCTACATATAATTGCTCACATTTCCCTCATAGGCCCGATGCGATGACCGCTATCATCAACTCCCTCCGTAACGGATTCCAAGCCGGTGCGAACCCACTCCAGGTCCCTCGGACTCTCCTCATCCTCCTACAAGTCATCAAAGAGTTATCAACTGCCCGAATTCGGAGAACCCAGCTTCATCTCGCTTCCGCTGCACCTGAGATATTTCATGTCGTGGGCAAAATTTATATGGACAAGGTGACTCAATGGGCAGGCATTCTGGAGCACGGCGGATCGGATGAAGGGGCGCTTTCAGAGGTGACCGAACAAAGTCTCATTTCCCTGAAGTGCCTTCGTCGCCTAATGATCTCGGGATTTGAGCACCCCGGTCGCGATCGGGATGTGCAACAATTCTGGGAGTTGACGAGCGAGCACCTGAACAAATTCTTGGCGTTTGTTGACCAGCCGGGTCGACTACCCGAATCGGTTCATACGATGGTCGAGAAGCACATTTTGCAACTATCAAAACTGCACGTTGAGATGGCAAAGAACAAGCCCGCATCATTCGCTTTATTCTCTAACTCAATAGACCTTGTCAATGCCTACTGGGCATTTGTTGTCAAGTTAAGCCCGAACTATGTCAACCTTGGATCCGATGCCGAGGCTGATGGGCAATCCCTGCCCGAGAAGACTGCCCTGCGGGCTCTTCTTTTGATTCGAGCGTGCTCCAAGATGGCCTTCAACCCAGCTCAGACTTTCAAATACCAGACAGCGGAAGATAAGGAGGAGCGAAAGCAATCTGTGGACAAAATAAAGTCTCAGCTGTTTACCCAGGAGTTTGTGGTCAGTGTCATGGAGCTCATTGTCACTCACTTGTTCCGTCTAAGAAACGTTGATTTCCAAGAATGGGAAGAAGACCCAGAATCCTGGGAGAAGCGGGAAGTCGATGCCGATGCATGGGAGTATTCCATCCACTCTTGTTCAGAGAAACTTTTCCTTGACCTCGTCACCCATTTCAAAGACTGGCTCATCAGCCCTCTATTGAATGTGTTTCAATCCTTTGCCAGTGAGTATCTGATAAGCAAACATATTACGTGGAGTATACTGATCATGTCTGCAGCTACCGAAAATAAGAATGTCATGCTGAAGGAATCGTTATACTCTGCCATCGGCTTGGCAGCTGCCAGTCTCGAACAGCATTTGGACATCAATGCATTCCTCCAAAATACCATGATCCCCGAAGTCCAGATTCAAGAACAGGAATATAGACTTCTTAGAAGACGGATAGCTCTCGTCCTTGGTCAATGGGTGCCCATTAAGTTCGCTGATATGAACATGGAGTCTGTCTACCAGATCTTTCAACACTTGCTCAACAAAGATGATCCATTGAATGACCTGGTCGTTCGCATTACCGCAGGACGTCAGCTCTGCAACGTTCTCGATACATTCGATTTCAAGATCGAAACATTCCTGCCGTTTGCTCAGCCGATCCTCGCAAGTCTCATGTCACTCATGCAAGAGGTTGAATTGTCTGATACAAAGATGGCATTGCTAGAATCGGTCCGGGTCATCGTCGTCAAGATGGAACAACATGTAAGCTCCTTCCCATTCACGACTTTAGACACCGCTAACACCACTCGCTCTAGGTTGTGATGCTATCCGATAGTATCCTCTCTCCCCTTCCGCAGGAATGGGAGAAGTCCGGCGAAGAACATCTCTTGAAACAGGCGATTCTTACCCTCCTCACATCTCTGATCCATTCGATGAACCAAGAATCCGTGCGATACCACCCGATGATTCTTCCTCTTATACAAAGCTCCATTGATACAGGTTCCGTAAGTAGCTACTTCTTTGACAGGGCTAGAGTTTTCGAATTCGATTCTAATTCTTCAAACCACAGGAAACCCATCTATACCTAATGGATGAAGCATTAGAGCTCTGGGCGGCCGTCATCATGCAAACACCGTCGCCACCTTCTCCCGAAATTCTCTCGCTCTTCCCTGCCCTCTTTCCGATTTTGGGAGAGGGCACAGAAAGCGTGGGTCAAGCTCTCGAAATCGTGGAAAGCTACATTCTGCTTTCACCGCAAACTCTCCTCAGTGACGAAATTCGATCAAAGCTTTTATACTGTCTTCACAGCCTTCTTGAGCCCATGACGAAACAGCGATCCGGCGTTATACCCCGTCTTGTTGAAAGACTTATTCGTGGCGTGGAGACAGTTGATGGCGGAAGCGAGACCGCCTATAATGCCATTGCTCAGTCTCTCCTCGAAACAAACATGCTTCAATCCCTTCTCAAGGGCCTATACAGTGCCCACGAAGCTAGCCAAACAACCGGACCTAATAGGAAGAGATCCGACGTGGATGGCAAGGTCGAAACGGAATACTTTTCCTCCATTGCTCGTCTTGCTCTCGCTAACCCTACACTATTTGCATCCGCAGCAACGGCTGCGACCTACCAGGCCGAAGAGGAATTATTCACCTGGCTTCTCACGGAGTGGTTCTTCCATTACGACAACATCGCCTCCGCCAGCCAAAAGAAGCTCCACGTCCTCGCCTTGACCCAACTCCTTGCCCTCAAGGGCCCCGCCTCCGCCCCGCCCCCCCTTCATCCTAAAGTTCTTACAGGACTACCTCACCGTCTGGAGCGCGCTTGTCGTTGAACTAGCGGAGGGTGGAACCGACGAGAATGCCGACTATCTTGTCTGCTGGAACGCGCCCGCAGGCTCCGAGACAGCCCAACCCGAACACTCAGGCGTTGAGAATGCCGAAGATCGTCGCCGCCGCGAATGGAACGAGTCGGATGCCATCCATCGCTTCCCAATCCGCGACTTCGTGCGTCATCGCCTGCAGGAGGTCATTACTACATGTGGTGGTGCGCAGCGGTTCCAAGAGGAGTGGCTGGTCAATGTTGATTCGGAGGTGGTGTCGGCTTTTGGTGGGTTGGGCCTGATTTAAAAAGAGCATTGATACTTGGGTAACTGGGTGATCTTATGTCATGCATTCTGGGAGTTTCATTCTTCTCTTATTTATTTTAGAGTTCGTTTTTACATACCCTCTCCAATGCATTTTAGATTATCCGTTCGTTATAAGTAAGGGTGAAATTGTACAGCAGTCGAACTCGTCTCATAAGCCATATCATATACCTTGGGTACTCCATGTCATGCCATGTCGTCATCTCATTCCAGGGCTTCATTTAAGGTGTCGTACCCGGAGGAAACTCCGAGAATAAAAGCTGGTCATTACTCCTAGAAAACAAATCAGCATCAGTTCCAGTTACGAAGCAGTTATAATAGTAACAGCGCAAGATAAAGATAAAACTTACCACATCTGCTCCTCAAAATAAACCTCCGGCCCCTCAAACCACCCATTATTCCCAGAAAACATCTGCACGAATGATTCCTGGCCAACTGGGTCCGAAAAAGACGGCATTTCCGGCACCATGGAGCCCAGCTCTGCAAGCACGGGGCTAGAAAATCCATCCCGTAGCCTCTCCAGCGTCTCATAACAGCGACTGGCAAACGGGCTCAGTTCAACCATAGTCTTGATAATCGCAATCGCTTTGTCGATGTCTTCCTGCCAGCCTTCCGAGTGCGGGGACTGAGGTTCGTTGTGCAGGAGGATTACTGGGACTAGAGTTGCCGAGAATAGGAAGTATAATGCGTACCAGCATGCCATTCTTGTGTGGATTGCGCTATGCCAGAAGTTGTCGATGCTGATGATCGTTTCGTGCGACTCTTTTAAACATCGCTCGCAGGCTTTGTCAATATATGGCTGGTCTGGCGATGGTTTTGGGATTGGTATGGGGAATGCAGTGAGTGAGGCTGTTTGTTGCTGGTTTATTTGGAGGGCCTTTTGGATGAAGAATGGTCTGTAGATTATGAGGCGGAAGTGCTTGTAGCGCCAGGTCATGATGGCGTGAGGAAATTGGTGTCGTTCGGGGACGGTGGCTGTTTCTTTGTAATAGTCTGGCACGAGGTTCAGCCACTTTGATATGTAGAAGTCGTCCCATTCAAGGACTTGTTTGGCTGTCGGCGACGGTTTGGAGATGACGCGGTTGTAGATGTGGTTTGTCAGAAGATGGAACTGGGACTGGACGCGAACGTTGGTGTAGATAGTTGGGACGTCGAGATTTGCAGGGGCAATTGTGGTAGATGCTGTAAGTTCGCTCTCTAGAATGTTGAAAGGTAGCTTTGTGTTGATTCCGGCAGATGGGATTGCTAGAGGGCGACTGAATGTTATGGTCGAGCCTGCATCGAAGATGAAAAGACACCACCAAGTTCGTCGACGGATCTCGCGATATAATAAGTTTCCTTCCACACTAGGGTGGTCTTTATGAAGGCCCAGTCCGTAGGCCATGCGAACCGCTAATCCGAGGTAGTTGTGACTGGAGTTGGGACGATCGCGCTTTTGTAGGTAGTTTGAGATCAGACATAGACTCTGCACCAACGTCAAGCTGCCAACTTCAAGGATCTCGACCGATAGATGCGACCGCGCACATTGATAGAGAATAAGGTCGTCATCGTTAGAAGCCGTGGCGGACATGAAGGCACCGATGGCTGCAACAATGTAGATCAAGATCTTGCTGTGTTTTGGCCGGGGCACGATCTCATGGAACTGAGCCATAAACAGTCCTTGGTGAACCAATGGATAGTTTGTATGGTATTCCTTGAAGTAGTTTGTGATATATGATTCGATTTTGTGGGAGGGAACTTCGCCGCGGGCTAGCTTTTGTGATGACTCGCTGCTCGGTGTCGATGTCTTTGGTGGTGGTGGGACAGAGGAGAAAGGAAACGAGAAGTGACTTTGAATGAGGCGCAGAAGAGCTGCCCCAGACGCTAATCCTAGATACCCTGGTCGTTCCTCTTCGATCGAAAGAGCCGCCATACCGTCGAGGCAACTCTGTGCTTCAGTGTCTCGTTCATCCCAGTCGTAATCCGCCCCATTCACTACTGGGTTATCTGCGGCGGCTGTCGGAAGAATGTCGGTGGACAGAGGATCCTCAATGTTGTTGTCAGATATGAGTATGTCAAGGCCTGGTTCAAATATCGTAGGCTCGGTCTGGGTATAATCGGGCGATCTGTTGCGACCTTGAGTAGGTTCCTCCGATGCGATTCGGGGTCTTTTCAAACTTCCGAGCGGCGTATTATCCTCGCTCTTTATATTAGACGGGCCATGTTCCTGATTTGCTCCATTTCTCGCTTTCGCCAGCTCGGCATCCAAGTCGACGTCAAGGCCATGGTCACGAATTATTTGAGTCGCGATGCGGAGGGATTCTTCAACTTCGGTCAGGTATCTGTACTCCATTAGTTCACAGATCGAGATACCCAGAGCTTGAGCAGTACAAGCTAAATATGCGTACTTGCGCGTTAAAGGGCTGCGCGTCGGCCTCTCATATAAGCAATGCCGGCGCCATTGGAGACATTGCGCGCACACGGGTAGCTCGCGCGAGCACTTAACACTATTGTCAATCCGTGTCCCAAGAGTTTAAGGGAACTTGTACATACTCGGGCCTTTCTCCGGCGGCACTCTTTACAAGCATGCGACTTGACCGTTTCACTCATGTTCGATGAGTCCAGGAATGAGGAGTGGCGTGAAATCTTTCCCCTCGTGGGGTGCGGGGCGGGACGATCGCAGTTGTTCCGATATCATATTCATGACGGCTACGCCACCAATACCGAAAGGGTAGATCATGCGAAGTGGAGACAAACAGAAAGGCAAATCTGCCGAACGTCGGACCTACTTTCTCTTCCGGCTCGTATTGGGGGGGAATTTCCCGCGGTGGCTGTAATGCTGGTTTTGGAGGAACTCGGAGTATCCCCAGTAATGACTATCAATCTGAGTCTATTGAAGAGACCAGGCATACAAAACTCCAGGAATGATCGCATTGTCCTCACCAATACTTGAATACCCGGTAGTAGGATATTTAACATACTCACCAACTCAAATGTGCTTCTGTGAAATGCAGTAGTCGAGTGAAGTTTACCAGGGTCGAATATTTGTCAACCCCCCCCAAACTAGATTCATGTTCTCTAGCAGACAAACTTGAATAGCGTGAAAAAATCATAGTATTTTCATGTCTATGATCAAATGCATGTTCACAGTCCAATTCTGCCAAAGGATATTGGGCAGCTTTCCATTTCACTAGCCAAAAGACGAGAACGTCGGTTCATGATGGAGTACAAGGCTTTATATTATCAAATAGTCAAATACCCCTATCTCATTATCTCCCTCTGGAATTCAGTCGCCCTGTAGGCTTCTCCAAAGTAAGGTCAGAACCCCATCCCCATGGGGAAGTGGGGTGCCGAGTTGTTGTAAGCCCGACAAGGCGAATGACCGACCCCGCCGAGGTTATGTAGATCGGAGTTCTGTCACCCCAGTTTCCGGGTGATGTGATGGTACGATTTGATACCTACCGATCCTTGTTTTTCGTCGATTTTTCTGCGAGCAGGGCACTTCGAGAGTGGATCCGGGGAACGAAATCTGGGGTTGACCCAGAGCCATCCATCATCGAAGGTTCTCCGCGCGAATTACTTAAAAGGCAACTTCTCCCCGGACCTGAGGTTCAAGATCTACAAGAATTTGACCAAATAATCAAATTCTCACCGGTACGCTAGAAAGCTGGCCAGGCATAGTAATTCATCATTCATACCCAGGAAGCAATGCCAGGACATGTCGCCGATTCAGCGATAGCTGGCGACCATGCTATCGAATATGGACCAGCTGGATATAAGGGCTTTCTCAAAGAAATCCGCATTTTCGGATTAGCATGTTTTGCTACGATTGGAGGCTTTCTCTTCGGCTATGACCAAGGGATTATTTCCGGCGTGCTAGTCATGCATAGCTTTGTGAGTTGGTGGTCAATAAGCTGAACGTATCCCTCTAATATACGCCTAGAAAAATCATTTTCCCAACCTTTCCTCCGACGCCGGTCTCGAAGGATGGGTTGTTTCGATTATGACCCTCGGCGCTATGGTCGGCGCGTTCATCAATGGGCCTATGTCGGACCGCTTCTCCAGACGCTGGTCAATTTTGATCGCAAATATCGTTTTCCTGATCGGCTCAGCGATACAGGCAGCAGCGGAAAATGTTGCTATGTTATTTGTTGGCCGATTTATCTTCGGTGTGGGTGTTGGTATGTTGGCAATGGTTTGTCCGCTTTATCTTTCCGAGCTTGCGCCCCCAAATATTCGGGGATCTTTGGTTGCATTGCAGCAGCTATCGATAACTTTTGGTATTATGACCAGCTTCTGGATCAACTATGGCACTCAATATATTGGGGGTACTGGTGTCGGTCAAAGCCAGGCGGCTTGGAGACTACCACTTGCGCTACAATGTTTTCCATCTATAATCCTTGCTACCGGCACATTTTTCTTGCCGTACAGTCCACGATGGTTGATGAATCAGGGTAAGATTTCTGGTTGAACCCAATTTATTCGATACTAATCTTTCTTTAGGCCGAGAAGATGAAGCTTTGCGTACGTTGGTAAAGTTGCGACGCGTCCCCGAGACAGACCATCGTCTACAAACAGAGTTCCTTGAAATCAAAGCGGCTCGCATGTTCGACGAACAAATTAGAGACGAGAAGTTTGGCAAAAACTCGTCCAGATTCAAGGTGGCGCTTCAAGAATATAAGGAACTATTTGTCGCACCTCATCTGAGAAGGAGAACTATGGTTGCATGTCTTTTACAGGTGATTCAGCAATTTACAGGAATCAGTAAGTTGTTTTATTTGAATAGAAGACAATTACAATTCTAATAACGCTATGAAACTGATAGATGCCATCATTTACTACGCACCACAATTCTTCGAAGCAATCGGACTCAGCGGAAACTCGGTCAACCTTTTAGCCACGGGAGTTGTCGGTATTGTCTTCTTCCTTTCTACCATTCCCGCGGTCATGTATCTGGACAGATGGGGCCGAAGAAAGACATTGATGTATGGCGCTACTGGAATGTCCATCGCGCAGCTGATCGTAGCTACCTTGTACGCCGTTTACAAAGACACATTTAGCTCGCATCCCTCAGCAGGATGGACTGCCTGTGTGTTTGTGTGGGTGTATATTGGCACCTTCGCCTTCTCCATCGCCTGTGTCAATTGGATCATGCCTTCTGAAATGTTTCCGCCTGCGATCCGAGGTAAGGCTGTCGGACTTGCGATTGCGTTTAACTACCTTTCCAATTTTATCGTTGCACTGATCACTCCGCGTATGCTTGAGAGCATTACATTTGGCACGTTTTACTTTTTCTTGGTGTTCTGTCTTATTCTGGGAGTTTGGACATACTTCTGTGTTCCTGAGACAAAAGGTCAGTTTCCTACTGGTAGCTATTCATGGGAATGAGAGTACACTAATCATCAGCAGGGGTACCGATTGAAGAGATGGACAAACTATTTGGTGGAAATGACGGCGAAGGAGATTTGCGGAGAATTGCCGAGATCCGTGAACAGCTTGGAATGGGGGGCAGCGGGGTTCTAAAGAGTGATCTGCTTCAGAAAGAGGAAAGCAGCGAACATGTTGAAAATCCCGTTTGAAATGACAGACGAGGGACAAAGGATCCATGGTTAGTTAGCCAAGGTAGTCTCTTTGGGTCTCTTCCGAGACCCCCAATATCCGCTACGCTATAAAAGTGCAATTTATGAGTATATCAGATGGAATCTTTTCAAGAATACGCGGGAGATACGTTGTCAGAAACTGATAACTAGATTGAATTCAATCCTATTTAATAATAAAGTATTGCGCCTAGCGACTGAAACACCAAACTCCATATAACCCTTTCACAGAAAGGGAAACCTCAGAAGACAGGTTTAAAGGATTCAAAGAAAAGATAATGTAAAAAATGAAAAGGGTTTTAAGGCAGACCGAACTCCGCCGATCAACACTGGCCAGGGAACCGGCGGTCGACAACGGGGTTAGGGAAGATACCACTAGCAATCTGCATCTGCATATCCCATTCGGGGGCACCCTCGGTCTTCCAGGTCCAGTATAGCCAACCGCTTCCCTTCTCATAGGCATCCAACTGACCCTCGATAAAGCGACGGATGTTGTCACGGTCCTCTCCAGAGAGGGTGTCGATAGAGCCGACAGACTTTCCGTCACAGCTACCAATGGGGCTGCTACCGGGGTAAGATCCATCGTAGCGAGCACCGACGCCCTTTCCGTTGAGGTACTTGGCACAGTCAGTCATGGCACCAGTCCATTCACCAACGATAGTCCACTTGTCGCAGGTCTCAATGTGGTCCTTGGCAAAGTTGCAAGCAGTGCGGGCATGGGAGCTGGCATCCAAAGCAAGCAGTCCACTGTCGAAAACCTCGTAGTGATGGGTATCCATCATAACATAGTTGGCGCCGGTACCGACGTTCAGGAAACCATTCCATGACTCAGTGGGCATGAATCCATCGTGCAGAACAACGGTGGTGTCCTGGCTAGACTCGCGGGCAACGCCCCAGGCATCGTAGTAATATTGCTTGAGGCCATCCTCGTTGACACCTCCAGGGATGCTGGGCTCGTTCAAAGCCTCGATGGCGGTGACAACGTCGGCATCGCCAGCATAACGCTTCGCCAATTCCCGAAGAGCATTCTTGGCTTGTTCGGTAGTATCACCCTGTTGCCATCCAATGGAGCCACGCTTTCCACTATTATCGAATCCGTTCTGGGATCCAGGAGCTAAGAAGCTTTCGTCAGTTATACTCGTCTGACAATATCGACCCGGGTATCTACTTACCACCGTGCAGGTCGACGAGAACTCTGAGGCCGGCACCACGAGCCCAGCCTACAGCAGCATCCAGGTACTCCAATTGACCATTCACGTATGGGTCGCCCTCGAGAGGAGTCAATGCCCAGTACCCAACGGGGATTCGGACGTGGTTCATGCCAGCAGCGGCAATCTGATTAAAATCATCCGCCGTCACAAAGGAGGCCCAGTGCTGAGAGAGCACAGATCGGCATTGGTCCGCGCCGAGGGTCGCGCACAAAGACCACTCATCAACGGCGGCGTCACCGGCATTATCGAAGATGGAAGGGGTGATCCAAGGCTCCAGTACCAGCCAGCCTCCGAGGTTGACACCACGAACCTTGTCATTTCCATAGGGAAATCCGGGGTCGGCACTGCTTCAAGTTAGTTTCCAAAGTGCATGGCTTCCGAAGATCTTCATTTTGCTTTGCCTTTGGAATATTCCAAGGCTAAAGCTATGTCAACTCACACTGCAGGAATGGCCAGACCAAGTGCCGCCAGGGACAGGCCCAAAAGGCTCTTTTGCGAGAATCTGGACGACATATTGATAATTCTCCAAGACTAAGAGTTCACCCAGAAATTAGGAGGCTGGGATTCTGGAATGGAATGATAGAATGATTGTGTCAAATGGCATGGAGATCGACCGGTATAAGTAAACTCTATGTCGATACTGAGGGTTAGATTTGGCCGCATGCAGATGAAATGGCAGCTCGGTGCTTGAGAACGGAAGCGACCGAGCTTCCCAGGAATGATAGATCACACACCTTTGGCAAGCTCTCTGTAGATCTTATCTTCACAGAGTGGCCACGCGTACCTGACAGCTCCCGGGAAAGGAAAGCGACTCAACCGCAAACAGACAAGAGTGGGTCCTGGTTCTCCGGGTATGGGGTCGATGAATGGAACAATGCCCTTCAAGGAGTGTTTGTGGAGCGATCACTTCAAAGCGTGGATACAATTGGTCGGTGGTCGCTCTGTGAAGGTATTGTATTTTGCATAGGTAAGGTTGTAGTGAGGGCAGAGTCGTAGCGGCGCGGCAGGCAAAAGAGAGACAGGCCTTGACCAGCTAAAAGAGGAGGATTTACAAATGGAGATGAGGATTCCCAGAAGGTTTACTGGTCTCGTGACGAGCACCTCTTGCTTCCCTCTCGTACGAGTAGAATATGAATGTGCGATAAGACGAGGAAAGCGCAATTGACTTGCCCAAGTTAGGGTTACCTCATCCCCAGTCTCTCCTAGAGTAACTTATTTTGTAGACTGCCTCTCGAGTGTTTTATTGGGTGAGGCACTATATATCTCTATCATTCAAATCAAAAATGAGAAATAATCATTCCATTAATACAAATAAATATTAGTGCGTTAATGTTATGCCATTATGACAATGTGAGACGGCGGGGAGAAAGTTACCGTTTGCGGCCAACCAAGTCGCGAGCCAAGCAAGGGAGAACGATCAACGCGCGTGGTGTTTCTCCGAGGAATGTTAAAGACTGAGATCGATCGCGATCTGGATTCTGGATATTTTTCGGCCAGAAAAAAAAATCCATGACAAGGGTCACGGTACTTGTAGAGCCTATACCCTCACTGGGAAGTTATGGGCAGATTTTATGTGCTCATACGAACTGCTGGTATTTATTTGAGCACCGAGAACATAGATAAACAATAACAATAAAATCAAAGTTCGAGGTTTTCCTTCTCATGCTAATTCACCCAGATGACCATTTCACATCTGTCATAGCCATGTTTTTCTCGGATGCTCCCGACTGGACATGGTATTCAGTGCGCTTCCGTTTTCGGCAATATATGGCTTTTGACCCCAACTAAACCTCAAATACTGTCTATTGGCTAATTATATGGTCACATGAGTCACTAACTTCGAGACTTTTGTCATCTCAAGCGTTGAGTTGTGTTTTCGAAATCATTCCAGCTCTCTATCCCAATAAATCCCCACAAAACACCAGAATCGGGACCTCGAAGTGTAGGAGTGGTCACAACTCTTTGTAACCTAAGACATCGACAGGAATGTTGGCTGGAATGCGGGTTCTCTTACATCCAAATGTTATTGGTTCCACCTGGGCATTGTTCCGGTATGGCATGAACATCATGATGTATCTATGCTAGAGCTCCCATCAGTTGATGCGCATGAAGGAAGGCCCTGGTCTTGGATCTATGGCTCACTTTATTTGCTATTTTTCCTGGATTTAGAAAGTCACTCTTGCTACTGATTCATCAACATTGTATTTGGTGAGTCACATAAATATTGGGCTAGAAGTTGTATGGCTAGCTTTTTGTCCAATCAAGCAGGATATGCAAAACTGCCCACCCACCCCGGTACCGGCTTTATCATCACGACTTCAAAGCTCAGAAATCGTGATCAACGATACCCCTCCTGCAGGGTGTGATTTCAAAACATCAAAACATTGATTAATACTAGTAGCGCTACCCGAAGTCTCGGGCACAAAATCATGATTCCTAATCCCGAGGTCGGCGGTTAAAAATGTTCGGCCGAACGCTCGGTGGAAAGATGTATAAAAGTAGTACATGTTCAGAAGGGCCCCAGGATTGATATCATCGCATCTAAGAGAAAGAATCACAGCCGAGAAACATTTTCAAACATTTCTCAAGTTTATCCAATCAAAATGGTCAAAATAGCCATCGCTGGCGGATCCAGCAGTGAGCATTACTATTTTTGATACCCCGGGCAGTACTGAGCTAACACATAGATAGCCGTCGCAAACGAGATTATTGATGCTCTAGTCGCTACTCAGAGACACGAACTCGTCGTTTTGTCCAGAAAGGTTTCTCATACACACATAGTACGCTTCTGGGCAGCCAGAACAGTAATTGACATGGTGATACAGGATATACCAACCCACAAGGCGGATCTGGGAATCACCCAGATGAAAACAACCTATGAAGATCAAGCCCAGTTGGTTGAGGTCCTTCAAGGAGTGCACACGGTTCTTTCTTTCCTTGTGACGCCAGAGGACCCAGCCAGCATAGCTCAGAAGAATCTGATTGATGCTGCAATCCAAGCAGGCGTTAAGCGATTTGCGCCTAGCGAGTGGGCCTGGTATGCCTCATTTTTGCCAGCTGTTTTCTCTCCGATATTGACCGTCTTCAGCTCCGAATTGGACCATATTAGTTGGTACGCGTACAAAGGGGAAATCCGCCGATACCTCGAAGAGCTCAATAAGGACAAAAAGGCAAGAGATGACTAAAGTTTGGAGGCGGGAAGATATTAACTGTGAATCTATTTAATAGGTCCTTGAATACACGCTATTTCAGCCAGGTACATTTGTGAACTATCTCACACACCCTTACCAGTCTGCCAAGCACATCCCTTCAATGGAGCTTTTCTTCGATTTTGAAAATCGCCGTGCTATCTCCCTGGAGGAAGGCGATGATGATCGGATGTCTTTTATAACCGTACAAGACTTCACTGATGCAATTGTCCAGGCTGTTGAATTTGAGGGGGAGTGGCCTGTTATTGGTGGCATCCGAGGTACGGATATCTCTATTGGAAACTTGATTGCGCTGGGCGAAAGAGTTCGCGGTATGTTGTTAATCCCCATGCCAATTTCAATACCCACTCCAGACAGCTGATAAGAAATATCCCGCAATAGGTGGCTCGAAATTCCACGTTGAACGGGTGAAGGTGCAAGACCTCCAGAACGAAACGTGGAGCACCTCTTGGGTCCCGAGGATCGATCATCCTTCAATTCCCAAAGAACAAATCGACGTGTTTTCCAGAATTGTCTGCGCGGGAATATTGCTAGCGACCCACTATGGGGCCTACTCTGTTTCTGATGAGTGGAATCGCTTGTTACCAAGCTTTCAGCCAACCCCTATTGAAGAATTTCTGGCAGAGTGGTGGAATGATAAGCCTTGAATAATGCTGGTTGGCCGAATGGGCTAGATATTCTTCAGATTGAATCAGATGCTAACTTGAATTTCAATGCATTTCTCTAAAACCGGTCATCTTAAAAAAAAAACGGCTCGCTCGACTTGTCGCCTATGCTTGATATATAGCAAAGGGACCTACCTTGACTAAGGTACCTTCAAGTAATGGACTGGAACCCCCTCCAAACGGGTAGAGCCAAGACCCCTAGACCATTCGGAGCTACGATGCCAGGATGGACTCTTTTTCCAATTGTAACCGATGCCTTTCTAAGGTTGCCCAGTATTCCCTTCCTTCCCCGTTACAGTATGGGATTAGGAGGAGAGGCGGATCAACTTATTCGTCCGCCGAGTTCGGGCGAAATAGCCCCGCTGTACACTTCGACCGAGATCGCGTAATCTCATCAGCTCCGTTTCATCACTCTTTCAACCCAGCAGAAAACATCACCCATTCTGGAGGGTTGTTTCACTTGTGTCCCCAACATGCTCGGCGAAGACAATCCCCCTGTTAGCAAACGGAGGAAGGTTCGCAAAGGTACCCAGAGCTGCTGGGAGTGCAAGAGACGAAAGGTCCGCTGCATCACATCGCAGGGGAGCTTCACTTGCGATAACTGCAGAAGGAGGAGAACTTCATGTATCGCCCAGGATCTCCCTGACAGGCCTACGGCTCCAGCTTGCAACACTCAAGTAGAGGATCGGCTCCGCAGAGTGGAGAATCTCATCGAGCAGTTGATCGACAACCCCGATAAGAGTCATCCCCCGACAGCAGAGGACATCAACAATCGTCAAGCGAATGCATCTTCATCGACAGATATTAATCCGGTGAGTTGAGATGCTTATGACTCTTCCTAGTTTGTCCTAACCTTTGCGAAGCGCAACCATCCCCCACGATCGCACACTCGCGAACTATTACCCAGGCGAACGCCTTCTGCGACCGATCACGCGGCATTAATCGACAAGTTAATCGATGTATGGCCTGGTAAAAATGAGCTTGATGTCATCTGTGCTCTCCCTGTTGGGCTCTCGATGCACTTGCAATGCTGCGTTTGTGCGTCTTATACAATCTCAAACAAAAATCTGCCCTCGCCACTCGATATACTCCAGTTGCCTTCATCAAATTCCCACCCGGTGCTTTTTGCCCGAAAACTCCTCATGCTAGGTGCACTCTTACAAGCTATTGTCCCTTCCTCCCATCAACAATTAGACAACCGCGGTATCTCACATGGGAAGCTATTGTCCCGTGTCGTTGAAAGAGCCATCAGACTCGTGACCACCAATGATGAACTTGTGCGCTCTGTCGAAGGTCTAGAATGCATTATGATTGAGGCACAGCTGCACAATTATTCCGGAAATCTTCACCGTGCTTGGTTAGCGACACACCGGGCGGTTTCTGTTGCGCAAATCATGGGACTGCACCGCGGCCTCAACTCACCATCTCTCAAGTTCCTCGAGCCGGAGACTCGGGCGAATTTCGACCCCAAAAATATATTGTTCCGCATTATTGAGATGGATCTTTACCTTTCATTGATGTTAGGGCTACCTAACAGTTCACTTCAATCTCCCCTATCTACACCGAAGGTGTTGAAGGATCTCCTCCCATTGAGCGGATCCAGCGTATTCATCACGAAGTCTCTCGGCAGATAATTCAGCGCAGCAATGCAGAAGTCAACCGTTTTAAAGAGACGAGAGATTTTGATCGACTTTTGCAGAATACAGCTGCTGAAATGCCGCCTCAGTGGTGGCTGATGCCAACATTTACAGTACGGGGTTCCAATGACAAACAGCTCTTCGATGATACAACTCGCCTCATGGTTCAATTTTCACATTACCACCTTGTAACAAGGCTGCATTTGCCTTACTTGATTCGTTCCCTGGCCGACCACAAATATGACCACAGCATGCTTACAGCCGTCAATGCAAGTCGCGAAATCTTGTCCCGCTACATAGCCTTCCGTTCCTCAAATCCAGTCAATTTCTATTGCCGCGGAGGCGATTTCCTAGCATTTGTTGCCATTGTTGTCATATGCTTTGCCCACATTGGCTCACATAGTCAAGGCGATCAGACCATCCAAGCCGGAGAAATTGGCTTCAGCTGCAATGTTCTAGCACACAGCCGTCTTAGCGACCGAGGGATAATGGAGCGTACCCTCGCAATTCTGCTATCGACTAGCAATGGCGAACCAGACTTGATTGTCTCTAAGCTCAGTCATTTGATAGGACATCTGCTTGCAGTTGAGTCAGATGCGGCAAACGGAAAGTCGTATAGTATGAGCACCTCCGCAAGCGATGAAGAAGACAACGAATCGACCGTGAAGCCAAACAGCAATGGCAACGTCTTACGCATCCATATTCCCTATTTTGGAACAATCAATTTCGAGCCCAGGGCCGGTTCAAATTCTGTATCGAGAACACCTATGCAAGCTGAATCACACACTTCTATTTGGGTCTCAGAACTGCTACTTGCCGATCAGCTAGCGGGTAGCAGTTACAGACCATGCAGCGATGTTGTTTGCCCACTAACCCCAAATGCACACCCAACACAACTACAGACAAGTCAACTGGCATTATCTGGCCCAGACCTGGCCCTTGACGAATTACAAGGATCAAATTTTGAAGACACCAGCGCTGCCCAAGAGCAAACTCTGATGACTTCGGCCTCCGTGGGTACATATCATGACTGGGACCTACAGGGTATTGATCTAGCCCTTTTTGATAGCCTCTTCGGCAGCGCGGATCTTCCGGATGTTGATTATGGGGAAATGCCGACCCCGGTAGGAAATTATCCCGGCCTGTCATCCGAATAAACTGGTTGACTTCACTGGCCCCGGGACACATAAAGGCCTTGAGGTGAAAAGTTATTTGACCTGTTTCACTCAAACCAGCTCATATGCAAATGATTGTCAAGATCCTTAATTTTCCGGGGTGCGTGGCATATTCGTTCTTCCAAGTTGTCAAAAGGATATATCGGTGTCCAATGCGTACTAGACTTCGATAGAAGCCTTCTTTTCGAGCATCGGCTTATGCCCGTCGGTCCTAATCAAATAGGCCGGGGCCTTGCTGTTCAGAGTCTAATACTAGTTCTCGTATACCACCGTATAGGCATCTGGGTACTAGCTAAATCGCTCAGGTTCGCCGTTTTCTGGATTTCCGGCATCAGTTTTCTCTACCAATGAAAATCCACAGAATCGCTCTATCGCTACTGGTTGCCGGATTCTATCGTATTCGGTCCCTCTACCCAGCTTGTCCCGCCTTTACCAGGGGTATCTGGAACCTGACGGGAGGTCCCGCGTACTGACGGCCTTCTTGCCGGAAGCTTTGCCATACTTCTAGACTTCTAGATGTCGGTAATTGGAGTGGCGCGGCCGCTAGTCCATTCGCTTACATGGGTGCTCTCCCCTAACTGGTTTATCGACAATCCAAAGGCCCCGCTCGGCGTTATTCTGCAGCACGTGGGGAGATCTAAGAGAATGATTGCAAGTATACTCTTCATCAACTCTCGGAACTGTACTCATCCGTTCTTCTCGGAAATTGCCAACTCGTAACCGATCAAAGGATTTTCTTGATCAAGAATAGATGTTATTTGGGCGAGAAATTTTTGATACATTTATAAGCGAGATGTTTCCAGGGCGTGGAAGGCGAAAAATATCGTAAAACAAAAGGCCGACATTACGGGGTAATCCACGATGACTACAAATAAGCTCCAGACCTTGATACTTTCAGTGGCGCTAGCTACCACTGCGAGTGCCAAGTCAGACGCGACTAGCACGCAGCCGGACTGGTTCCAAACGTCGCCCAACAGTTATGCTGGTCAGTCCTATAATACTACTGCAACTAAGAAAATACATGCTTAAATTAATTAGGAACTACGGCAACTGGTTCTGCCCCTTTTCTAGCAGAAACCAATCCTGCGCCGTTCGGACAGTCGACTTTCATCCCAAATGCTCCATTGGAAACCTCGGAGCCTATCAAGGGTGCCAATGGGCGAAATATCTTTCAGCTCATGGGAGATCAAAGGTTCGAGCTCTCTGTAACTTTCCAATCATCCGAAAGCTAATTGATCTTGTGAAGCCCTTATTTTTCCCCGGCTGAAGGCTTCGGCGCCGACGAGTATCCGCTTCCCAAAGGAGCCAAAATTGCTCAAATGCACATGCTTCAGCGCCATGGCTCAAGATATCCTTCCTCTTCGGAAGGTCTAGATTCGTGGGCGGCCGGGATTGTCAACGCAAGCAAGCAATTCACGGGCAAGCTAGATTTCTTAAACGACTGGTCTTACAAACTGGGCAAAGAAATCCTAGTTCCAAAGGGGCGCCAAGAGCTATTCGATAGCGGCATCTTGAACTACTACAACTACGGCCATCTCTACGATAACTCATCGAAGCTTGTCATCCGTACGACTTTGCAGTCTCGCATGCTTGAAAGTGCAGAGAACTTCCTTGCTGGCTTCTTCGGCCTTGAGTGGAGAAATCATGCTAACATTCTGGCTACAATTGACTCTGCCACTACGGGTGAATATGCATGCACCAATGAAGGGAAGACGCTGGCTTCGATCGCAACCCCCGTTGGTACCTGGATGGCGACATATTTGAAAGAGCGAACGGCCGAGCTGAAAAAATTAACTGGTAACTATGACTGGACCGTCACGGACACCTACCATGCTCAAAGTCTATGCCCTTATGAAACGATCAGCGTTGGCTACAGCGACTTTTGCGATCTTTTCACCTATGAGGAATGGAAGGGGTATGAGTACTTGATGGATATCGAGTTTGCCGCCATGTCCGGCTTCTTGAGCCCTACAGGTCGAGCACAGGGACTTTATTGGGTCGAAGAGTTTCTCGCTCGAGTCGAGGGTCACCTCTTGAATGTACCTGCCAATACCACCGGGGCTAATTTGACTCTGGACACTAATCCAGTGACATTCCCTCTGAACCAGCCGTTGTACTTGGAGTTCACTCATGATGCGAATATCATAGCTGTGCTCACTGCTTTTGGATTCACTCAATTCAACAACTTTTTGCCTCTTACTGGTGCTCCCAAAAACCAGCAATTCTCCACAAGCAAATTGGTCCCCTTTGCCGGTCGTTTCAACATCGAAATCATCACTTCGCCGCACAAGGTCTCTGCGACACGTTCTTCGAAATCGTCGGCCAAGGACTACATTTCCGGTACCGGTGAAACTCATTACGTGCATTTCATTCAGAACCAGAGGACTGTTCCACTGCATAAGAGCTTTGGAGCTTGCGAGAAACGCGACGATGGCTGGTGCGAACTTTCAACATTCTTGAAGGTGCAAAAGGCGAACTTGGCCAAGGCCGAGTATACGTATGCATGCTTCGGAAATTGGACCATGAAAGACTATGGTGTTGTTAGAAACGGCGTTCCCGCATAAAAGTGTTTTTTGTCCAGACTATCTGGGACACTACTCGAACCAAACCTTGGAACGCACTTTCTCTTCCAACTTGAAGCTTCTCGACCTAGTCAGAGGGCCCTTCAGGCTGATGTTCAAGTTGCTTGTTTCTATTATATAGTTATCGGGTCTAATTCATCACCGTCACCGTGGTCACGCGACACTGGTATATTTGACTTTCTACATAAACTATGAACAACATCTTTAACGAGTCATGAAGCCTAGCTCTGAGAGTTGGAGTTCACAGCCCCTGAAAATCCCAATAGTTTCATCGGTCTCATTGCATCGAGCTTCCCCACACTCATACCCGCAAAACCCCATGACGATCGCACCTCGACATCTTCATCCGCTCTGAGTCCGAACAATATTCAGATTGTCCCCCGGAGCAGAGTGGGGCTTATCACCCGTGGGGAAATCAATTCAAGTCACGACCATAAAACTCCGGACTTGAACCGGAAGTACAATCTGACAGTAAGCAGTCTTCATCGGCGGAATTGTGGGCCAATACCTGGCTCTTCCAATGGGACAAAAGCGATCGGCATGCCAAGTGGAGGGCTGAGAGGAGGGGAAGCCCGCCGGACCTTTCGTACTCTTCTTTTTCGGACCCAATTCAACTTGGGCACGGCCTGGATGGAACGTCGAGGTGCGACTTTGTCTCGATTGCCGACCAATATGTCATCCCTTTGTCTGTATTTGCCTGGCTTTTGATCGAGGCGGGGGTAATCTAAGTGCCGCCAGCCTCAATAACACAAATGCGGAGCGACCCGTGCGGATGTAAGGGATGTGGTATGCACAAACAAAGAGCAGTAAATCAAGTTTGTCGTGCAAAGAGAGCATACATGGAAATGACCTGAATCAAGATTATGCTAACGGATTTAGGCTGTTGCCTCGAGACTGCTCTTCTTCCCAACACTTCTGGGATTGAAATAGATAAATTTGACTCCATATGTACAGAGCATATCATCATGCCTTATCCCCAAACCTGATTCTCCACTCGACTGCGTGCGCAAGGAATTCAAGACCCTCCCGACTCGAAGATCAGGGGTTCTATTGGTCACCAGCATGGACTCCCCTGCACCCATCATGCGATCTCATTTGATGCTCCCTGGATCCGAAATTTGGCCGGGATGTTAATAGAGTTACGGCCGCCCATCCCTATGTACTCCTGATAAAACACCCCCATCCAAAGATCATCGGCGCTCAATCTAGGAACAAAACGCTAGATTCAAAGAGAAATGCAGGAACACTCTGCCTAGCACACGCGTTAACTATCAGCCATGTTTACATTGCGCGTTGCAGTTCGACAAGTATGCAGTTTAGTCACAGGGTCTCAGCGCCAACTCACTCTCTACTCCGCCAAGCAGCGGGGCGCTCAGTGCCTTTCTCCATAGTTTCGGCCTAATAGAATGGAAATTCAAGACCGGTGTCCCTGTGACGGAGCTCCTTGTGTGCCTTTCCTGCGGGGTTGACTCGTGCCAGTGGAGACATGCCTCCGCGAGGCATAGCAGTGGATATCTGAAGGCTGGTCAAAGCATTGTCCCATGCAGTCCCAGGGGCTCTAGGGTGTCTAGCTTCCGCTTTTCCCTTGCTACGGTCTTGCGGAAATGGAGCGGTGGCTCGGCCATTTCAATTCTGGTTGTCCGTGATGTTTTTAAATAGGCCTGGGGTTGCCCTTTGATGGATCCTAGATCGTTCTTCCCCACGCGAGGCTTGGCATCATCTGAAACTCGCACTGGAAGATGTATCTGCTTCAGGGTGTTGTGCTTTCGCTCCTGGCTGCCACGAGTGCAGCCAGTCCTGCGCAAGATGTTTTGCCTAGACAGTCTGGTGGCGCTGGATACTCGCTCAAGCAGCCACCGCTGACAACACCATGGACGGATAAAGTTGGCACTGATCCTTGGCCCGAGTATCCTCGACCTCAATTGCAACGGCCTCACTGGCAAAATCTCAATGGTGTTTGGGGCTACCAGAATGCGTCAAGTCTAAACGCTGTTCAGAGCCCTCCTTTTCGGCCAGCAGCTTGGCCAGAACGTTTTGGTCCCATCTTGCCTTGAGAGTGGTCTTTCTGGTAATTTCTTTCATCTTGATAGTTTATGAATTTAAGTAACATTCTCCTCGCAGGCATTCAGGGGGTATATACTCTGTATTCGTGGTTCTCCAATTCATTCAAGGTTCCTTCGGGCTGGAAGAATGAGAAAGTGCTTCTAAATTTCGATGCTGTTGACTATGAAGCCACTGTTTTTGTCAATGGCAAGAAGGCTGGTTTCCACCGGGGAGGATACTTCCGCTTCACTGTTGACGTAACGCAATATGTGAAGATTGGCCAGGAGAACGAATTGTAGGTTTATCGAAAAATATGCCTGGACAAGAAACTAATTACTTCCATCTCAGGCTCGTCTTTGTTCATGACCCAACAGATGACGGTGACGCTGTCATCCCCATCGGCAAGCAAACGCTCCGCCCCAGCCACATCTTCTACACTCCTTGCAGTGGAATTTGGCAATCTGTCTGGCTGGAGGCTGCGCCGCAAAATCACATCACCCGGCTTGATCTCGATGCTAACATGCATGGTCAAGGTGAGTGACTTGCTCGTGGCTTACCAAAAATTTATAATTTCTAATGACTCGACCAGTAAACGTGACCGTCCACACCTCAGCGGCGAATGCCACTTCAAATGTTCTGGTCACAGTGCACGACAATGGAAAGGTGCTGAAGACCCACAGCGGCCCTTCGAACCGGCCTTTCCAGTTCAACGTCGAGTCACCGGAGCTGTGGTCTCCCGACTCGCCTAAGCTATACAATGTCACCGTAAAGCTGGGCAATGACAAGGTCCAGAGTTATACTGGATTCCGCACGATCGAAAAAGGAAAGGTTAATGGTGTCGTTCGACCGATGCTGAATGGCGAGTTTGTCTTCATGTTTGGCACTTTGGACCAAGGATTCTGGCCGGATGGAATCTATACTCCTCCTACTAAGGAGGCTATGGTCTATGATCTTAAAGTTCTGAAGAGTCTCGGGTTCAACATGGTCCGCAAGCACGTAAGTGGCGACAACTCATTCCTTTTTTTTTTTGGTAGTGATACTAAAGTGAGGTTTAACAGATCAAAGTCGAGACTGAACTATTCTACCAAGCCTGTGACGAGATTGGCCTCCTGGTTATCCAGGATATGCCATCCCTGCGTCCGTCACAGAGCAAGACAAACCCGGCCGACTGCTCTTCGAGCCCTATCCTTCCCAATGCGGAGCAACAGATTGAGTTTGATCGCCAACTTGACCTGCTGATCAATCAATTCAAGAGTTTCCCTAGCATCGCTACTTGGGTAAGAATGAAGAATTTTCCAGTCCAATTTTTGACCTTGACTAATTTCGATCAACAGGTTATCTATAACGAGGGCTGGGGTCAAATTACGGAGTATTTCCCCGAGATCGAACTTACCGAACGTGTCAAGCAGCTGGATCCCACTCGCCTGATCGACTCGGTGACTGGCTGGTATGACCACGGAGCCGGTGATTTCAGCGTGAGTACCTTTCCTTCTCGGGAATATTACCCCCACTGACAGCATTCAGGACAACCACCACTACGCCAACCCACAGTGCGGTACTCCCTTCTACTCGATCAACTCAAGCCCCTACGACGAGACCCGAATCGGTTTCCAGGGTGAGTTTGGCGGAGTCGGAAGCAACGTTTCGATCGAGCAGTAAGTCCCTGTTATCCTGTTCACCTGGTAGGGGCCCTTGCGCTAATCATTCATCTCTAGTCTCTGGAACGTTCAAGAAGCTATCAACACTATCAACCAGACATACGAAATCGATGAGACCATCGATGCCTGGAACTATCGCAGCCACATTCTTCTTGGCGAACTCGAAGACCAGGTCAAGCGCTTCGCTTGCAGTGGTGGTGTGTGGACTCAAACCACCGACGTCGAGGGTGAAGTCAACGGCTTGATGACCTATGATCGCCGCCTGAAGCGTGTTGATGAGGGCCAGTGGAAGAGTGATATTCAGGCTCTCTATGACGCTGCCGCTGCTCGCGGCAATGCGACTATTTCCACTCTCTAGATGAAGAGTGTGCCGTCGAAGTATACCCATTCTAGTTAGGATTTTGCTCAAATCCTTACCTGTACATGGCCGACAGATGAAATTTATAGATTCGGTTGAATTATTTAGTTTATTCCAACCAATAGGAAGTCTTGTACAGAAGTTGCTTCCTCCTTCCCTCAATAAAAAAAAAGGGGAAGCGTTGAGGAATTCGTGCCTTCCATCTCTAAATACCTATACTTCCTTCTCGTCGCATCGCCATTTTCATCATTCCCTTTCCCTCTGTTGAGTCTGTTGAGGGCTACTGACTGGCCGGCACCGGCGCCTCAGGCAGGCCGCCCCTTCCATGTTTAGATAGCTTCGTCTCTCTCTCTCTCTCTCCTCTCAATCACCATCTCTTTTGTGCCTGAGCTTCCTAGTAGCACCCTCCGACACCCTCCATTCACAACCTCGCAGGCAGAAGTCATCATCGTGGCCATTTAGCGACAGTGTTCAACAATCTAGTGGCATCCCGCTGATAGAAATCTTCAACCTCATTGGCATTTTCCTACTATCAGTGAACAAGGCGCGCCTTTGGCAACGGCCGACGGTGTCTTTCTCCCAGTTCTGAGGCTGTATGATAGATGGTGTCGCGCTATGTTTTCACCCGCAGCGATAATGCTTCAACTTAGAAAGTACGTGGCTAAGTGAGGGAAATGACAGGGGGAAATTGTCTTACGGGCGTCTTGCTACGGGTCTCGCTGTATTGGTGTATCGCTGCGAAGATACCGGGGATTGGAGGAGGATTGTCCAAGAGGGTCGCTGGACCCTACTTGACGACGAGCATATGCTCGAATACCCCGATACAGGACGACATCCTCTGAATGGCTCGCGGCAAGCGCTGTCTGTCAGTTTTCGATAACGCATATCCTTCTACCAATGGCGAATCTATCTTGACGATATTCATAAAGTATCCGTGATAAAATCCAAGAGGTGTTTCCGGTTGCGATCATGGATTGTGTACGGAACCACCGTTCGTCCTTTGGAATCCGAATTCTTTCGAATAGAGAATGACGGTGTGGTATGGTCAACCCTTTGCTGATACTTGCATGCCAGATCTGACTTGATTTTAGTACTCATCGCACATTATCTGATTTTGGGATGATTCGTTCGATCCATATGTTCCTCTCTTGACCTCTATCATTGTGGAAGCTACGACTCTATCCCCACCTGGAAGTGAAGAAACGGCCCCGTTTGCAGAGATGAAAGCTGTCTGGTTGAACTTTTCTTTCCCTCTCAAGGGTTACCACTCTTTGTTTGCTATTTTTTTATGTTTGCCATTCCCAATTTCACGTCGACTGCTTCATGAGGTCCTTGTTACCCTCTTGTTTTTCCACGTTTGCTTTTATGGCCTTACAATTATTGCCCTGCTTCTTGAATATGATCGAGATTACTCCTCGGGATTAGGCTAGCAATGTAGAGTAATATTATGAGTCTGCTCCTTCTATGCGTATACAGTAAAGATTGCCATTCAATCTTAAATTGCATTTTGAAGCACTTAGTTGAAACACAGTACTATCTGCACAAGATCGCGGGTGTTATCTCGACCAATCGAATGAAGATAAAACCATCTTGCCCAATGCAACTTGCTGCAGTTTCATTTAATAACACGGGCGCATGGGTGCAAATATCGGCGTTTTGACGCCATTGCTGCATGGACTTTGCAAAAAGAGAAAATGTGAACATTGGCTCTGATTCGACCAGAACCAAAATCTCATCACATTGACGGTCCTGGAGATACCGAGAGCGTTTAGTTTAGATTATCATGACAGTGTGGTAGACTTGTCACATTATCCTATTTGAGATAGGTCAGAAACCCCCGCTCAGAAATTTAAGATGACCTCTACAGAGTAAGGTGAAAAGATACAAAATGGACGGCTTGCAGCTGTCAATTTCTTCACAAAAACCTAATTAGATTAATTTTAGAACGGCAGTTCCATGGAAGCCACGTCCCTGTGTGGGAGAACCTGGGGCAAACGCGACGGTTGAGTGGCCAAGGCACGGCGACTGGTGTCTAGACCGTTGTTGCTTTTGGACTGATCAGCGCAGGCATTGTCGATCTGCAAGCGCGGCTGTTTTGGCAGCGGCCTAGCGCGTCTCAGGCTGTAATTAGTACCCCTAGAATGAAGTCATAGGGAAGATAGCGGTAAGCCAGCTAGTTCTCGATCTGGCTGTTCACAGAACATACAGCGCGGAATGGAATCGGCAAACAAGAAGAAAAAATCTCTCACTATGCCCCTATTCCCTATTATATTTTACGTCAAAGCTACTCCGTACTCGTACTACCTACCCTATGTAACAGCCTACGGGGCCCGCAACTTGAAATCAGGCCATAGGTCCGACTTCACCCCGTTTCCTTTTGTCAGGCCACGCCATCACACGACACGACACCTCGAACCGTTTGAGACTGCAGGAATGTTTAATATCCAGCCGTTTTCCGACTGGATACTTTGTTCACTAGCGTTCTCCTTTCCTGCATGCGTTCCTCTTTTTCTTCTCCTTTTCTTCCGGGACCCACATGGCTACCGAGAAACTCCAAACCGTTGGATTTGCTTTGCTTGGAAGACAACATGTCCCATTCCGAGGCTCATAACATGCGTCAATCAGGATGCCGAGGGATCCGAGAAGAATCTTACGAGTTGCAGAATCTTCATGAGTTTCGATAATCCCTGCTATCAGCATGCCATACGGACAAGAAGCACCCCATAAAGGGGAACTCAAACAAAACAAATAATAATAAAAAAAGGTTGCCCGAGCCGAGCCATCGGCCGAGTGGACCTAATTTCGGAAGGTGAAAGTCTTGACCTTTAGGACCACAGCGGAGTTTCGTAATGTGTCGCTTGCAGTAGGTCAATCGTGGGAGCCTGACAGGTGCCCCGTCGCTGTCAAAAACTCCGAGACGATGCATCGACTTTTGGTTTGGATGCCTCTGCTTCATCTCTCAGGCCCTTGAGCGCGATCAAAGCGCGTGGCGTAGCGTATATATTGCCTCTCGAGCCTAATAGGCGGTTATGTCCTCCTCGTATCATCCACGCGGTCGCTTGTTTCAGTAATTGGTGAGATTTCCGTCTATTATCCATGGGTTGATTCCTGACGGGCCCCCTGTGGAGGTGAAGTGGAGGAGATTGCAGGGATCAGCCCACATCTGCCGATTCCCTGCTTTATGTACATAGCCACTAGTCCGGAGTTGCACAACCTAGTCTTATATCGATGGTCTGATTCGACGGGACACTTCTATTCCTTCTCGATGCACTGTTTTTTTCTCTTTTTCTCCGAGTTTGAGCGATCGTCAGAAACCGGGATGGTCACCTCTCCTGGAAGGGGACCCGCCTACATCCTGCCTTTGATACCCAAATCGAGTTTAGAGGGCATCGCATAGAGAACAAGATCGTGTTGGGGGGGGTTCGGATCTCACACATGGCGGGATTCCGCCAAAATTGGAAGACCAACTCGAAGCATATAAATAAACTGTCTGCCCCGATCATGCGTTTGCCACGAGGAGCCCCAGTTTTACATTTCTCATCCCAACGGTCTTACTTTTTCTATTTATACACCCTCATTTTCTCTACAGGAGTGTATTATCCTTATACTATCCTCCCGCAATAATGCCACACGATTACGGACTTGGCGGGATTGGCCCCCAGCCAAAGCATATCGACCGGAAAGCTATCCACACCAGTCTAGAGGAGAGAATTAAATATCTTCATGACTTTCTCGAGTTTGGTTCTGGTAACTACATCAGTTCTTCCTGTCCAGTGAACACTATGTTCGGGTACTAACTTGTGTTTACTTCATCAGCCGATATTGAAGCTCTCGCCAGCGGTGCCAAGTACATTAAGCAACTCATCCCTGCCGTCGTAAACCTCGTCTACAAAAAGCTTCTTCAATATGACATCACCTCGCGTGCCTTTCACACTCGATCGACGGCAAATGAGGACGAGTTGGAAGAAGACTATCTACACGAAGAGGCCCCCAAGATCCAACGACGCAAGATGTTCCTTCGCTGGTACCTTATTCGTCTATGCCAAGACCCCACAAGCATGGAGTTCTGGAGATATTTAAACAAAGTCGGGTATGTATTATGATCTCACCTTCAGTCAAAGAGAACCCATCAAGCTAACGCCATGAAAGAATGATGCACAGTGGCCAGGAGCGTATGCACGCCCTCAACATCGAATACGTTCACATCAGCGTGTGTATGGGATACATCCAAGACATTTTCCTCGAGGCTTTGATGTCTCATCCACACCTGTCCCTCCGCCGCAAGATCGCCCTCGTACGTGCGGTGAACAAGATCCTTTGGATCCAAAACGATCTCTTCGCCAAATGGCGTGTCCGTGATGGCGAAGAATACGCCGACGAAATGTCAGTCTACAGTTTCGGATCTCGCGAAGGCTACCTCGGAGATAAGAAGATTCTTGGCTCCAGCTCAGGCAGCTCGGAGGACGATGATAGATCGAGTATTGCCAGCGGTGTCACAACGGCCCAAAGCATAGCTCCTTCAACGGCCCCTTCAACACATACTACACAGACCACTGATAGCAGCCGAACTGCGCAAAGTGGTTCAACCAAAGCATCGGCGTGTCCGTTTGCTGAATTCTCCAAAGCGCAATCTATGGAAACTAAAATTTGGGCTGGGAATCATTAGAGACATGGGTTGGATTCGGATTTGGTCGCATTTCAAGCGAGTGGTGGGACTCTCTGGCACTGGAATTGCATGGGCGGAGTTATAGTATATGAATTGAATCTCTATTCTTTGCGATATTTTATATGGAGCTTTCTATAAAGCGTAGTGGGGTAGGTTTCTTGGACCTCGGGAGTAGTTGTTGATCCGACGGGGGAGAATGAGTCTTCCAACACTTGTCGGGGAACGGTCCGAATACACTTTGACTTCTCCAAAATTCGGGTAAGCAGCCTTTGGCGGGGGAATCAGTACTTTCAACGTTGTGTGGATTGTTCTCGAAGTGGCTGACAGACCCTAGCAAAGTATTGGATGGGATTGAACGCCACTGAATTCCAACCCTAGGGCCCGGCGTTATGAATTCTATGCGGATGCGGGCAGATTAGGGTTATCGGCTAGACTCCTTAGGGTTGCGACATACATCAGCTATTTCTATAACAGTGCTGTTTCTAGGAGAATCGAAAAGGTATCAACTACTACTAGTAGTAATAGTACGTTCCTGCTTCAAGTATATATGAATTTGTATATCCGAACATCCGACCGGATGAATAATGTGAAATGGTTAGCAATCCTCCAGTGCGGAATACTCCCGGATGTGCCCCACTTGAACAGCTTGAGTGGACAAAAAGCATAAAATGATCAAATTGTATTCAAATCCAACTGAAATCTCGGGACAAGACCCCCACTCGGCTCGTAGTCAAGGCAGTCAAGAACGTATATACCCATGCTTAACTCCAGAGTTTATACTTAGAGTATCCACGGTAGGCAATCGGAGATAAGCAGAACCCCGTTCGGTCTACGCATTCAAGGTCAACCTTTACCTAGGTAGTTGGAGTTCATCACCCCTCCACACCATCCAATCCACCCCACACCTCGATCCAATTCGGCAAGATCAGCTTAATTATTGACTCGTTAAATCCAACCCCTCCCTCGCGACCTTGTGTACTAGTAGCACACCTTCCCATCCATTTCTTCTCTTCTCTCCTATATCTCATCGTCATCACATCCTCTCATAATGGCGCAGAACAGCTCCGCGGTGACTCCGCTCATCATCAATAATGAGTCCATCGTGACCGACATCAAGTTCGCCGTCAATGCCCCCGCCACCGGTGAGCTCTCAGGTCACTGCGCCGGTGCCTCAGTCGACGATGCCGTGCGCGCCGTGGAAGCTGCCCAGGCTGCATTCCCCGCCTGGAGCAAGACGCAGCCCTACGACCGTCGCGATGTCTTGTTCAAGGCCGCTGAGATCATGGCTTCCCGCAAGGAAGAGTTCATCGCATACCAGCGCGAGGAGACTGGCGCTGGTCGCCCCTTTGCTGAGCACACCTTCAACCTCGGCGTGAGCTTCATCAAAGACTTTGCCGCACGCATTTCGACTATCGAGGGCATCGTCCCGAACGTGACCCGCGAGGGCGAGGGCGCTATTGTATACAAAGAGCCATACGGTGTGATTCTGAGCATTGCGCCTTGGTAAGCTTCCTCTCTGCAGATTAGATACTTCGGGAACTTTCCCGGAACTTGGGGCTTTGTTATACCCCAGGGCTGCACCGTGTAACAGTTGAAACTAACCTTGTTCAATTAAATGCAGGAACGCTCCTTTCATCCTTGGCACTCGTGCCATCGCTCTCCCCATCGCGGCGGGTAATACCGTCGTCTTCAAGGGCTCCGAGCTCTCGCCCAAGTGCTTCTGGGCTCTCGGTGACGTCTTCCGCCAGGCTGGTCTTCCTGCGGGCGTCCTCAATGTCATCTATCACCAAAACTCCGACGCAGCCGCCGTAACCAATGCGCTGATCGCCCACCCTTATGTCCGCAAGGTCAACTTCACCGGTAGTACCCTGGTCGGTTCTATCATTGCTTCCACCGCTGGCAAGCATATCAAGCCTGTTCTCCTCGAGCTGGGCGGCAAGGCATCTGCAGTTGTTCTCGACGACGCGGATCTCGACAAGGCCGCCATGAACTGCGCCATTGGATCTTTCATGCACGTAAGTCTTCGTCGCAAATGCACTGCTACTCTATTAGAGTATCCATACATACAATCCCTACCTTGAACCCCTCAACAATAACTAACCAACCCAATCCAATCAGTCCGGCCAAATCTGCATGTCGACCGAGCGCATCGTCGTCCAACGCAAAATCGCCGACCAATTCAAGCAAAAGCTCGCCGAAACCGCCGAGAAGATCTTCGGCAAGGACGCCCCAGCCCCCGTCCTCGTCAACGCAGCCGCAGCGACAAAGAACAAGAAACTCGTCTCGAACGCCGTCTCCCAAGGCGCGAAGCTTTTGTTCGGCGACGCCAGCGCCAACGAGCCCATCGATACTCACATGCGGCCCATCATCGTCGACGGCGTCACCAAGGAAATGGACATGTACGCGACCGAGTCGTTCGGACCGACCGTTTCCCTTTTCGTCGTCGATACGGAGGAAGAGGCCGTTGCTTTGGCGAATGATACCGAGTATGGTCTTACTAGTGCTTTGTTCACGAGTAACCTCTTCCGCGGCCTGCGTGTTGCTAAGCAGATTGATTCTGGGTATGTGTTGCTTTTCTCCATGTCCCGTTGATCATTTACTAATCGCGCGTCTTGAACTTTAGTGCTGTCCACATCAACGCATTGACTGTGCACGATGAGCCGGTCCTGCCTCACGGTGGATGGAAGAGCAGTGGATTTGGTCGATTCGGTGGAATCCACGGCTACGATGAGTTCTTGCAGACCAAGACCGTCACCTGGCACGAGTAAGTAATTTGCAGGACGGCAGCCCTGGTCCCCTGATTAGCTGGGGTGGGGAGAACGACCCTTCGCGAGACTTTGGATTTGCTTGCGGGATTTTCGGCTCGGATTTCCATTCTTCTTTGGAGCGGCTTTTTGGTTTCTTTATGGCCCCCTGGATCATATTTTTCTTTTGAGGCCTTAGGCGGGATAAAACATAATACCCCTTTCTAGAATGATGATATTTGAAAATTGAAGTGCAGGCCCTCTCAAAGTAGCACGGAAAGACCTGTTTCTCAAAAAGCCTTGGTTGATACCAGTCAAATTTACCATAGACTCGGATTAAATCAAGACCTACTGTATCATACTGCCTACTCAATTCAATATGAAAAGGGGCATAGGCTTAATCGAGTGGTTTTCGCTCTTTAGGTTGGCGCTATGCATATTGACTCCCTTATTATGGAGTACGGAGTAACCTTCGATGGTTGCCTAGAGGGAGTGGCGCCCACCTTGAGGCAGTATTAGTGACACCCCATCGGGTGAGTAGTTCAAGTTACCTCAAGCGAAGGTATGATTGGCAATATTAGTTCAATTGCACGGGTCTTGGGTAGTACTGGATATTGCTGAATGTTGCGGTATATGATAGTACGAACTTGCGATTATTACGGAAAAGCTGAGCTGGTTGGGAAAAGCGAATCCTGTGATCGTCTGGGTTCTCATTCAGGTCATCTGGTGGTGATTCATAATTGTGATTCATAATTCAATAGGGGTGATTTGTTCAGATGGGTTAGGCTCTTGGAGTCTTGATCCTGAATGCCAGCCCAAGATATTCCCCGGGATAGCCTCGCGAGAGTGTATAACTATGAGGACTCGGAGAGCCTTGGTAAAAGTACACTTGAGCTCAAGCCAAACGAGAGGCTCAACCTAAGTGACAACTATCTGATTGATCATTTTGTATTTTCGACTTCTCAGTGCAACTAGGCGATTTGTTAGTTGGCGGCTAAGTGAACGACCGGCATAGAACTGCCGACCCCTGGTTGCCTGAAAATCAAAATGCACTTTCAGTGCATCAAGCAGATATCTTACTAAGATATGACTGATCTGGCAGGTGGCATCGTTCAAGACCGCATCGGTTCCGAGATGCGATATTAATCTATGGACCCGCGATCCTTTAGCCACCGCGCCAGGCGCAAATTTGTATTTAGCAACGAACCGGTGAGGCTCTTCGCACTCCATAACCGGATTCTCAGGGACCCGGGTGAGAAAGCCGAGATCAATTCCAGGTGTCGAGAAGATTTTGATTGGAAGCCATTTGACCCATCTTTGGGGGCGAGATAGAACTTAGTCCCTGAGGCCCGCAATAGCGTCCGAGATAACCCCATCGACAAGACAACAGACTCGGTCTCGCCAGCAATTACCTCACAGCGGGTCTGTATGGATGGCCTTGTGCATCCGCCGTGGCGCATCGGAGATATTACAGATGATTTATGTTTACGGAGTATGCGACCCTGAACTCCCCCGTAACGCGATTGTGCAATTGGCAGTCTTCCAGACTTGGCGGAAGCGCCAAAAAAGCCTGTCCATCTCTCAGCTCCACGAAGGAATCACTACCTTTATGGAGAAAATGACCGATATGACGAGTGTCTTGGAACAAGTGCGAAGCCTCGAAATCACGCTGACGCTGACGGGCGTCTTGTATTTGGTTTTGGGTCTTGGCTGGGGTTCTCGTATTCGACATAGCCAGCATAGCCTCGCAATTTTCCCGGCGGGGTGTCTGGCCCAATACCTGGGATGACAGGAAGTCAAGTCATGCCAATGCTGTACCTGCATGTCAGCCAAGAAAGGCCAATTTCCCTTGACCAGCGAAGCACCGGTCTCGCCAACACTGGTTGCTGGAAGTCTCCCGCACTCGGACCGCTGACCCACGATACCCTAAACCCCAAAGCGATCGCAAAACCGGTTTACCCGGATTGGACCCTAGCGGTGAGTTGTGCTGGCCCTGCGCAAGCGTGCGTGCAAACGCAGCTACGGACATTAGTGCGTACAGTAGTAACTCCAAGCAAGAATGGAGGCTCCAGCAGCGAACTCGATGCAGCGCTAGTATCCGAAGCGAAGAGGCTGAATGGATTGCCCGTTGCCCGTCGGCATGGTTCAAGATCCATTCTTCCATCAAAGTTCACGGGGTGGGGTGGAGGCGAAAGGGCAAAAGAGCTCGCAAATGGAGTCAGACATGGCTATTTTGAGCGCGCGATTCACAGAATTCCCATGGACGAGAGTCAATAGCGCGGAGGGAGCTCCGCGTCGGGTCTCTCGAGCCGGAGCAGCGAGAGAGGAGAGGGGGTCCTGAGAAAGAACATCATCTCCGTCCGTCGGGTTGTGAGTGGACCAGTGTTGGACGCCCTCCACCCCACCACCCGGCGAATTAGGGTCAGGAACGAGAAATCCATTGGCCCCCGGCAAATCACCGTGCACGCAGTGAGACAATCGAAATTTCCAGCACGAAATACGGTCAGGACGCAGGATGCACGAAAGAAGAGGGAACAGCCACAAGCCGAGTGGTACGGCAGCACGCAACCATCCAGGTAGCCCACATCGTCCCCTGATCAGCTGTTGATCCTTTCCGATGACATCTTTGGGCCGACGAACAGGCGGGATCGGCAAAGGTGAAAGGTGGGTTGGGCATTGTGATGGGTTGGGTTCATGGGGGTGGGGAATCTTGATTTCAAGATGTTCAGGGGAGCGGGGAGGAGTAGAGTTATCGCATGTACCTGTGTATACATGAATACGGAGGTGGCCGGTAGAGATGATGACAGCGCCGGTGGCGTTGGAGGAGGAGGAAATGAGGGAAAGATTTGGAGAAGATTGATTGGAAGTCACAAAAGCCATCGGGAAAATGAGATCAGTCCCTGTGATATGATCCATACGGTATGGTTGGTGTATGTATTGACAACCCGGAGAATATCCGGGTGATGTGTGGTGTATCACACAGTTATGGTGTATGGTAGTTCCAAGTACTGGTATCACAGATAACGGAGTGACTCCAGAGTACAGAGTACAGAGTAAGACATTTAAAATTAACATGCTAAGAATGGTGTATAGTATACGTAGAAAATAATAATAAGATCAAATCCAGAACAAAAACATTCTATGGCCCCCATATAGTATATCATCTTAATTACGGAGTCCCAAAGTATTAAGGGTGACCCAAGATTGCTCGACTCCATTCTTAGCCCTAGACACCCTAGACAATCCAATTTCCCTTCATACTTTTGGGTTTAGCTTGGAATGGTATTTACTGGCATTGCATTCCCCTAACTGGTGGGAATCCTGTCTAGATACTACTAGTATACTGTACAGTACTCCGTATTGTAATAAGACTTCGCCTTACCACGCTAAGATGCACTAATAATGCAGCCCAAGACTCAAATCCCACGAGCCACAGCCCCACGAGGATACCGTTGCATCTGTACTCCGTGCATCCCATGGTGGATTAAGAGTAAAAATAACCAGATCAATCACTCCGTAAATTATATCCATCACTTTAATCCATATCCATCACCTGGGCACTTTCATCCAAAATAACCTGGTGGCGTGTGAACACCTAGGTAATATCGCCTCCTCCAACCAGGGTCCTCTCCAAACATCGACTCACCTATTCTCGTCAACATACGGCTGCGCCTCGTAAATCTAATTCTCGCTTGCAAAGTAGGCTTTCGATGCCGACCCACTTAGTAGATAATTACTGGTCGGTGCCTGGCCAGCGGGGGGGAGACACTCAAGGTGATTATGGGGCTCGAATGCCTCCACCCCAAACCCTCCGAGAAGTAGAAAGGCACTCGCCCTCCTCCTTTCCTACTTCTTCTCTCTTTCTTTCTTTCAACCGTCGTTCCTTCACCCCAGTCATTCGTTGCTATCCCAAGCGTCCTTTCGCTCTATCCCAACTTTAGTCATTCTTTGCTTCTACAGCACCAATCCATCAAAATGCAGTTCACCACCGGTACCGTTTTCTCCACCCTCGTCGCCCTCGCCGCGGCTTACACCGCGCCCGACTACACCAAGGGCCCCGAGGGTAATGCTATCCGCTACCCCGGCCTGAACGAGCAGGTCCCTGAGGGCGCTCCCTACGAGATCAAGTGGGACAACACCCTTGGCGAGACTGTCTCTCTGGTCCTCCTCCGTGGTCCCTCCACCAACGTTGTTCCCCTCGAGACTATCGTTGAGGACATCCCCAACTCCGGCCACTACACCTGGACTCCCGGTTACAACCTGGAGGTTGACACCACCCACTACGGTCTGCTGATCGTCGTTGAGGGCACCGGTGCCTACCAGTGGTCTTCCCAGTTCGGTATCTCCAAGGGCAAGGGCTCTACCACCACCGCCGCCTCTTCCACTACCACTACCGCCGCTGGCTCTGGCTCCAACGGTGGCACCGTCACCGTCATCGAGGATGTGACCACCACCTACTGCCCCGAGAGCGAGACCGCTGCTCCTTCCTCCACTCCCCTCACCATCACCACCGTCATCGAGGGTGTCACCACCACCATCTGCCCTGAGGAGGAGGCCTCCACCACCCCCGTCGGTGTCTCTCCCTCTTCTTACTCCACCCAGGTCGAGAGCGTCGTCGTCACCACCACTGAGTGCCCCGAGGAGAGCCAGACTCAGGTCCCTGTTGCTCCCACCACCCCCGCTCCCGTTACTCCCAGCGGTAGCCGTGTGCCCCACGTCCCCTCCGCTTCCAGCACCCTGAAGAGCACCCCTCTGGCTGTTGCCCCTACCGGCACTGCTGCCCCCACTGCCTCCGCCACCCCCGTCTTCAACGGTGCTGGTCGCACTTCCATCAGCCTGGGTGCCGTCATGGCTGGTCTGTTCGCCGTTCTGGCCTTCTAAGCGGTTTCACCCCCGCTCGACTTGAGGGGAGTTTGACCTGAACCTTACTTTATCCGGGTCATTTCTCTCCTTTGGTCTTTTCTTTCTGTATGAGTTTCTCCCATGGATCTCCGGATCTCCTGTTGTTAAACTCTTAATGCCCTTCATTGTTTTTTCTTGAAGGAGGTATCTCGACGGAATTAATGAGGATTGACACAAATTTTACCTTTTTTTTATGGAACCACTTATTCTTATTCCCATTTCTTGTTGTTATCTTTTTCGGGACCACCTTCGGTCTCTGAGCTGGGCTTTCTTTTGCGATCTTCTTTGTGTACCATCTGTTTTCTCTCGATTCCCACGGGAATCAAGTCAGCTTATGCTCGTAATGACATGCTCTATGCTTCTTATCTCACTTCTCGTGCCCTGGTCTCATCGTAGTTTATGTAGCGTTGCGATCAAAGTCGCCTTTCAATCGTCAATGGGCAATGCTGACCTTTGAATGCATACAATCCGAAACCTTGTCGTCGGCGAAGAACTTGGAAGAGTGGGCAGACCCAACGTCATCTGGAATGCACACTTCCAAGCTTCTCGAACAAAACCTAGTCAAATTTCAAACAGATCCAGATCTCCTCGATCCGCGCATCCGAAGTCGAGTGGATACCAATAGCCGCATCATGAAGCATAATTAAAGTTGTTACATATAAACCGCAACAACCGTCGACGGACTGTTTCAGATAGATCATTCCAACGGCTGAGGCGGGTGAGTATGAGGACTAGTATGGTATAGATCAGTACACAATACCCCGTGGTGTAATACCTCCCATGGTAAACGAACACTCAAAGAAAAGAAGAGAAAAGAACAATAGTATTTGACAACAACCTCATCCATACTTCTCCCATATGTTCAAAAATATCAACAACCTCGTACACCCTGATAAGCGAAAGAAATAAACTTCCCAATCGGGACGTACCCCTCCCAACGCGGGCGGTGTATGTATCATCACGTGCTTGCACGATAAGTTTCGATAAGGATTTTTCGTTGTCGGGGCCGCCACGGAGGGCCAGCCTCGACATCCAACACCGACAAAACTCAACCCAATCCACTTCAAGCTACGGTGCTGCAGGCAGTACAGTACAGTACATTTATAACACCACACCATCCACACTCGTCACAATGGTCCAGGGATCTTTGAAGAAGAAGGCCACCACGGCCACGGCAAAGCGGTACGTTCAGGAGCAGGGAAGAGCAGGATCCAGGACAAGGATTCGAAGATCCTACCCTTTCTCAAATCCCAATCTCGATCCTGGGCCCGCTACAGCGAGGTGGCGCCGAGAGAAAAGAATCCAACGCACGAATGAGGAAAAATCGCAAGACTGGGAAACAAAACTAATTCGATTTCTACCTCAGTGGTGCGGGTGCCAGAACGAGACCCGGTGTTCGACAGATCGCCCCTAAGAAGCAGGCTCTTGTCAAGACGGCCAAGTTGAACAAGGTACGTCTAGGACCCGGTGGTGCAGGGGTGTAGTCCCAGTTATGAACTGGATTGCGGGTTGCGATTGTGATTGTGATTCTCTGCAGATGCAGACTCTTCCAATCCAATTCAATCTATTCAATCCAGCAAACCACCCTTCCCAGTGCCTCCCTCGAGAAAAGGATAATAGCTAACCACCCTTCGCTAGAAACTCACTTCCGGCCTCGTTTCGAAGACAGAGCGCAGTCTCGCGACCAAGGCGGGCCATTTGGAGCTGTTGGCTGGTGGAAAGAAGGATCGGTTGGAGAAGGAGAGGAAGAAGAACCCCATTCATAACGGGCAGAAGAAGTGAGCGGGTCGAGGGCTATTTTCTTTGTCCGTTTGTTCGGTTCCGTTCAAGTTTCTTTCTCTTTCGTTAGGTTGGTCAGACTGGGTGTTCCAAGGGCATGGATCGAGTATGTTTGCCACTACATATCATCCATCTAGGGCATGCGCTGGTCTGATCGCAGCGATACATTCATGAATTCGATACCCCGTTCTCGCTGACCCATACTGGTACCTCCCTTTTACTAGAAATCTATACTTATGCACCTACATTTACTGCATTGTTTGGATCAAGTAAGACGACTGTTCTTCTAGATGGATGTATTGGGAAAAGAAATGTGTACAAGAACCAGTCCGCGCCATGAATCATGAAGACAAGAGAACTCGGCTCAACATGCTGGGCGGAATTCGTTAATCATAAACAAAGTAGTGTATCAGTCGTGATGCGTATAAGAGATGACAAGAAAATCCGGAAAAAGATATCAACGAAATTCAGAAATATAAACGAAAATGAAAATGAAAATGAAAAAAAGGGTATCTAATGGTCCAACTCCAGTCACCGTTCCAATCCATGCCATGCCTTGCGTATTGCTGCCGTTTTGTTTTTGTTTTATTCAAGGATTTCGCGCTCAGAATTTAGAGACCCGGCTCGGAACACCGGCCTGCTCAATCAAATCCTGGCCATGCTCCATCCAATTCGCGAATCCAGCATCCGACGAGTCCGAAGGGAAGTCGTCCCAGACCGGATTCTCAGAGTCCGCGTACGAAGACCAAGTTCCCTTCGGCACATCGGAGGTAGACCACGACGGCAGCTTGGCTAACACGCAAGTATAATAGACGTAGAGAATGCGGCAGAGCAGCTCGACGCGATCAACGTAGTGCTGCTGCGTGGGGTCGGGGCTTTGACCACCATCGCCGAGACGTTTCCACCAGGAGCAGCGCCATCGCAGCGAGAGCAGGATGTGGCCGAGTTCGTTGAGGAAGCGGATATGCGTGTCGTGCGAGATCTGCTTCCATTTGATGTTGTAGAAGTCGCGCTCCAGTTTGCGGAACCCTTCGACCTCCATCATTCGGCAGATTATGCGGGAGAGTTGGGCGGCGAGGAGGATGTCGCGCCGGTCTTCGGGATTGTTGATGTCCATTGAGCGTTCTTGGCCGTTTTCGTCGAGCGGGACGAAGGTGTAGCGGGCACGACTAGGCATGTTGTTCCATTGTGATAGGAGGGTCTGGGAAAGAAGGTTAGGAAGGTTGATGTTTATGTTGGGGAAGTAGATCTACTCACGTATGCCTGGTTCATTGGGTCGCAGTCCTTGACACAGCTCAACCAGTTCTTCGACTTGTCTTTGGAATCAACGATGCGTCGGTCAATGAACTCGATGAAAGTTGACTTCGAGTTGCCGTTGTATTCGCTGAGGCTCTTCAAGAATTTGTATGTCTCGCCGAGATCGAGGACATACAGTGAGCCCCAGGCTTGGCTGGCACGGATGTTGAACCGGCCCTGGCGCTCCCCAAGGAATGACAAAAGTTGAGTCATGTCAAATTCGGTCGGAATTTCCATTCGGACTCGGCCGTTGCCGTCGATTGTCGGATGGTTGATAGCTTTTTGGGCTATAGAAGGTTAGTTGGTGGCTCATGCATATCGCATCGGAGGTGACTTACAGATGTAGTTGCACGTTCCGAATTCAACAATGCTAGAGAAGCAAGCACGAGCGCAGGGTTGTTCGTGAAGAGTAGGGCGGCATGCATCACAAGGGGCGCTTCCGTCACACTTTTCATTCAAGTTAGCCTCGTTCAACATCGAATCATATCGGAAACACTAACCTTGCGCTTGTTCAATCGGCACTGAACACAAGTATCCTTGTTCTTACGACGTAGCCCAGCATTGGCTCTGCCCACCATGCTCAGAGGACCCTTACGTCGAGCACCCCGTGGAGGGGAAACAAAGTCGGCTGACGCAATGGAGCCACCTTGACCGTCTTCCTGTACAATTTGCAAGGGCTTAGACTGGCCCTGATCCATGGACTGGGGATTTCTGTTCTTGCGCTTGCGAACGGTAGCCACAGATTGCATTGCAAGGGGCATGGGTCGACCTGACGCCCGTTGACCCGCTGACGAGGAAGCGCGAGACCGGGAAGGGATGCTGACTAGCGAATCGGACGGGGTTTCGCTGACCATGAAGGCGGAGGTGCCGGGTACTGATGACTCTGGGGAGCTGTGGTCGGGGGTAGCGATTTTCCACTGGTTATCCTCGTCCACTTGACGACCAGCGAAGGCAGAACCGTCATCGTTTGTGGCAGAGTACGAGTAGTCGTATATGCCGGACACATCGCCGGCTACGGAGGAATTCTCGGACTTGAACTGGAACCCGTCTTGCACAAGTTTGGCGTGAGTCTGTGGCGCTGGTGATGTCTGGAGTGAGGCGGGTAGCGAAGTAGGTGGTGTCATCTGCGTCACGGGTAACTGCGATTCCAGATTGTTGATCCATCGCGACTCCAGGGATCGGAGGGAAGGCTGATAATGGTTCTTGGAATTATTCTGTGAGTTCATTGCCAGCGGCACTGGTCCTTGACCAGCCATATTCTCCATTGAGATACCGTGGGGCATCTCAGGCCACTGCTCCATCATCGGAAACGACGGTGGCACCTGCTGAAACATGATCGCCTCAGCCGAAGCATCCGGAAATTCCTGCCCCTGAGGCATCTCACCCACATCGTCGACGATCACGGCTCCTCCGGTCGAGCTGTTGGGGCCTTTGCCGTAAGGATACATCACGGGTGCTTCAAGGGACATGCCCGCGGACATGCCCGCAGCAACCGAGTTGAAGAGCTGAAAATGCGGCCATGTTTCGTCGGCGTGGAAGTTGTCCTCCGTAGACGATGGCATAGTACGAGGGCTAATGGTACCACTGCCTGTACTCTCGACACCGCCGTCGACGTAGTTGAAAGTCTCGTTGGTCACATCGCGCTTCCTATGAGATCCATAGCGTGTCAGTCCCCTCTCTTCTCGACCACACCTCTGGTCATCCACACCAGCGAAAAACACCGGTTGAAAGGAGAAATGCGCACCTATTCCGGATCTCTCGCGATCGGTCGAGCAGCGAATTTGTTAGCGGGTCATGAAAGGCGCCCAGGTCGGCGACATCGGCGCACTGGCTTGATTCTTGGCTGGTATCCCACTCGGGGGGGTTGGTCGTATCCCAGGTGTTCCCACGAAGCGACGGAGAAGGCGCCGTCAGTTTGCCAATTATCCAGAATTTTTGGGTCGATACCCGCAGCAGTCGCAGCGCTTCCAGTGTCCATACAGGGTATAGGCGGGTGGAGAGGTTGGGGTTGAAGAGGCCGGACAAAGATCGCAGAAAAAAAAGACGAGACTTTTTTTCCAGCGACTTTGCGGGAGGGGTGGAAGTGTTGCAGCGAAGCAAGTTGAGAGTGACAGATTGATGATGGGTGAGGATGAGAGAGAAAGACAGAGGGGAAGAAGATGACGAGTTCCCCACCACCAAAGTTTTGCGTCTGCAATCGCCTTGAGTCTTGGAATCGCACAGACCACGGCGGGTTGCGCGGGAGGAGGTGTACTTTGGTACTGGTGCTGGTACTGGTACTGGTACTGGTACTCAGGTTCAGGTACTCAGGTACTCAGTAGATTTAAATTGGATTAATAAATAGTCTCGTTCTAAATATTCAAAGAGGTGCTACGGTAATTAAGTAAAGGGAATGTGCAGTGAATAGAGGGTAGAGTATGCAGTATACAGTCCTAGTGTAGTGTACTCCGTACGGACTGATGATCGCCGAACCAACAAGGTGGACTGATCTTACGCGAGACGATCACAAATCGCTGATAATCAACCAGGAACGTGCCAACCAGGGCCAACAGGGTCAAACCAGTTCAGTCTAGGGAATACTCAATATACTCTAATATACTCAGTAGTACCCTGTAGTGTCCATACTGGGTTAATCATTCCCACGGTCACGTTAAGTCACGTTCAACAGTCACGTGAGTAGAAGGGTGGGACCATCTACGCTAGTCTACTTTGGTAATTTGTATGCACTTTAGTTCTTCGGTGCCAGCATTCATGTCATAGATCTAGTTATGGCCATGTTATATTTGATTAAATTGACTTAGGGTATAACTACTTATATACAGGTTTATCCACATGGGCATACTACCAACCTAGATATACATATACATATACATATACCTCTATCTGTACACCAAATGCAAACTCTGCATTTGCCTCACCGAGTCTCCATCCGGCGAGTCCAATTGCCGCTCCCCGCAACCCGGACAGCTTCACCGTGGCCATCCCCATTCGGCACCCCGGTACGCTCCATATGTCAGTGGAAAATGCCTAATCCAAGATGCCTAATGGCTCAATCCTTAGCCAGCTCCCCATAAGTACTCGACCGGTCCTAGTACTCCGTAGTTAACCCTTGAACTTGAACTTTATCTGCATACTCCGTACTTACACCTTGAGTCTTGAACTAGTCAGCTACTAGTTACTACTACTACCTTCCAAGAATCAATTATTGTACAAGGACGGCCCAAATATCCCCCATGCATATCCTGGTAGGTGCTTCCCCTTCACGCGACCATTTTTTTCTTTTTCTTGTTCCAATATCATGGGATATCTATATCTTTATCTCCCTATCTATCATTTTACTTTCTTTTTTCACTCCGAGGGTGAAGGTCGCTGCCTCGCGCAAACCCCTGCTAGCAACCCCGCTAACCCCAATACATTAGGTCGTCAATGACGACGGCCCGCCAAACGAGCGCGTCTCGCCTTACGTCCGCCCACTCGTCGACGAGCTCCAATCCGCCGGCCACCTCATCTCAGTCGCCATCCCCGCCGCCTCACGCTCCTGGATCGGCAAAGCCCACCTAATCGAAGCCGAGCTAACAGCCCACCTCGTCCACCCAGACTCCTTCCGACCCGACGGATCCTGGGACTCAACCTACAAGCCCGACCCTACAACCGAAGATGGCGCCGCTGGCCCCCAATCCGACTGGGTCGTCATCCAAAACGGCACCCCCGCCAGCTGCACCCAGCTAGGCCTACACAACCTCTTCACCGACCTCCCACCAATTGACCTCGTGATCTCCGGCCCAAACCACGGCCGCAACGCCTCGACAATCTACAATCTCTCCTCGGGAACCGTGGGCGGGGCCCTGGAGGCTGTTTTCTGCGGGAAGCGCGGCATCGCCATCTCGTTCGGCAGCAAGGATCCGCAGACCGATAGCGTTATTGCGGCTGCGGCCCGGCTGGCTGTGAAGCTTGTGGGGCATCTTTGGCGGAATTGGGACGAGCGTGTTGAGTTGTATAATATCAATATTCCCATGCGGGAGGACGTGGAGGGTCAGCCTGTGCTGTATACGAGGACGTTGCCTTATTATTGGTCGCGGGGTTGTCTTTATGCTGAGACGGATAGGAGGAAAGAGGAGGCGAGGAGGGTTTTGAATGGGGCGACTAATGGGGTCAACGGCGTGCACAAGGAGACTAATGGGGTTAACGGTGTCAATGGTGTCAATGGTGTCAATGGTGTTAACGGTGTTAACGGTGCGCATCATGGTGAACCTGAGGCTGAGGCTGAGGCTGGGACTGTCTCTAAACAGCGCCATTTCAAGTGGTCTGCTGATTTGTCGGATATGAAGAAGAGGTTGCAAGAGAGTGAGGAGGGGACAGATGCGCATACCGTTCTGAATGGCTCGACTAGGTATGCTCTTCTCTCTTTTTTGTCTTGTTTTACTTTTTCTCGGCTGCGCCCATGCATACAATATACTAACAAGTTATACAGTGTGACTGCTTTGCGCGCCAACTTCTGGCACGTCCCTGGTCTGGAAGGACCGATAGATCTTGAGCTGTGAGATTTTGAACTATGAGGGCCCGAGCTCAAGCCCAAGCTCAAGCTGACAAAAGCTTCCTGGATCTTGCGGATGACCAGATGGTCATTAATATTCTTTACCACTTCATTTCCTGGCGCAGGAGCATTGACATTGCAGAGTCTGACAAAGACGTTGAAACTTGTACATAGACATACATTTATACGTGAAACGTTCCATTTACCATTGAACTATCCTATCACTGGACCGCCCACGACCCCATACTATCGAAACGCAAATATCAAGTTGGGCAAAAACACAGGCATAAGTAGAGCCAAGTGATAGGCGATGGGGTGTGTCCACGGGGTATCACATGAACAGCAAAAGAAAAGAGAAGACCTTTGCTAGGAGCTAGTAGCTATGACGCTCCTACAAAGCGCGCGCGGCCTCACCAGCACCACTATCCACCGTCGTCGCCTGCTCAGCACGCATCTTGCCCTTTCCAACACCGCCCTCGCCAACGCCCATACGGCGAGCGACGTAGCGCTGCGCAATAGTTCCAGCCGCAAGTGAGAGCGTTTCCTCGATCCACTCCGCAGCCCACTCGCGCGGATCCACGCCTCCACTCTCGATGATCTCGGCAATGGCCTCTGGTGTGACGGCGCGGGGAACCTCTGCATCCTCGGCGTCCGGGTTCTCGATAGCCGGTGCCGAAGCGTCAAGCCATTCAATCCATTTCTGCGGCACGGCCTGGGAAATAGTGTGGAAGGCAATACCATGCACGGGATCGTGAAGGTACAGCGCGAAAGAGATCTCTTCTTCTGGCTCGGAGGTCTCAATGGCTCCAGGTGTCGTGGGCTTCTCGCCCGAGGCGCCGGCCTGGAAAAGATCCGCCGAAACGGTCTGGGTGATCGCCTGGATCGCAAGGAAGATATCACTGCTGCGGACGGGGTTTGATTCGCTCAGGATCTCGGTGGCCTGCTTGGCGGCTTCTTCGATTCCGCCGCGCGAGGAGAAGTATTCGGTGGCGTAGGACTCGGCGCTCGCACGGGCAAGCTTGGATGCCTCGATCGTTCCGGGCACGGCGTTGATCGTCCGTGGGGTTCCTGGTGTCACTGTCCGCCACCAGGGACCGTCGCCCCATCCTGCACTTGAGATGTATCCGCCGACGTCAAGACCGCGCTTGGGGGATGATTCTTGGCCCCGCTGAATGACCAATAGGTCGCCGCCCTCGACTTGCGCCATCACGCGCGAGAAGACGGCGTACACCAACGGGTCGACGCCGGGGTAGCCAGAGAGATCGTGCGTTACGTGAATCTGGAGGCGTTCATGGGAGGAAATTGGAGGTGCGAGGGTGTGGATGAGGTTGGTGAAGGTTGGGATTGCCATGCTGCGAAGCTCGCCGCCTGCGAAGCTGGTGTCAGTGGGACATGTAAATCAGGTTTAGTTGAGTGCAGGGAATAGATACCGAGATCTCTAAGGGCCCCGACGTTTCCCTTCATATGCTGCGCCCAGCGCTGGGCTTCTTCATTGTTTTGAATTTCCTTGACGGCGGCCTCGGCCTGCTTCATCGCTGCAGAAGCTGTTGCGCTGGCGGTTGCGAAGATGCCACCGGACCAGCCGCCCCACCAACCACCACCTTCAGCCTCCTGCTGCTGTTGCTGCGGCTCCTGTTGCTGTGAGGCATCCTCGGGCTCTTGTTTGGTCGGTTCGGGTTTGACACTGGCACGAGAGGAACGGCCTGTCTCCTCTGATTGACGGGCCCGGTCAATGGTCGCGCTGGGCCGCGGAGACCGTGTCGAGGATCTCGCCTTGTCGACCGACAGTCTAGGGGTACCAGGTCCACTGCTAGGTCGCTGGGCAGCTAGGTTATCCAGCTCGCTGAGGATGTCCTCCTGTGCGGCCGTGGCATTGTCGACCGTGGGGGCAGCGGGGGCAGGGGTCTGCTTGGGGGCCTTTTCGGACCCATCGATGTCAAGGTTATCGAACTGAGCTAGAAGCTCATCACTTGTGGGTTTCGCTCCCTTTGGAGGCATGGTGTTTGGGGAGAGCACTGGGAGGAGGTATTGTGTTCAGGAGAGGTGACGACACCGTCCCAAGGTTGTTTGGAGCTCGGCGGGTGGAGACTCGCGCCAAGACCACTTGCGTGCAGCTAGCATTTAGCAGTAGTCTGTGAGTACTAGATACTAGATACTGTGGAAATGAATGATTCTACTCTTTGGATAAGCTTAGTGGTTATTTAGGGCATTTATATTACAGTAGAATACATATTGCTAATCTCTGGGGTGCTTCAATTTACTAGTGTCAAGTTGCAGTGCAGGTCACGGTGCTACCAGTAGTATGGTTTCCAAGGTTCTCGGAACTTTCAAGGACAAGCTTTAGAATTACTTATTTCAATCATATAGTACCTACTATTAGCAGTACTATATTCAATTCTACTAGTAGGTAGTAGTATGGCCCCTGGACCTCGGAGATTTAACTTGAATTTATCCTCTGGTCGGCTTCGACTATGCCTCTAGTACTAGTACCGGTACTAACAGATCTATATATCTCGATAGAATGGGGAACAGCCCGTTGGGCATTCAGAAGCTCTGGAGTAACAGCGACCCTGAAGAACCTTACATGCAGGATACTAGTACTATTGATTAAAGTAATTCATACTAGCACTAGGATATGCAGCCCCCTATCCACAATCTCGTACTACATGCAATGCTGGGAATAGTACTAGGAAAGACGGGACCCCGCAAGCCGATACCCGCGGCATCTCTTGATCGGACCGCATCCCGCGCGGGACCACCCTGCACGCGGGGTTGGCGATAAAGCCATCATGCTCACGAGGACTACTCTTTCCCTCTCCCTCTCCCGAATCAATCTACTGGACGCAATTGACTACGACGTAATTACCCTCCTCCAAATTAAAAATTGAGTCCGTCACTCATAACCCTCCAGTACCAGTAGTTATACTACCTCGGGGCCTCCCCAAATCTAACGCCTTCTAGTATTCTCATACTGCATACTACAATCCCAACACCATGCGCCTCCCATACGTTCCCGACCCCCCACCAACTAGCACCCTCGAAGAAGCCAGAATCCTCTCCAGCGTCCAAGCCCGCCGAGCCCCAAACCCGCTCCTCCCCCTCGACCTAGCCCTCCTCCACTCCTTCCCCGTCGCCGACGGCTGGAACTCATTTATAGGCGCGATCCGCACACGAACCACACTCTCCACCGTAATCCGGGAACTAGCAATATGCCGCGTCGCCGTGATAAACGGCGCATTATTCGAGTGGGAGCAGCACGCTCCGTTACTGTCCGAGGGCGGATTGAGCGACGAGGCATTAGCGGTTGTGCGGGATGCGAAGGAGGAATTCTCGGATGCGGGTCGGGTTCTGAGTCGCGAGCAGAGGGCTTTGTTGAGGTATACGGATGCGATGACCAGGACGGTTACGGTTCCTGAGGAGGTTTTTCGGGAGTTGAGGGCGTGCTTTGATGAGAGGGAGGTTGTGGAGATTACGGCTACTGTTGCGGCTTATAATTGTGTTAGTCGGTTTTTGGTTGCGTTGGATGTTGGGGAGAAGAATCATTTACATTAGATCGGGGATTTTTGGTTCATTCTTGTTGGTATGGTAGATATTCAGTAGTAAGACTGGAGTACATATCAATCACTTGCGTTTCTTACCTTTAGCTTTGGAATGTCCTCTATCCTAGGATTTCACTGGGTGGGGCGGGGAGGGATGGCCCGTCAGAGTGACATGGTCACCGGCCGTTGAACCCGAGTGAATATGAGATGCCAGTGGATGTACTGTAAGCAATTCGAGTCGATGACATGGTAGTGTTTGCTAGGATAGTAACAGCCGAGTCGGTTGTCGCAATTGCAGGCTAGGAAGGCCTGCCTTGGAAGAAGGGGGAGTAGGAGTATTCTGTACTCCGTAGTGACTGGAGAGTCACCGTACTTGATCACGCGACCCAACCTCAGCTGGCACAAATTGATTATCCCATCACGCAGGGCGCATTCGAGAAGAGGAATTAGCCAGAGAGTGCCCAGAGGTATGCGACAGCGGTTGACGTCAGGCTGCAGGGAATATAGATGAAATCGCCAACGAAAACGGTTCGTGGGGCCAGGAGGCGGTTCTCTCGGGCTCCTACAGGAGGATCGAACCAGCGAATGGCAAGCCAGTGAATGGAGAGGAAGAGTATCAGGATTGGAGATCAAGTCATGCTCTCCTACTGTGACCTAGGTATAGGCATGGGCTCTAGATATGAAGCCGTAGTTTCGGGCGTGACCCAACTTGAATCGATAGTTTGAAAAATACGGATGGGGTCTGTGCTTCGACAAGGGGTAACAAAGGGAGTCACGAAGTGAAGTGTAATAGCCTGTAGGGTAGATAATACTAGTAATGGGTAGATACTACCTAGCAGGTAATAGAGTATACAGGATTGTCAGTGACAATATAATACTATTTATCTATGTAAGTGAATGTGGACAAGTGTGGTGTAGTAGGTGTTCTACTCGATGAGTGTTGGTATCGAGGTAACTTGAAGTACGGTAACTACTGAAGTTGAATATGAATGAATATATGGATTGTAGTAGAATAATAATAATAAGAAGAAGAATAATAATAATTATAACCATAATTACACTAGTGTTAAAATAAGTAGTATATACCTATACTATTAAATCTAGAATACTAGAATACTATACAGAATAGTATACTATGTATACTACTATACTACAACTGCACCTGATTGGCTGTGTAAGTGGGGAGGATTACCATTCTCGTCGTGGAATGGTCACTACAAACTAAACTACTTCCTCAATCTCTTTTCACCCTCAGCTTCAACGTCTTCACCCATCCTAATCCCTTCTCCCCATGTAATTTCTCTTCCTCTTTTCACCGGATTTCCATTCTCCACATTTACTTCTCCCCATTGCCCTCGGAATTCACCCTCTCCCGTGGTTTGTGTAAGATCCTTTCTTCCATACAGGATTTTTCTCTGCCTTCTCTTCCCCCATACTCCCTCGGGAATCATCTGCCTTCCCCCCTTTGGTCAGCATAAGTTGAAAGTTGGAAAGCTATTTACTACACTCCAACATCTCTGCCTGATCCTCATCATTACTTTATCTTACTTGGGACCATCCCCGGTCGGCCCCCTTTCTGCTTGTTGTTGGCCGCACTTTGAGAAGAAAACCTCCGGCCCAGCCATCTCTCTCTACATCCCTGGCCCGCGCGACCAAGTGCAGCACTCCGAGTCCAATTATTGGCCTTGCCTTTTCTACTTCTTTCATCCCCCTACGCATCAAATCTGATGGTGAGTTTCTTGCTCTTTTTCATTTTCTTCTTCTCCCTCGTTCCCTTTTTCTCTCTTTCCCCCCAGTGTTCCCTCAATACAAGGTTGATCGGATCCACACAATTTGCCGCGACCGTGTCTGCATCACTTCTTACTTCACCCTCCCCTGCTATTTGACCCCTACCGAAATGCAAATTATTTCCTGGAAATTATGAGATTTTTATCTCTATCTTTCTACTGCTACATCTCTTATCCCTCTACCCTATCCCTCTAGGTCTACCCTAGGTACCTGGTCACCCTACTCCTACTCCCCCTGGAGATTACGTTTCTGATTCGGATTACCTTTTGGTCTTGGCGCCACAAGCGAAATCGGCTAACCCATCAATCTATACAGATCTCATTGCTTGTCTGGAACTTGGTAACTTGCTAGACAGGTGTGAGTTCCTGACGGTATTTGGGTTTTTTCTTATATTTTTCTTTAAAAAAAAACTCTACTCTCCATCCATAATGTCCCCTATTCCCCGGGGCGATTTGGATATGGACAATCAGTCTTCTGATGTCGGCGACAGCCAGGACTCTCCGCTGCGCCGTCAATTTTCCGAACCTTTCCGGCCACAGTCCACATCCACTCAAATTTCTCAATCTCCTGAACCTTTCGCCAAGAGAGTAAAATGTGAGTGGTGTGGTAAGTTGTTGGAAATTCCAGAAGATGGTTCCATTTCCCAGCATGAATTACTAAATTCTCATCACGCCACCCATCATCCTGATGAACTCAATGAAATGGATTATGATGGTCCCGATGATGGCATGGATGAAGATGTCGATGAGATAGTCGAGGATGGACTCGATGAGGGTTTAGATGAGGGTCTCGAAGAAGGTCTCGAAGACGGACTCGAAGATGGTAATCTTGACGAAGAAGAGGAAGAAGATGAAGAAGAAGGCGAAGAAGGCGAGGAAGAAGATCCGAATGGTGAAATCGATTTTAACGATGAAGACGTCAATGGTATTGTCCAGCCTGAAGAGGATGGCGAACCTGGTGATCACGAAGAAGAGCCCCTCGAGACGGCTCCTCCTTCGCCTGCTGGTCATCCAAGTGGATCAAGTGGTCCAAGTGATGGCGAGAATACAACGTCCAAGACATCCGATACCAATGTCAAGGTTGCACCGGCACCACAGACGAAATATGATCTGATTGAATTCTTGTCAAATCCCCGGAGCGCCTACCCTGATGGATTCCGTCAGCGCTTGTCGGAATGGCAAGCCTCAGAAATGACAGATCGGCTTCCAAAGATCTGGACAGTCAACGATGTCAATAACTTTTGCCCTACATATGAGCAAGACACCAACAAGATCGAAGACGCTTGGCAACAAGTTTTCCGCGATGCTAAGCCAAAGAAGCGCGATGCACCGGAACCAATCGCCCTGCCCGCCCCTTATAAGAACACCGAAGCCGAAGCCGGGAAATTTCTTGATATTAACTCTCCCGATGAACTGCTGAAGATCCTTCAAAAGCCCGAGTTGCTTTCACCCGAAGAGCTGTATGTGGCCTCCGAGGCTGCATCCTTCATGATGAAGGCATGGCAAGATGAGTACATCGCTCTTGATAAACTATATCTTCACGCCCACCGTCACTATCGAACGGCGCTTTCAATTGATGCCAAGAGAGACTTCCTGACCGGTCATAAGAAGCGGAGTGGATACCCGTTAGCCCGAGTGCCCGAAAATAAAGTTGACTTTGAAGAAAAGAAAGAGGCCATGTTGTATGGCTACAAGCACAACTACTTCCCTGTTAATACGACCACGGCAGTCAGCCGGCTCCAACAAAATCCTTTCGCCCAGGGCGGCTTCATCCCGACTCCTGCGCAGGCAAGGAAGATGATTGCCCGAGCTCCACCCGAGGAGCGGAATCCAGATGGCTGGAACCCTGTGGTAACACACGGCGTGGAATTTGTCCCAAGACTCTGGGAGCCCCGAAAGGAGCCCACAGTCAAGCTCACTCGCAAGCGCAAGGCTGTGGAAATCGACGCATCGAAGAGTGACACCGAGGAGACACGAGAAAATAGTCGCGATGCAGAGGAGACAGAAGAGGAGGCTCATCCTGTGAAACGACGCACCCGAGGTCGTGGGGGCCGGCGTACTACATTTGAGGTATTCCAGCCTGAAACTCCCACTGCCCCTGTTACTCGTGGCCGTGGACGAGGCCGTGGGCGTGGGCGTGGGCGAGGCGTGGGCCGCCCCTCTGCTTCCCGACAATCCCTTGATTCCATGCAAACCCCAATCGCATACACCCCAACATCTACGCGTGGCCGAGGAAGGAGAGGAGCTAGCTCGCTGGCTACGTCGACTCCTCAGACTTCACAGCCCGCGACTGATGACGGAACTCCATCGTTCACCGCGATATCTCCCATGCCCGAGCCTACACCACCCGCCAAGGTCACACCGACTATAAAGCGAGATGCTACGGCAGAGGAACTTGAGGAGGCCCGTCGGCAAAAGATTATGAACTCCAAGAACCCGAAACGAACCAAGGCTATGCTCGATCATTGGGAACGGTTCAATAGAGAAGGCCGTATACGCAACCCCAAGCGCTCCAAAGCGCAGATTGAGCAAGATCGAACTGATGATCCTCTGAACCCAAACCTAAAGGATATGCCACTTCCCGGTGTTGGTCCTGGTCCCGGTCCCGGTCCTATTCCTGGTCCTGGCCCTGTTCCCGGTCCTGCTCGTCGTCGAAAATCTCCTTCCATCGCACAGATTCCTAGTGGCAATCTTGCACCGAAGGCTCCTCACCACTTCGGCCCAATACCCGGCCCGCAACAACACATGGGTCAGATGCCCGGACCTCCCGGACCAACCCTCCCTTCGCTGGGATTACCTCACTACGTTCCTCCCCAACACTACAATCCGCCGCCCGTGGGACTTGGTCAACCAATGCCGACACATGCTCAGTATGCGCCGTTCCCTTGGGTACCTTTCCAAGGTCACATACCTGGACACCCGCCTCCTCCGGACCATCACCGTCGATGACTTTGAAAAGGGAGGTTTCGGGTGAACATTCAGTCATCCTAACGTCTCAGCCCCTCAATACGGCATTCGACCAATAATCTCGTCGTTCATAAACGGTCATAGACACAGCTGCAGCGTCCCGACAGAGCTTACCGCACGCTGTCGTATTCCGATACCAAAAGATACACCATTTTGCAGCAAAGCTTCAAACTCATTTCTTCTTTCATCGGCACTTGTTGAGAAGTGCTCTTGATTCAACAACTCGGATTGTTTCACATATAGTTTCAGGGACGGCGCAAAAACAGGCTAGGCTTTTTCTTTTTCTTTTTTTTTTCAATTTTCTTTTTCTCATCTTCGTTTTCTATTTTCCTATTTTTATTTTCTCCGGGATATCTGGCGGATTTTCGAGCGCAAAAAAAGGAATTGTACATCTAATGGAATGCAGGGATTTGGGAATTATTCTCAGTGGGATTTTTTGGAGGCCTGTCTTGGCCGCAAGCGTGTATTTTATCCTACTTTGTTCTTTTTTGTTGTTTGTGTATGATAGCATGGGCCAGCACATTGTGATCCTGAGGCATCGAAGATGTTGTTCACGTGCCCTTCTCTTCTCCGTGATCCCCGTAAAGCGCAATCTGCAGTGACTTCACTTCTTCCCCACCGATTGAACCACCATTCACTTTCCACACCCTCTCCCTTTCCACTGAACCAAGGGTTTCCCATAGCTTCTTTCTTCTACACCTACCTACTTTCATCCCGCAATCACAATGGGCAAGAAGAGACGTGGTCCCTCGCTCGACGAGGTCCTGGAACGACCGTGGTGCTACTACTGTGAGCGCGATTTCGACGACCTCAAGATTCTTACTTTGCATCAAAAGGCCAAGCACTTCAAATGCGAGAGATGCGGACGCAGACTGAATACCGCTGGAGGTAAGTACCGCGATGATGCAATGGATACCTAGCAACCAATCGATCGCGAAGACTAACACACTGGCGCATTGCAGGATTATCGGTACACATGAGCCAAGTTCACAAGGAGCAACTCACAGAGATTGAGAATGCGCTCCCCAACCGAGCAGGTTTGGACGTGGAAATTTTCGGCATGGAAGGTGTTCCTGACGATGTGCTCAAGTCTCACCAGCAGCGCGTCATGACCCAATTCCAACAGGCTGAAGCCGAGCGACAAGCTGCCACCGGCAATCCTCCAGCTGGAGCTAGTGCCAGCGGCCAGCCAGCTAAGAAGCCTAAGCTTGAGAACATGTCTGAAATGAAGAAACGGTTAGCAGAGCACCGAGCTAAGCGCGCTGAAGGTGCTGCTGGTGGAAGCAGCGGCGACGCAACCCCCGTGGGCGCGGGTCAGAATTCACCAGCGCCAGTCACATACGTACGTCCCAATATTCCCTCGATTCAAGCACCAGGTGAAGAAACAGATTTACTAACAAAACCACTAACAGGGACTACCACAGCCTGCAGGCGCCGCACCCGCGCAACAACACCCATACCCCCAACCGTACGGAGGCGCCGTCGCTGCCCCCTACCAACAAACCGCAAGTCCAGGATACCAAACCTTCTCCCCGGTCAGCGGCCAGCAGATTCCTGGCGCGCCAGCGTTTCCACCTACAGGATATTCACCTCAGCCATTCCCCGGCGCACCCCCAGCTCCCGGCTACGGAGCCACACCACCACCATTCCCTCAGCAACAACATACCCCCACCGACCCCAACACCCCTCGACACGGTAGCCTGCCCATCCCAGCCGGACTCCCCCAACGCCCCGCCTTTGGCGCGCCCTCAGTCAACTCTCAACAAATGCAGCAGATGCACATGGGCCACCAGATCCCGGCCGCCCCTGGCGCTAACGCCGCATACACGAACGGAGAAAGCAATAACGAAAAGTCCCAGGCTGGCTCAGGCTTAAACGTTGACGACCTGATTTCCGGAGCGGCGAAGGACGCAGCAGCAGCATCGAAGACCGACCCGTCCACCGATAAACCGAGCAAGAAGGACAAGGCCAAGCCGACTAGAATGATTTACTCGCACGAGACGGTCAGTCCTGAAGAGCGTATGGCTCAGCTCCCCCGGTACGCATTTGATCGCGCGCAGTTCCCCGATAACACAGCCCTCGGCGAGCTCCCTGCTTCGACGGTGACGGGGGCGATTCGGGACGAGAATACGGTGCTCGACCCTGCACACTAAATCTCTTCTCTCTAAAAAGAAAGGAAGGGCCATTTCATTGGCTGTTTCATCCTACATGCGCAGACAATGAACAATGGACAAATGGAACGGAAACGGAAACGGGACGGTCATCGATTATCCAGCTAAGTTCGACACATATCTAGCTATACATGAGCACTCGTCTGGCTGGCTATGTTTGTTCGTTTTATTACCTACCCTGATCCCTGATCCATCAGTAGTCCTGGCGAAGACATGAACATCTCTTACAAAGCGAACGCAAAAACAAAGGCAAATGCAATATTTCCCGTCTCAAGCATACCGAACCTTCGTCGTCACCGTCGTCGTCGGTGCGTGGGGTATTTCTCATGGAAGGTAGTTGCTAGTGAGTGACGAAGAATCCGACCGTACGTGTTCTCTGCCCTCTCAAGATCCTTCTCTTTGTTCCTTTTTCATGCCTCAGTTTGCATTGTTTTTGAGTCTTGTTCGTTCTACACTACATACATTCTTCGCTATGTCGGGTTCACACTGGATTCGAGGTGGGTCTTTCAAGTTCTCTGTGCCAGTCCAGTCCAGCCCAGTCCAGCCCACCTTTACCGATGTCGATGTCGATCCCGATGCCGATCCCGATTTACTCTGGATGTAAGTTTTACATGTCCTTTAGCGATGAGTGGTAGAGAAATGAAGATTTTGAAGTAAACTTGGGCCTGGCCGCGCGCTCGTAATCTAGAGAAGCTATTGCTAGTTGCTGGCATCTCCTCCTAGTAATACCTGGCTTTACTATAAGTGACAGACTCGGATTTTATGGCAATGCACAGATGGGGGTATATGGTATACTCGGAGAGGCAATCAGTAGAAATCCTGGTTCACAGCTAGGATCTACTGCCTCTGCAAGCATTCAGTCACACCGGACAGAAAAGAACTCGAATTCAATTGGACCATAGCTATGGCATGATATCTTCGCTGAATATGAACCGAAAAGAGAAAAAAGCAAAGCAAGTCTCATCAAACCGGGCCCGGGACAGCCACCTCAAGTCGTTATAATAATCATGCTATATCTCGTTTCCAACCCTTGGGAAGGCGATCGCAGCGCCTCTCTGAATCCCGCCTCCACGGCAGGGTATTCCCATATACGTCACGCTGGAAGCGCGACAAAACGACCTTCGAACATAGCATTCCCGACCCAGCCGATAAAACCAAGCTCAATCCGAGTCATAGGAACTAAGCCCTCTTCTCCCGATAAGCGAGCGCGAAAACGATCGCACCGTACGTAGCCAGGATCGATAGACCGGCCGGAACAGCCTTTCCAGTCTTAATAGCGCGGGGGATCGAGCTACCGCCGAGGACGGCGCTGGCCAGAAGGCCGAGTTCCTCGCCCCATGGTTCGCCGGCGCGGAGACGGAAGAAGCTGAAGAGGTAGATTGCGCCGACGGAGAGGCCGGCTGCGATTGAGGGGATTGAGCCTGTGCGGGCGAAGCCGATTGAGCCGCCGAGGGAGGTGAGGAGGGAGAGGACGAGGGCGGAGGTTGTTGGGAGGGTGTTTGGGGAGGACTGTGGGTTGTTTGGTTAGAAGGGGTGGATGCATGGTGGAATCGTGGTAGGTACCATTTTGAGGGATTGGGATTGGCGAGATTGGGTGGTTGGAAAGGTGATGAGGGTTGTAGTTCAAGTTCAAGTTGATGGTGAGATGCTCGGAGTATGGGGTGATTAGATTAGTAATGGCAGGTTACCTTAATGTGGGGAGTGGGCCGAGGTCGAAGTATACTGCAATGAGCAGGACTATGTATGGAGTACCACATCTAATTATGGACGAAAGATATAGTAATTTGGAGATTGAAAGTGAGAACCAAAACAGATCATTTTTCATTGCCTGACACTATCCGTATATATGCATTCCATTCGTTACTTTGTTCAATCTAAATGCTTTCCCATGACGGCCATTAAGAACATGATGCTATGCAAGAAAAAGTCGAATACAACCGAAGCCCCCCCTGGGCAGCAGTATCATCTCCGATTAGCTTCAGTGGACGCATCCACAGCACCATAAGTGCCCACGGAACCATTTTCTCTCTGCACCTCCTCTTCTTCCTCTTCCTCTTCCTCTTCTTCCACCTCACGATGAGGACCATCCTGCTCCACAATCCAAATGGCAGGAATCACACTCGTGAGGGTAAGAGCACTGAGAAGCCACCAGGGGATAATCACATATCCCCTCTCGACGCCCCAGGAAAATACGGTGCCGATCAACGCTGGCCCAGCAGCACGACCAAGAGCACTGACGCTCGTCGCGACTCCGTTGAGAGTTCCAAGAACGGTCACACTTGAGGCTGAGTTCGTTAGAAGAATCGTGCAGCATGGAATGGAGAAGATGATCGAGCCAAGCTTGGCGAAAAGGATGAGAAGGACACTGGGAATCCGGAATGGTTCAGGGACCAGAGCTGTGAAGGGCGTGAGGAAGAAGATGATCGGCATAGACAGAGCGGATACTCTGAAACATCTCAATACGCCGAAGCGCTGCACGATCGGTGGGAAGAAGAGGAATTGAATGAACATTCCTGCGATGCCGCTGATCGTATAGAAAAGACCAATTACTTGGGCATCTACCGTTGATAATATTTTCAGTTTGAGAACATGTTTTGGGTGACCTCGATGGGAGCTTGAACGTACCGATGCCAAACCCGCTGGTAAATTTAAATGGTAACTTGACGTCCGGATTGTTCTTCAGATCTTGAACTGGCCAGTGCAGAAAGACGGGGAAGACCGAGTCAAAGGCCATTCCGAGACCAGAAACCAGTGTATAAGATATGAGCACGAGGATTGACTGGGGTGTTAATATCTGCGACCACTTAGTACCAGCCACTGGCTTCTTCAGCTTCTTCGGCTTTGTCGAGATAGGCCTGTCCTCGGACAGTAAGGGTGTCTCTTCTTCGTCTCTGTCTTCGTTTTCAAGCTTCAATGATCCCAACTCGCGCTTTCTGCGCGATGTGCACGGCTCAATAAGTGTCTGACCCAAGACCAAGCCAGGATCATACCGATCCCTCTTGGTAGCTAGCGTTTCCTGCAAAGCCATTAGCGATCTGACATATTGAATTCCCAAAATGAAGACTTCTGTTTACCTTCAGAAACAAGATACCCGTAGTGATACCAACGACAAAGAAGCAAGCGGAAACCAAATTCGGCAACGCAAAAGGATATCGCTTGAGAAACTCCGATCCCCCAAAGAGATTCGGATGTTTCTCAGCTGGCCGAGCAAGAGCCCCTCCAAACGCCGGCCCAAAGATACTACCGATCGTCCAGACCATAGGCATAATACTGAAAGCCCGAGGCTGCAGCTCACGCTGTGGTACAATTTCCGCAACCATAGTGCGGATGATGCCGACGTTTCCGTTCATAAAGCCGATCAGAGCACGCGAGACTAGAACCATTGATAGACTCGACGACATGCCTAGCATAATCGACAGCAGCATCGTGAATATCTGCCCGCTGATAATGACCGGCTTGCGTCCTATACGGTCGGATAATGTGCCCCAGGGAACTGCCATCGTCGCCTGAGTCACGGACGCGACCGCGGAGGCGATGCCTGCCCATTTGGCGACTTCGGGCTTGGGAACGCCCACATATTCGATCAGCTCAGGCTATTTGCTGGCGTTAGTGAATGGCTTTTCTTTTTCTTTTCTTCGGGTTGTTTTAGAATATTTGAAAAATTTTCTCATATGTTAAAGGTGGTGATGTTTGGGTGGAGAATGGCGTCAACATGTCAGGAACCAAAACCTACCAAATATGGGAGAATCGACGTGAAGACGACTGTTCACAGGTTCAAGTTGTTAGTTAAATATTCTTGACCAGAAATAAAGAAACCAAAAAATCCATGTTGAGATTTGTGGAGAGTGACACATACTGGGCTCTGACAGCCGACATATAGCTATTTTATAAACAAATTAGTGAGAAGATCTTTTCAAGGGGGACTCAGAGCGGAGAAAGGAATGAAAGGACCCTCGAGGCAAGTTGAACCTACACAGAATGACCAGCTGCTGGACGGGCAGCTGTGACTTTGGCATTCTCGTCTAGATGGAGGCAAAAAGTCTCCTCTATCTGCAACCGGCACAGCAAAAAACGTGCAAAGACAAAGAAGAAGGAGAAAAGAGAGGGAAAAAAAATGCAGTCAAAGCAAAGCCGCGGATGGATAATCGGCCAGAGCGGCAAAGGACGCGATGACCCTCACCTTTTGGCTCCACTCGAGACCTTCGGGGCCTAAGCCGCTTTAGCGTCGCTGCAACCGGACTTCTGCGCGATGTCAGCTGGCTACAGTTTGAACGAAAGGTCCAATAAAATATAAGTTCACATGCGACAAGTGCATTCTTTGATTTAATTCTTCATCCCCTGCGCTGCAAGACTAGTATCATTTATCAGACTTGGGAAATATTTACTAATATCAAGCTTGAGTCACCTCTACGAGATCAACTTGGTTGCGGCTCCCACCCGTTCTTCGATGATTTTACTCCATTTCTATTGGAAAAAAGAGAAGTTAGTTAGCAGGTTCAATCGATAGCATAAAACACGTGGGAAGTTGAAAATAGAAAAAAAAAAGAAAACAAAAAGAAAAGAAAGCTTCACATACCTTGGCATTCTCCACATCTCCGGCCTCGAGGCTCTCCACCAGTCCGGGGTATGTGGCGCCCGAATAACCAGTCCAAATACCCGGAGCGAAGACGACATGCTTGAACCAGTCACGGCCATCAAGACCCGGCTGGTAGAGGAACGCACGCTCGATACCCTTATACTTGTTGTTGGCAATCCGGACTTGGAAGAGAAGTCGGACCTTCTTCCACCAGTGGTACCACGGGATATCCTCACCCAGCTTGGTGTTCAGATCCGCAGCCCAGGCATCGAATGTCTTTGCGGCCTCCAGGAACTCAATGATAGACAAATCCAGCCCGGAGAAGTCAAAGTGTTGTCCATCATGAAGTTGATCCGCTGAAGGCTTGGCCCGGCTCAGATATGAGCCCAGTCCAAGGGCATAGTCAGTGGCATTGAACGAGATCACTGGTGTCTCAATGAGCTGGGCGGCTGCAAGAGCCCACAGCTTAGTGGTAGCAATGTGGTGCTCCCAGTTTTTATCGCCATACTTCTCCATCCACGCGAGGCTATCATAGTTCGAGTGGTAGTGGTAGACAGGATCGTCGATCCCACGACCGAATCCGAAATCTAGACTAGCGACACCGGCGAAGTCCTGGAAAGCAGTGAAATCGCTACCGCTTCCCATGGTCGCGATCTTACCATCCCAAGCATCGCGAATGGTCTGACCCGGAACGGTCTGATTAGGAGATTGCACAAGGCCGGTCACCTCATAGATGACTTTGTTCAAAAGGGGCGCAGCACGAGGGCTAAAGTCCGTGCCAGCCGCGGCGACATCAACGTTCAGATACGCAACATTAGCCTTGGACAGCCAAGGAAGGTATTCTTCTACCCACTCAGTAGAACCGAGTAGGCCATACTCCTCGCCATCCCAGCTGGCGAAGACAATGGTGCGCAGTGGCTTCCATCCAGCTTTCATGGCCTCGCCAAAGCTGCGAATGACCTCGTTGAGAGCAGCGGATCCACTGTTGGGATCACCTGCACCGCCGGCAATCCAAGCATCACGGTGGTTACCAAGGACGATGACCTCGTCGGCGATGTGGCCCTTGACAACACCGATGACGTTCCACAATGGGGTGGTCACATACTCCTGTTGATTGTCAAGGTTGATGACCACGTCCTCAGGCGAAGGTCCAATGTTATACTCCACGCCTTTATAGCCCAAACCGCCGCCCTGCCAGTACTTGTTGAAGTCCGAAGCCTTAGGACCATGTCCATTCAAGGCCTTGAGGAAAGGCAAGACCTCTTTGTAGGAAATAGGCAGGGATGGGATGGAAGGAATAGAGCCGTGCGGGTCCTGGCGTTCGCACCCGGGTTTGGAGGGATACCCCGGTGTCGTGGGATCACCAGGCATGATACCTAGCCGAAGGGATAATTAGGCAACCGCCTCCACTGGGGAAGATAGAATACATACTCAGGAACTGTGTGCTACCCCTCTGGATTGCACTGGGGTTACGAGCTGGGCCATCCGGGTAAGCCTCGTAACCATTCTCCTCCGTGATTTCGCCATCCTCCTGAGGATCGCTATAGATCACCACACCCACCATACCAAGCTCCTGCGCACGCTTGACCTTCAGGCCGCGGAAGATTCCACCATATTTCACGATGGCAATCTTGCCTTGCAAGGTTATATTTGCGTTCACAAGGTCCTCATAGTCTTTATAGGTGCCGAAGTTGGCATACACGTATTGGGCAGTGACATTACCGCTTGCCGAGTATCCATGGAAGGCGGGCACTCTGTCCGGCAAACCGGAAGTGGGATCTTCTTCCAGAACATCCTCCTCCAAGGTAGCTTCGAAGGTGACTTCTGTGTCTTTGCCAGACTTCTTCAAAAGAGCTAGACGGTGATCTTGCGGGTAGTTGATGTAGATGTCATAGGTCGCAAGGGTGGTATCCTCGACGCCAAACTCCTTCCACTTCTCCAAGGTCCAAAGTGCCTGGCTCAGGTTCTTACCCCCCCAGGTGGGGACCAGCGGTATAGTACTCGCTCCATTCACGGGCCTTGGCTGCCGAAGGGGTATTGATGAGGACCTGTTGGAGCTGGTCGTATGGAAGACCAAAGCCTTGCGGCCAGGCGTCATGAGGGTATGGGTTGGACCAGGGAGCATATGACCAGATTGAGCCGTGCTCTCGCGGCAGGATAGCACCGGGGATCATGAACAAAATGGTGGCCACTACTAGAAGCGTGCCGAGGAACAAAGTACAGGTACGACGAAGAGCATGATGTGGGTACCGCTGCCGCCGCGGGGCGACATGGACCTCCAGCAGAGGCGTTGTCTCAGAGTACGGCATGTCTTTCTCCCTCATTTTCTCGCACAATCTGGGAGAAAGAAAAAGGAAAAAACGTGGGACGATTGAAGAGGGGAAGTGCCATGTCATTATCTAGTCCAGTTTCGAGCTCTCCACACTTTATCGCGTTATCGCATGACTAAGCGTCCCCTCACTAAGGTACCCACCTTCCGCTTTGGGCCAAATGTGAGGTGTTGCAGAATAGTTATATACTTCACAACTGTTCTTGACAAAATACCAAAGAAGAAAGCCAAATAACAGATGTAAAAGAGCAGGGAAAGTTGGATCATGAAAGCTCGGGACAAATACTAGCGACTGCAATATACCGCTGTTGCTTTGGCGGGGATTTAAGTTGAAAGTGGACCAGAGCACACTGACACCCATATTCTCAGCACGGGGTATGCACTAATATCAGAGCAATTAAGACGGCATAATATCGGAATGATCTGAATTGACAAGAAACTGACGGGGAATGTCATAATTAGCACCAAAAATTGCTTATATCTGGAACACCAAGATTCTATTTGAGACATGATTGAACATCTCAACTCGATACTAGTCACACCCCGACTCGCCCAGAACAATAATCCCAACATAATGTGGGATAAACCGAGCCAAATTCTATATACTCTCACTAGAATCTCGGTATTCATTACCCCGGAAAATGAGACGAATGGAACGGAAATTGGACCGGGTCGAGGTCAAAGAGCCAAACGTTGCATCGTACCCTCGGGTCCAGCCGATCATCTGAAGACTTGCGGTCTATGTTTAAATGCGGCAAATATCCCAGCGGAGTATATACGTCAAAGAGCATGTTTTGATATACAATGGCAGCCTCGTTTCTCAAAACCGCAATTGTTGCAACAATTGCAGCTGGCATCGGCTGTAATGCTGCCATTCTGGACAAGCGGGAAATTGCCCTAGGAGGTGGTGGCAATTGGCACAAATACATTCGATCCCCAGCTACCTCAATTGTGAAGCCCGAGGCTATTTTGTCGGCAAATACCACAGGTGATGTGGTTAATCCAAACGGCTTGCTTGATAGTCATGGGTCTCCGACAGTCTTGACCCGCAGGGGAAGTGACGACAAAGTCCCGTCGATGGTGGTAGATTTTGGACAGAATATCGTCGGAATAGTTTCAATTAACTTTGCTGGTTCTACCAATGCTTCTGAGGGGTTCCCAGGCTTGAAGCTGGCTTTTTCGGAAACTCAGCAGTTTTTGACCAATACTAGTGATTTCACTAGGTCGGATAATATGCCAGGGGTATGCAACAACTGCTTTAAGAGCTCGATGATTTTATTCTGTTTCTACTCTGTTAACATTGATCTAGGGCCAAAAACTTACCAATGGCACCGATCAGGTAAGGTATCTTCATCGAAGTCAATCCAAGTACACTTTCTAACTTTCTTCAAGATCGCGGTCTCAAATGATCCGTATATCTGGAAAGATAACACTGGCTGTCAACACGATAAGAAAGTGTGCTCAGATGGAGTTCATGGATTCAGATACATGAAAATATGGCTCGATGCCCTCGAAAACGATGCCCCGTACACGCAACCATACGGATCAGTATCCATCTCGAACATTGTCCTCGAATGGTCTGGTTATCTCGGAACGCCAGATACTTTCACCGGCTGGTTCGAATGCTCTGATGAGGATCTGACACAGTGGTGGTTTGATGGCGTGTACACTGCTGATATGGGTACTGATATCTTCCTCGCTAACGAGACTGATCCGAGAGACTCTGCCACACCAACACTGGAGGGCAAAGAGGTTCTCTTCGACGGGGCTAAAAGAGATAGGGATCCCTATGTTGGAGATCTTGGCGTTGCTGCACTTACTTCGTATTTGTCGCATGATAATCCCGACGCGGTCCGCAATATTTTGGCGGATTTGGCTGAGCATCAGCGGGATGATGGTTGGATTCCCCCGGCTAGTATGTAAGTAACTCACTATGACCTCGGCAAGTTTCTACAATTTAGAGTGTTCAATTTTGACATGGCAAACAGAAACAACTATACTCTGAATCTTTATGATTATCCTATGTGGTGGGTGGTCTGCACTGTCGATATTGTCATGTATACCGGCGATACAGACTTTGCAGCCCAATACTACGACGTGATGCAAAAGACGCTGGACAACTATTATGGCCAAAATCTTACTGCGACTGGTGGTCTACTTAACAAGACAAATGGTTACGGGGACTACGCATTCCTCCCTCGCTCCGGCGTCATCACTTACTACAATGCTCTTTATGCCCATGCCTTGAAATCAGCCGCCAGGTTGGCCGATATACTCGGCCATGACACTGACCGCGATACCTGGACCTCACGAGCCACTGAGGTCAACGAAAAATTGTTGGCTCGAAACTGGGATGCCTCTGTCGGAGCATTCTACGACGGTGGACCCTGCCCCAACAAGCCCGGCGACACGATCTGTGATGTCCACGCTCAAGATGGGAATGGCCTAGCTGTTCTTGCTGGCACTGTGAATTCGTCCTTGGCTACGAGTCTGCTAGACTATTACGGCAAATCCACTACTCGTCCCTACGGAAATGCCTTCTACGACAATGATTCACTCCAGGCTGGATTTTCAGACCGCGTATATGCATTCATTTCCTATTTTGAACTTGCTGCACGCTTTGCTACACAAGGGACCGCGGGGTCCGCCTATGAGGAATTAAAGCGTCTTTATGGGTGGATGTCGACTCATGATCCGGAGATTACATTCTGGGAGGGAATTGGTCCGAATGGATCTCCTTATGAGGATGGATTTACCTCCATGGCGCATGGTTGGTCAACGGGTATTGTGCCGCTCATGAGTAACTATGTCCTTGGAATCAAGCCCACAGGCCCTGGTTTCAAAACTTGGCAAATATGCCCTGTTACTGAAGGTGACCTCACCTGGGCCCGTGGTCAGGTTGGCACACCGCATGGCCCAATCCAAGTCTCATGGAGCAAGAAGGGTAGTAATGGCTTCGAGCTTCAGGTAGATACTCCCGCTGGGACTAGCGGTGTCGTTTGCGTACCGGTCACAGACTCCAAGAAAGACCAGGTTTTCGTCGATGGACATAAGGCAACTACAATTGCCCTTTCTGGAGAGGGGGTTAGGATCATCAAGACTGGCGGTGGCTCCCATGAAATATTGGTCAAAGCATGAGTTAGGCGGGAAGAGTGGGAAGCTGAAATTTTACTCTTGGTCAGCAGTCGGTGTTAGCTCGGCTACTAGTAATAGTTATCTTTAGAGAAGCACAATGACACAAGACCGAGAAAATACAAACTCCATTATTTATGCTGATGACTGATACAATGAAACAGAAGTGGTATCACGGTGGCTATCATATACAATCGCTAAGCCCAATAAATCCATACCCATCCAAGATCGAGCAGACATATCAACAATGCTCAGCCGTATGGAATCCAGTCACACTTTGAATAGATAAATTATAATTCTTCGTCTTCGGCCGGAACAGGAACCTCGTCATCCAATGCCGGATTGAGCTTTTGACCGAGGTCGATGCTTTCCCTCATAATTTGGCGTGCAGAATCATCATCCACACCCATATCTTCTTTGACAAGAGACATGGCGAGCTCGGGAACAAGTACGGACTGGGCGTAGCCGGCTACACCCGCCGTCTTGATAATATTGTCCGATGCTGATAAGCGACGCAAAGTTGTCGAGAAGCGTTCGACGACAGCTTGTAGCCTGTGACAGAACGCATGATCAGTATAGCCCCAGTAAATCCGAACCAGATAGTTTGTGCGAGTAGCCGCATGCTTACATCTTCGCGGCTCCTTTCGTCCCGTAATATCCGCAAGAAATAGTTTCAATGCCATCACCCGCCATTGTAAGGCGGAAGTTCTGCGCCTTGCCATCTTTCATATTGGTGGACAGAATATTATGGTAATAAGATGGGTGGCCCGGAGCCAGAAGTTTTTCCAACTGTGGGAAAAATGACTTGATACGCTCATCAAAGGTTTCCCACTTGATCTCTGGATATCCGTGTTTCTGCCATTCCGCTTTGGCAGTATTTTGCTTGTGCGATGTGCAGAATTGCTGTTGCTCGCGGACGCGCTGGTTGGGCTGGGCCTCGAAGAGGATGAGTAGATCTGGATCAACCTCCTCTTTGCACATTGGGCATAACCACTGCCGCGGTCTGGGGGGTTTCTTATCAGTTTCTTCTCCGAGAAGGTCCATGAAATCCGAAGGCACAGAGCTGAGTGGCGAGCTGGAGCCTGAGCGCTCTAGACTAGATGGTTGATTATATTTTGAGAGCGCTGTCTCGAATGAGGATTTCGAGTCGCCAGGGTATAGAGGAGGTACAATAAAGCCAGGGAGTTTCTCGTCATGGTCGTTATCCGAGGTCGGTTGATCTATCTCCAAAGCCGGCTTGGATTCGGCTTCTGGGTCTGACATTTCTAACGCCTCGGACAGTTCTGATGTATCATCTTCCTCGGTACTTGATGATTTCTTCAAAGATGTGTTTGATCCTTTAGGCTGATCGTCAGGCGGGGAAGCAGCAGAGCGTGCGCTTGAGCTCGGTATTTTCGAGAAGGAGGTCGTCGGATACGTCTTCTTGAAGCGTTTCTGTGAGGATCGGTATGACGAGAATATTTCTTCCTGATCGTCGTCGCCGGCTGATCTCATACTAGAGGTCCTCGCCAGTGCTTTTTTCCTGGTCGATCTAGCTTGACCCTGTGAGCTAAAAGCCCCCGCCCGTACAGGTGCGGGGACGAGGATGCTTCCAGTTTCTCCATTAATGTCTTCCCTTTGAATCGATCACGATGTGACGGAAGTTCGTCAGAGTCCCCGGCCAATTCATCCTCATCAGAAGAGCTGAGTGGTTCATCATCCGTCCCGGGTTCAGGCGCTTTGCTTTCGAATACAGGCTCGGTCTTGGGGGTGCGTTCTGCGGCGGCATTTTGCTTAGGCATGTTGAAAGTTGAGAGGAGATGTCTACGCGGGCCGTTCTTGCGCGTTAACCGGGTTGATGCTTCGCTTGAATCGCGTACATGTTGAGGGAGCATCATACAAAGAAGCAGCCTTTGAGCTTTCGAAGAGGCTGGGGGGGATCGTCAGGTAGATCGTATACAAGGAGCGACGAGGTTGCAATGCGACAATGTGATAGGGGCGTCAATTGGAAATCGAATCGGAGGATGATTGAATCTGAAAGAAAAAGAAAACCAACAAAAAAAAAAAAGTCGCAGGCCAAGGGCCGATTGGCAGATATGGCGTAAATGGAGAGCAAAGAAAGAGAGAGCGGGAGTGAGAGGGGAATTGGGGAACGCGTGACGCGACAAAGCGGCGCCCCACAGCGGAGACTCTTTTGACACTCGACATTCATGGGAGGTTGATACTTGTTTAATCGAATTCAAGCTATTCGAGCTACCTCTCTGTACATGACAGCTGCACATTTATAAACATCTCAGGCACCTAGGCAAAACGATGCACCTCTAAAATGAACAAAAAAAAGAGTCCTTAGGAGCAAAAGTCCACAGGAACTGAAACCAACCCTCCTCATTATTCAAAAGTCATTGAAAACCCCTCCTCTTCATGCCCGTGTCCAAAATCATCATAATCGGCCCAAGCATTCGGCTCTAGGGCCATCGCTCCCACGGCTGTTGCGCCTACAGCGGTTGCGCCAATTGCAGGCATGGTAGAAGAGGACCGTAGTTCGGGTCGGGAAGGTGGATCGTGTTGGTACTGTGGAGGTGGGTCGTGATAAGAAGTATCAAACGTCATTTCAACTTCCTCCTCCTTATGCGTGGCCGAGTAATCATGAGCAGCCGGGGGTTCAGCGGCTGTGTTCAGCTTAGGCTCGGATGCCGTTCGTTGAAGAGAAACGGAGTCGTCATATCCAGCGTCTTTCCCCTTTTCTTTCTCTGTCGGGGTGGTGGGTAGGGTAGATGCCGACTCTGATGGACGATTCAACTCTAGTTTCATCGGAGGCAGAGTAGACTCCAGCTGTTTAACTTCGATGGCCTCAGAGGCCAACTCAGCTCGAATAGCCTCAATATCGAAGAGCACCGAACCCGGCGCACTCTTATCAATCGGATCGAGCGGTGCGCTTTTCTGGTTAACATCGTATGTCTCCCAGGATTTCTTCTCGGCCATCTTGCCGCGCTTGAAGAGACCGAACCGCTTTTTCTCCGGTTTGAGCTCTGCTTCTCGTCGAGCTTCATCGATCTCGCGAATCAGCTCTCGCTGGCGCTCGGCGTGGTTTTCGGGGTCCGGGTCTTCGATTTCTGCGAACTCGTCTCCCAAAACTTCCCAGCCCACCTCTCTAAGGATTCGAGGCATCGCGGAGCGGTAGGCCATATGCCCATTGACAAGTTCTGTCAAGTTGAAGTTCTCCACTCCTGGAATGCCCTCAACAGCTGCAAGACCGGAGACACGCATGATACCACCACTGGTTGCCCGGAAGAGATAGCCAAGAATCCAGTCATTCGTACAATATCCGTTCACAAACCGGCCAGATACCACGCTGCGTGCTTTGAGGTATTCATCTTTGTTTGCGACAATTGGTGATCCGAAGAGGTAGACATTCTGAATAAGTCCGTGGCAGCCCTTATTAGCTAGCTCCGTGAGGCATGAAAAGATGACCCGTGCACCCAGAGAGAAACCAAGTAATGTGATGGGTCGTTTACCCAGATTGCGATCTTCCAAAGAGTCGGCCATGACCAACCCGGCCGAGTGCGCACGAGCCAAAGAAACGGTCCACGGGTTATCAATCAGATAGGCGAGTTTGGTCAGGACTAGAGGTAATTGTAATGATGCCATCAGTGCCATCAAAATAGTACTTCCCAGCACTTGCTGTAGACCTTGAGTCAATGCCTGAAAGCGAGTCAGTTGTATGCGCGATTTGAATTGTGTTGTGGAAATATGTTACCTCTGTCGCCAGAATATTGATTGTGTCACCCATGCTTCGAAGCATCTCAGGCTCCCACAGAACTGAATAGATATCACCCATGATGGGGTCGACTGTACTGTAGGGTAATCGAACATCATCAACCTTGCCAGTCATCCATCCGGACACTGTCACAATCAGATTGACCTTCTTGTTATTGTGCAAGGGCCGGTATTCAAATGTCTGGACCGCGCCAGTTCGGCGATGGGAAGCTCTCAAGCCGATGGCACTCCCACCAAGAGTAGCACTCGAAGCAATCAAAGCAGTGCCGCCAAGACCACCCAAGAACGTACTGGTTCCACCAATACCAACGGTTGTTAGTCCCGCAGCGAGACCAGCTCCAATAACTGGTGCCAGCAACCCAGCGGACAAGCCGATTACCAGTCCACCGCCGACAGTGGCCAACCCCATAACCATATATTTCGTCTTGCGAGACTTCTGGCGACGCTTTTCCATATGCTCCGTTTCGTCCCAGTTCTCTTTGTCTGCCTGCTCTTGCATTTCCAGAGAGTCTGTGACTCGCTTCTCGAATCGACATATTTGTAGCCAGGTCACATCCATAGACTCGCCAACTCGCTCCAGCAGGGTCCGAGACCGCGCATCATACGCCGAGTCGGCAATGAGAACAAGAAACAGATCACACAGGACTGTCCACCGAAGGTCAATATCAATTCGGTCGGAGGTTGGCATTTGAGATGGCGTTTTGACTTCCGTGGGCTCATCGTCTTCGTGCTCTTCATATGGTGGCGGAGAGCCCAGTTCTGAAGACGCGTCGGTCTCAACTGACATGCGCGAATGAGGGTCTCCTTTGGATGTAGGAGAAGATAATGATACCGAGGACGAAGACCTGTGAGCACCTTCGGCCATGGGATTCTTCACGCGCGCGTTTTGCATGAGTGGTCGAACGAGATCCCCAGGTTGAACTCCATGCCCCGCAAGTTGCTCAATCATTATTTGCTCCGCCGAGTTAATGTCCATATGCATATACAGGCGGCCCATCATAGCCTGGCCCCATTTCCTCGTGGAATCAGAAGCTTTTTGGTGCGTCTTGCGGGTTGATCTTGTGACTGGAAGCTTCGACAATCCAAGATTCATCTCGTGGATTGCCAGGCGGACCACACCGACGTAGGCGATCTTCTGGGTCTCGTTGAGAAGGTCTTTTGTGGCTTGCAGCTGGCCGACAGAGTCACGGAGCTCTTCTCCAACCAGACCAGCTGAGTTGTTTGCTGAGTCTTTGAAAAGATAGCTGGTATCTTCATCCATGCTTGTGGCAGACTGGGCATCTTCGTCGAGCTGGACACGAGTGTATCCCTTTCCAGCGCCTCCAAGTCCTTGGTATACGGCATCATTGTCCTCTTCTTGGGCGCCGCGGGCGATCAACCTCCCATAGTCGTCGTAGTAATCGAACTCTCCCAGTGCCGGCATGGCTTTCCAATCCAGCGGTTCCTCCTCTTCTTCTTCGCTATCGTCGTGCGCTTGATGGGGTTGAGCAATTCGCATATGTGACCATTCCGAGAACTCGACGTTCTTGGGCTTCGAGGTTGACGATCGAGGGAGGGCGATAGCTCCAGCGGCTTCGGGGCCGGGTTTCTGTGTGGCTGCATCTGTGGGCGTCAGGGATTCAGGATCCTTATTTGGCTTCGATGCTTGCTTTTCCGGCCCTTCATTTTCAATTGTTGCCTCCGGCTTTCCCTTGGTATCCTCAACTTGATTGACATCCTGTTCTGGGGGCGAATTGGTTGTCGGATTTGCGGCTGGCTCTTGGTCTGAGGAGTCTGCGGGGAGACGGTTGTTGCCTTCGGAGGAGGTTGAGGTAGTGGGTTCGGGTTTCGCGCGAGGTCGAATCGGTAAACCAAAGTCATCGAACTCAAGCGGTGCCTGTGGTACTGCATCAGTCGTCCCCGAGCTGCTCTCCTCGGGTGTTATATTCTCTTTTCCCTTTCCGGTGACATCTTCCGGGGCGACTGCAGCCGACGGCTGAGGCGTATTGGGCGCAGAGAGTGCGGGTGAGGCAGTAATCTGACCGGGGGGCCCCGTCGCTGGTGACACCCGCTTGGGTCATGATTTCACATGGACAGTCAACCCTGATGAGATCGTGGTTTCTGAATGGCGGTCCGGGTTGGCAGTGCGTCCTGGCTTCCCACGTTCCTCGCAATGCTTGGAGGGAGCACACCCATTCCAGTCCAAGGTAGAAGAAGAAATTATATGAAAGTGGCCCGATGCGCCGTGGTGGACCGGATCGTGGCCCTTTGACTGGTAAGTCTCCACAGATGACGGCCACGCGGAAAAAGGAGGTCGGCGAGGCGGGAGGCAATGGCGGGGCTGGCAGTTAACAAGTGGACAATAGCCAACAAGCTAATAATTAATAGCTAATAGCTAATAGCAAGCTTTATTGAGCTGAAAGAGCAATAACAAACAGCGATTGTGAATATGTAAAAGGAAACCGAGAAAATTGAATGGAATTGAATTGAATCCTTCGCAACCGAAATCAACCACCGCGTCATCCCACGGTTGAGCCGAAAGCGGAAGACCGAGCACGCGCTCCTCCCAATGCAGAAAGTCAACAAATGGCCTGGAATACCATAATAAACACCTGAAAAGGGTGGTTGAAACATTATGAAAATAGCCAAAACTTTACCTTTCTATTCCATCCCCGAAAATGCCATTTTAGGCGTTTTTTGTCTCATATTTTTAGAAAGTTCTAATTGATTATCTTTGTTTCTTCTGCCGATCACCACGATTCCCCGCAATCACCAAAGGATCGCAAACCTGGATATTTCGATAGTTTAATATTCACGACAGAGACCCCTTTTCTCGTGACCTGCTAACCGGAGGGGAAGACCTATAGCTGGCGAGAACCTCATATACTTGAATATCAGGCTCAGGTAACAAGTACACAACTTCCTTTATCTTGATCGGAAACAAGTATACAAAATCAGGTTAAACCCTATTATCTCTTAGCACACTTGAACGCCTCCTTGCCACTCGACTGCTAGTGTGCTGAAAATTACTGGCATCAATAGCCGCCGAAACCATTACCTGCATCCTACGAGTACAACATCAATCATCGTCATCGTATCCATCATCCCCCTGACCCGAGAAGCCACAATCTTCATCATCAATATATCCATCATCAGTTTCACCTGAGAATCCTTCATATAGTTCAAATCCTAGGTAAGAAGTGGGTTCTTCTCCACGAAAGCACCTGTCTCCATCCTCAATGTAGCGAGCATCACCCCGATCTGAAAAGTCCGCATTTTCCTCCTCGACGTAACCAGTAGACTCCGAGTCGTCCTGAGGAAAGGCCCCATATTTGTTGAGAATGAGGTCAGTATCGTAATAATTCGAAGCTTGCCTGTCATGACCTTTGAAATATCCAGCATTCATGTCACCGGCGACTCTGCCATCATCGCTACCAGTAGACGATGTGTTCGGGCTACTACCGTCTCCCACGATGTAGGACGTACTAGTAGTATTCTCCACTTTATGAAGACTCGAAGCCATGAAAGCTTTAGACAAAGCTTTCGGCAAAGCCTTGGGCAAAGACTTGGGCAAAACATGACCTAGATTCGACACGCCCGAAGTCGTTCGCCTCTGACTTCGGTCCAAGAGAAAATTATTGTGGTCTTCAAAAGCAGGCAATATCTCGGCCTCATACCAATGAGAATTCTCGACAAGAGTCGCCCAGTCCCAATGACCAACAATCTGATCGGGCGTAAGCTCCCATTTGCAAAGACAAGCGTCATTGTGGTAAATATCTTCCTTCCCGTACGGGTTATGCACATTGTAGCGTAGCATTTCCCATTCGATGTTTTCCATGGGTAGGCCCTTTTCAATGCGCGCATTTGGGTTGATTGCTGTAAGTGTTCTGGGAGGGTCTAGATAATCTGAGCTTTTTGGAGACCAAAGGGCCTTGAGTTCAGATATGAATGATTTGTGTGGTTCGTCAGCCCGTGTCATTGTGTCAACGTGTGATGCGGCTGGTCCTTCGTGATTTCTTGGTGTGAAGTGGAATCGAGATAAACGAGCCTGTGTTCGACCCAAGCCATCAATACGGCATGCAGAGCACCGTTCCCAAGGTCTGATTAGTGGGAAGGGGTAAATAGGGCCTGGTTGAATGTCTGGTGAGTGGTTGGGCATCTCTCTCATTTTGTAAAAAGGATCAATAGCCCCAACAGGCTGTTTTATATGAGCTTTATCGAAAATGGGGCTCTCCATTTGAGATTTAGACGATAGATTCAGAAGAAAGGAAAATGAATCTTGTAAAAAGAATACTGGGAGAAATAGAGATGATGTTGGAGGGATGTGGAAAAACAGAATCGTAGTCATCGTAAAAGAGTCATGATCGTGCCATGGATGTGATGGCATTATGATCGGCTGAATATAAGACTACGCAAAATCGTTAGATGTTGCAAGGTTTCCAGGCTTTCTATTTCCAATCTTTGAACTTTGTTTCTCACGTCAAGATGAAGCCAGAGCAGTTGTTACTAAAACAGTTGTATTGGTTTCTCTCTTATGCGGCTGAGGCTATCGGTTCGAAGGCCATGTCTAAGAAGAGCAGTCTCTGCTATTCTTCGGAAATGGCACTGTCTTACAACTTGTACTTTAGCTCTAAAGTTCTCCTCGTACTACTTACGAGTACCGTGGCATGACGTCAAGATATCGGAATAGTATCGTCACTTTCTCTTTTAAGAAACCGTCTTATTCTGGTCTACAGGGTGTCTCGATGTTCTAAACGAATGTGGAAAAGCATTCTGTTTGATAATTGAATGAAAATGAGAGTGTTTGCCTAACAAATATTGGTGGGAAGAAACAAAAAAGAAAAAGAGAAATGCCGGGCCCCCGATTCGAACGGGGATACCTCTATAGTTTTCAAGGTACATTCCGTTGTGTTGACCCGACTGGTTTTGGAATTATAGGTTCGTTGACCTTCATCACCGGGCAAATCGCCGAATTGGGCGTCAGGGGTCGTAATTCTGTGTTTGGGTGTATGGGGGTGCGGTGTGTATGAAGAAGTATTACGAGTTCCTACCCCATAAATGTGTACGTTTAAGTTCGAGGTTGAACCTTCGTGAGGCATCCATAACGAGTCTAAAGTACGATTAGGGGCGAGTCTTTGCTTACTTTTGTATAATCTCACCGCAAGAGATAATCAGATCACCCTCGAGTATGACTGACTACCCGGGCTAAATACGACCCGATCGTAATCATCCCGTACTAGTATCCAATCGGTGATGAATGATATCCCATGGAATGTACACTTTCCTTCTGCAGGGCTTCCCCTCATCTTCTCTCTGCCGAGCCTCCCCTACCAACCAATCCCCACCGCACGCCTTGCATGCAAAAGAACTTGATAAATAATACGAGACACGGCGGCCCGAGGAACGTCATGCAAATCACAGTTTCCACGCCCGGGCGAAAGTCTTCTTTGCTTGATCGAGGCAGTGCCGGGTCCCCTTGACTCGGGCGTGCGAATCAAAAGTCACAAAGCGACGGGGAGTCGCAGACCGTACATCCGCACTAGCGCGGGGCTAAGCAGAAGATCGGCTGTGTTGACCCTGTTCAGACCAATGCATGGCGTCATGAAGACTGCCCAGAGACTGCCCAGGGCTCTTGGACAGCGCTGACGGGCGATGCTGCGGGTCAAGTGATGTGCAGGAGACTTGCGGCTCTGAGTGAGAAAAAGGAAAAGGTGGGGGAAATCAACATAATCACAGGTCATAAAGTATCAGCCTACTCTTTCCCCCGTGGAAACTAGTCCGAACTCTGTCACACAAATCGAAGGCTTTCGCCATGTTGATGAATCATCTCCGCTCTCTCTCTTGTGTCTTTTTATCGCTATTGACTTGATCTCCTTTGATCTTTCTTTTTCCCTCTTTCCTCTCTTGTTGGTATTATTGATACCTTTCCCCGTCATGATCATGGCATCAGGTACTACCAACACACACTCTCCTGTCTTCTTTCCCCCTCTTTTATCTCAAAGGCTAACTTCTGGCTTCTACTCAGGCTCAGAGGCATCTATCGTCCGCATCGCTGGGGCCGGGTTCCGCCTCTCGCTGCTTCTGAATGCTGCGGCCTGCCAGTTGGCGCAGTCTCGTATCGAAATTCACAGCATCGCCAAAGGCATTTCACTATTTGCTTTGACATTAAAACACCTTGGACAAGCTTTGGAAGCCGGCGACTTGGACCGCTCTGTCGAGGCCACAGAAAAGGCTTGGGAGATCGCCAGTCAAGGTCAAATAGTCTTCGTCGAGATCGAGCATATGCTCGACAAACTACAAGGAACTGATGCGGATGACGACCTGAGAAGAATCCCGGTACAAGAGCGTTTAAGATGGTGTTTCAGAAAACAACATGTCACCTACCTTCTTGCGCAACTGGATTCTTTGAAGCTGAGTCTCATCGTCCTACATCGGGTTCTGCAACTGGGAAATATGCTCACGCAGGGTAAGGGCAACTCAAACGCTAGCTCTCCTGTACTAGGAACCGAGGACCTCATTGCCCAAGAAAAGGCAGAGGCCCAGAATATGATTATCGTCCGATATTGGTCGGTCAAACGTCTCGATCGTCTTTGGGATATGGTCGAACATGAAGCTTGTGAGGCGGCAAATGACCAAACAAGTCAAAAGATTCACTTCAACTATTCCAATACTCCTTCGGCTCTCAAACCACTGGTTGCAGCCGCCAAAGGGAATGATCCTACAAAAATACACATGGTGACTTTGGGCGACAGCGAAGTCGGGCTAAAAGACCTGGAACGGTCGCCAAAGGATATGGTTCACCTTTCAGAAAAGGCCATGAACTGGCTTCTACGCGCATGGGTGCCGTCCCTGGACCCATCGAAACTACATGATCCTGATCTAGATTCCGGCAAGCTGGTCGCCCCTCGCGCCTTCGTTTCAGACTACGACGGCGACTTGGAGGAGTTGAATTTCGACGATGAAAACCGTGGCTACTACTTGGAGGGAACGACCGATGACTGGCGAAAGCCTCATTCACAGGAAGCCCGGGCTCACGCTGCTCAACTTCGCACCCGCTACTCGAACTACCAGGCTCGTGTAGATAGCGACTCTGAATCCGACGAGCCCAGTCGACGTAGCTCCAAACCAGCTAGCCCAGTTAGTCCAACAAGTCAACGATTCAGCACCTCGAGTGATGAAGCCGAGCAAAGGAACAACGGTACCAAACAGGCTTCAAAGAACGTAACCTTCAGTGATGGCCGAAAGCACTCCAACAGTGTTTCTTCACGGTACCCACCTAGCCAGTTCCCTGATGGCCGAACATCTGCATACTCTAGCAGTAGCTTCCCACCACCTCCTCCAGGCCCACCCTCATCTCGACCCCAGGGCCCACCACATGTACAAAGCCAGCCCGTCCCGAATTATATCCCGGGACATCTTCAACAATCATCATCCCTATCACAGCCTTTCCAGCAAGCATATCGATCTCACCCGAACCAAGAATATAACAGCGCCCCGCGCTCCATACCCAACAGCAATCAACCCAACCAGTCGAACGGATTACCAATCCCATCACCAAGGGGGACTCCCCCGGGGCAATATGACTTTTATGGCCGGCCCCAACCATACAGCAACAATATGCTCCAACCACGACACCATAAATCCGCATACGGCCTCTCCACCTCATCGCCCGAGTCCAATTTCCGACCCTCCCCACCTCGCTCGGGACAGCGATCTCCAACGCATGGTCACCACCACAGATCCTCACGTGAAGACAGTCGGCGCGAAGATCCTCGGGAGCGTGACCGGCAGCGGAATTTAACTCGGAACGCGACTCGGGGACTAGCGGGGATCGGAGCGATCGCTGGGTTTATGGATGCGCTGGAAGCATTCTCGATTTAAGGTACTAGTAAGGTAAGGTGGTAGGGGCGAGATTCAAACTTTCAAGTCTTTGAATCTTTTGTTTGGCCCTTGCTTTCCTTGCATGGTTTTCTTTTTCGTACGTCGTATTTCTTAATTTTCTGCATTTACCTTTCTAGGACTAAGGTGTCCGAGGGAAAAAGGCGTACGAGGTAGTATTTTATGATTCGGGTGGGACAGGAAGAAGAGATGGGAAGGAGGAGGATCTCCTTGGTTATCTATGCATAATGTGTATCCTATCATGACGAAATGAAATGTACTTAGGCAATCTGAAGATGAAGACTACCATTCCATAGTATGGAACACCTACACCAAACACGACCTTGAATTTAAGGACTCGACACGAGGCTGAAGGGATGTATAAGAGAATTCGCCGAGAAACATCGACGATTCTCCGGGTCCACATAGCGCGGGCCCCTACGGCATTTAGAATTTATTTTAGAATTCGATCCTAACTGCGCCCGGAGGACGGAGGACGGACAATTCACACGGAGATTATGTATAGAAAGCGCAATTCCCCGTAGAAGTCCGTGGTCAGTGGAATCGGTAAGTTCAAGTTGGTGGTCCCTGCTATCTCGTGCAACGCTTACCGGCACGCTTTTTCCTTTTCGATACTCTCCCGGCCATGCTACACCTTCTAGGCAGTCTCCTCCGTGGCATCGGATGAACTCCGCACATGCTTCTTACATGATTATTTGTCAGAATTTGTGTCCTAGAGTATAATTACTCGTTGTTTAGGCACTCGATGCGATCGCCGACGTTCAGTACTTTATCTTTATTCCGACCTCCAGGATGTTCCAGGGAGCAAGCACTGAACCACGGAGTTCATAGTACACACTACTAGTACTACTATACACCATCCGGAGTATACGGAGTATAACTCAATCAGTCTCAGTGACACCTGGGCACTAACTACCACGACTAACCCAAGAGAGACCATTCCATCCGCCAATAACTCAGACTGCGCCTACACCCTGGAGTAAAGGCTGAACTAAAGCTTTTAGCCTAAGTGTGACCCTCCACTCTGTCCTGTCGGACGACGATCATCCCGACCCTGCACTTCGGATTCTTTTATCGCTCCGTCCATTCAACTGACGCCATTCCTGCACCGGTTCGTGAGCTGGGGTTCCGCATTCATCATTCAATGGGGTAAATGCTTGATACTCTTTTTTGGGTACGGTCTCTTAGCTCTGTTCCCTTGGCTTGGGCTGGTTCACGGTCTTGACGGCTTTTTTTCTGGTGCCGAATCTTCGGTTTCTTTTTTTTTTGGCAAGTTCTTTTCCCTCTATTTTTTTCTTTCCTTTTTCTTGCTCTTCCTTGGAAATATTTTCTTTTCGGCTCCAGGGCTATGTTTGGGGGTTTGGGGGTTTGGAGTATACTAGTACTTCCATTTCTTTCTACTGGTCGATCACTTCACCATCGGCACTTTCTAATCTTTCTACCTCACTCGATCGTTCCAGGGCTCTCGCTCGTTTCCTCGTAAGTGAGATTAACTTGTATTCTGTTCTCTTCTTTTCATTTCGTCTTTCATCTTATATGTTCATGCTTTCCTTCCCCTTTCATCCATTCATCTCGTGTACCATGCTTGTTTATACAATATGCTAATAAGATATATGCAGAGCCAACCAAACCGTCCCCTCTCATAGAGAAGGTAACCTTTGGCATAAAGTATTACCCTCCACGATGAAGAGTCCAAACACCCATCAAATCATTTCAGTACGCGTGAAGTGAGCCTCAGCCGCGACATCTATCCAGATCATCAAAACTCCGGCAAAGGCGGCATCCCAAAGATACTTCCGTCTGGAAGCCATCCATCCAACTCCATGCCAGTCCCAGGCATCCCTCCACCCTGCGGAGCGAGTCTCTGCGGATCATACGCAAACTGCGGTGGCATCGTCACCTGTGGATGCGAGGGCGAATGTTGTTGATGGTATCCACCTCCCAGAGGGTGGTAGAACTGATTATGCCCATGTCCATGTCCGTGACTGTGACCGTGACCGTGACCATGTCCATGGGCATGTCCATGCCCTTGACTTCCATCCATCGGCCACATGCCCGCGTTACTCATAGCGACGTATCCATCACGCATACCCTCCATACCCGGCGGCATATGAGCCACGCCAGGAGGGACGGAGAACGAATCTACCGCTCCGGGCCCAACCTGATCCATATGTGCAGCCTGATCCTGCGAGCCCGGCAGCCGTGGTGGCATTGAATCGGTAGCCGTTGACGGACTCTCGGGTACAGATACAGACACCATTCCAGGCCCGGCTCCGGCTCCGACTCCAGCCTCGTCGGCCACGGTATATCGATTCTCCAGCCGATCTAACCAGTCCCGTCCTTTGACAGCCACAACCTGGTACCATCTTGACGGAATCTTGAACTTCCCGCCCCCGCTCGCCTCGCCCAGTTTATTCGCCATCGCATCGAGATAGTACCCCACGTTGACGGCGTCCGGCGTAACGATGTGGCCCAGTGCGCCGGTGCGCACGGAGAAATGGATCTTCAGCAGCGAGGTCACTGCCATACCGAAGCGGGTGTACATTATGTTCGGCATCCTACGCATCGTGTCCGTGCTGCAGGTCAGTACGGCGTCGAGCATCTCCTGTGCTGCGTTCATCCATTTCACGTTGATGTCGATGCGGATGGCGCTCAGCGGGGGGAGAGTCGAATTTGCACTGCCTTCTTCTAGTGGTGGGAGGGTAAAGTATCGGCTTTTGATGGCGTCGGGGTCTCGGTAGCCTTCTCCCACGCCTAATTCGTACATGGCGAGGACGGCGGAGCGGTATTCGAGGATCATCGGCACTGGAGAGGGAAATGTTAGTCAAATTCTGTCTGTGTCTGTTGGTATATCTTGTTGATCGATCCTTACCGGTCAACATGTCATTGGGAGTACTCTTCTTCCATACTTCCATCCGTTTATCGAACCACCGCAGCACGGCCTGGACGCGGGACTCGGTTAGGGGCGAGGAAGCGCTCGTGTCGTCCAATCCAAAGGAAGACATGGCTTCGTCGGTTATTCTTTGGAGTTCGAACCAGATGGCCAGGTGTTGATCTGTTCGGTGTGGTGATCGCTCCAGCTGCTTTACGCACTCGGCCATCCAATCGTTGAATTGCAGCAAATTGGGTCGACGGGTCTTCATGGCAACACTATATTCCCAAGTCAGTCCGGGAGATCGGTCTTTTACGGCTTCACAGGCTTTGAATACTTACGTTGAGCTTAGATGATAGCAGCCCAGGACCGCCCTCGCTTGTTCCGCCAGATGCTCATCGTGCGGCTCATGCTTGCTACTTTTCCGGTCGGACTTCTTTTTCGAAACCCGTCGCTTGGTGGCCAGTCCGATCTCCAACGCCATCGTCGATGCAATATGGGTATACTGATAGAACTGCAACTTCAACGGCGAACCGGGCGGGTAATAGAAGACGATCATGACTAGCAGTGCCTGGACTAGTTCCAGAGACTTCTCGCCCTCGATAAAGAACTGCTCCGCATAGAGACGGATCATCTCACGGTTTAGAACGCTCGCCAGTACCGCATCAACGGAGATTGACGCCGCGGCGATCACGGAAAGGAATAAGATCGGCTTCGACTGTCGCAACTGTGCCGCGGTCGTGACGGCAGGCAAGACGACAAGCGGGAAGAACGACGACAATTCATGAATAAAGAACGCCACCAGATGCTCCGAATCATCCATCGAGATTATCCCGCGGTCAACAACATCTTCCATCGGCGGTTTACTGAGGTCGGGCGAGAAATCCCCCTGCAGACCGACAAAGGATGGCGGGGCAGACAGCGCGCCGCTGCCGTGCATGCCGGGGTGTGCCGTGGTGAAATCAGGCGAGTAGTTGATCATATGCTCAGCAGTGGTGCTACTGGCGGACTCTTCAGCGATGGAACCAAGGGTGTCGTGAAAATCCATCTCGTCGTCGTCGTTTTCCCGGGATCCCTCGCTTCCTTCGGGGGACTCCGGTTCGCTCTCTTCACGGATCCGATCCTTCAGTAGGGAACGCATCATGCGCATTTCTTTCTCCAGCTGTGCTACCCGCGAGTCGGTCCGCTTACGGGGCCGGCGCCGCTGGGGAGCCACGAAGACGCAGGTCTTTTTGCCTTTGGCACATCGCTGGCACTGGTTTGGCGTGGATGGGCTGGGGAGACAGCGGACCTTGAGACTTCTACAGGATTCGCAGGATCGGTTCAGCTGCGCCGGTGTTGCCGGTTGGCCTGAATTGTGTGGTTCACCTGGAGTGGAGGAAGCCTCTGACATGTTCACTCCAGAATGATGGAAGAGGACAGGCAAATGCACCCACTCACACAATACCGAGTTGATTGATCACGGATCACGGATCACGGGATATATTCAAAGCCCGTCCGATAAGAATCGAGGAAGAAACCACAAATTAATGTGGATGAATTAGAGAAAGGGAGAGAGAGAGAGCCAAAACGCAAAACCAGGGGGTGTGTGTTATTGGATTGGAACTCGTTTCATCACGAATGGGCGTGGAGGTCTGGCGAGCATGGATGAGGCCACAGTCCAGGCAGGAGGACAAGCACAATGGCAATCACAAGCACGAGAACAAGCCGGTCTGTCGGGGGCGAAAGAGGAGATCGATGCGACGAATCTGCACATAGATTCTACACTTTCTTTTTTGCGTGCAGGTCAGAGAGGAGTCAGGGTCCTGCCGATCGAATCGAATGGCGGCGAGCAGCGAAATGGTAAAACGAAAAGGAAAATGAAAAGAAAAAAAAACAATGGAGCCCCTCCTGAAAAGGAAAAATCAAAAGTCTAAAAATGAAAAAGCAGAAAAGCAGAAAAGGGAAGCAGGGAAAGAAAAATCAAAATCCCAAAAAAATCCAAGGGCGCAGAGGCAGGGATTCGGGCTTGGCCACTATCATGTGCGGATGCGAGCGAGCATAAGGGCCGAAGCTTAAAACGAGCAGAATATGAATCACAGAGGAAGGTGTTAGGTAAGAGGTCGAACGACAATGATGTCGCCTAGCAAGGTTGACACTCCACAACTGTCACTGGGGTCCGGGGCTTAGCGAAGGAAGATGAGGTTCAGGGACGGTTGGCGGTGGGTTCCAGTGGTTCCAGGTGGTTCAAGGTGGCCGTAGGAACCAGGATCTGTGGTAGTGGAGTGACTGGAGTGACTGGAGTGACGCTTGAAGTGGATTGAAGTGGGTTGAGGTGGGTTGAAGTGGCAGCTCCGTTGGATCACCGCTTGGATAGAATTTAACGGTGGCCTCAATTAGGGAGGAACAGGCACGGGGGAGACCAAAACGTTTAGTCGAGGGGAATCGGTTCGGGCAGATCCAATGAGGATGGCGCAGGACTGGCGATGGCGACGGGGAAATAGAACCCTAAAGTTAAACCTGACGAATCAATTGGAATGAAGCCAACAAGAGATGGGGCAAGATGGGACAGGATGGGGCGTAACCCGCCAGTGCGTGCAGAAGATGCGACGGCTGAGACCGACTACCCAAATCGGGGGCCCTTGCGAGTCGGTTGATGGTGCCGAGAGTTCCACCATCTCGCAGTCAACTGCCTAGCCAATGTCCGCGGAGTCCGGGGGGGATCATCATTGTGCAGTGTAGTGCCAGTGTAGTGCCAGTGACATTGTAGAAGGACTGTGTGCTGCCAGATACCCGAGGTATCAAAATGCCATCGCTCTTCCCACCGACACCACTTCCACAAGTTGTACTTATTTACTCTCCTCCCCTCATCATGATGGCTCTTATACCAGTCCTTACTAGTATCACTGGACCTCTTCCCGTTACACACTCAGCCTCATCCTCATCCTCATCCTCATCTCATCCGTCGGTATATTCGCTCTTCTCACCGGCCCCCAAACTCCACCGGATATCATCTCCATCCCACGGGGCAACCCCATACCCTGAATGACATACCCGAAGACGCTGGGATATTCGCTCTTTTCGCCTTCTATAGACTATATAGTAGATACCCAGAATCGGATCAGAATCAGTGTAGAATCAATCAAGTTACTACTCACCTCCATTCCCCATCCATTCACCAAAATGCCCCACCTCCCATCTCTGCTTCAGACCCTGAACGCCACGACCGAGACCCTCAATCGCTCGGCGCTCGACCAAACCGATCGCCGACAACTACTGCAAGCATGTGATCGGTTACAGCGCAGCCTAGAGTCACCCGCCGACACTACGGCACGCCTCGTATTTTCGGTATGCCGGTGGGGAGGTGGATGCGGCCAAGACTCGAACCGCATCCCTGCCCGTTCTTTTACTTTTTGATTTTTGATTTTTGATTTTTTTTTACAAAACTACACTACCTACCCGTTGTAGTATGCAGCATGCAGTACCTCCTGCATTTGACTTTTGGTCCTTGGGAACTAATTTTGACTTTTCGATGTACATAGGCCCACCAGCTCATGGCCCTTCGTCTGGGCATCGACCTGAAGCTCTTTGACGCGATAGACGCACAAATCGGCCCTGCTTCGGCCGAAACTTTCAATACTCGGCCATTCAACGTCTCAACGATATGTGAATCACTGTCCCATGCAGACCCGTTGCTGATCCGTAAGTCCAAGCTCACCACGCGCTAATGCGAGACAAGGCTGTCCAAACGGGTGGGCTAAATACTTTATTTTCCGCACAGAGCGGATCATACGATTTCTGGCGGCCATGGACGTGGTACTGGAGGTGGATCGGGACCACTTCATCTCGACTCCATTGGCCGCGTCTTTGGTGTCCAGCGAGCCTTTTTCTGCGGCGGTGATCCACAGGTAAACTCTTATTCTCCTACTGTAGTATACATATTCTAGACCTCGGGCCAAGACAAGAAATATGGATCAACGGGGGCGGCGAGACGAGTCCCACTAGTTACTAACAGGATCGATCTACTCTAGTACGCATTTCACGACCGTTCTGTCATGGCTGCCTGAATATTTCCACTGCAACGGTTGGAAGGATCCGGATGATGGGTTCAATGGGCCATTTCAATTTGCTTTGGGGACTGAGGCCCATTATTTTGATTTCTTGGGTTCGAATCCTTACTATGGTCAGGCCTTTGACACAGTCATGTCCATGTCCTTTCGTCGTCGGGGCCGTGACTGGTTTGAATTCTTCCCGGTCGCTGAGCGACTATCCCTCCCGAATGATGATGAGACCTTGCTGGTAGATATTGGTGGAGGCCAGGGTGAAGATTTGATGAAGTTTCATTCTAGATTTCCCGCTTTACCTGGCCAGCTCATTCTACAGGATCTGCCCAGTGTGATTGAGGGTGCTCGGGAGAGCAACAAGGATCTTCTTTCAGCTGGGATTCAAACGCAGGAGTATGATTTTTTCAAGGCACAGCCGGTCCGCGGCGCAAGGGCTTACTTCATGCGGACTGTCTTGCACGACTGGCCGGATAAACAGGCAGTCTTGATTCTAGGTCGTGTTCGTGAGGCCATGGCTTCCGACTCGGTCTTGTTGATTAGTGAAAGTTTACTTCCTGATTCTGGGGCTCTGCTGCCTTCTGTGATCTCGGATATGCAGATGATGGGGTCATTTGCGTCGCGTGAGCGGACGGAAGATCAGTGGCGGACTCTTCTTGATGCTAGTGGGTTGAAACTGGTGCAGGTTTGGTTGCCGGATGGGTGTGATCGCCAGGCACAGTCGCTAGCAGAACAGCCAGCTCTGTTAGAGGCAAGGCTAAAGTAGTAGATGTTTGGGATGCGGTCGTTAAACCATCGTCCAACTTAGTACGAATACGATACTTGTAACAATTCAACAAAGTACTGTTTTACAAGAGCACTACCTAGTAGGTAGTAGTGATTCCCAGCAGTCCCCGGGCTTAGAAAATGGGGGCTGTCTGATTATCCATGATGTCTAGGTACTACTAGGTAGGTAGGTATCCAAAGTTGAACCATAGCTTTTAGAGTTCCTGGGAAGTATGAGATCTAAGGTCGGAACTTGAGGCTCTATGGCTGCTAGCTGCTAGCAATTCCCGCCTATTGATGTATACGAGATTGCTACTATACTACTAAAGTTTTGATTATGATAACTTCAAGTTGAAATACCGCCAACTAGTGCGCTTGGAATCTTTAATTCCATCATACGTTTCATACCGAGTCAATAATTGATATACTAGTACTTGATGCGATAAGATCTCGATCAAAGCTGATCTTAACATGACCTCATACTTAGTACACACTTCGTATATCATGTCGTATGCGGGGTCTGCAAGGCCAGGATATTATTAGGCGTCCCGAGCGGGGCTAGGAACAATCCCCAGCTGGGAGCCAAGAACTGCGAGAAGAGGCAATCCGGTGTCCGTACAAGTTGAACTTCAAATTCGAGTATGGATTGGATATGGAACAATGCTTAGCAGAGAATCTGTTATAATTCTATAACTTTAATAGGCTATACGAGTTAGATAGAGTAATTTTCCAGAGCCCCAACCATCGCCAAGACTCGTACACGCTGCCCGATTCGGGTGGGGCTCAGACGGATTCGCGTTCTTTTTGCGAATACGAAAATAGATCAGAGCAGTCGTTTCATACATTATTGTGTGAGTATGGGGTTTATTCCTATATTGAAGTAGGCAAGCATCACTATATTCATCTGTATAGTCTATATCTAATCTAATATGTTATATCTACTGGTATATCTACTACATTATAGCATCTATCTTCATGATCCCGCTCAGCGGATGTGCTCGGGGCAGACCCGCTCTCCACCCAAACGGGCAACTGGCCACATGCGATGGCTGAAAGTCTTTCTCCGCCCAGCCCTATTCCACTCCATCCTTGTTCTCTCCTCTCCTCTCCTGAAGAAACGACATCTCTTCTCTTCAATCTCCTCCTCCATTTTCTCCGCCCTCTGTGTGCCCCTGGTGAATCGTATCCAGGCACTTCCGCTCGCTCAGCCCTGCCCCCTTTCATACGCGCTCAACAAACCCGAAAAACTCCTGGACACCCCAACTTCGCCCACGGCTACCCCGGACTGGTCGGACATTGTATATACTGGAGCATGCAACTGCTGTTGTAATTCACCAACCTGATATAAAGATGCGATTCTTGACCCCAGCCCTGCTGGGCCTCGCTGGCCTGGCGTCTGCTGTCGTTCTCCCCACCACCAGCACTGCGCCGATCGAAGCAGTCGAGACGGAGAGCCCAAGCACCGACATCACCCCCGACAGCGATGAGATTACCACCAAATTCACCGATGTGCGCGAGAAGATCGTCAAAGAGTACAAGAATGTGGAAGAGATCCCCACCAGCAAATACTTCAGTGAGTACAAATGAACAACCCCCGGGGCCGCCTTATCTTGGCAGGGGCCGCGCGGCCGATCCTGGGAACCCTACCTCAACTCCATACACTAACAATATACCTTTTCCTCCAGCTGAATCCAGGTACATTTGAATCTTGTTTTGAATAATAATTAAAAAAAAATCATCAGAGATACTAACTTTTACTTTCTTTCCAGCTTCCACTATCATTATGACGGTCGGTATGTTGATTTCATCCATGGGATCCTATATCTCTGCTAAAGGTTATCGCTAACGTCCCGCCAGATTCGCTGATAAGCAATTGCCTGAAGAAAAAGTCATTCCATATCTGTCGGCTTTGATTCAAACTTATTTGAAGACGATGGATTCTATCGGTGCCGAAACATGGATCATGCACGGAACTCTGCTCGCTTGGTGGTGGAACCAAAAGGTAAGAGCGTTCCTATGACCAAGACTACGGGTCTTGAACCATGCGCTGACCAGACTTTCAAACAGATCTTCCCATGGGACAATGACCTGGATGTCCAAATTTCTGAACCGACCATCCACTTCTTGGCGGATTACTACAATATGACAGAGCACCATTTCGAGATTCCCGATGGGGAAGCGGAGGGCCGCAAGTACCTACTAGAGATCAACCAACACTACGCCGTCAAGGATACCCGTGACAGACTGAACGTCATCGACGCTCGCTGGATTGACATGTCCTCTGGTCTTTTCATCGACATCACCGCCGTGCGCAAGGATGAGATGAAGGAATCAGGATGGCTGATGTGTAAAGATCGTCACACCTATGAACAGGACCAGATCTGGCCCCTGCGCGAAAGCTACTTCGAAGGTGTTCCCGCCAAGATTCCCTATGCTTATGTTGAGCTGCTGAAGGAAGAATACGGCGTCAGGTCACTTACCAATGGTGACTTCCATGAGTGCGTTCCCCCTCACCCCCCTCACCCCCCTCAGTTCCATAGGGTCGATTTTTATGCGTCGCTTTTGTACTAATTCTCCCCAGCCACCACTTTAATGACAAGACCAAAATTTGGGACCAGGTGAAGAAGCAAGCGAAGCGCTTCCTCCCTCAGGCCTTGGGCGGCGGCAAGTCAAAGTCCATCCGCTCCCTTGGAATTCGACAATACGCATGAGCATTTAAAAAAGCGACTACACGCCTTGTTCTTCGTTAATATTTGAGCATATTTGTCATATCTTGCGCCCTATGTTTACATCTATACCTTGGGTGAACCGATCCTAGGAGTTTTCCGATGATCTCCTTTCTGCATATACACGGCGTTGGCATACGTTTGGACATACATACGTCAGACTTGGAATCTACTGTACCAATTATCTTCTTCTGTATATATTTATAGTTAGTATATGAGGAGCTTTCTTTGAATTGACTTGATGACCTGTGCCTGTGTTCCTTTGTTTTTGTGGCTGCGCTAGTTGCGTGGATATTATTCCAAAGTTGTTTCGAAGATGCTTAGCGAAGTGACCTGGAAGTCAACCACTGCCACACGGTACCAGTACACCACAATCAAGTATTGTCACAGGCTTTGTGCATTTTACTGCTCGAGTTCAAGTTTCCCTTATTCAAACTTTCGGAGTTCGGTGATTGGAGACCAGCCCGAGACGGAGACGGAGATAAATTACCCAGTCCAGACGACCAAGCTGACTCACTCCAACACGAACGTAACTCTTCCACGTGGTTTGGCCCCCAGGAGGATTCGGTTTCTTCTTGGCCTCGTTTTGGCCTCAACCTTGTCACCTCATCAACTTCAAAGTTATTCTCTGAGCGGGGAGAATGTGTCCCGGCCATGTCCTACCATTCAGCGTCTCCGGAGGGGGTGCATCTATCCCCCACCAGCGATAATTCTCCGACCGCACTGCCCGTCTCCGCCACCGCCCCGCGTCCACCCTCGGACAGCTCACGGAGCTGTGTAACCTGTCGCCGCCGTAAAGTCCGTTGCAACAAGCGTACGCCGTGCTCCAATTGCACTAAAGCCGGTATCGACTGTATCTTTCCCCACCGGGCCGAGCTCCGAGGAAGTCCAAGCGTCCACCTGATGCGGAGCTCCTCTCTCGCCTGCGGAGGCTGGAGGGCGTCATCGAACATCTGAGTGGGAAGAACGGCGAGAGTGGGGGTGGTTCGACCACGAGTCTTTCGCCAACTCAGCCTACACCGGCGACGATTCCCTCCATACCTTCGGGAACTGCCTCTGCGCCTCCGGTACCAACATCCTCAGATGCGGAGAAGAAACCTCAAAATGGCGGCTGTCCGTTCGAGGATGCCGATCCGAAAATGCCTCTCCCAAGGAGATTTGAAAACGAGTTTGGGCGGTTGGTAATTGAGGAAGGGAAGAGTCGATATGTGAGCAATCGCCTGTGGGCGAGTCTTGGAGATGAGGTACGTACTTGGTCCTACAACCTTTTTGTGACTACTGTCTAATCATACTGACGCACATTCCAGATCGAAGAGCTCCAGGACATCCTCGACCACTCCTCCTCTGATGAAGAAGACACGGCCTCCAAAGATTCTCCTGAATCGTCACATTCAGGCTCCCACGATGGCTTTCTTTTCGGTTTCTACGCCCTATCTCAATCCATGCGAGAGTTTCACCCGCCTTTCCAGAAAATCTCAATATTCTGGGAGGTCTATAAAGAAAACGTAGCTCCCTTGATCTGCATTCTGCACACGTCGAGTACAAGGAATCTTTTGATCGAGGCAGCCCAGAACCCCGATGGCCTCGACAAAAATTCTGAAGCTCTTGTCTTCTCCATATATCTGTCCGCCATCGTCAGCTTGTCGCCCGAAGAATGCCTATTGCGATTTGGCGAGGAGCGCGGTAGCGCTGTTAAGCGATATCGTTTCGCTGTGGAGCAAGCGTTGGCCAGAGCAAACCTTCTTAACACCCAAAGCCTCGGACTTCTGCAGGCGGCGGTCCTCTTTCTGATCTGTGTGCGCAGGGAAGATGATTCTAAATTCGTTTGGTCCATGACTTCGATTATTCTCCGTCTTGCCCAGGGCCTTGGTTTGCATCGCGACGGGACCAACTTTGCTCTTCAGCCCTTCGAGACGGAGATGCGTCGAAGACTGTGGTGGCATATCTGTCTTTTAGATGTTCGCGCCTCCGAGGACCATGGAACTGATTCACAGATCAATGAAAGCATGTATGATACCCGCCTGCCGTTGAACGTCAACGACGACGACATATCCCCAGAGATGACCGAGACCCCTACGGAAAGGGAGGGATTCACAGACGTTACATTTTGTTTAATTCGTTGCGAAATTACATGCGCGCTACGTCGAGCAAACTATGGTTGCTCAGCCACGCGGTTCAGCATGGGAAATTCCGGCCCCTCTATTGAAAATTGCGAACGCATGATTCACATCATCAGCAGCCGAGTCGAGGAGCGATACATCAAGCACTGTGATATGAACATCCCGATTCATTGGGCAGCTGCAACCGTGGGCCGTTTAATCCTGGCAAAGCTGTGGCTAGTCGTGCACCACCCGATGACCCGAAAAGATCGTGTCACCAGTGTCTCTCAAGCAACGCGCCAAAGCCTATTCCTCACTGCAATCGAAGTCCTCGAGTTCGGTCGTCTCCTCGAGGTAGACCCGAAGACAGCGAAATGGGGCTGGCTTTTCCGCACCAACATGCAATGGCACGGCGTCGCATTCGTTCTATCAGAAGTGTGCGTCCGGCCAATCTGCCCCGTCACCGACAGAGCTTGGAACGCTATCAGCTCGCTATACGGTGACTGGAAGTCCCAAGCGACGCATAAAAAGGGCATGCTCTGGCGCCCACTCGCCGCGTTGATGAAGCGAGCCGCCACAAGCAGAGCCAAGCAACAAGCGGAGCTTCGATCAAAATTCGGCCCGAACCCTATCCCATATAAACACTCGACGGTTGAATTTGCAGCCGCACATCATCACACCCTCCCCCATATCCACATGCCGACTGATTCGCCGGCACACTCGCCTTTGCCCGTCCAGGGCCCAGTTTCTGACTCCAATCCCAACCCCTTGGATATCGATCTTTCTCAGGGCCCATGGGAGGCTGTACAGAACATATTTGGAGATTCCAACATTCTCGCTCCAGCTATGCTTGATAACCCTCCTCTTCAAAATCCGACCCTGGCCCCAGCTCCTACCCCAATGCCACTATCTACCCTCCCAACAGGCATAAACTTTAATTCGCCGCCGTTCAGCAATATCAATGGCATCAACAACCCATTCATTGCTCAAGAAACCATTCCCGAGCCGGCCCCGCTTGGCTGGGAAGAATGGGACCAGGTAATGCGCGACTTCCAGATGGATGTCGAGAATGAAAATGGACCAGTTCCGGCGCAGGGTATTAACGTCACGGAATGGTTTGCATAGACCTTGACCGGCCTGGTGTTTTGCGCTTCGGCTCTCCGTGCAAGGTCGAATTTTACCTCAACAAATGAATTCATATTCATGGGCTTTTCTATTTGGAGCTCACGATGGGCTCTTACGATGTGACGATTACTATGGTGTTACGGGACCTTTTGGATTGGGTTCTCTCTTCCTTCCCTTTATACCTCTACTCAATGTTTTAGATACTCCCCTCTCTTTATAAAGATTTCATGCTATTTCAAGGTGTGGTGTTGGATTACTTTGGAAGAACGTATGACCAGAAATCAATTTATTTAATTCAACCCGGTGCAGGTACTTGGTAGGATTAACTTAACTCGGGAAAGCAGCGGGCAACGAATGGTCCAAATCTGTTCAAGTTTCGACTATAGAGAAAGGCTAGAAGTATCTATGCCCATATAGTAAATGAGCAACCCGAAGAGTGAGAGATTATTACAAGTTATATTAAGTTGCCTAGGTAATAAGACTCGGAGTCGGAATGCCCCTCCTGCAATTCCAGCTCTGTGATGCGATCGACTAAATGAGATTATTAGTCTCGGTCTTCAGCTCGAGATGTTGCTCAGGAGGATGCTTTGTTCTGGGAACATTCAAGTTTAGCCGGGCTTATAGTTGTACGATTGCACTATCAACCACGTGACCGACCCCGATAACGAAGCTCCCAGCTGGCATCAACTGGAACTCCATCCCCACGCCATTGCCCACTACCACCTTCTCACAGACGCCTCAATCAAACCCAGGAGACTGAACCGAAAATCCCACGCCCAATACTGGCAAAATTATCCTGATCTTCCCGACAATTTCCCCAATCAATTGCCCACCATGCCTGCTAAACGACACGCGGCCTCAACTACCTCCGCGGCAACACCCTCGACGCCAACAACACTCTCTTCCGGCCCAACCACCCTGAAAACAAATGCCTCGCCTACTGAAATCGCCCTCCATGTCTGGCACCAGTACACCGCTACCACGTCGCAGCGCACACTCCTCCTGGACGCTTTCATGGTCTTCCTCGTTCTAGTCGGTGGTCTGCAGTTCTTGTACTGTGTTCTGGCCGGTAACTACGTACGCTCTCCTCCTTCCCCCCTTCCGGCATCCAAATTCAAGATCACATTCAATTAAAGAGGAAATTGAACCGCTATGGAAGACATTAAATGGGATCGGATTGATTCCGAACCGAGCCCCAGAAGCTAACGCTCTATACTCTAGCCATTTAACGCCTTCCTGAGTGGTTTCAGTGCTGCTGTTGGTCAATTCGTTCTCACAGCCAGTCTGCGCATGCAGACAAGTGACTCTGGCTCCACCGCTGGAAAGTCCAATACCAAGGGGAAGAGTGCGTCAACCGAGGACGAGGAGGGGACGGGTATTTCGCATGAAAGGTTTGTATAACCCCATCTATCTATCCATACTATGCTTGTTCCTTTTAGACCAAGGCAATTGCAGGCGCAAATATTCGTTGCTTTGAATTGGAGTTTAACTAAGGGTCTTCTTTCAACAGGGCATTCGCCGATTTCATCTTCGGAAGTCTGATTCTACACTTCTTCTGCATCAACTTCATCAATTAAGCGCGCCCATTTCGGATTCACAAAGACTCAAAGTCAAGCAAGGGTAACGGCGTGCCTACAGGTATCCATCTGTCATTGATTGATTAGGCGCGTCGATGATGCTGAGGGGGAGGGCATATCTATCGCTAGTCTCTTGTTAGTTCTGGCGCTGGTCCGTTTGAGAGCTGGTGATTTGGTCTTTGCTGCTCCGTAATTTGAGCTTGAATCCCCTTGCTTTTCTGGCAAGGGCTTTCAAAACGTGGACGAGGTATCCGTCCCTCCTAGGATGTTGATATCTATCATCTATCTGGTCCGATTGGCTTGACATTTCAGTTTGAATGATCATGGTTTCATTGTATAAAATATCGAAGTGAGATTACTAAGACCTTTGTTTTATTGCAAGTTTATGACTGGGATCAAAGTAGCGTATTGTATGTGTAGGGTATCTTTATTTTGAATGCTAGATTATCTCATCCCGATCTCGCGAGATCAATGGCATCCAGTTCATCCATCTAACATCAGGGTATTTTACATGACGATGAAAAGTAGTATATGGAAGCTGTACTATCCGATACTAGTATCAGCTGATTAGAACTGCCGTCCCGGCCGTCGCGGAATGACAGGCTTCTTGACCACACTGCCTCCTCCGCCGCCATTTACACCAGGCCGAGAGGAAGACGAGGCAGTCACTCCGCCAACCTTTTTATTGCCCTTGATAACGGGCCGGCGGACGGCAGACCCACCGCCAGCCTCGACTTCCCGAATGCGTCGCTTAGGATCGATACGCTCCTCTTCGCGAACCTTCTCAGCCGCGGCGCGTTCACGATCCACTGCCATTTGGGATTCGATTTCCATGCGCTTGTTGAATTCTAGCTCTGTCACCCGTCGTTCACGCTGTGAGTATCCCTTCTCCTTGACTGAGTAGAAAACGCCACCGAGTTCGGCGAGCCACTGTGATTTGAGTTAGATGGGGTTTCTATATAGGGCGTGATCGGAAACATGATTCAAGATAAAACACTTACATGAGGATCCACGGCTGTCACAGTAGACATGTATTCCTTGGCGGTCAAAATGAGTTCGTGATAGACGACATACTCGGGAACATAGCCCAGGCCATACAGAGCGCTCGTAGGGTGAAGGGCCATGGTGACGCTGGTACGAAGGTTGATGAACTCGCCAATACCCTTGACGCGCGCGGCTTGGTGGTAGTAGCCAGAGCAGATACATTTGCGGATGAGATCCCAGTCTGTTCCGCAGCTGACGAGGGTCATTTTTTGAACGGTCATAATGTCGTGGAGCTGGTCGCGAACTTCCTTGGCGCGGCGGAGAGTCTTCGCGTGGAGGAAGTGCCTAGTGCACCAAGCGTCTGAAAATCCGTTGGATTTCCATTGACTGTAGACGTGAAGAAGAGTCAAGTGATCCGATTCGGGGACGAAGAATTTCTCGCGGGCGGAATCGGATTCTTCTTGTCGTTCCTTTGGTCGGTAGAAGACGTTGGGAACAGAAAGCATAGAAACGATAGTGAGCATTTCCTCACTGCATCCGTATTCTTCGGATGCCATGATGAGGAGTTTGGCCAGAGGGGGGGTCCATGGGGAAGGGCGTCATCTGGCGACCCAGATGTGTGAGTTCACCCAGATTGTCAAGTGCTCCCAGGGACCAAAGTTCGAAAAGAGAGGTGCTGATGGTCTCCTGAGGTGGAGGATCCATAAAATCGAAGTCGAGAAGATCCTTAACCCCTAATGATTTCAACAAGAGCACCGTGTTCGCAAGACTCGTTCGTTGAATCTCGGGAATTGTTTGTATATAAAGCTCATTCTTATAGGCAGGCTCGGTGTACAGTCGATAGGCCTTTCCTGGACCGGTTCGTCCGGCGCGACCTGATCGCTGATTTGCATTTGCTTGGGAGATTGGCGTGATCTGAAGCGTATCCATACCCATGCGTGGGTTGTACACCTTGAGTTTAGAGTAGCCTGCATCCACGACGTACATTATACCGTCCACTGTCAAACTAGTTTCGGCAATGTTTGTGGCAACAATCACCTTGCGCACGCCGGCGTCTGCCCTTTCAAAGATCCTTGCTTGCTGCTCAGCTGGCATCTGACTGTAAATCGGTAGAATGCTAAGCTTTGGTGGATCATTAAGCAGCTTCAATCGTTCGTCAACCAGCTCGCAAGTAGCCTCAATATCCTCTTGTCCGGTCATAAAAACAAGAATGTCGCCGGGACCTTGTGAGACGTGAATAGCCAAGACCTGCTTGACCGCACTATCGACATAATCCTCACAAGGTCCACGCGAGAAGTGAAGATCGACTGGGAATGTTCTTCCGGGGATGACGAATTCCGGGGCGCCGCCATAGAACCGCGAGAAGCGCTCTGAGTTCATAGTGGCCGAAGTGACGATCAGCTTGAGGTCCCGTCGGCGAGCGAGAACCTTTTTGAGAAGACCCATCAAGACGTCGGTATTCAAAGCTCTCTCGTGTGCCTCATCCATGATAATGCAAGAGTACTTATCAAGATCGGTCTGAGTGAGAGATTCTCGCAACAACACACCGTCCGTCATATCTGTATTCCTTGTTAGTTACAGCGCACATGTTGGGGATCCTTAACAGAGCGGCACTCACACTTGATCACAGTCTTATTACTGGTGCAATCCTCGAAACGAATCGCATAACCAACCTCATCGCCGAGATCTACTTCCATCTCCTCGCTGACACGCTTTGCGACACTCATGGCAGCAACACGTCGAGGCTGGGTACAGCCAATCATGCCGAACTTTGAGTAACCGTCTTCGTGTAGGAACTGGGTCAACTGGGTCGTCTTTCCCGAACCAGTCTCACCGACAACCACAACAACCTGGTTATCCCGAATGACTCTCAGCAAGTCCTCACGGACCGCAAACGCAGGGAGGAACTCTCTTTGCTCGCGCAAAGTCTTGCTCTTGCTGAACGCGCTAGCACCGCCCTCGTCCTTTTTCAAGTGCTTGGAGAACTTGTTACCACCACTTTTGTAAACATCCTCCACAGGCGCAGCCACAGCGCTATCGCCCTCGTCCTCCTTAACTCCCATCAGGTTTCCCAACGCTGTACCGGCCATGTTTGTAGCTTCCTGGGCCTGCTTCTGTCGCTCACGCTGTTGCCGCCGATCGCGAACGACTTTGCTTCCCTTCCGACTGAAGACAGCCATGTCGCTCTGAGGGTCTCGAATGGCTGAGATCGGCTCTAGTTGCTTCGTGAAGATGGTGCGGCCATCGAGGAATGGTGGTCGGAGGTCGTGGACCAGCAGATGAACTCGGGTTGCTTCTTCATCGTCGGGCCTGAAATCGTCGCCATAGTCTCTCCTTTGCGCGACACCGGATGTGAGCATACGATTGGTTTCCCAATTGTCAATGTCTTTGCGCTTGGCATCACGGAATGAGGCTGGAACATTCGAGGTATTCTTCTGCCGCTTGGCCGGCGGGCCCGAGTCGTTGTGGGACATGGCGATGAGGTATTCCGGTCTGCTGACCGACGAACTGCGGTATCCCAAACGCGCTCGGGTTCAGGTATTGAAGCTCTGACGATCCCCGATGAACGTTGAATTATCGGACTGAGGAGACAAACACTGCAAACCGTTATCAGTCACGTGAGATATACGTTATTGCCATGAATTTGGTAATGTTTCGCTTTGGAAAATAAATTCAAGATGAAAGAAATCAATTTCAATAAAAGTCAGTTTGATCCGAGTCTATTTGAGCTGCTTCCTGTAATTCCAAAATCCAAAATTCCATATCCGTATTCTTGTTCCTCGTTGTGCTGAGAGTTTCCACCGCCGCCCGCAACACTCAGCAACCGCCCCGCATCGTCATCTCAACTTTTGAGCTCCCTAATTCGCATTGTATCGAGTCTGCACAACATCACCATGTCGAGCCAACAACAAATTGACCCGAAGAAGCAGCAGGGTAAGTTGCCCCTTCCGAAATATCTGATCAATTTTCACCCTGGCTGACCCGCCATCCCCCGCAACAGAGCTGCAGCTTCAGTACACCAACTTCAAGAACACCCTCCAGCAACTAGCACAGAAGATTGGTGATATCGAGCAAGAGGCCGAGGAGCACAAGTAAGTCAGAACTTTACCTGCGCTGTCTGTACAATACCACGAGCGTGGTTATTGTCCAGGCGGGCACGGGCAAACCCACAAGCTTCAACCCAGACTGGTTCTCAGACTTCGAAACAAAATGCTGATTCAATTCATTTTCTCTACGATCTAGGCTTGTTATTGAAACACTCGACCCTCTTCCCCAAGATCGGAAATGCTTCCGCATGGTGAATGGAGTTCTTGTTGAGCGCACCGTCCAGGACGTTCTCCCGACACTGAAGACCAACTCGGACGGACTCAAGCAGGTGCTGGATGACATGTTGAAGCAGTACAAGACCAAGCAGTCGGATCTGGATAACTGGAAGGTGAGTTGAACCACTGGCACTTCGTGAAGCTTTGAAGGCTTTCAAGGTCAGAAATACTTGTATTGTGTGAGGCTAATCGCTTTTCTTTCCGCACCACAGAAGAAGAATAACATCCAGGTCGTACAGCCATGATCAACCCGACTGTTGTGTATAATCCGCCACCGGTATCTCCTGGTGAAATGACCTACGGGGAGCAAGTGGCTACTGGCGTTTCGTTTTCGGGCAAGGCATCCAACCAGATAAAATCTAGCGTTTCACTTGGCCATTTGAAATAAACAATCAAGATAATATGAGACATGGACCTGTGAAGACCCAAATGACCTGAATGTCCCGATATAATAAGCTGATTTTGTAAACATCCATGTACACTAGAGAAAGTAGACGGGCTATGTCACCAGCGTCACTATAGTCTCACTGTGCAGCTAGACAAGGCCTAGCCCGGTTGGCACAAATGCCTGAGCACTGTACACATGACTGGTAGTGTATCCAGAACAATGGGTACCTAAGATCGTCTCATCTTCGCCTGCATGGTGATGGATGCAAGCCTGAATGCCTGACCATCGAACAAACCAGATGCGTCGGGCCCTGGGGACCCAACCTGCCGGGGCATATGGATCGACGAGAAGCGTTGAAGTAAATCTGAATCTCAACCATGAAACGACTTGCAGTTGTCTTACAACTGACCAGTCATCATGCAGTTGCAATATATGGATTGTACTTAATTTCAGTGGTAGTGTATTTGTAATACATTGTTTCACAACAGTGTGGTGGTTGATGAGACTGGATAGTGTAATGACAATACCGGTACTCACGGGCAGTCGCAACTTCGAGCTGAACCTCTCCTCTCTTCTCCTCCTTTTGACTGAACTCTTTGCTTCTCTGAGACCATTCCATTTCTCCTCAACTCGCGCGGTTCGGGAATTACCATAAACATCCTTACTCTAATCTTTGATCTCTTGGTGGGTCAATACATCGGTTGACTTGCATCCTACTTGGTGAGTGGTCAACCCGGGTTCCTATTTGATCAGGGAGTTCTGGTTCGCCAATTGCTCTCAAGCCGGGCCTCCCCCCCCCAAACTCCCCTCGGCGCTCTGACACCACGCCAGGCGAATCGGAAGAATCATACGTACATTGGATCCCTGGACACTTTATTGCCTCATTGCCTCAGGCTTAGGTTAGTTCTTACATCGCTTTACCCCCGCGCAACCCTGCGCAACGTGCGACGGAAGTTGGGCTCTCCCCAATCCGACCCACACCCTCCGCTTCCCGCGTTGCATCACACATCCCATCCCCCCAGCAGCTCAAAGAGGTTCCCATCCCAACGCGTGAGGCGCGCGCGCATTGGTATTTCCACTGCAGCTGGTGTGACGCGATCGCAATTATACACTTCCAACCTTTGCCATCTATTCCTGTTTTGGCCCCCAGGAGGCTAATCGGGTCTGCGCACGAGCGCGTCGCAAAGTATACCGGAGCTCCTGCTGCAGTATTGTCAAGTCTCTCTGCCCCCCCCCCCCACCCTAGCTGAATTCCTCGAGGCGGCCGTGAAGTGTTCGTACCCAGCCAATACCACATCAGCCCCCCTCCCTGACCTGAACCTGACCACCCACATCCCATACCCACATCCACATACACCCCAGCCGATCTTGGGCTGTGTCTGCACACCGGAGTTGTAATCGTGCGCGCACCGCGCTCCAGGCATTCGGGATTTACTGACGTGGACGTGCCAACAGAGCGAACCCTTGCCTTGACTTGACGCCCAAAGGACCCGCCCTGAAGCCTTCAAATATTCATTCATAATCATGTCGTCGACCTCGCCTTCAAAGGAACCGGAGGTAGACCCCGAGGTGCAATCGGGCGAAGAACAGGAGCATATGGACAAAGATCAGCACGACCACGCGATCGCGGCGGGCGAGTTTGAGGTGAAGGAGCAAGATCGGTGGCTTCCGATTGCAAATGGTTAGTTGCGTCGCCTTGCAGGCTTTTCGGTTGTTCTGATTTGCGTGTACCTTGCTGCTGATGACGGACCACTACCCTCTGCTGCTTCTGTCTTCCCCACCTTTTTGTCCGCCCTCTCTCAAAAGCTTCCTCTCCCCACGGTATCCACGAGATGCGTGAAATCGCTTTCGAGGTGCTTCAATGGGATTGAATTTCTCGCCTTTGCGCTTTTGATAAAATGCAATCATTAAAAGCGTCGCATACTGGATGTCGCCATGCTAATATTCAATCTATTTAGTCGCACGAATCATGAAGCTCGCCCTGCCTGAAAACGCAAAGATCGCAAAGGAAGCCAAGGAGTGCATGCAAGAATGCGTGAGCGAGTTCATCTCATTCATCACTAGCGAGGGTCCGTATCTTATCCATATCATGTCTCCTTGAGGGGGAATGCCAATTCTAACAAGTAGAACAGCCTCGGAAAAGTGCCAGCAGGAGAAACGAAAGACGGTCAACGGCGAGGATATTCTGTTCGCCATGACTTCGCTTGGATTCGAGAACTACGCCGAGGCCCTGAAGATCTACCTCTCTAAGTATCGCGAGACTCAATCTGCCCGCGGTGAGAACCAGAGACCCCCCCAGCAGTGGCTACGGTGGACCCGTCCCCGGTGCCGCTGGTCAAGGTCGCCCCGGATTCCCCGACAATGCGGAGGGGGCCAACACCATCATGAACTCTAGCCTTGACCCGTCGCAGCAAGACCCTTCAGCCTACGGATATGCGCCCATGGTTGGTGAACCACACAACGGTGCCGGCGCCGACGCGTACTAGGGGTGCGAGTATTTTGGATTGTGATATTTGGGGAGATGGCGTCGGGTTCATTCCATAGGGTATATTCGGGACCCGAGTTCATGCGTTCTGGGTTCGTGTTTTGTGTGGCAATGCAGTTAGCCCCCCCACTGAGGGGGGAAGACTGTCGACCCTACTTCTGGAGTTTATGCGGAAATTATGGCGGGATAAATGATGGCAACTTGTATTTATGACCGATGTCTTGTTTTTTTTTTCGAGAGCGTGAACAAGCTTTCCGATAGAAATGAGACACCCCGCGGCTAGTGAGGTCCTTGCCTTGATATTGTTACTCCTATAGTTCCAGTAGTGCCTGTAGTTCCTATAGTTCCCGAGACTAAGTTTCCCATCCACCTGCAATCCACCTGCACCCTAATCTACGGAGTATATGATAAGCTGGTCTCGTGATTGGCTGTGTATACACAGATGGCCGGGGCTGAGCAAGTATGCCATGATAATGGAAGAGATGAATTGGAATTCGATTGAGAAGAATTAGCAACCTTGGAATGTGTTATTATTGAAAAAGTTCTAATTAACCAGCAGGCTTATATATAAATTGGAGTACATATACTACTTCTATGTACTTTTCGGGATTTGCCTCCGAATAAATTACCTAAGCCTCCGCATCCACGTGAGTCCCCCGGTGCCGGGCAGGGCCCGAACCCGCAAAGTCCCCTCAAGACTTTCCGAACTTTTTCGTGCTCGCCGTTTTACTACGCTCGGCAATCGTTTGTTACTACAGCATGCCTTGAGACCTCTCCGTGAATGACACTTCCACAAAACAGTGCAGGGCAGTGGCTGGTCTGCACAGGGAATGATGTCGATGCTTCTTCGCCCGCCATGTCCTCCACCAACGATAACGCCCCCTCGCCGCTCCCGGCCGACGGGGTGAGCAAGCGCAAGCAGGGTAAGTGCTTTGGCACCTTATTTTGGTTTATTCTGTCCCAATCATACACTATCTTTGATCTTTGGTCATAAAGTCGGCCGTTATTTCCCCAGTTTCCCTTCCTGTTCACTTGCGACTGCCCACACAAGCTCCCCACGAACTTGGTCGCATGAGCTATCGTTGCTAACCAGTGACACTCTTATAGGTTCTGCCGCCTGCGTCCACTGCCACCGGCGCAAGGTCCGCTGCGATGCCCGCGTCGTCGGGCTTCCATGCACCAATTGTCGTAGCTCGGGGAAATCTGATTGCCGCATCCACGAAAAGAAGAAGCGCCTTGCGGTGCGGTCTATCCTCGACCCCGTTCCGATCCGATCTCGGCCTCTTCCGACCCCAGAACAGGTCGCCAACCCTATCACAACAACCACTACCCTACCTCCAAGCTTTCCCACTGCGTTTCCGAGTGGCCAATCTTCGACACCGCTGTCTGGTGGTTCAACACAACATGGTTTCCTATCGAATGTTCAGCCAGAGCCCTTTGGGCGCCAAGCCCATGACTTGTCGCATGCCCACGAAGCCCACACAGAAATGGAACAGCATCTCGTCAAATTGATCGACGAGGAAGATTCTGGTAGACGAGAGATCCAGCGAGGCGTGCGTGCATTCTACGTTGGCCATGAACATTCTAATATGTCATTCTTGATTCGTCAACAGCGCGATCAAGACGATGATGTATACCATTTTGCCAGCAATGAAATTCCCCGGAGACAGATGAAGACTGGTCACGATCAGCTATTAATGGATGCATTGACACTTCCCGAGCCAGCTTTAGCAGATGAGTTGGTCCAGGCATATTTTACCTACGTCAATCCAGGATACCCCATCGTGGACGAAGATCTGTTCATGACGCAATACCGAAATCGTGACCCCGCTGATCCACCGCCAGTTTTGCTTCTGCAGGCCATCTTGCTAGTTGGTTCGCATGTCACTCGAGGCAAGGCTGAGCGGGACACATTGAAAGAGATCTTCTTCCGCCGTACAAAGTATTTGTTCGACAATCGCGTTGAACGTAATCGGGATATTCTCGTTCAGGTTGCCCTGCTCCTTACCTGGCATTCAGATAGCGCCGATGACGATGTTGCTGCAGATGCACACTTTTGGGTCGGTGTAGCTGCACGAATTGCTACCGGACTGGGAATGCACCGAAACCCTGTCTCTAGTCGCTTCGTGACCCGGGATAGAAGGATGTGGAGGCGAGTTTGGTACATTATCATACAGTTTGATGTCATGGTCTCTCTTTCATACGGCCGACCGCAAGCAATGTAAGACGACTCCGATTTAACACATGGTCGATACATACTAACTAAATTAGAAATTTGGATGATTCAGATGTGGCTCCGTTAACGCCCGCAGATTTCGAGAATTGTGGCCCACACGTTCAAACAGAGTTCGTGATCAATTTTACCGAGCTTTGTACCATGATATCGTATCTTATTCGGGACCGGTTTGGTCTTCGGGCTTCCGACGAACGACGGAAGGCTGTTCTCCAAGAAGCAGACGAATCACTGGCCAACTGGTCTCTCAAACTGCCAGATAACTTGCGCCTTCGAGCATCGGATATGGATCCATGGTCTGCTATGCTCCATCTGACATACAACAACTTTCTCATTCTGCTTCATCGACCTCACCCCCGAGCCTCGGCGTACTCAGATGACTACGGGCCGCACGATGCAGAAATTTGTAGTGCTGCGGCTGGTGTCATTGCTTCCATCTTCGAAGAGCTTAGGCTGAATGATCGCCTGAAGTTCCTCTGGTATACTGGCGTCCATACCCTATTTACCGCCATGATCCAAGTACGGGTTGAACTTCGATTCTCGAATCCAGTCCTCGCGATCAATGCGCTTCGTCGCTTCGATTCGGCATCTTATTCTCTACGAGAACTGGCTCAATACTGGGTTCACGCCGGTACAATCCTTCGTCTCTTTGAAGACTCGAAGCGTCTCCAGGATGACCTGCGTCTCGACCGAACCAAGCAACCATACAATGGCACGCAACCGACGAAGTTGCCTGTCACGACACCAGATGCCGTGGCAGCTGTCATGGCCTCTCAAACGCCTCAGCCACTTGGATTCGGTGTTCCTACTCCAGAATCCACTCCAATGCAACAGACCACGATTTCCCCGCAACCACATGCCACTCCACAATTCGATAATTGGATAACTGCACCCCTCAGACTCAATGTGGGGCCATTGGAAACGAACGATGCCTATTCGAGTACCCCCATGCAAGTGGACCATATGGAACAGAGCCGCGACTATCCGGACTGGAGACAGCTTTTCTCCTTCACGGATGCGGATCTACCCGTCTCCTCCATGCCAATGGAAGGACTGATGGAATTGGAGAACGAGTGGCGCCAAATTTATTGGCAAGACACCCCGATGGCGGATCTGATGCAAGATGGCGGCTGGCTCCCGGGCTAGTCTATTTGTCCTGCTCGCCCTCCCCCTTTGTATATACCCGAAGCCTTTGTCTCGATGAGGCAACATGACGCTTGGGAACTTCATCTTCACCGAAACTCAACCTACAACAACCTTCCCCATAACCATCACCCCGACTCTCTGGCACAACACACGAACGAGACGAGATAAGAGATACACAGAGGCATTGCCTTTCACGAGGCTTATATAAAAGACCCGTACGATATCATGCCTTACACGAACATATACAAACCTTTTTTCAATAGAAATATACATTGTTACATAACTCCAAGAATACCAGTTTTGAAAGGGTAAACAAACAGTTCAATCCCAGCCTAGAGGATAATTTCCCTGGTTATGAGTAGTACCTTCAATCTTATCATTTTCGTAGACAAGGCAGTTCTTTAACTCACTCTGATAACGACTCGGACCGAAACTGATTCAAGTCCCATCCCGAAAGAATTTAGCCTTTTTACCTCGCAGGAATCTCCATATGCCATTGATTTGATGAGGCTTATTCCCGCCCTTATGCGTTGTTACCCATGCACACCGCAACTTTCCCCAGGTGTTCCTGTTGCTCCGAATGAACGGCATCAGCCCCAGAAAAAATCACATCATTCGGGAACAGACGTCACTCAACTTGAAGTTGAGAAGTGGCATGGCCACACCGACCTTTGGAAGAATCTTCCGCAAGCAATTATTTCAATCCGGCCTACGCAGTAGGGCTCTATTCACGGGCACGAAAGCATGATTGGAGAAGAGGGCTATCTTAGCTGGACAGAACCAGACCGCTGGTTCAACCGGGGGTTCAGTACTACCGTATGATCGGAATTTTCCAACTTCGTAATTATTAGTAGGCACTATACAGATTATTCGAATTCAAAAAATGAAAAAAAAGAGAAACAAAATAACTTCCACGTCGTCTTAGCCCACTCGATCTGGCAAGAAATACCTGTTGCGGGGCATCTCTAGGTGTTTGCAGCAGCTGAGGTATGCGTTTTGAGAGCTGATAGGCTCGATCTGCTCAATCTGGACCGTTGCCCCAGGTGCGGCTCCGAGGTTCTTACGGGGGGCGCATATGCATTCGACCTCTCGGAGGTCCCGGACTGATAGAACACACCCCCAAATTTACGATCTAGCCCGACTTTTGCACGGCTGCTGGCCAAGATTGACCAGTATCTTTGCAACCATGGCGTCTCTGGTTGACAGGTACTTTTGTGCCTGTTGCCCTGGGTCTCAGTACTTCTGCACGCCCGATACTCTGCAATGACCAGTACCTTTGCACGCCTGATATCCTGGGCTGTTCAGTACCTGTGACAGAACGCGCTCTGGCCATGGGACTCGACTCATGTAGCTCCTCAACTCGGTATAGCAACTTGAAATGAGCACACCCCAATCCTTTCCATGATCCTGAGCGGTTGGATTTCTAGATGCAGATTTCTTGCCCAGTCATTCGCTGGAAAGCCCTCGATCGCCAAAGCAGGGTTTAATATCATAGATAGAATTTTCTTGGCGGGAGAGGGCAGCAAAGGGGAACCAAAGCAGATCCAACGATATAGAGGCTTGCGTAATTGCAGGGAGGGGATTCTCGACTGAGACTGATCAACTTTTTTCTTCCTCGCTGCCACTGGCAGTGCTTGAAAGCCTGAATGATACCCAGCCGCCCTCTCATATGCTATATAAATAAATTCTAAGGCCCTCTCCGATTCCAACTTGAAGGCTTCAAGTTCGGTGACTTTAAGTTAGTCGCAATCAAAAACGCACCACTCTCTTATACTCTTATCTCCTCTCTTCCCCGTCCTAGCGACAGTCCTTTAACTGGTACTTTTATGTCACAAACGAGTATTCCGATGGTGAGATATGGGCCCGGTGGCTCTAATATTGCGTCAAGTGAGCAGAATGTGGACAACAGTATGCTGATGCCCGATTTTGCCCCTCAAAGGGCTTCTCAACCGACAATGCTGCGTACCTATCCGCCCACAAACCAGAATTTTACTACCGCCTCAACAATGTTAATCGGACCAGGGAACTCGGAAATTCTAATGCCAGCTCAACTTGACATCAGCCCATCAGCTGATATGATCTTCCCACGCATGCCCCCTCTTGGCCTTTCCGTACTCGACCAGAACACCCCCATCCACCGAGAAATGATAGTCCAAGCAATGCCGGTCGATGTTGCTCCCGCTGTTCACATTCCAATACATCGAGAGATGATTCTCGAAGATATTTCGCGCTACGGTTTCGCTGCATTAGAAACTTCAATACAGCAAGACTACGTTGGCCATTTGGTATCAAATTTTCCAAATATCCAGGACAATACGGTGCCTGAAACTACCAGTGTGGCCTACTGTAGAAATAATCCAGGGTCTCGGGGAAATACCAACAGCTGCGAGGCTCTGAGAGTGTATGTCTTGCGTATTTCCTCCATTGCAAAGTTTCTCTAATATCTTCCATAGACAGCCCAACGCCGAAGAACTTAGATGTTGTTGGCAGGGCTGCACTGAGATCCGTATCTTCTCGTGTGAGGCAACTCTGCTACGACACGTGAAGACTATACACATTGCTCCGAAATCGAAAAAATGCCCCATTTGTGGCTATACCAATGGCCGCAAGGACAAGGTTCGCAGCCACTTTCGACTGGTTCACAAAAGATGAGGTTGAAGGGGTGGGATATGATCATTATTTGCTTCTTATTATTTACAAAATAGTTCGACAAAAGTTGTCAACCTCTTCGATTCTTTGATAGAAAGGTGATACCGCGCTAAGTCCCTGAGGCATCCAATCCAGGTTCTTTGCGGGGAATAATAGTACTCTTTATTGTCTCAATATGCTATATGCCTACTATGTATTTTCTTTCTTGCATTGAACCCTCAAGGATCATATCCAGAGCTCCAGGCTTCAGCAAATTCTCATATATTATGCTTACTGAACTTCCGATGCTCGCTTTGTCCACCGTAGGTAGACCCCTTTGAGCATTATATAAAGGATCGTCTTGGAGGCCACGGTTCACAGGGATATTGAGCTTTGACCGCACCCAGATATAAAGCTGCGAGGTCCCCAAACCAAGCTGCGGGATCAGTTTCTCGGGAAGAATAGTCCGATCGGTATGAAATACTACCTCGGCTGTGCTACACACAATGCTCTGGAATTGGTTCTTAAAGGCCCTGATCATTGACACAGAACAGTCGGGATTATGATCGGCCACAAAATCGTTGACCAACGACATGCCGGCCTCGATTCCGGACAAAACGCGTTCTTGCCAGGTATTGGAGTTTGTGCGAGACCAGCTTGACTGGATAGTGGAGATCAGTGAGGCGTACAATGTCTCTATTTCAATGCCATTTAATCCAAGTCTATCGAATGTTCCGGTCGTGATGAGTTCCTGCATATTGACTTGGAGATCCGAAATGAATCGGACGTGGTTTGCGCGGATCTCGATTGCTTGGCACGAGACGTAGATGTGACAGGCACTCATGTGCACCAATAGATCGACAGCCTCCATAGTGCGTCGGGCCGAAAGTAGAGCTAGTGAATTGATACCCTGGTTGTGCATTTCGGCTGACATGACATGGGCAGACACCGGGTGTGTTAGAGCTGCTAATTCCGACATGTACGCTGACATGTTGATGTCGATTCCCTTCATGGTGAAATTGACTTCTGCAGAAGCATTGAGGTTGGCTTCGAGTCCATTGTTTGTAGCAGGATTGACCATCTCAGTGACCTGGGACCAAAGCATTCGTCCTATCATTTGGATAGCCAAAAGAGACTTTTCCATAGCTGATGTGACAACCGTTGCTTGGAAATTCCCGCCAGAGTACACTTTCCCGCTAGAACCATCGCCTTGCCTGCTTGTATCCACTAGAGGGTTATCTGAAGTCGAGTTGAGCTCCACTTCAAGCTGACGTTGCGCTTGGAGAAGATCCTCAAGGTAAGGTCCGATCCACTGGGGAGCGGTTCTTGTCGAATACCGATCTTGACAGAGTCCATCTTTAATTTTTTCCTGTTCATCTAAGCCAACAACAAACTTAGAGCCTTTCAAGAAACGTCGGATATTGCTTGCCACCTCAATTTGCCCAGTGTGAGGTCTCGTCGCGTGAATGAAGGGTAGAGCCCACTCTACATTCCCGGACAAGCATTCAGAAGTGAATGCCGTCAATATTTGAGATAGCAACGCAAGCTGCTGCGTGTCATACAATGCCAGGCTTGCCACAGCTACAGAAGGAGCAGTGCCGTTTATTAGCCCAAGGCCCTCTTTTGGACCCAGTCCTGACGCAGAGAGTCCACTCGTCTTCAACGCTTCCGAGGAGGGCATAACTCTAGCTTCTGCACCACTACCAACCTGAACAAAAACGTCTGGATTTCCCATTATTGCGCCCGCGATATATGCCATGGGCATTAGATCTCCAGATGCGGAGATAGTTCCCCTCAGAGGGATTAGGGGGGATGGTGTCGTTGTGCAGCAGATCAATCAGGCTCCTAAGCACACATGGACGGATGGCGCTGTGGCCCCTAAGATTCTGGTTGACTCGGGCAATAATGGCGGCTCGAACCCAGGATAGAGGCATTATATGCGACGACTCCCGGCCCGAATTTCTCAGCGGATCCTTGTCTACGGAAGTGATTATTCCGCTTTGGATAAATTGAAGCAGATGCGTCTGCAGGTCGATCAGGTCGCTGGTCCTCGTGTCGGCACTACCACCGAAGCCGGTGTTGACGCCGTAGATAACGCATTTCCGAGATATGAGGTCAGCCAGGGTATTGACGGAGGCCTCGAGGTGCTTGGTTAGCCGCTCATCTGGACTGATAGTGGGCTCAACTCCATGACGGGCCACAGCGACAATAGAAGCAATGTCGAGATTTTTGCCGTCTAGAACGATGGCTTTCTTCTTGCTGATTAAATCACGCAAGTTTCTCAAGAGTCGCAGTGTTGCGCTCATGTGAGCCGAGTTGTCATGCCGCACGACGGTCATTGTAATCCCAAGGCAAGAAAGCATATGGTATCTCGTATCCAAGTGCTTTGCTATCCTTTGCAGAGAGAAATGCTTTTGTCAGGTCAGCAAGAGCTCGGTTGACTGACTCAAAAAATATAGTAATGAGAGATGGGCAAAAAGTCAAACAAAGTAAGCAAACCGCCTGACGATTATTACCCCTTGCCCGCAGGCACCCTCCGATAGTGTAATACTACATGATCAGCACATGGTAACCCAATTTTTCATTTCGATACCTAGATATCTGATCACGTATCTACTGAGTTATCACCAGCAAAGCCGTAGATGCCGATCGATCTGATCTAGATAGTACTGCAGCGTCCATCTCGTCTGTGCTGAAACTTTCTTGGCGATAGTTTCGAATCTTTGCTTTTTTGAGGCAAGGCATCGCACTAGTAGATATTTTTCGCGCAGGTATTTACCTCGCATGGGCCGATAGAATCTCCGAGGGATACAATATAGTATCTTGATACTGGTTACTCAACAATTAATAGTTCACAGTAGATCAGGCGGCGTGGCATAAAGTCTATTATATGATATCATTTTCTGGGACAAATATAGGAATTTGAGGCGTCAATTGCTAAAAGTAAAAGAGATGAGACTTTGCTCGTCCTACTCTACTAGCAATAGTACTTGTTTGAGGGTTTCAATACTATGCAAGCCATGGTGCTGCATCGACCAAGTGTAGATCGCGCACGTGGCCCGGGACTAGATATACCATTCTGCAGTGAGTGCTGGAGAGCCCGAGAGCCCGATATTAAGTGAGAAGTAGGCGCATTTTCCCGAGCTCGGGGACTGATTGGTTTGTAGCTTCTGAAGTCAGTCAAAGACTTGTAGATCTGTAACACCGTGACTGCACTCCGTAGTCAAGTGCTGTTCCCGACTATCGAGGGGTCAGTCCGCGTGAGCCTGGTGAGCATGTTCGATTCCGAAGTATGATCGACTTTGTTCAACCAAGGTTCATTGTGAAAATTAGATTGTATGAAGTATGATGGCTCCTAGTAGAATCTCACCGTGGCAGTTGCACATAAATAGAGCTCTTTATCCCATCTCTCCAACTTTCCTATCTACTACTCAATATCACGATTATCATTTATTCTCTGCCCACAAATTCATTGATATCATTGCTCTATAAAATGGCCGAGACTTCGCCCCTCAACCATACCGCTGGCTTCGGCCTGCGCGAAGGGAAGGGTTACCTCCTCGACAATGGCCACGCAGGAAGTCAACGCCTGAACTACCAGTACCTCATTTGGAAACAGTGCCTGGGTTATACCCTGCACCCCGTCATCCGAGACGCAGTGGGAGATCACCCACGCATCGCCGAAATCACTGCAGGAACAGGTCTATGGCTTCTCGACACGGCCCACGACTTCCCAAACGCGATCCTTGATGGAATTGACATCAACCTCTCGCGACTTCCACCGCCTGCCTGGCGCCCCAGCAATATCCACCGTCTGTACAATTGGAACATCTTCGACGAGGTTCCGGCTGAGTTGGAGGAGCGATATGACGTGATCCACCTTCGTCTCCTCCTCCTTACCATCTCAGGCAGAGACCCAAGTCCCGTCATCAAGAATGTGATCAAGTTGCTTAAGCCCGGTGGCTGGATCCAGTGGGATGATCTGAGTACCGCGCACACATATGTTGAAAAGACAGACGAGAAACTTGAGACTAAGGCGCTCGATAAGATCAGAGACTTTGTGCACTCGGAGGGTCGCCATGACTGGGTCTTTGATCTTCCCTTGCATCTGCTTAAGCATGGATTTGAGGAGAGTCAGTTGACATTTTATCATGGACGGCCGGACTTGATCTGCCATGATACGGAAATTCATCTGATGACTATCAAGGAGTTCAATGGCCAGATGAAGGCTGATGGGCGGGAGGAAGAGGCTAAACAGCTCGATGACCTTATCGAGGAGGCATATGAGGAGGCTGGGCGCGGTGCTGGAGTTACGACCCCGAGAGTCGTCTGTGTTGCAAGGAAGAGACCGGTTCCTTATGCTGTGCGCGAGGCCCTTTCGTTTTCTTCTTGAAACCGCAGCTATATCTATCTTATTTGCCACTGGTAAATTTAGATAATCTAGGATAGCCTCAATCCATCAATAAATTGATTGCCGTGGTGAATTTAATGGGAAGAACAGCGTCGGATGTAGTTGTTTCCAGCGCTCGTTTATCGTCACTCAAAGTGTACCAAATCTGAACGCCAAACATGTTCTATGATAGATATGAACAGTCTTCCCAGACTTGCTCGTTATCCATATACAAAGCGGTTCCAATTATCCGCCAGTTGCTTCACACCGGCTCTTAAATCCCAACCTCGTAGCTGACATATTTGTCGTACAACATTCTCTAGCAGGTCATCCATTTGCACACCTGCAGTATGTAGATCGCTTTCGATCAAAATACGATCATCCGGCAAAGCCTTGATGACATCCTCAATCTTCTTCGCCGGCGCCCCGCTAAAATTGATCACTGCCGAGAAGGAAAAGTAGACATCAGACGGATTTGATGGGTGTAAGAACTGACGTATAGGCTCCACAGGCCCACTGTAGGAGTGCATGCATATGCGCGGTGGAAACGGCAGCGGTTTTTCTGTCTCGCTTGTCTTGCTTGGTTCGCGCTTTTCATCTTCGTCGTCGTTATCATCTGACAATGCCCCCTCGGCATCCTTCAATTTCTGTTTTTGTCGCCGCGAGAGGAAAACTTTTTCATGGCCAGTCCACAATTCTTTAAACAAGTCAAAAACAACACCGTGCGCCTGCACACTATGCACGGAGACAGGCCGTTGCATTTCGCCAGCAAGTGCGAGCTGGGCCTTCAATATCGTTCGCTGGTGGTCCATCTTCACCTTGTAAGGAGAAAGTTTCCTACCTTCCCTCGAACCGGGGGTGAGATCTTCATCTCGGGAGGAGATTTTTTCTGCTGTCCACACGCCTGGGAGCCGAAATGCTTTGTCCAGTCCCACTTCACCGACCAAAGAGTTTGGAAATCGGCGAAGTCGCTCACGAGTTTCATTGAGAAGGACAGAAAGCAGTTTGGGGGGTGGCAGTTGGTTGATGAAGTCCAAGTCGGAAGCTGAAGATGGCGTGAGGACGTTTATATAGTGGTCTTCTTTGGATTGCGGGGTTGAGGTGGTTGTGGGGGCTGTTATGTCGTCGATTATTTGGTGTGAAAACCATGGATGCCAGCCGAAGCTGGGTAAAATACGCGGCGATCGCGTTGATTTATCAGTGATATTGAGAGATTGAGCGACCTCTGCAACAAGCTCTTGGTCTTGGGCTCTTGTTGCCATTACGGTAAGCGTGGTCGCTTTCATGGAGGGGATCTGCGCGACTGATGCCATTGTATCTGTTGGGTGGCAGTGGGCATCGTATATGCCCAGTTCCCAAGGGAAGAAATCCTGAGATTGATGAGGCTGAGTTTGAGGGAGGGACATTGGTTGAAAGGAAAGGTGGAATTGTAGTTGTAGTTGAAGTGGAAGTTGAAATGTAGTTGGATTGCCGCCTTGGAAATTGAAAGGGTGTCACATGCATTTCTCCGCGACTTCGACCTTTCCGAAATCAAAACTTGAAAAAGCTGACATCACGTCGCATTCTCTCCTTCTCTTATTCTTATTCTTTTCTTTTTTGAACATCTCGTACAATGATCAAATTCTTCTCCTCATGTTCGGCTTGCTGACGACGCTGCTGGCGCTGCCCGTGCTGGGCCTCATCTGCTTACCATTACTCATCTCCGCCTGGATCACCGTCATCTTCGCATTGTTCACCCTATTCGTTCGCCTACTCGTTGTTTATACCGAGCTGGTCTACGAGTTTATCGTCAACTTCTTTACACTCCCCGCGATCACCTCCTCACTCTTGACCTTTGCCCCATCTGAGCCTGTTACTCCTGCAGTGGGTAACTCCAGGCGCAATTCGGCATATGGTCTGATCCAGTCTCGCAAGAGCCAAGACTCGCTGTCGTCCTGGTCTATCATTGAGGCTCAAGATGATTCGTCTAAAAGATCAAAGAAATTTTATGCTCGAAGCATGATTGAGGCCCATAATCTGCCCACAGGTTTCGGTCTCCCCGTTAGCGGAGATGAGCGACGTGACTTTGAAGGCGTGGGCGGTTGGAGATCATGTTTTAATAGACCAAGATCCAAGAATGGATCGAGATCCGTGCACGAAAAACCGATAAGCTCGGTCTCATCTTCGTCTGCCCCAAGTGCAGCGGGTGAATCCAAGCCCGACATTATTGACGAGGACGAACGCGCTTGGCTATCTCTAAACGAGCGACTCGAGCTTCCATCTCAAGTCATAACGTGGGGTTCCAGCTCAAATATTGCCAGTCCAACCCATGCCGATTCCTTTTCTCCGCGGGGCAGCATTTCCCACGGACTGGCCCCAGCAGCGTCACCCCGGTTCTACCGTACCCAGCAGCCTAATGGTCAAAGACACCATCAGCGTTCACACACAACATCCTCCCTCACAAGCTCGGGGCGCAATACTGGTAGTAGAATTTCTGTCGCCCTATCAAATGCAGGCCTAGCTCGAGAATCGGGTCATACCGTGTCACCGTCAGCATCGAGACTCGCTCCATTCATGACACCACAGCCATACCCCACATTCCGATCATCTCGCACAATGCCAGCCACTAGTGCAACCAATGGAATGTCAACCTCACTGGATGGTGGCTATTTTGCACTACAGCGGCCGGGCTATCACTACGTGCCTTCCCTGGAGACAAGAGAGAGCCCGAATTGGAGTGGGTACACTACACCTGGATCCGAAGATCGGAATACAGTAGCCTTTCAGCCACCGAGGCTGATGTCGCACTATCCGACCAGCGTGAGGCATCGCAGGAGCAGCATATCTGGACCCCATGCAAGAGTAGGTACGGTCGGGGAACGGACTGGCTGAACCGCTTGAATGTTCCTCATGAGTTGAAGAACGAATCATCTGCATTCATGTTTTGAATTAATGATCTTGAGCGAGCTTGCATTGATTATTACCTGTCCTCCAAGATTCATCTTCTGCCAAGTTTTGCAATTTGAGTCTATACTTCATTGAATACATACATGACATCTAATCAGACATGGTACCATTCCTAATGTCTGGCAACCCCCCGAGTCCTATATTAAGAAGCCCTTTGGGAAAGGGTCATCCGGATCAAGACGAACCTGTCGATCCCCTGTGATCCACGCCCTGCCTTTGATATTTGGCAATACTGCATCACAATCGCCCACCTTATCCAACCCCCGTATACGACCCACAAACTCGGTGTCGATGATACTCTGGAAAGTAACACTTTCTCCAACTTCCAATTGCCCCCTTGCATGTAGCACCGCCAGTCGAGACGAGCTTCCAGTGCCACAGGGACTGCGGTCTAACCTTCCAGGGGTTACGATAACCGTATGTCTCACGGACTTTTTGCCCTCCCGACTGACCAATGGCTCAGTAATGATGACATTATTGACACCGCAGATGGCAGGGTTCTCTGGGTGTGTAGGCATGCATGCGGCGAGCACCGCCTGTTTCAGCTGGTTTCCAAGCTCGATGAGTCGGGCTCCATTCGAAGTTTGAACCTCAATATTCAAGTCTTTAGCCTGCGCAATGACATACCACTGGCCTCCGTAAGCAACGTCGACTCGAACTGTCCCAACTCCAGGAAGAAATGCTTCCTGGTCAAGAGCGAAGACAAAGGCCGGAACATTGTCGAAAGCCACAGACTTGCATCGGCCCTTGTCGCACTCGGCCGTTGCCGTGATGAGTCCCGCAGCAGTATCCAACTTGACCTTAGTCAAAGGCTCCTTCATCGGCACCATTCCCGTCTCGAGCAGAACGGTGGTCGTGCAGATGGTATTAGATCCCGACATGGGAACCCAGTCCCCCGGTGCCATAATCAGAAAGCCAGCGTCAGCTCTAGGGTCGCAGGGAGGAACGATAATCATTGCGCTCATTTCTGGGCGTCCTCGGGGCTCGTGTAGTAAGAGTCGGCGTATATCGTCGTATTCGTTTATGTAGCGGGATAATTTCTCGTGCATTGTCTTCGCTGGAAGGTCGAGTATGCCGCCAATGATGACATCGCCAGCTTCTCCCTCGCAGTGCGAGCAAACAATTGATAGATTGCGTTGTGAACGCATGATTGATATTTTGTTCGAGATGTTGATTTGTGTAGGTCGGAAGTAGTAAGAATTCAGGGCCAGACGGATACTAGTAACTGCTCACTTGTCGATTTAAACTGCAAGCATAGATCCGCGTTGCTTTCCAAAAAGAGTCTTGACTGTCGAAACGGAAGGACTTGCATGCAGTATAAACAACTACCCCGCAAAACTGATACTCAACTAGATCTGGGCACTACTAGTGATGTGTGATACAGTACTATCGGAGGCCGGGAAGACATACCACATACAGACATTGAGTGCCTTCAAAGTAGATGAGGATCCGCGTCCGAATTTTCGACTTATAGCTCAGCATTGAGACTTGAGGCCACAGAGACAAAATACTAGCTGTACTTCTTCATTATTAGCATTTGCTTTGCTAGCATTTTTTTTCTTTCGTCTGCCAGGCGGGCAGAGTATTTCTAGTGGCTTGAACGCGTATCCTACTCAGTGGCGGGTGTGAAGTGAAAATAGTCTCGTCCAATAAGAATCGTTTAGTTACAGAGTCAGAACAAAAACAATATTTATCTAAAGCTAATACGAACCCACAGTACCAGGTATAACGGAGGTAAGATCATCGGTCCGAAGTAGCCTTGCGATAAGATGTATTGCGGGGAAACCCTGGGCGGGCATAGTGGGGGGCAGGTCGTTCCGTTCCCATTCACTGTTGGGTTGGTGGGCCGATCTAGAGAGGAGCCACTTGTTAGCGATGTAAATACTTCAATGGAAACTTTTCTTCTCATCAAGAAAACCATCTACTTTTCAGTCTATAACAAGCCACCTCAGAATGGAAGTTGGTATCATTGGTTCCGGCATCATCGGGCTTCTATCAGCCTTAACCCTCACCGATGCCGGCTACAAGGTGACTGTTGTCGCACGCGATCTCCCCGGGGATGAAACACAGGACTGGGCAAGTCCTTGGTAAGATCCCTATATACGGCTTACATTATATCACATTGCTGACTGGCTTGGATCCAGGGCTGGAGTGTCGATCTACCCTCATCCAGATGTCGGCGGCCATGATCTCCAAACAGAGAACTTCAAATACTTTTGGGCGTTAGCTCATAGAGATCCCACTAGCGGTGTTCAAGTAAGTCTGAGGAAAGACAACATATGTTTTAACATCTGCTGGATGGTTAATAATTGCTACTTTAGACCATAAAAGCGACCGAGTATTATGATGACCGTGAGGATGATTCAACCATTTGGTACAAGACTGTCGTTCCACGCTATCGTCTCATTCGCAAGGAAAATCTTCCTCAGGGCGTCAAGCTTGGTTTCACATATACATCCATGACTATCAATCCTGCATTCCTCCTGCCTTGGATTCAGAAGCAGTTGGAGGGCCGTGGTGTGAAATTCATTCGCAAAACACTGAACTCTATCGAAGAGGCACAGAAGATCACAGGTACCAAATTGATTGTGCATGCATCTGGCCTTGGAGCATTTACCCTTGCCAATGATAAGAATGTGGAAGGCATTCGCGGACAGACTATGTTTGTGAAGACGGATTTCGAAGAGCTGAAGATGTTTCAGGGCTCTCATTATACCTATGTAATCCCTCGGATGTTTACCAACGGCGCCATTATTGGAGGTGTGAGCCAGCCTGGTAGCACAGACCGTAGCGTAGACGAAGATCTACGCTCCGATATCCTTCGACGGGTGAAGACACTTACCAATGGGGAGATTGGTGACATTGACCTGGAGAAAGACGTTGAAAAAGATATTGTTGCCTTCCGGCCTGGAAGAAAAGGAGGATATCGGTTGGAGGCTGAGGGTTCCATTGTGCATGCTTATGGCTTCGCGGGTTTGGGTTATATCTTCAGCTACGGAGTGGCTCTAAAAGTTCGAGAGCTTGTTGATTCGCTTGGAGGCAAAGATAAGGCCCTGAAAAGTCGTCTCTGATTGAAGACTCAGGTTTTCCTGGTGGCACTTATGACAGGCGTTCAAGTGTGTAGGATTTTAGTGCAGAGGATAAATACATGTGAAAATTTTCAAAATTCTTTGATTAATATTTGAGCTGAAGATAATACTGTTAGATAGCTCTCTATCGCTTCAAGTTCCGAGTCCTTCCACCTGGGCATTCCTCTTTCTCTCTCTTCCATAGCACGCAATATATTGCCAGCCCTGGAGTGTTCAGGTGCTTCCTTCCTTCAATATGCGTACACTCCGTACAAACACATTCTCTTCAACCCCGATTGAGCAAATCATGGCTTTACGGGATCAAAGATACTTCTAAAGGGGACTTATACGCAAGTATAAATTTCAGTTCGACGCACTTAAAATAGTTAAAGCCAACGTTCTGTGCGGATACGGAACCACCTGCCTCGGAACTTCCCCGGCTAGCAGAAGCTCCACCGGTTATCAGCCGTCTAAGGTAGGGCTTTGAGAATCTTAATCAAGGTTGCTGTTCGATTCCGATCTGATACAGGTAGCCGCGTGCGAACCATTCATTGTGCATATCTCATACTGGTACCTTCGCGAGCCTGTCTCAGCCCCGGAATGACTTGTACAGTTTGGTGATGTGCCCCACACTAAGGTACGAGGCAATTCACCACTATCTAGAGAAGTCCAGGGTGGCGATCCGCCCTTGATGTCTAACTCGACTATCATTTTCGCCACAACTCATAATCGACCCTGTCCCGGAGTGAGTTTCCATGTGAATTTCTTGTCTGGTTCTTCCCCGCACCCCGGGTTCTTCGTCGTTGATGTACTAAACACAATATAGGAATTTGTGGGGGCTTATCGCTTGTAGATAATTAGCGCTGTTCCCCGTAAGCCACCTGGGCAGATATTTCATTCGGTATTCTACAGGGGTCAACCCTCTCGATACTTCTCAATTGATCTGCTGTCTCTTAACACATTATGGATAAAAAGACGAATCCAGACATAGACCCGGAAAATGCTATAGAGCCGACACAATCCCATCTTGGGGAAGTTCTAGACAAGCCCATCCAGGAGGATGCCGTTTTCGGGGCCATTCAAGAAGGAGACACCAACTATCGAGATGTGAGTGATTTCTAGAACGAGAGATCAATTGATAACAAGTTAACGTGATTTAGGTGAGCTGGATGGGAACGATGGCCTTGATGGTAAAAACACAAATTGGTCTCGGTGTTCTCTCAATGCCAAAAGTCTTTGACACGCTTGGGATAATACCGGGTATTATTTTGCTTATTGTGATTGCCGGAATGACAACATGGTCAAATTGGATGATTGGAGTGTTCAAACTACTCCATCCTGCAGTCTACGGAATCGATGATGTGGGCAAAATGCTTTTTGGGCGCATAGGGTTCGAGTTATTCGGTGCAATGTACACTTTGTGTGAGTTTTTTAAACAATCTATTCCATTGAGCCACAAGACTAACATGATACGATTAGATTGGATCTTCTCTGGAGGCTCTGCCCTGCTGAGTATCTCAATTTCATTCAACGCACTTACTGACCACGGAACGTGCACTGCTGTTTTCGTTGCCGTTGCTGCCATAATCGCATTCATATTCTCAAGCATTCAAACACTCGCTCGTATATCTTGGTTGGCATGGGCAGGTGCTGCCTGTATTATCACTGCTGGTATGCTGGTCTTGAAACCAAGGATATTTCCTGATCTAAACGAATTATAGTCTTTATTGTGACTGTCGCGGTCGGCATTCAAGGCTATCCTCCGCCCATAGATGGGATCGTCTTCGAATCGGATTATAAGCTTTTCGGCAACCCCAGCTTTATTGATGCCATGACTGCCGTATCAACCATTTCATTGACCTACGCCGGTACCCCCGCCTTCTTCAATATCGTCTCCGAGATGCGTGACCCGAAATACTACAACCGAGCTCTAGCAATCTGTCAGGTTTTGGTCACTGTTATCTATATTGTAGTTGGAACAGTCGTCTACTACTATTGCGGTTCCTATGTTGCGTCGCCAGCTCTTGGTTCGGCAGGAATGTTGATCAAGAAAGTCAGCTATGGATTTGCTCTGCCGGGGCTCTGTGTTTCCGCAATTCTATTGCTTCATGTGAGTTATCGCCACGGGTTGTAACTCAGGAAATTAGAATTCGGGAAATGCTAACATTGATAACAGCTGCCTGCTAAACACGTATTCGTTCGGATACTTCGAGGCACTCCCCATCTCACAGGACAAACCATGATTCACTGGGTCACCTGGTTGGGATCTACCTTCAGTATTGTCACGATTGCATACATTGTCGCAAGTAGTATCCCCGTGTTCAGTGAGCTCGTATCACTTGTCGGGGCTCTCCTGGCGACATCATTATGTTTTCAACCTATGGGTTGTATGTGGCTGTATGATAATTGGACCCCTGGGAAAAAAGATAAGTCTATTGGATGGTGTTTGAACGTGGCTTGGTGTGTATTTATGATTGTTTCGGGTTCCTTCATGACAATCGGTGGGACGTACGCATCGATTGTGACTATAAATAACTCTTATAAGACATCAGGAGGGTCCTCCACCTGGTCATGCGCTAACAATGACAATTAAATCATGACTTCAAGCGCATGGAGGACCACTATGCTAAAACTAGATTTTAGATTTATACCAAATAGCAACCTTGGAGCTTTGAAAACTTTGAAAGATAAACCCCCCTCAGCCCTCTTGGAATTGAACGGGAGACTCCGGATATTCTTTTGCTAGTTGTTAGTTTACCTAAAAAATAGTAGAACAGCGTATTAGTTATTTTGGATTCCATGGGATGTGGTCCTGAAGGCAATAATGGTAAGGTAAGACTCGATAATCCATCTGCCGGTGATGTGGGTGTTGCAGCTGCACTTGACACAGGTAACAAGGAGAATCCAAGCAGTGGGCTTAAAAACACCGCCTGCGATAGACATCGCGATCCCAGAATTTACCTTGGCTTTTCTGAACAAGGATCAGTCGGCTACATAGAGTAGTAGGATTGATAAGACAAATAACTAATACATGTCTGAGTCCGAGTCCGAGTCCGAGTCGTAGTATTCAAGTTCTTTCTTTTGATTGTCCATGTTCTCATCGCAAATTTTGTCTGCAAGCTCGTTTTGCTCCCTGGGAATCCAGACATACTCCACAACTCCCTCTTCTCTCAATCTATCATCAAGATCCGAGGCCTTCTCCAAAAGATCTTGGTTCGCAACAGTATCGCCCGCACAGTTGATCCAGCCATTTCTGATCCACTTGTAAATCCATTTTGTCATGCAGTTAACCGCATACCTCGAATCGGAATAAATCGTTACATCAAGCACCGGTTCATTGCCAAGCCCTTCATACACTTCCAGAGCTTTCTGCAGTGCCAAGATAATGGCTTCAAGTTCGGCACGCTGGCTTGTCGGCGTAGGCCAAGAGTTTAGAGGCCTCACCCAGGACTTTGGGGAACCCCATTTTCGCATAAGAACGGCAGCCGCTGCTCCAATCGCATTTTGTGATCCATTGCCTCTACAGCCGCCATCAGTGTAGATTTTCATGGTGTAGACCATGTTTGCGATGTCTGGAGGTGGTGAAGGAGGTGCAAATTCCCAGAGTGTGGAGAGTTAGGAGGCGTGGCTTTGTACGTGTTCGTCAGGTAATAACTCTGTCGTTGTGGTCAGCTATATGTCTGGAAACTCTTATCCCATACCCAGGTGAAGGGCCTCTGTTTCTTACATTGTCGGTTACTGTTTCCACTTCAAATGTTCCAGCGATCATGAATGAAAGGGAGTGAGAGTAGAGGTCTTCCACGGGTTGAAGCCTTGCAGAAATTGGATAGACGATGAATGCGGGGTAGTGCAGGTTACAAGATGACAACAGCCACTGGGAGGTTTGACATTTGTTTGTTTGTAGGCCTCAAGTAACACACCATGGTAACACACCACCTCAGGCACACACACTATCTATCTATCTATCTCTCTCTCTCTCTCTCTCTCTCATGGTTTCAACCTTGCAATCGATCCTCCATTGGGATTGCTTGTTGATTTTCTTTCTAGGCTTATTCTATGCTAAACTGTATTTTTTGAGATATCCTAGATTGGGACAGACTGTCACCTTGTCCCATCTAATACCTTAAATGACTCTAGGGACTAGATTCTGGTCCTGAAATCTCTCGGCAAACGAAGCAAACGGGGCCGGCCAATCAGGATCGAGATCTCCGTATTTTTCATATGTCATGACACCACCAACCATTCACAGAAGACCTATTGTATCTTCTTAGCACATACTCCGTAAAGCGACACCTGCTGCGAATTCTGTGCCTGGTTTGGCGGGAGTAATTACGGCAGCTGTTGGGGCCCATCTGACGACAAGATTTCACACCAGCGCATCGTAGTGCTCCAATTCCTACATCTGGTGAGTATGCAAGACCAGTGAATACTCCGCAAATAATCTGGGAGCCCAGGCAATAAGATAAACACCTAGAATGGCGTTAAATGTAGCCATTTTCAGTAATCAGTCTACTGTTACTTGGCGTTGTGATGTACTTGTAGTAGGCCAAGACTATTTAGGATAAACTTGCGACTGGACCAATCATATTTGCCCTTCCGGACCACACGTTGATATTTGACCACCGCACTCCGAGATCGGTGTTATTTTAGGACTAAACTCGATAAACATTGTTCAAAATCGGATCTACCTTAATCTGATCTCATGGAAATATCAAATGGTTCAATATAATACACCAAATTGGCATTGGCAGGGAAAATCAATCAAGTCAATATTAGTACTCTATGTTAGGTTCTCCGCGGCAGTTTGGAGTGAATCACCGGGAAACTCCACAATCTGCTTGGGGATGCTCCACAGAATATGGAGTAACCAAAATTTTTGTCATCGCATTAGATTTCAGACGCTAGGTCCTATGTTTAATACGCCGTTCGGCCGTTCTTACCAATCATCGCTCTTGTCTTTTTCTTCTCTACCATCCATCGTCTTCTCTGAATTTACTTGAAGAAGCTCAACTGTTGTCATTCCTTTCGATAAACTCCAGAAATTTCTATATGAACCTTTCAACTCGCATATAATTTATTCCTCTTTTTCGAACTGGAGCCCAGTTTCAAGCCGATTACGAGACTGCAATAGAATGTCCATTAAAAGACAAGAGCAGCCAACAGACACACCATATGCTGCAAACACACCCCACGAACAAATTGACGCACTGTCCGAAGATGAAGATGAAGATCAATACCCCGACGGCGGGCTGAAGGCCTGGCTAGTTGTCTTCGGCGCCTTTGCAATGTTAATCTGCACATTCGGCATGATGAGTTCGGTCGGAGTCCTCCAATCATACTGGGAAACCCACCAATTGAAAGCCTACCCCTCAAGTACAGTCGGCTGGATACCGTCAGTATTCGTCTTTTTCAATTTAATGCTGGGCATCCAAATCGGGCCGATGTTCGACAGATACGGACCCCGATGGATAATTCTCACCGGATCACTTCTCTACATCCTATCCTTTTTTCTACTCGCCGAATGCAAGGAATACTACCAGTTTATGCTCTGCATGAGTGGCCTCGGTGGAGCCAGCAGCTCTCTCATATCGACACCGACCATGGCATCTATCTCGCACTGGTTTCACAAGCGCCGTGGTCTGGCTACGGGCATTGCTATGGCGGGTGCTAGTATAGGGGGCATACTTTTCCCTATTATTTTGAGACATGTGATAGATCGATTGGGATGGCCATGGGCTATGCGTATCATGGGGTTTATTTTTGTGTTCCTTCTTACCATCGGCAATCTTTGTGTCAAGGGTCGACTTCCTGCTAAGGTGGGCAAGGGCACAATTGATCTAAAGTGCTTCTCGGATTCAAGATTCGTATGGATGACAGCGGGTGCATTTTGTGAGTTTCGCTAATTATCCGAATCGATTCTGATATCCGTTCTCATACTAAGTCATCCGCAGTCAGTGAAATTGTTCTCTTTGCATCATTGGGTCTGGTACCCTCATATGCAGTGGCTCAAGGGTTTGGCTCCGATACGGGCACCTATCTACTGGTCGTTCTGAATGCGTATGTATTTCTTCATTCATTGACATCAACGTAAGCTAACATAGATTAGAGGATCGGCTGTGGGACGATTGCTCTCAGGCTTGACATCCGACCATTTTGGAGCGTTCAACACCATGGCTGTCGTAATAGCAGTGACCACGGTTTTGATATTTGCGCTATGGGTACCACTTGGTCATTACATTGGCGTTCTATACCCATTTTCTTTCATGCTTGGTCTTGGAACTGGGAGCTTCCTGAGCCTGACACCTGTTTGTGTTGGTAGAGTTTGCAGGGTCGAAGAATTCGGGCAGTGGCTAGGAACTTGTTATTTTGTGAGCAGCTTTGGGTAAGATCCTCCCCTCCCCTTCTCCGCGCATACTGCCATACATGAATTTCATCGATTAACTAACATATGAACTGTTCAGAACCTTGGTTGGTATTCCTATCGCTGGAGAACTGCTCCAGGTAGCAGGCCCAACACGACTGGCTGCCGTTCTCGGTGGCATTTTTGGACTAGCCCTGCTGAATTTCATAATTGCACGATGGTCATGTTTGAAGTGGGAGTGGAAATTGTGGGCAAAGGTCTAGTCCGGTCAATCTGTTTAGTAAATGGCATCCATTAGCAGGGGTGCTAAAGTGTTTGGCTACTAAAAGCATCATGATATTTACTAATTGTCGCTACAGAGTATCGAATATGATGTACAACTTGAAGATCATTCGAAGTATTTGTTAAAAATCTATGCCTTGAAGTCAATAATTTTATATACCTTGTCAAGGTCAAAGATCAACCAGACAAGCCGACAACTCCAAGAGAAGAGATGAAAAAAAAAGTGTACACGCCCGGAAAGCAATTCTCGCTTCCAGCCAAAAATTCGTAGACCATTATGCATGGACAATGACAACCCTCCATTTCCATATGACTGGCAAATGCCGAGCGAGTGAGAGAAATGAAGGGAAACTTCAATGCCACGTTCTAACGGTAGACTCCTCACGGTCCCCGTTCTCTCTTATTTACATCCTCCATTTCCGAAAGTACGAATTTGTTGAAGTCCTCCCAGCCATCAAGGTATAGATGGTGCCCAGCTCGTTTGATAACGACAACCTTGGATGATCCTTGATCGCCGTTTTTCTCCTCGGGGGAGGCCGAAGCCAAGACGCGGGATTTCTCCTCGTCTAGGCGGGCCGCGGCTGCATGACCGCCTGAGACATCCATCCAGTCGTGATCACCGTACATGAAAACAATCGGGATGCCCTTCTCACGTTGAGGCTCCTGGGTTTTTAATGCTTCGGAAGGTGGAGAGGCGGGCACGTTCGAACTGTCGGTTTGCGGGGCCTCTGGTTTGGGGGTGGGTTTGGAGAAGATGGAGCATGAGGAAGATGCTGGGGTTTGGAACGGATTAGATGCACCAGGTTCAATCATCTGTCGACCAACGCCGTGAATGCGGCGGATGAGAGGGCTGCGAGCAAATGCACCAGGTGCTAGAATGTATGCTAACGCATACTCTCCACTGCCGCGGAGACTGAAGATCGAGTACGAGTAGTCATGGAGAGCCTTGGCTTCTTCAGCAGGCAGGTGAGAGAAACGACGCGACGTCCAGCCAGACACAATTCGCGGACCGAGAGGACCGGTCCAGCGCACAAGACTGAACGGCGAGATATTCGCGTCCCAAAGATAAGCGAACCATTTGGGCATATTCCGGCGAGGTGGTTGATTGGCAGCGGAACCGGGTTCGGGATTTCGCCCTGTGATGAAACTGCCATCGGTGGTCTTCGGTACACTTCCTGGAACTGCTGCAGCCGAGGTGATGTCCCTTTGGTCCTGGGTGAGCTCACTGGCGATGGTGGACTCGGAGGGTTCGGGTACATCCGCTGTCACTGCGTATGGGTCCTCGGGAATACCAACTGGGGAGGCAAGAATAAGCTTATTCAGGTGGCCAGGGTATTTGAGGGCGTAGGCGACGGCCATATAGCCACCCAGACTATGTCCGAGCAAGGTGAATCGATCGATCTTGCGCTTGATGCGCCATTCCTCAAGGGCATCCACGAACCATGCCTCGGCTTCACGGATGGCCTCCTCCCGCTCCTTTGCTTTGATCTTGAACGCGGGGCGCGTACTACGACCCATCCCTAGCATATCGAGGGCATGTAGCTGCCAGCCTCTCAGCCGGCTGAGAGGCTCAAAATTCTTGTAGAAGAATCCCAGACCCGCACCATAACCATGAAGCATGACCAAATGCTGGTCAGCATCTTCACCGACTCTCTCGACAGAGAACTCGTTGAGAGCGCGGTCTTTGCCACTCAACTCAACCATGCTCGAGCTCCATCGGCGCGGGCCATAAGGATCGTTCAGGGAATTGGTGGAAATCTCGCCTTGCTGGTTATGGTCTGCCGACTGGAGGCTGCTAGGGGCTGTGCCATTTGGGTAGTCGGTGGTATTACCAGTTTGGAGATGGGTTGGGGGCTGGTGATGGAGGTAAGGAAGATAAGAAAGAACCTTGTGCTCAGCGGCCGCGGCAGGAATACGAGCCCACTAGATGAAGCAGAGAAAAGTTAGAGCAAATTCCAGCAGATTTCTTTAGGTCACATTTGCAGGCAACTTACCCACTGGCTAAACCCTTCACGGTACCCCAACGGAAAGAAGGAGTTGGCTGCCGCAGCACCAGCAGCCGCCCGAGCAGCGTACGGAGTTCCAGTTCGATCTTCCGAGCTTGAGCTGCGGTTGCTATGCTCGCGAGCCTCCCTTTCCGCCGTGTTCAAGGACTCCGACGCCATTGTGGAAGCCAGGCGACACTTTTGAGTGTAGGTGGCGAGGGGTGCGGAGTGCGGGCAATCAACCCAATGTTGTTGAGGAACGGGTCGAGAAATAAAAGTTGAGGTAGAACGAGATAAAGCCGGGTGAAAGATTTGATTTGAAAGAAGAAATCGGGTTGAAAGAAGATTTGCGACATTCATGGACCGGGGCTTTGGACACGGAGACAATCGGCGACGAGGCTTAACCCCGACAGGCAGATGGGCATGCGTAATGAGGCAGGGTAAGTATGAGAGAGGGTGCACAAGATGATATTGTATGATGTGCGATTGCAGTTGCAGTAGATATTAGGGCACAGACGCAAGTAGCAATGTCTGAAGAGAGGTGGGAATAGGAAGAATAGGAAGAGTTGAGGTAAAAAGTGTAGAAGGTAAAGAGTAGAAGGCGGATGATGTCGTGTCTTGCTTGCCGCCATTCCCTTCCGCTCTTCCTTCTTCCTCCACTTCTCAACAATCCTCCTCCTCGAGGCCGCCACGGCCCTGTGTGCTTTATAACCATGGCTACACCCTTAGACCAAATCGTCAAGGGTGCTCCCATGTCTGAAGTTCATGCTCCTACGCCGGAGCCATTGGCTTCGGCTTCACTCTCAGATACCTCCCCGCCACAGCCCTCAACGCCAGATCCGCTGGCCATCGCACCCGACTCGCCTCCCCAGATCTACCTGAACCTCTTAATTATGGAAGCCTCATTACGAGCGCAATATCTGGCCCTTCGCGAACGCCGTCGTCAGAATACTTTCTTCCTATTACTCCTTGCGGGCTGGATCGCTTACTTCTCCTACGCCTTGTTCCTCCGTCCCCGAGAAGATGGCCGCGGCGTCGGTGGTTCCGTTTATTGGATGGTGGAGATGGGAGAAAAGGTCGCTCTGCTCGGAGGAGTAGTAACTGCACTCTTGGTATGGGGAACGGGGCAATGGGAGCGTGGTATTCGCTGGCCACGACGCTGGCTCGCCGTCGCCAACCGCGGCCTCCGCACCATGAACACCAAGATCATCATCATTCGCGGTCCTTGGTGGCAGGAGTTGCTCTCCTACGTCTCCTTCCTATTCCCTTTCTCCATTCCTTTCTTCCCTTCCCCCTCCGGCAACTTCCAGCTCATCGAACGTCACCCCAACGAAAAACGCGGTAGTCGGCAGCATTACCAGCAATACTATACCAGCGCGGACAGTGAATCCGGCCTCGTCGAGGAAGATCTCAGTCCCGGCGGCGATTATATTCATCTCCTCCTTCTCCCCAAATCATTCTCCCCAGAGTTCCGCGACAAATGGGACCAGTACCGCACCGACTTCTGGTGTTCCGAGAACGAACGCCGCGCGAAGCTACGTCACCAGCTGCGCGAGCGAGAACGTCAACTCGCTCGATCGGAGGGAAACTGGCTCGGACGTCTTGGCTTGGACTGGCGCGCTTCAGGGCGCCGCCGTCTTGTTGCTGCGACGTTACACCGTTCTATCGAATCGGAGAGCAAGCCTCCTCCTCGCCCTCATTCCCACCACCAGCATCAACCATCCAACTCGTCCAGGCTCACCCAGGAATATCGCGCCCCCTCCCTTCGTCGAAATACTCGCTCCGAGTCCTCCCATTCCCGTACCTCTTCTCGCAGCACTACCCCCGTTGACGTCGAAGACCGTCCGCCTTCCCGCTCCTCTGCCACCGGTCGTCCTCGGCGCGGAAGTACAACGCCGTCTATATCAGGTGGAGATCAAAGCCCGCAGCAAAGAAAGCGGAAGGGATCCAAATCCTTACGTCGAGGTTTATCGCCTTTGACTCAGGCGCAGGTGCGCGAGGGTGTGCGAACACCGTCTTTTTCATCCGATGACTCGGTGCTGGTGGTTGATAGGGAGAAGGAAAGTATACCGACTTCTGTACCTGAACCAAGTACTGCTTCTTAGAATTGCGACTATACCTTTCTTTCGTGCCGTTGCTTGGGCAGTTCCGTATCTTGTAGTACGTGGTGTTACAGGTTGCGATCAAGGTTCTCTTCAATGTTTTGGACTCTGCAGCATGGCAGTTCTCTATAGATACCAATAATACGGCGTGAATTAGCATGCATTTTTCTTCTTCAAGGTCCATTGTCTTTACCACAGCCTTTTCTTTGTAAAAGCAACCTGGATATCCATACCTGGTATGATACGGCTCCCAAAATTTTTAAGCTACGTCCTCTACCGCTACTGAGTGCCTTCAACTCTACGGTATGTTTCAGATACGAGATGTACTACCATATATTCTTATTCTTAATCACTTGATCCTATCCAAATCCCCCAATGCATCGACGCCTTACTCCAGACAAAAAGGAAAACATGATATCATCCCAATGCAGCGAGTAAGAAACATGTTCATAAACCAGCATCACAATCCCAGGACGCCCGGGACTTTCTCCAAGAAAGACTTGAAAAGCAACGTGTAGATCTTAGATACGGTAGACATTGTCGTCATCCTCGAGGAACCTATTGCGAAATCGGTTAGTCATTTGTGACATGATACTAGTTATTTGGGTTGAATACTCACATTAGCAGATTCTCATCATTCATCTTGCGCAGAGCCTGGATGGCCTCCGCACGAGAGAAGACGTGCCCAGCACCTTGATTGGGCGAGGCACGGATAGCCGTGTTGATAGCCTCAATCATGTCATTAACGTTGGTCTGGTCGCCATCGACGAAGACACGAGTACCCATGAGAGGACCCAGTGTCTGGCGGAAGAGAGCAAAGCGAACGGGTGTGATCTCTTGTGCAGTCGGTTGAGACTCGTCGCCCTGTGATTCCAAGAGTTGCGAGGCGGGGTGCGAAGATGCTACGGACATCTGGGAGTCTGTCTGGGTTTGTGTCCGGGTAGTCTGGCTTTCCGATTCCTCGTCGAAAGCAGCGGAGCTGGCAGCACCGCGAGTTGGTCGTGCGCGAGTAGATCGGCGACCAGGAGTGGCTGTTGAGGTGGCTCGGGCAGAAGTTTCTTCGTCGTCACCACCATTATCGGAGTCGCTGTCATCATCCGAGGAATCGGAGTCGAAGGTGGCCATCTTGCGCCGCTTGGTACGTTTGTCCTGCTCCACCTCCTTGAACATAGCGAAACGCAGGATAGCTTCGGCATGCTTGGCATCCTTGTCATCGACTCTGTTTGAAAGACGCGCCTTGGCATGTGCAGTTGACAGACGGATCAGCGTCTCCAGGGTACGGGGTGTGATGGGGAAGTGCGACGCTTGTTGCCGAGGAGTTCGTCGTTTCGTAGAGCGGAGTAAACGGCAATGATATGGTCCGCCGCACCCTTGGTGAGGGTAGGCTTGACTCGAGACTTAGCGTACTGAATGTACTTCTTGATGAAGGGAATGCTGATGATTTCAACGTTGTTCTTGCCACGGGTGTTGGCTGTGTTGATCATTCCACCGTGGAGCATGACATTGAACTTTTCGTAAACCTCTGAGGTTTGGTTCTTCTCTCCGCGGTCTTCGTTGCCAACACCGAGGGATTGGCCCATTTGCTCACGGACTGGGGCACCCTCTTCGGTCCCAGGCTGACGGTAACGGTGCATGCGCAGAACGTGCTCTGAGATCATTCTGTCCTTTGCATCTTCGATATCATCTGTCACGATAAAGAGCAAATCGAAACGAGAAAGAAGGGAGTCGGGGAGAGCAATGTTCTTGTGGGGATCCTTGTGCGGATCATATTGACCATAGATAGGGTTGGCGGCGGCCAGAACACTGCATCGTGCGTTCAAACTGGTGTGGATGCCAGCTTTGGCGATTGTGACGGTCTGCTGCTCCATGACTTCGTGAATGGCAACGCGGTCGACATCACTCATCTTGTCGAACTCATCGATGCAGACCACGCCTCGATCACCCAGAACCATGGCACCAGCCTCCAGCCTGCGCTCGCCCGTCTCCTTGTCTGAGGTAACAGCCGCAGTCAAACCGACACCAGAGGAACCACGACCGGTTGTGGCGATAGCAAGAGGGGCAGTATTTAAGACGAATCGAAGCAGCTGGGACTTGGCGGTCGAAGGATCACCAACCATCAGAATGTTGATATCACCACGAAGATGAGTACCGTTCTCCAAGTTCTTCTCCATACCACCAAGCAACATTAGTAGAATAGCTTTCTTGATGTAGTCGTGTCCGTGAATACTGGGTGCCAAAGAATGAGATAACAGTTCGAATGCATTCTTTTTCTTTGCGATTTTGTTGATATTTCGGACGTCGGTGTCGGTAATTTCAACCTGAGCAACACCACCGCCGGACTTGGAGGAGAGTTGAATAATATTGTTGGCCATGACAACGGTCCGGAAAGTGGAGGATCCAGAGCCTGCATTGCGATTACCCAGAGTTCGGTAAATACCGACCAGTTGAATTCTGTCGCCAGGCTTGGCCGTGTCGACCAGATCATCGTCAAGAATCACATCAACGCTGCGGGGCAATTGGCCGGCCGGTGCTCGTTCGGGCATTTCTTGAATTGAGATCGATTGGTGGTCCATGTAAGTAGAGTAGCCGTATTCAGTGATAAGCTGGATAATTAGACGATCAGAAACTTTCATCATTCGTCGATACAATATGGTATACGTACTGGGTTCTTATCTTCATCTTCTTGTGGGTAGACGTTCAGGCTAGTGGCACCACTGGCGGTCATAGTTTGGTCGCGGTACTTTCGGGCAAGGAAACGGTCCTTCTTTTCGCTGTAGTGAACACTCTGGATCACCTTTGGTCGGACTAGGGAACATTTTGTCACAATTCCATCGAGGGCCACCATGCGGTTCAATTGCTGAGATCCCAGTGTGCGGGGGTTGCAGGAGTACTCTCCGAATGCCCCAGTGAAAGCACAATAGTAAACCTATCGGAGAAACTCGTTAGCTATGTGTTGCTTGGAGGAATATCGCTCAATGTGACAATCAAGACATACTACTTCGTCCGCCGACTCTTTCTTTCCCGGCATCACATGCTTCACGACGTCTTTCAAGGCTGCATCGAAGGATTGTGTGTATTCGAAGGGAGATGTGAGAAGTCTGTTTGAGGGTGTCATCAGAACCGAAAACATCATGCGAAGTGCGGAATATCAAAGAATTCCACCTACCCATCAGCCATCTCTCGGTTATGTTGGCGAAGTTCATCGAGGTCAACCTGCAAACATCAGTAACCCATTCTCCCATGGCCAAGGGGGTGACTAAAAACATACGACCAAACGGCGCAAACCACGATTGAGCATCACCATAATATCGGCTCGGTAGCTGGTTCATTTTGTCAGAACGAAATTCTCCTAAATGTTCATATAAGTCGCAAATGGACGAACCTCCGTGCGCGGTTATCGGCTGGGAAGAGAAAAAAAACAACAGATTAGAAAACAACTCTCGGTCGCAGCAGAATGGTAAGACTTACTGGGATCAAGAAATTCCTTCGCGGCCCGCACGCGATCCTGCGCAGCCTCATCACGCAACTGGGTATCCATGGTGGTTGTGGTGGTTTCAATGTGGGATATCGACCAGGTCGAGGGGAGAGATGACGGAAATCGACGAAGTCTCCCAGCCTGTGCGGGTCCCAGTTGGCACGCGGTCCCAATTAGGCAAGATTGGAACGCGTGAAACAGACGCGTTCGCGTTGATTATGTAATGTACTCTATCCAGCTGGTTTGGCCAATCAGATCCCGAGACTCCCAACTATCCCTGACGATTCATGAAAAAAAGAGTATCTGAAGATTGGGTGTGCAAGGAATGAAAATGATAGCATTTGTATTGGAAGGCCAAATTGCACACTAGAACTTGTAGTTTTAGTTTTCCTTGAGATAATAGGCAAATAAACCACAGAATCCAAAATCAAATTTCACCAAGTTCAAGTGCATGCGGGCGAGAAGTCACAGTACTATCGGTCTCGTTAGGAATCTCACAACTCACTGCGGCACTGGCAATATCCCACCGGCACTTGGGGGCTTACGCTTAGGTAGGGCTACAGTCTGGATAAAGAAAAATTGAACAGTAGAGAGAGAAATACTAATATACATTTGACACTATCTAGACAGGATATATGCAAACAGGCTAATTAAACAGATCAATATACAGTAGGGAGTGCATCTCCCTATTCACGAGTTTTGTCCTCATTGGGAACCTCGCTGGGGTCTTTTGTGGCCTGCTCGGCGCCCTCGGCTTCAGATCCGGATTCGGATTGCTCTTTCTCCTCCGAACGCTCAACTTCGGAATGCCCTTGCTGTTCAGCTTCCTCGTGGAGCTCTGCTTCCACTTGCTCTTTGTTGGCACTCGCGTGTTCTTCGATGAAAGCCAGGAAGTTCTGATCAACCCAGTCCTGATCAGTAGGAGTCTGATCCCCTTCATCAAAGGCTTCGTCCTCTTCTTCGAACACCTTGTTGTCTAGGTTTGGGTTCACCGGATCTTCGAGATGTTTTTTGCTGATCTCACGTCGCTGCTTTTCGCGGGAAACAACACTGGCAAATCGCGACTTGCGTTGCTCCTTTTGTTTGAGTTTGATGCGAGAATTCCGGATGTGGTTTTCAACATCAATTTGGTCTGCGCGTGATAGTGGATCCAACTGGGTTTGCACGCCTCGATCATTCGACACGTAATCGTCATCTGGGGTTTCAATATCGCTGGATTCACCGTGTTTTCTGAGAAGATAATTTGGAGTCTTGCGCTGCCACGTGTCCATTGTTTCGTCATCTCGGAAGATGTCAGGTCGAGGTCTAGCACGTTGAACCTTGCCGAGAACGCCACCTCTCACAACAAAGGGTTCAGTTGGATTCTTCTCTTTGCTAGGCTGTTCCGAACGATGTCGAAGCAATACACCTTGGACATTGTCGCGCTTATAAGGCATTTCACCAATCAATTTAACCGTTTTGGGGGCGACGGCACTGATCTTCTGGAGGTCGTGACTACCTTGAGTGATGATTCTATCTCGGATACGGTCGATAGAGGCGGCGAGGAAAACGATAGTGAGATAGGTCGGTTGCAGATGATCTGGTTCAACACTGATCCAGTGCCTTCGAGTGTTCTTGCCGGTAACATCTCGGAACGACTGTGTTCGATGATCTTCAAGCATCCAAGTGGTCCTCTTCATCTGAGGTGATTTGTGTCCAAATCCGCGTAAGAGTTTGTACCATCCGGGGAAACGAGGTGCGAATTTCTCTTCGAACATCCGGAAAGCTTTGACCTGGTCAGGATAGTGGTCAGAAGATGCCAGCATTTGTATCCAGCTTGACCAATTGAAGGTAGTCAATGCAAAGCCAAGTTTCTCGAGGTTGGCCACGACCTCGCTGATCCTGCTTGTCTGATTCTGGTAGCCCAAGACTCGCATGTAGAGGCCCAATGGTTTCGCAAGGATAAAACGCTGTGCTGGTATAATCTTGCGGCTATGCTGACGAGTAGAGGTCTTGAGGGTCGACAAGTCGAAGGGCCGAGAGCTTGTAGTATGCGGCCCCTCGGTTTTCGATGAAGAAGAATCGGGAAAGAAGTCAATCTCAATCACACTGGCTTGATCCATAGCTCCAGACACCGCAAGGTTCCACAGCTTCTCTACTTCATCATATTGTGCCACCTTCAAATGAGCAGACATCATGGAAGTGAGAACTCCAATTGGGATCGGTTCCGGCTCATCCCGAGGATTTGCGGGAGCCCGCCTATCCATAAATTCTTGATATAGTGCAAGGGCACGATCGATCGTACCACGTTTCCCGTATTGCTTGATGAGGTACTCGTATTGCGGGGCCGACTCAGTAGCAGTGGTAGGTAGATCGCCAGGTCCGGAAGTCAACGGTACGGCGTGAGACCTAGCCAGGTAATTGGCCAAAGCCTTTTCCGCATGCACCAGATGGTAGTTAGCACTATCTTTGATACCGGTTTCTTTTGCGATTTGCAAATCACGCTGGACCTGGCTTTGGAGATACAAGAGACTTGATTTAGGCCCAGCTTTGCCAAACCGCTCCACGATCTCTTTGAATATGATGGACACCATATCTCTATTTCTGTCCTTAACGTATCCGGACAGAATGAGGGCGTAATGGGCCTCTTCCGCATATATTACACGTCTTTTGTGCAAACTCTGGAGCATTCTTCGTGCCCGATCAGTTCTGCCGGCCAGGACAAGGCCAAGCATCGTTGCGTAATACGACCAAGCATCCTTTTCAATACCGGCCGTTTCCATGCGTCTCTCAATCCGTTCGCAAGTTTTGACGTCAAGCCGGCGCGCGTACTGAAGTAGGATCCTATTCCAGATTCTAGTGGTGGTCCCTTTGATTTGAAGGCTGGAACATGCATCTGCAAGCTGTTCCGCGAAATCCAACTGCCCGTTCCAGCAGTATACTTGAATTATTGTATCAAGCATTGGCATTGTGATTAATACTTCATGCTGATGTGCCTCTTTCAGGAGCTGACGGGTGGCATCGGCATCACCTCTCTTTGCGGTGATTCCCATCAATATGCCAAAGGTATATGAGTCTGGATGTAAGCCAGTATGTAACATTTGGGTGAAAGTCTTTTGTGCGCCAGTCCAATCATTGATAGGAGCATGCGCCCTGATGAGTTCATTCCAGCAATGAATATTTGGCTGCAGGTTGAATTCATCCGTCAATCGTTCAAATTGTCGACGTGTTCCTTCCACATTACCGGTCGTTGCCTGTGCAACGAGTAGCGGTAGCACTGGCCGACAGTCGGAAGGTTTCCCGTGGTCCGCCACCATCCTGTTAAAGACTGATTCGGTCTGTGAAAAGTCCCCAGAATGAGCATAGCAGTCCATGCTCACGAGGTATGCAGCCATGCTTGGCCTTCGATGGAAATGTCTGATTTCGTCCAAGAAATATGATATGCCGCTAGTCATGCCCCATGCTTTCATAGAGACCAACTGGCCATACAGCAGGTCATATGAAGGCCGGAGTTGAGGCGCCTCAAAACGCAATTGGCGATAAAAAACTATCGATCGAGAAAATCCAGAGCGAGTTCGTGCTGACTGAAGTGTCTCGATGATCTTGCTGTAATGCTTCAGGGTAGGGATTTTGATACGTCTATATACACTCAGCATTTTGAGCATGCGATCCATCGAGGCATGCTCAGGGTGAAATGGTGAGTGTGAAATATCATGCAGAAGCGCTTCTGCAAGGTCGAAGAAATCCTGATCTGCCTTTTGAATGTGGTACCGGTAATCTTTGATTTTTCTGGATTTTTGAAGATGCTTCCCGAAATAAAGGCAGCTTCGGACGAGTGTGACATATTGTAGGCGTGAGAATAACAGTCGGAATTTTTGAATATCCGTTGAAGGTTCGAGAGTACGCCATATTCGCGAGACTTCCACGGCGGGAGCCCACTCTCCCCTTTTGAAGAAATATGCGAAGAGCCAAGGAAAACACGAGTTGGCAACTTCTTGCGTCGTAGATAGCCCCGCTTGCTTGGCTATTTCAATGAGTCTTGAGTGATTTTCCATTCTCGTTTGGGAACGAGAAATACATTCAAAGTCACTGGGTAGTCGATCTTCGAGCGGAATCTCTTCAAAGATTTGCCAGGCCCGGTCCGAATCCGAGACCTGCGGCGAACGTGCTAGGTATTGACATAGGGCGGAACGAACGACTGATGGTTTTCCGGCAGCCAAGTAAAGAACCCATGCCTTGTCAAAATCCCTGGGTTTGACTTCCAGAATCCTTGAGAGTTCTTCTAAGGCCTGACTAGCTACTGAATGATCCGTCCCACCTTGAAGGATTATCTCCTGTATCTTTGAAGTGTCGGGATGGGTGGATTGAGCGTTGGAGAGCGCATCGGAGGCGTAGTTTCTCGGGAAGCCGACCAGCGATCGCTTTCTTCGACGCAGACCCAATCTCCTTGGTTGTCGGGGTATGCGCAATACCGGGGGAGTAGTTCGGGGGTACAAGAATTCCAAAATTGGTGTTCCTCCATCTCGGGCCGATTGATTTGGGGATTGTGAGGCGAGGTTGAGAGCGGAGGACGGGCGTTGACTTGACGGCTGGATCAACGCGAGAAACCAACCGGGGAAGTCCTCTGTGGCAGCATTGTGTTTCCAAAAATTGCGAGAGAGGGATCTCCGTGTTCGAATAGCATCATTGGAGTCGCGAAACAAACGCCGTCCTGCGCTCTCGAAACAGGCGGTTGCCCGTTCCAACATCACCCCCAATCGTCGCGGTGTTGAAATAACACTGAAGTCACCGAGGATGATCAACAGGCTGCATCGTATCGTAGAATATGGTCCTAAATGAAGCGAATTCAAGTTAGATGCCAATTATCTCTTGGTGGGAAGTTTTTTTTGCCCTGTCTCTCTCAGACATTGAGTCTCCGCAGCATTCAAACAAGCTGTTCCGAGAGATGATGGTGCCATACGTACCGCGAAAAACAGAAAACCTCAATTGATTTCCACACAATACCTTGAAATGAAAGCTCAAGACTTCCAGCTTCAAGACAAAATGCAAAATGCAGGTGGAGAGAACCACGAGCAGCGTAGCTCGACGGGGATCGAAAAAAAACGGGAGCAACAAACGTTGGAAAGATTGGAAATTGCCGGGCTGCACGTCGGCCCATTCATTTGGCCGAATTGGGGTACCGCCTTTCACCCACCACAACTTCCCCCGAGGCCACTTGGACTACCAGGAAAACCCCCCTCTTCCGATCAGCCCACCATCATGGAGATCACTGATTTTGTTTTCAAAGAGCGTGAGGATCTTCTCCTTGTTGGCGACTACAATGCCTATCGGGCCCACGCCACCCGCAGACTGCACAAACTCCGCAAGAAGTTGGGCCAGGCGACCCCCAAAGGCCGCAAGTACACAGCCAAACCCACTGTGACCCCCGAGAATGTCGGGGCCAATGTTTCGTAGGTCTCACTAATAATACTATGAATCCCCAAAAGAGGTATTGAGGAACTTTTCGGCTGACTCCCACTGCTTGTCTAGATATGTACACCTATTGCTTTTGGGATCCGAACGAGCCTGGGCGCAAGCCATGCATATGAAGTCGACACACTCTGCGGACCCAGATGCGAAAGGAATCGCCGGCGCAACCAGACGCCATATTATTTCGCGGTTGAACAAAGCTAAGGGATATGCGCAGCATCTAGTGGACCTGCTGCACGAGCAATCAGCCACCGGTGCGAGCGATATTGATATTCTTGAGGCGCGAGCCTATTTTGCTACGATCTCCGGGGCTCTGTGGCTGGAAAAGCGACGATGGGAACAGTGCCTACACGACTATGCCATTGCCAGAATTATTTATACGGCTTTGGGTCAGAAGGTCAAGAAGGATGCTTTCCGGGACTTGCTCACCGGTACTGTCGACCCGAGTCTTCGTTATGCGGCTTACCAAATGAAGCTACCACGCTCAAAGCCCACTTCCTCGCTTGCAATTGAATACTTCCCATCCGACTCGAACATCCGCTCGGAGGTGGAGAAGATCGACCCTTCTTGTCTGGCTGAAGAGGCCGCAGGTACACGGAGAACTGCTGAGGGCGAGGTGCAAAAACTACCCGAGTCTGTTACCTGGCGATCGCGCACTGTTCCTCTGGATGATGCCTCTATCTCCCAGGCTTTGGCTGCTGCTTCGGCCGCCGAAGAGCGTCTCTCTGCTTGGTTATCCGATGAGGGCAAGTCGGCCTCCGCTAAAGATCAGGCTGCCGCATACGATAATGTCATCATCGCCAGTCAGGATGCGGTCGATGCTACAAAGACTGCTCTCGATGACCTCACTAGCGAGGGCGTGGATCCGGGCGATAAGCGTATGCAGGCACTACAGATCACTCGCACCGCTGTCAACTACGAGCTTGTTGGCTGGCGTATTGGACGTAACCGTGTTCTGTGCGGCGAGCAAGATGGTCTTGTATTCAGCCAGGAACAGACGACCCAAGGCAAGACTGTCAAGCGTAATGCTGGCAATGGTAAGAAGCTGGCCAAGCTTCGCGAACGAGTGGTACTATACGATTCGACTCTGCAAAGTATTGATTTCATCCTTGAATTGCCTGGAGTTGCAGCCGACTCGACATTCGTACAGGATCTGAAGGCGAAGCGCCACTATTTCCGGGCACTGAGGTATGTATTTCCCCCCGCATTTACGATCTACTAGTTCTCTAATATGATGTCTGGCTAGATCTTTGGCTGTTGGGCGTTCTCACGGTGTACTGGGCAAGCCTACCGAGGCACTTGCCCTCTTTGCTCAAGCTTTGGACTTGTCTCAATCTGCGACGCCGCCTGCATCAGCAGAGTCGCAAGGACCTCCCCGTCTGGATGTCTCTCGGGCACAGGCAGGTGCCTTGGAGACTGCACTGCGCGGACTGGTCGCTCAGTACCGGGGATTGGTCACTCTGGAGCGACTGGAAGCTCAATCCGGCTCCGGCGAGCAGCGCCCACTTGTCGAGCGCCTGCACCAGTTCCAGCAGGGAACCGACCTCAGCAACCTTGTGCCGTATCCACCACAGATGAAGCCGGTGCCAGTGAAGCCTTTGTTCCTGGACGTTGCATGGAACTATATCGAGTATCCGCACGAGGGTCAACAGCAACAGCAACAGGAGGCCCCGGCAGCGGCAGCAGCAGCAGCAGCAGGGGAGGAGAAAAAAGGACGAGGATGGTTCGGATTCGGACGGTGAGCAGATACCTTATGTGTCATGTGTCATGTATTTATTTCATGGAATGGATGAATCGGGGGTTTGTCCTTTAATCTGCACACATATCTACTCATTCCATTCCTATCCCATGGCAGGGATCTCTCAATCTACAGTAGATCTGTCTCTGTCCAATACCTACATACAGTGTACATATGTAGTACATACATATCCCACCAATCAGAGTCAGGCCTTAGTCAGTACACGTGACCTACATCCGGGACAAACTGGAGCCGAGTCACGCTACTCCCCAAAGCCCTACAAAGTACGGAGTAGAAGAGTGCGTAACACAATCAGCAATTGTTAGGTGTATCTTCGCTATAGTGGGTTTTGTCTGATAGCCCATCAATTGGAAAGTCTGGGGTAATTTCAGTACTACTACCACTACTACTATTATAGCAAATATTGTGTTCCTGCTGTATTGTGTGTTGTAGTATGTACTAGTGGTGGACTCCAATCTACACGGTACATTACTGTACGGGAAGTATGGCAGTAGAGAAAAAGAACACAACTTCAGATCCAATGGGAGTCAAACTCATAGGTTCTTGTTCATCTGAATCCATCTGCACAATCTCCCATAGTGGGTCGATCAGGCCACAGTAATATGTAATAAAAGAATAATAATAATGGCTCGATAGTCATTCGCGGCTCGCCCAGCAACCGGGACTCGGAATTGGTCCTCCCGCCCCTGACCGATTGGAATTTCCCCCTCTCCACAACTCGCGCGCGGTGATAGTCCGGCTCCTAGGTCATTGCTTTTTTTTTCCTTTTCCTTTTCTGTTACTCCGTCCTCAGTCTCTCTTTACTCAAACTCTTCAAAGGCCTCTTCTCTGTGGCCTTGCCAGACATCATGGTCAACATCACAGGGAGTTTTGTCTCGCCATCCGCCGATGCGACACTTTCCCCCCAGCTGTTTGCGCCGGCGGGTCTTATCGCCTCCGTGCTCGATGGCTTCACCATCTGGAAGTTCCTGTTGACTCTCTTCGTTGGTGCCGTCATCTACGATCAATGTATGTGTGATCCGTCCCATCCTAGTCCAGTCTCTTTGTGGCAGACTTTTGTCGGTCCTTTGTCCGGTGGCGCGCGTCTTGAGATGAAAATATGAATCTAACATGGAATTTCCCCTTTTTCTAGTGAAGTACCACTACCTCAAGGGTGCAATCATCGGTCCTGCTTATAAGATCCCCTTTATGGGCCCATTCCTGGAATCTGTCAACCCCAAGTTCACCGAATACAAAGCCAAATGGGACAGCGGCGAATTGAGCTGTGTCTCCGTCTTCCACAAGTGAGCCTTCCCAAAATCAGTCTCTCCGGACAATGGCCGGGCTGCTTTCATGCTTCCAAGTTCATAGTGCCATCCTCGCGATCAATTGACTAACTCTGCGCCAGGTTCGTCGTGATTGCCTCGTCCCGTGATATGTCCCGCAAGATCTTCAACTCGCCCGCCTATGTCAAGCCCTGTGTCGTGGACGCCGCCCACAAGCTTCTCGGAAAGACCAACTGGGTTTTCCTTGATGGCAAGGCTCACGTCGACTACCGCAAGGGTCTCAATGGCCTGTTCACCCGCCAGGCTCTGTCCTGCTACATGCCCCGCGTTGAGGAGGTCTTCAACGACTACTTCCAGCGTTTCCTCGATAACTCCGCCAAGGTCGAGCACAAGCCTACTCCCTGGATGCCCCAGTTCCGTGAGCTGATGACTGCCCTGGCCTGCCGCACTTTCGTCGGCTACTACATGTCCGAGGAGGCTGTCCAGAAGGTCGCCGATGACTACTACCTGATTACCGCCGCGCTCGAGCTGGTCAACTTCCCCATCATTCTGCCCTACACCAAGACCTGGTACGGCAAGAAGGCCGCTGATATGGTCCTCGACGAGTTCTCCAAGTGTACTGCCAAGTCCAAGGCTCGCATGGCTGCTGGTGGTGAGGTTTCCTGTATTCTGGACGCCTGGGTCAAGGCCCAGCAGGACTCTGCCAAGTACCGTGAGAAGATTGAGAAGGGTATTGCCGTCGACGACTCTGAGAAGCCCGCCCAGGTTCTCCGTGATTTCTCCGACTTCGAGATTGCCCAGACTATCTTTACTTTCCTTTTCGCCTCCCAGGATGCCACCAGTGCCGCCACCACCTGGCTGTTCCAGCTCTTGGCTGACCGCCCTGATGTCCTGGAGAAGGTCCGCGAGGAAAACCTGCGCGTCCGTAACGGTGACCGTAAAACCGGCATTTCCCTTGAGCTGATCGATCAGTTGACCTACACTCGTGCCGTCGTCAAGGAGACCCTCCGTTACCGTCCCCCCGTCATTATGGTCCCTTATCTCGTCAAGAAGGATTTCCCCATCACCGACAAGATCACTGTTTCCAAGGGCTCTATGATCATTCCTTCCGTCTGGCCCGCCACTCACGACGAGGATGCCTACCCCAACGCCGACTCCTTTGAGCCTGAGCGCTGGATCACTGGTGACGCTGAGCAGCAGTCCAAGAACTGGTTGGTCTTCGGCACTGGTCCCCACTACTGCCTGGGCCAGAACT